CATATTTATTAGCTAAATACTTGAAAAACCTAATAGACTATCCTAATGTGACTCAATGACTACTACCATATCTAATAATATCCTAATTATAGTAATAATAATTATTATGATAAGTCCCAAGAATTGGGTTTCCATCACAAACGGTCTCTACGATCTCTGAGATGATTCTCACATATCAATTATGAGCGGTATAGAAAAATTGGAAAGAAGATAAAGGGTAAAAAGAAATTTCTTAAATTGATTATTGGTTTGGATTGTATCAGTGGGTCAAAGTCTGTATACCGATGACAAAAAAACGACAGCTTTTGGTGGTGAAAAACGACACACCCATAAACAAAACAATTTCACCATTATATGAAGTTTAACACCCGCGAAGGTGTGAATTCCGTGTTTTGATTTGAGCGGACTCACTAACCTGTCTCGGTCCGCCTCTGACCGACCCTAGAGGATAAGATAGAATCGACAAGAACGAAACGAGTCAATTATACAAGCTCACCCTTGAGTGACGGACAGAGTCTGGCAATCTACAACCCTACCTATGGCTATGGCCAAGTTGACTCAACGAAGGGGGAAATGGATGGTCAAAGTAAACGGATACTAAAAAGACTAAAAGAGCCCCGTAAACAAAGCAACTTTAGATAAACTGACCGAGGATTTGGTTGGCCATGTCTCTGAAGCGGAGCTGGCGGCGGCCCATTGCGGCGTGGTGCTCGAGGACCAAGGACAGCAAGTTGTAGGAGTAGAAAGTGACCAGCGCTGCCACCACCAGGCTCACGATTCCGCCGGCCCAGCCCAGTAGTGTGAGCGCGAACGGCAGGCTCAACAGCGGCGGCGCCACGATGGAGGTCGTCAAGTGATACCCGCAATGCACCCACGACCCTACAAATACAGTTGCAGTTGTGTAAATATCCACTGGTCAACTACCCTTTTCGGTCTTTGCATGGTTGACTAGTGTTTTGTGGCGGGCATACCTTTGGATTCGAGAACGAAAAGCGCTCCGGCGTCCAGCTCTGCCTTCTGCGGAAGATCTGATGAGGCGGCGGCGGCTGCTCCGCCGTCTTGATGAAGCGTTGGGTCGGTTTCCACCGTCCCAGCCATCTCTCTCTCTCTCTCTCTCTCCTCACACTTCTTCTGCCTTCCGTTTTCGTGGAGATGCTTTACACGATAAATGGACTCTCTCTATACTTAGGCCTGGATATATTTTGGTGGGTTCTTTTCCAAACGAATCGACAGCATGCAAGGGTTTATATAAAAAGTGGCTGGTGCCAGGCCCTTGGCTGGCATTGTTTTTTTTTTTTTGGTTAGTCTCATCCTCAACTAAATTAATAATGTCAACGTTTTAGTTTGATTATAGCTTTAATTAAATTAGGTTGGAATTTTTCATACTCTATGTAAACCCTCTAATTTTGGAATGCACGTTTTTTTCTATAAAGCACTCAAATATTAATTGAGGATGACTCTATCTACCTTTCTTTTTAATATTTTAATTTTTTATTTATTTAGTATAATTAAGAACATCATTAAATATTAAGAAAAAAGAAACGTGAATTCACCAATAACAAACTAGAATGTGGATAGTTGTAGCTTTTACGTCCACTCAATATTGGAGCTAAGAATTTTCTAATTATTTATGGAAGTGAAAGAAATAGTTGAGTGAGTAAATAGGCTTTCCAAGTTCCAACCCAAGTTTCCATCTCATTGCATACTGGCGGCAGGTTTATAAATTTCCTTTTCTCCACATTTTCCCTTCCCTCTAATTCTTATTGGAATTCATCATAGAAACACTATTTTCAGCAGCCCTTCATCTTCTTATGAAACTTGGCTACAACAATAGTTTTGTCTAGTGGTAATATCACTAGTTTTGAATCTGGAGATTTCAATTACGAGAACCATAATTTTATCTCAATTACGACAAAAAAAGAGCATGATTTAAGAAACCTTCTGTACTGGTCACTAAACCGACGATATTGAATACCGGCCCCAAAATGGTAAGCGGATATATCGGTACAAAATAATTTAACCGTAATTCAACCATAATTTTAACACAAAATATTATACTATTAACTTTTCTAGCATAACTACCGGTAGGATTTAAAAAAAACGCCATCTCCAAAATACATAGTTCCAAGCCTCCAACAAATGTAACTTATTAATTGGCATGTCATGGAAAAAACTATTTAAACTCTATTATTCATTTCCAGGCTTTTCAATTTTATTTAAACTTCTTAATTCAATATTATTTTCTTAACTCCATGACATTCACAAACAATGAATGGGATTAAATGCTCTTTTGATTTCATTTTGATTCTTAATTTTTATTTATTTTTATGGGATAATAGATAATATGATTGCCAATAAATTAATGATTGAAAGAGTTTTGAGAAATGGCTATGATAAGTGTAATTATAAAACTTTAAGTTTATTTCCAAGGTGTTGGTCGCCCGTCTTCGGCCACTGATGGATAAAATGATCTACCTAAATCAGTTCGCAAGGGTGAGAGGACGACAACTACATGAAGCTAGCCTTATAGCAAACGAGCTGGTTGACAGCAGAAAGAGGAGTGGCAAACCTGGAGTTGTTCTGAAGTTTGATATTGAAAAAGCTTTCGACACGGTCAACTGGAACTGTTTGTTCAAGATTATCGAATCTTTTGGCTTCAATGCTAAATTCCAAAGGTGGGTCAAAGGTCTGGTTTCCGCAACTAGATTGTCCGTTCTCGTTAATGGAGAAGCTGCAGGTTTCTTCAATCCTGAACGAGGCCTCAAGCAAGGTGACCCGCTGTCACCCTTCTTCTTCAATCTAATCATGGATGTCCTATCGCTTATGATTCAGGAAGTCAGTAGTGCTGGTTTCTTGAATGGATTCTGCATGAATGAGGAATCCCGGAGAGGGGAAGTCACACATCTGCACTACGCGGACGATGCTATCATATTCTGCGATGCGACAGAAGAGGAGGTAAGAAGCGTTTTGGCCACTCTAATCTGCTTTCAAAGCGTCACTGGATTAAAAGTAAATGTGGCCAAGAGTTGTATGTTTCCAGTCGGGGATGTCGAAGATATCGATAGACTCGCTCAAACCTTTGGATGCCAGTGGGCTTATCTTCCAACAGTTTATCTCGGGCTGCCTTTAGGAGCTCACCCAACTTCAGTTGGAACCTGGAACCATGTTCTCTCAAAATTGCAAGTCAAGTTGGAGGGCTGGAAGGCCAGGTTGTTGTCTTTGGGCGGGAGAATTGTTCTATGTAACTCTGTCTTATCGAGTCAGCCCCTATTTCGCTGCTCGCTTTTCATTGCTCCTAAGAACGTGATCCACAAGATTGAGAAGGTACAAAGAACTTTTATTTGGGAAGGAAATACTGAAAGGCGCAAGACACACCTTGTTGCTTGGGATCGCTGTAAAGCACCGAAGAAGAGGGGCGGCCTTGGAATTATGGATCTCGAGCTGCAGAACAGGGCGCTGGTCTGCAAGTGGCTCTGGATTTTCACTCAAGAGGAGAGCTCCTGGTGGAAGAGCTTGATTAAAGAAAAAATTTCAGTCGGGGGAACTCGTTGGCTTAGTGGTACGACTTCGGGTGCGGCTGGTTGCAGCCCCTGGAGTCAAATTGTCAAGGAGAAATCATACTTATGGAAATTCGCTCAAGTTAAGCCGGGCACAGGAGAGTCGACTTCCTTTTGGATGGACTACTGGAGGGGCGACCAGACTCTTGCAGAAGCTTTCCCACGCATGGCGGCGGCGGCTGTTTCCCCCCGGGCATCGATTCAAGACCTCCTCCATTTTTATAACGAGAGTGTCTCCTGGGAAATCCCTTTTAAAACCTCGTTCAGAGGTGGGGCTGAGAGAGAAAGGGAGCGCTTTTTTGATTCACTTAACACTATCGGACCATCTTTTTTCTCTGCAGGCCCAGATTCGGTGGTAGGCAACCCGCAGACAAGTTTAGCGTTCACTCCATGTACACCTGCCTTGCAAAGGAAAGATACACAGAAGCGGAAGACTACCCATTTAAGATGATTTGGCAGGCGTGGATTCCGTCAAAGGTCTGCACCTTCTTGTGGATTGTCCATCAACGAAAGATACTAACTCACGACTCCTTAAAGAAGAGAGGCTGGTGTTTCCCTAGCATGTGCGTCATGTGCGCGGCTAGTGAAGAGGACGCAAGCCATCTGTTCCTACACTGCAGCTTCGCATCCAGAGTTTGGACTATCCTGAGTGCTTTTGTTTTCTCGACCCGAAGTCCTGGAGACATAACACAGGTGATCAATAACTGGCCGACAAGGAAGCCTGAAATCCCGAGAGAATGGTGCACCCTGGTTCTTGTCCATGCCTTGTGTTGGAGTTTATGGAAGGAAAGGAATCGTAGGACTTTTGATGGATCGGCCAATTCAGAATTCGTTGTCGTTTTCAGGATTGGCAGCTTAATCGCTCAATGGTTGACTTCAGCTGGCAAAGTGGATGTGGCAGTGGCAGAGCAGTGGCTTAGAGTTTTAAAGAGAAGAACAGTGGGGATCAGGGACTAAGTGTCGCCGCTTGTTAAGAGAGATTTGCTTTGCTTGGGCTTATTGTTTTATTTTTGTCCTTGCTACTTTCCAGGGTTGTTGCTGCTGCTCTTTCAATTTTCTGTGTGTGGAGACTTGGACCGGTGTCTGCCTGCCTGGTTTTCTTGTTTCTGTTTTTTGTTTCTTGATATTTATCTAATGGATGTCAACATTATCAAAAAAAAAAAACTTTAAGTTTATTTTAAATGAGGAAATTTAGATAGGTGATGACTTTTAAATAAGAAACGTTTGTGTAATTAATGACAGAATTATAATTTTAAAATTTTAGATTGTGAAGTTGGTGTTTGTCTGACTTTCTTGGAGAATACTGTGGTACTCTCCAACTACCCTTACTGGTTATATTGTTATTAGTTAGATATACGGACGTCAAATAATGAACATTGATTTGTATTCATTCCTTGACTAGAACAGACCATATCAAATATAATTGGGCCATTATAGCATCACCAATTCATGATTTTGAGTTATTATTAATTATTTGATAATAGGAGGAAGAGCAGAAAACTGGGGCTTATGTTTTAAATTGATATAGAGAAGGCATTTGACAACGTAAATTGGGAGTGTCTGTTCAAGATCTTAACAGTCTTAGACTTCTCAGATAAATGGAAGAAATGGGTTAAAGGAGCTATGTGTTCTCCGGTAATTTCAGTTCTAGTGAATGGCGAAGCCAAAGGTTACTTCAAGGCGTCTAAGGGTCTCCGCCAACTACCAAGGAGATCCACTTTCCCCATGTTTGTTCGTCATGATGATGGAAGTTCTTTCGTGGATGCTGAATTCTGCAAGAGAAGCCGGGAAATTTGAAGGCTTCTACTTCAAAGAAGAAACCAAGGTTGGTGAGGTTACACATCTATTATTTACTGACGACACGCTTATTTTTTGTGATGCGGACCACAACCAGGTGCTTAACATCCTTGCCACCATAGCATGCTTTCAAACAGTGACGGGACTGAGAATCAACCTCGACAAGTCGGTAATGTACACGGTCGGGGACGTGGCTGAGCGTAGTTTCTACGCTGCCATTTTAGGGTGTAAGTGGAGTAGAGACCCTCTCAAGTACTTAGGCTTCCCTGTTGGTTCCAAACCAAATGATCCTGCCATTTGGGACCCGATTCTGGAAAAATTTCAGAGCAAACGAATGGGTGGGGGAGCTGACGCATATTTAACTTCTAAATTTGTCTCGGTATATCCTACTAGACAATCATTCACGAACTGACGCATATTTAACTTCTAAATTTGTTCTTGATGTAACTCAAAACTGAAAAGACACTTCCAACATTTGCTTTACAACCATAAAATCAACACAAACTAAGTGTAGCTTATAATTTGATTAATTGTTAGGTTTTGAAATAATTAAAGATAGAAAATAGGGTTTTGCTATTACACGGTGTTTAGAATAGAACAACAAAAAAGTTGTAGCCTAATGGAAATTATATCTATTAATAATAGGAGTGTCCCTGGTTTCAATTACCCAAACTATTACTTATATTCCCATACGCAAACTACAAACGACAGTAGGATAATCGTTCTTTCAAATTTCAGGGTGTCCCAAACTATTAATTATAATTTTTTTCCATACGTAAATTACCCCTGGGTCCGCCCCTGTTTACACTGACTACTATAATGAAGATGTTCACGCTGAGCCTGAGACCGTGGCTAGATCTTGATCAATCTTTATGAAGTCACTACCTATTAATAGTTGTTGAATACTTTGTGAATGTTCTGAATTTTAGGATATCCCATGGTGAAATCGTTTATTATATTAGAAAAAGGTAGAAAGCAGGAATAAGATCGCAGTACAAACTGAAAAGCAGAGACATCATGAAAGGTGTCAGAACAGAAGCGTGGCAATCGATAATCCAAACCAACACGAACGAACACAAATTTAACGTGGTTCACTAACACAATGTGTGCTAGCTAATCCACGGGCTCTGGGGGACAAATTTCACTGATTTGAAGAGAGTACAGGTTACAAACCAAATTCCAAATGGACAAACCAAACAAACTAACCTGACTGACCCTACTACAGACTAGGGTGATGAAGAGTTTCTCCTAATCCCAAACAGAAAACCAAATACATTTTCTCAAACATACAAGGAAAATGTCAAACAAAGCCCAAATACAAACCCAAACAAAATAGACCCAAAACACAAAACAAACCCAATTCAAATTCAAGTCATATTCTAACACCGACAAAAATCTCAATAAGGAACAAAAAGAAACCAACAGAACAAGAAAGTTCGATTATAACAAAGAATAATTGTTGGAGTAAAGTTGCAGGATACTTCATTGTGAACTCTTGAGCATAGTAGTGAAGAGTGAGCGGTAAAGCCATCAAACTGCTGGTAGAATTCTAAGTTGTTCAATGCATGACTGAACTTCAATTTCGTAACGATCATTAGCTTCCAGAGCCTCTGAGTAAGTTATTCCTCGATAAGCAGGTGGATGAGTGTCGTCCACAAATTCCGATGTCGGAGCCACAAATTTGTTTATAGATGGCCCATGAAGCGTGCCTATAGAGACCCTCCTCGTCTTGTAGCTACCCACCAACACCCGATGAATGTGACTCTTGTATTTGCCGTTAGTTAGAAGCTATCATGCAACACATACGAATTTGTGTCACAAATCAATTCATGGCCACCAACAAAATATTGAATTATAAACTCAATGAAAATACATTTCTAAAAATTATTTACATGTTATCAAATATGATTTGGCAAATAAGTGATGTAAAATACATGAATTTCGTGCTTGTGGCAGAACTGTAAGAATTCATGCATTGTTAGAATTACATGTTTAGGTTGTAAGAATTGCGATATCCCAAGTACATATAGTTGGATGGTTACATGTTTAGGTTGCAAGAATTGCGATAGGAACTTTAGATAAACATGTATTGTATATTATGTGAGTTACAAATACATGATGTTTGTTTATGAGCGACGCCGCTCTCACCTATATTATGGTCGTCGATGAGTTGTTCCTCCTCGGTTTGCTCTACTTCGTCGGAGATCTGTACAAGCCGCTATCAAGAGGACGTCCGGCTGCCAGAGAATCAGATCTTGGTGCAGCTGTTGTGTGCTTCTTTTTTTTTTTTTTAATCCCTGCTCCTTAGTGCTAAAGAGAAGCCCAAATCATGGGGTGTTTTCTACTAGTATGTTTTATGTAGTTTGTGGTCAATTTTACAAGTTTTGTGGTGTGATTTGTCATATTTCTGGTTTGGTATGAGTTAAAGTTATGTTTCATGATATTTATTGTCAGCTTTATAAGTTTTTTGGCTGTTTCGGAAAATACGTGGTAACCTCGTGAAATTTCTATTCTGTTTCTTTTCTTTCTGTCGTTTAATTCTCATTGTCAATGTTTAATTCCCAATTATGTTCTCACTATCCAAGGCTGAGGTCTAGTCTTAATATATAAACTAATAGCCTCATTTGGCGCCGTGGCTTATGCTTCCGATACCTTTCCTTGCCCAAGCCCACTGAGTGCGTTAATTACTCCAATCAAAGTCAACAACTCTATGTTTTCCCCAAACTTGAAGGGGTGAAGGTTGCTCCGATGGCTCCCAGAATCTCGCATCTCTTTTTTGTGGATGATTCTTATTTGTTCCTCAGAGGCTCTTTACGTGAATGTGAGAACCTGATAGAGGTTTTAAACACTTATGAAGAGCTTAGTGGACAAAGGGTTAATTTGGCAAAATCGGCGCTTTGTTTTAGCAAAAATGTCTCTCTGCCTGATCAAGAATTCCTCGCTGCAGTTTTGGGGGTTGGGGCGGTTGGTGTCCAGGACAAGTACCTGGGATTACCGACGCTGATTGCGCGATCTAAAATGGCCACTTTCTGATTTCTGGAGAAAAAGATGTTAAGCAGGCTTCAGGGATGGAAGCAAAGGACTTTATCTTGGGCGGCTAAGGAGACGTTGATCAAATCTGTTGCCTTAGCTTTACCTCTTCATGTGATGTCCTGCTTTAAGCTTCCGCTTTCTTTATGTCGGCTTCTAGACAGGCATGTGGCACGATTTTAGTGGGGAGTGGAGGGGGGCACTCCAAAATTAGATGGATGTCCTGGCGTAGTATGTGTACTAGTAAGCATGAGGGGGGCGCCTGGGGTTCCGACGGTTTGAACAGTTTAACCAGGCCTTGTTGGCTAAAATTGGGTGGCAAATCCTGTCAGAACCTCAGTCGTTGCTGGCTCAAGTCTATAAAGGGAAGTACTTTCCTCGAGGCACCTTTCTGACAGCTATGCTCAGGTCTCGTCCCTCGTGGGGATGGCAGATTATTCTTTATGGCCGTCAACTGCTTCAGCGTGGTCTCCGTTGGCAGATTGGAAATGGGAAGTCTGCTGCCCTTCTCTCTTCTAGTTGGATTCCCCTTCTTCATCCTGATGGCCCGGTCTATAATCCACAAGTTCTTCCAGTTGAGGGCGAACCGAAGGTGGAGGTAGTTTTATGCCCAGATGAAGGGAAAGTGGTGTGGAGGTAGTTTTCTCCCGACGACAGAGGCGTTGATCGAGAAAGGCGTTAGGGTCCAGCCTCGTTGTCCTGTATGCTGGGCGGAAAAGGAGACAATGGAGCATATGTTCTTTGATTGTCCGGTAGCCAGGGCGCTCTGGGATTAGGCGGGTCTTGAACATCTTGGTCAAGGGTTGCCACGACATACCTTCCTGCTGTTTATGAAAAAACTGATGAATGCCATCCACCAACCTCATCTACTCATGGCAGTTGTAGCTGGTTTGTGGAGGATTTGGAAATCTCGTAATTGGGTTGTCTTTGAGGGCAAACAATTTGGGATTCTAGCGCTACTGCGGCAGTATTATCAACAATACCAGGAATGGATGAGGATACCCGGTGAACGAGGTCACCATCTCTGTCGGTCTAGTGTCTCGTCTGATTCGACTACGGTTGTGCAGTCTATTACTTGTAGGTGGGACGGTGCGACGAAGGCTGGGTCTCACGCGGCTGGTGGGATCGTGATTAATGATCTGGACGGGAACATACTTCTGGTTCGTGGAGTTCAGTTGCCCGATACGGATGACCCTCTAGGGGCAGAGATGTTGGTTCTTCGGGAAGCGGAGTTGTGGTGTCTGGAGCTGGGTTTCCATGCGGTTTGTTTCCAAGGTGATGCCAAGGTCATTATTGATAAAATTAATCGACGGGATGTGCGGGATGATCGGATTGGGGCTTTACTTGAAGAGATTATTCTGGTGTTTACTTGTCATAGTGCGCTTTCTGTTCGTTTTGTAGGTCGGAGTAACAATAGGACAGCCCATTTGGTGGCTAAAAAGGCCCTCGCCTGCATGTCGATTTTTTGATTTCCAGACCTGACTGGTTTCCAGGATGTAATATCTTTTTCTCCTATCTATCTTTTGTCAAAAAAACTCTATGTTTCCCCCAACTACATTTGGATAATCAAGTTTGTTTGCCGGATTCTATATATATAAAGATCTCTCCGCCATTCTTCCGTAGCTTTTGCATCCCTCTCTTCCCCGTCTTTATTCTCCAATCCCAAGAACGTAAACCCATCATCCACATGCGCACAGCTGGTTGCATTAATGGCGGATCAAGTTATTAACGCGGCTGGGTTCTGTTTTAAAAGTTAGGTTTCCCCATGACGTGATACCATATTAATTAGGCAAAATACACCTGTATAGCAATAACTTTCACACTTTTGACAAATATAGCCATTTCTATTCGAAAACCAAAAATAGCCCAAAAAATTGAGGGTAGTTTGACAAATCTAGCCAAATCCGTTAGAAACTTTAACGGTGTTAGAAACTCCGTCAGTTAGGTTAACGTTAGGCTGACTAGGATGCCAAATTATCGCACACGTCAGTAACCAGTCAGCATATCATTGCCACGTAATTTTGAATGAATAAAATAATTAATTTTGAAAAAAAAATCCACCTTCCCTGCCGATTCCATTTTCCCACATCTCCCACTAATTCTCTGTTGCACCCTCTTCAATTAGCTGCTGCTTCTCATCCAATTCACCCTCCAAAATCACCACACCACAGCCCACCCCCCACAACCAGTAGCATCATCTTCACCACCCCGCCGTCCCCATCCTCCGGGCTCCGCTCCACCGAGGGCGCCTCTGGCAACTTCTACGGCCAGTTCGTCTCCCCATCTCCCGCTCTCATCTCTCTTTTCACCCAACCATCTCTCCTACAACAACCCTTTCCCCAATCAAAAGAACCCTAACCACCACCAATAATGGCGGCAGCACCTTCTGCCCCCTTGCTTCTTCTCGATTCAAGCTCGATGGCTATCTGGGAAACGGGAAGCGGAATCGATTGACTGACGAATCTACTCGATTCATTGCCAACTCTGCGAGACCCTTCCCCTTCCTCCCTTTGCTTCGTCATCGTCACGGCCAGAGATTCTTCGCCTCCGAACTCCATCTCAGCCACTGTCAATCCTCCACCCTTTATACCCCCAGCTCCCCACACAGCAGAGAAGAAGCTGGTCGCCCAGCGACAGAGCTTCTCGTTTCACGCCTGGGATAGAGTCGAGGGTTGAGATGCACCGAGGCTGTTGGCTTGAGTTTTTTTATTCGGAATCGATGGCAGATCTAAATTCATTCAGAAGGGTTCGATGGCTGCCACGTCGGTGTCGTTGGGCCATATCCCTGCATCTGTATTCTTCTCTTCTTTTTTGTTGAAGGTAGGGAAGTAGGCGACGGCGGCTAGGGGTCGGAGAGAGCGGAAGAGGGGGTGAGACCGGTGAGAGGAAGCGGCAGAGGAAGAGAAGAAGATTGGAAGCATCAGAGGCAAATTAGGAGGGAATAAGAGGCGGTGGAAGAAATCCCAATTCAGGGGAAAATATTTTTTTTATTTTTTTATTTCAATTTTTTTTGTTAATCCACGTCAGTTAGCAGGGATAGTAAATCGCCAGATCAGCATCTTCCGTTAGTACAGTCATACCGTCAACTGACGCCGTTACCAAAATGGACGGAATTGGCTATTTATGGTTTTCAAATAGAAATGGCTATATTTGTCAAAAGTGTGAAAGTTATGGCTATACAGATGTATTTTGCCTATTAATTACGTAATGTTATTTGCGAAATGACTTAGGACTGTCAATTTGGTTTTGATTTTTCGGTTTTAAACCATTTAGCATATTAATGGTTTTGGTTTCGGTTAAAACCAAAAAAGCAAAAAACCGATAAGGACCCCTGATTTATTTGAAGTTAACCATGTTTTTGGTTTTTGGTTTATCGAAACTATTAAAGAGCTTATCGGTTTATGGTTATCCAAAAACCAATAAGCCTCTTAATGGTTTTGGTTTTGTGAATATGCCTATTTTGATTTTTGGTTTTCATGCTAATGGTTTGGTTTTGGTTATCCAAACTGACAGCCCTAAAATGACTCCTTATAAATTGCATCAATTACGTAAATGTTATTTTTAGTTAAGGTTAACTAATTAAATTATATAAAAACCAACTGGTGATCATCACCACGGTCCACGTATATAACTAAATAGATAAATAAATAAATATACCTCCAGTTGGTCCCCAAGTTGAATTAAGATGGCATGGGGAGGGATGTGGACGTTGATCCATTGTCCTTGATGGGTTAGGATTTGAAGGCCGCCATCCATATCTTGGACGAGGGAGACGATGAAACCAGGATCGGTGTGTTCAGCCAGTCCCATGGTGCCCTTTGACATGAAGTTTGGTGGGTAATGATTCATGGCAGCCACGTCAAATCCCAATTCCAGTTCGAAAGCATCCTCTATGTAGGAGTCTTCCTGTCCCAAGGTTAAGGACATAGCCCTTGCTAAGCCCAGCTTCACTTCATGCAATCTGCTCTCGTACTCTCCCAATGCCTCTCTGTGCACAAAACAAAACGTGTTCATTGTCAGTGAATACATCTGATAGCGGTGGGGAGGTGGTGTTGTATCAAGGTTGTCAAACCGGTTTTTGCCAGTGTGCCGGTTTAGCAAGTGAAATGGTTCGACCGGTGGCACATGCTGGTTTGTGCCGGTTCATGCCGGTCAATATTACAAATAAAATTATAAATACTCATATTAAACATGACATTTAACGTCAATACCTAAACATTTATACTTGAATCCAACAAATAAAATCAATATTTAACTTTTGGGTAAATACAATTTAATATCCAAACCTTTCATTTTAAACAATATAATAGCCAAACCTTTTCGAAAACAATCTAATATCCATATCGTCAAGTTTCCGTTCGTTTGACTGTTAGTTGACACCTCAAAAAAGCTTTGTTTAGGGGAAATTGTCATAATATAACTTGGTTTCTTGTTTTGGCATTACAGATGATTGGATATTTAGATATTCTATACCATCATGGTGGAGTCATGGACTTCTCGAGTTTGGAACTACGATATGTTGGTGGTTTTTCAGAGAAGATATCGATGGATATTGATGAAGTGTCGTACTTCGAACTTTTTTGAAGTGTCAACTAACGGTCAAACAGACAGAAAGTTGACGATTTGGATATTAGATTGTTTTCGAAAAGGTTTGGCTATTATATTGTTTAAAATAAAAGGTTTGGATATTAAATTGTATTTACCCTTAACTTTTATACTCATAAAATAAATAATAAAATAATTTTTAAAAATTAAATTCACTAAAATAATATCATTTTACTTAGAGATTCTTATATCGATCATACCGGTGGTGGCACGTCGGTTTTATGACCGGTACCGGTCGAACCAGGTACAACCGGTGGCACGCCGGCCGGCATAACAACCATGTTTGTATACTATATACCTAAAGAATGGAGGATTGGGAGGGCAATGGAACGTCGGACGAGCGAGGAGCTTGAGATGTTCTCTGTTCTCGCCGGCATGACACCTGGCATCCCAAAGAATCCTAGCTCCGGGATCACCTTTCTTGTACTTGCTCTTCTCCTCCACCGGCGTTTGCTCGAAAAAATCGGCGATCCCACTCAAAGCACCATCTATGACTCCATCGGGAATCCCATGGTTCACCAGCTGCGCATGCATGAAGTAACAGCTACGTACTTGAAAATATTCCCTGCCAAAATAAAACTCATACGATCGAGAGTCTAATTAGCAGAAATGTTACATATATGTACGTACGTTGAAGAAGCCATAGTGCTCACAAGCTGCTGAGAGGCAGTCCAGGGCCTTAGAACGGTGGGCAGTGTCGGCGGAGAAGAGGGAGAAATAGTCGATCGTCAGGATTTCTTCGTCGGCGACGGCTGTTAGTGGTTCAAGTGGTTGAAACATTTTTGTTTTTTTCCCCCTTATGGAAAATTGGTTTAGAATTATATTATTGGTTTTGTTTAGAGAAGTGGAGCTGTGGCGGACAGAGTGGGAAGGGGACAAGGGTATTGCTTTCACTGATTAGTTTTTGCTATTTTCGCACACTAAACATTCAGATTACACCATGCCTTTTATAGGCATATTGAATTAAAAAAAAATCTTCCCTAATCTAGTTGTTCTCTGCCTCAATTTTTTGGTGGATAGAATATTTCTCTCCCTTTTTTTAATTACAAGTCGACAACTTTTTTTTTTTTTAGAATTATATTATTGGTTTTGTTTAGAGAAGTGGAGCTGTGGCAGACGAGGAATTATTGCCTACACCGGGAGCACCACGTTGGCATGCTGATTTGGTGCTCCCAGCCGATTAAGATCTGCCACGTGTCCATCTGCAGCTATTAATTAAGAGGAATTACTGCTTAATTCTTTCCCTGTCTATACTCAACTATCATCTCTGATAAATCTCTTCAAATAATAATATAATAATACTAACTAATAATCCTCTCTTTCTCTCTCATGCTCCTTTGTCTTCTCCGTCCCAACGTGGAGCAGGCGAGTAAAATTCCGCCATTAAAATTTTGGAAGTTATTGATCAATTCAGGAAACTCTCCATTTGCAAACAAATTGAATCTTTTGTCATATATGTCACTGCTTCCGAACCCAATACCGAAAGCTAGACTCTTTCTACAGCTCCATTAGCATAATTAGAGACATCGTCCACGGCAACACAGTCACTGCGCCAATAATAAAAGTCTGAACTTTGCTTTTGTTAGTCGGTGGTTGTTTCGTCGGAGCTATGAAGGGGATGAGTTGGGAAGACGAAGCAAGAGAAAATTACTTTGCTTGATTGTAAAAATTTTAATGGCGGAAGAAGACAGAGGAGCATGAAAGAGAGAGGGGAAGATTAATTAGTTAGTATTAACTGAATATAATAATGATGGAAGAGCGAATTAAGCAGTTAATTAAATAATTCCTACAGATGGATACATGTCGGATTTTAATTGGCCGGAGCACCAAATCAGCATGCCAACGTGGTGCTCCCCGTGTAGGCAATAATTCCTCGTGGCAGACAGAGTGGGACAAGGGTATTGCTTTCACTGATTAGTTTTTGCTATTTTCACACACTAAACATTCATTATACCATGCCTTTTATAGGCATATTGAATTAAAAAAAAATATCTTCCCTAATCTAGTTGTTCTCTGCCTCAATTTTTTGGTGGATAGAATATTTCTCTCCCTTTTTTTAATTACAAGTTGACAACTTTTTTTTTAGAATTATACTAGCTAGGTGGCGGTCGAGCTCTGCAACGACCTGCGGTTGATTTTTAATTTTTTATTTTGTTGGTTAGTCATTTGTGTGTATTGTTTTGTTTTAATACCCTAACATCATTACATCTTATATTACAAAAATGCGTAAATACTATTCACCTAATTTTAAAAGTAGTCTTAAGACATCTAATTTTGAAGTTTGATTGGTAACATGAGTCTAATACGATGACATAACACATAAGGATTAATGAAAATTAGGAATGAAAATCGATCGTGTTGGGGGCAGATAGTGCATATCAATTATCCTACCTAGAATAGTTTGGTTTACTCATACTCACAGAAGAATCGAGGAGAAAATTAAAATCAAGCCAATTCTCGATGATTCGGGTTTTCACGTGTTATCCATGGGTAATAATTTATATATAAATCTAACCAACATGTTAACATTCACTCGTATAATGACATTGCGTACGACAATAAAAATCACTAAAATGAAGAAAATTAGTTAAAACAAAACAACTGCACGAAAATATTATATATGTATAATAAATATCAAGGTTATAGAGAAAAATAATGAGCTTTCTAGAAAAAATACATATGCATGTGTATAATCAAGCATATTTGGGTTGCATAGTGAGAAAATCATGCCCATCCATTGATGTAATATTCGGATTCAAATTTTTTCACACCCACTAAAAATCACTCGAGTTCGAATTTTACCCTATCTGATTAAGTCATATTCGGGTGGATGCCACCGTTGCAAATTTATTTCCACAGTTACAACATTATCAGAAGTTCACAACTCTCAAATTGAGAAATATTTTTTAGAACAGGTGTGAATCCAAATATCTCATGAAAAAAGTACAACTATGAATTACGTGGAAGTTGCAAAATCTTAAAATGGGAAAACATATGCATAAAAAAAAAGAACCAATGAGAGCAAAAGTATAGGCAACAGTAACATGAATTGAGCTTTATATAATATAATTATTGGTTTTGTTTAGAGAAGTGGAGCTGTGGCAGACAGAGTGGGACAAGGGTATTGCTTTCACTGATTAGTTTTTTGCTATTTTCACACACTAAACATTCAGATTACACCATGCCTTTTATAGGCATATTGAATTAAAAAAAATCTTCCCTAATCTAGTTGTTCTCTGCCTCGATTTTTTGGTGGATAGAATATTTCTCTCCCTTTTTTTAATTACAAGTTGACAACTTTTTTTTTATAATTATATTATTGGTTTTGTTTAGAGAAGTGGAGTTGTGGCAGACAGAGTGGGACAAGGGTATTGCTTTCACTGATTAGTTTTTGCTATTTTCACACACTAAACATTCAGATTACACCTTGCCTTTTATAAGCATATATTGAATTAAAAAAAAAAATCCCTAATCTAGTTGTTCTCTGCCTCGATTTTTTGGTGTGATAGAATTTCTATTTCTATTTTATATTATAAGTCTTTTATAGTCATTTTACACAACCGCTCATATTAAAAGTTTTACAGCCAATCACTAAACAGCTTGACTTGCTTGGCTTCGACTAAAGAGTTAATATATTTTATATTATAAGTCCTTTATACCAGTTCGATTCTTCGACTACAGCCAAAGGCTAGTGCTTGGCTTGACTTTTGTCAAACTCCAAAGATCAGCGTGGGAGCGTGGAGTTGATGTGGATAGTGATGATAATAGGTACAAATACAAGTTCTACTCGTTCTACTCTAAGATGTATTTCTTACTTGACCTAACTATACTAAGTGATTTTCATGAGATATCAGGTTTCTTTTTATATGTTTATGTTATGCACAATTATAACTCGATGTATTTATTATTTTCTTTTTTTATTGGGAGCTCGATGGATATCTATGTATTTATTTAGTAGGCAAACTTACCTTGAAGTAATTAAGTGCTATTTATTTGAGCATTAGTCAGGATATGCATTGAATGTTCATAAGTGATATATTATACATAATTGAACATTTTCCAACAACTCGAGTTATTTGCACTAACTGATTTTTGACATGATATCATAGCTTTGTGTGATCGAGAGGTCTTCTATTTGAACCTCGATGACCCCCAATTGGTGAGCACGTGGTATATATTCTGACATGTGCAAACTTTAATCCCTACTGATCGAGTTTCCTTTCGTTTGAGAGTGAGTGTTAATAAGTGGTATATGATTTATAATTGAACTTCTTTAACAACTCGAGTAATTTAGAAGAATTGGTTCTTGGCAATTAATACTATTCGGTGTTTTAAGTGTTAATTTCAATATGGACTACAAAATTTTGGGTAAATTGCAAGTTTGGTCACCGAGTTTACTAAAAACATTCACGTTTGGTCACTATAAATATTTAATTCCATTCGTGGTCACTGAGATTAGTTGAATAGTTCAAGTTTGGTCACTCTCCGTTAGTCTCAGTTAACTTTTGATGATGTGGCAGTCAACTTTTATAATTGACCGTTAAATAAATGACATGACAATTATAAATTAATAAAAAAAATTAAATTTAATAATTTAAATTTTCCACCTCATTTTCGCAACTAAAAAATAAAACTTAATCTATAATTCCCTACACCAAATCGAGGATGGAGACTGGAAAGGGACAACAACCCTTCGTCCCTTCCCCAGTAAGCTGGATTTCCTTGGCTGGAATATGGTTAAACCCCCCTTCAACCTTCACGGCGTCTTCTCCGAGCGTTGCACCTCTCCCGCCGATGAACCTATGAGCTCAGGATCACCACTCACCAGGCTGGTTTCGGCACCCTCGCGTCAGCAATCAGCCGGCTCACTGGAGCTCAAAGTGCTCTCCCATCTCAACAACCGTCTCACCGATTTGTGGCTCTGCCGGTAATGTACGCCTCTGTCAATTGCGACTGTCGGTTTCTCTTTTTGCTCTCTGCCTTTTGTAACTCTTGAGATGCTTTTCTGGTCCTTTCAGATCTGTTCTCCTTGCTCGATCTCCACAGATCTTCCCAATTGATTCCCTCTTACTATCCCTGACTTTAGCTTGCCTTTGTTGTTGTATGGTTTAGACTCTAGCTTTGTATATGCTTCAATTAAGAAATTTTGGGGTGTTATTATTGTCTGTTTGCTTCAATTCTGCTGTGAAATGAGTTCATCGCTGCATGCTTGGTCTTTGCATCAATTTCGTAACTTTAGAATTTATTAGCTTTTTCCTTTGCTTTTAAGCTTTCTTGTTTGCTTTTCGTTTTGCTTCCATCTTCTAAGTGTTGTTTGTACATAGTGTATTAGTGTTAGGTTTCTTATATGGACTGCATTGATTGGAACCTTGATCAACATACCTTCATTTTTTCAAGTAATTATGAAACACAATATTACTTATAAATATTTAATAATCCACAAGCTCTAATGAGAGCGTTGATGTCTTCAAAAAACTGCCACGACGGTGGTGGAAATCTTCATGTTTAGGGAATTGCTTTCACTGATTAGTTTTTGCTATTTTCACACACTGAACATTCAGATCACACCATGCCTTTTATAGGCATATTGAATTAATAAAAAAATCTTCTCTAATCTAGTTGTTCTCTGCCACGATTTTTTGGTGGATAGAATATTTCTCTCCCTTTTTTTAATTACAAGTTGACAACTTTTTTTTTACTATACAAGTTGACAACTTTTTATTTGACATAACCATATATGTATATTACGGGGTTTCCTCGCTACAAAAAGACATACAGTTGTGACGAAAATTTACTGACGACTTAGAAATTGTGTCAAAAAATATGCATAATTCCGACGAACAACAGTTTCCGTCAGTAATATTTGCATCACTACCGACAGAGGTGAATTTTCGTCAAGAATTGTTTTTTTCTTTTGTCAGTAACTTGTATTTTGGACCGGTTTGAATTTCCTACACTGATTATGTTTGACGATTTCATTTTCCGCGTTAGAAATAATCAATATTACTGACCAATACTAAATTGCCGTCATAAAATATTATTATTATTGACGAAAAAGACACGATTGTCAGAAAAAATTATTACTTTTGACGCCATAAACAGTTCGTCAGCACTAAATGGTGAGAGAGAAAATTTGACGCCATTAAAAGTTCATAAATAGTATATGGTCAGAATATAAAACATTTTTATGCCAAAAAAGGTTCGTCAATACTAATTGTTTAGGAAAAACTATTTTTGACACCATTAAAAGTTCGTAAGTACTTTTACAGGTGTTTGGCCCTGCTTTACCTTTTGAAGTCTAAAAGCACTTCTAAATACCGGCCAAACATAGAGAATATATGCCTACATTTCATGAATATCTATAAATTTAATAAAATTATACCATTATACAAAATATTAATAAAATTATGAAAGCAGTTATCAATATATGCTCACAATCACTTCCATATCTATACATTTAATAAAATTATGAAAGGAGGTATCAGTATATATGCTTACCATTTATGTCCGTTGGTTGAGATGCTTATACAATAAATGAACTCTCTTTGTATATATGCCTTCGTTTTGGTGCTTAATTATTAATACAAACCATTGCAATTCACTACAAAATAAAGAAGATTTGGGGACCAATTTAAGGGACGGTTCTTTTATCTTGTCTTAGAAAATAGATTTTTAAGTGTTATTAGGGACAAGCATATTAAATTGTCTTCATAGAATAAATAATGTAGTTTTATTAATTTCTAATTTAATTTAGTTGTCCCCAGAAAAAAAAGTACCACGGAAATATTAAATTTAGGTGGTGGGTTTTGAAGCCGCTGATTAATAGGGATTGTTTTTGTCCCCAAAAGTAGGAAAGGCGTGCGTATAGGAGTTCAAGTGATTATTTGGATTTTTTTTCTTTTAAAATCTTGGAGTTAATTTCTTTTGATTTTCAATTTTCTCATCAAAATTATGCGGAAGACTTAGTTAACCCTAATATATTTATATTTTTGTTTAACCGATATTACGCTCTCTATATATTAAATTCCTTAATTAATAGTTATCATCTCAATCCTAGACCCAGCAGGTTTCCATAAAAAAAAACATCCTAGACCCTTATTTCATTCCCCTCCTTTCCCTTAGAGTTTCCGTCGCCGCTGCAAAATAGTATTCAATTTCACGCCGTCTCAATTCAGAATTCCACAGAGATGAGTTGCGGCAATGGTGGTCACCCAACCCGCTTCTTTCCCTTAGGCGTACAACCAACTTCTGGCGAAGAGGATGCGGCGGGGTCATTGTACAAACCCAAGGGATCTCTTCTATGATCTAAAATCGCGATCAATCATTGCAGGGGTAGCTGCGTTTTTCCATTCTTGTTTATCGGGTAGATTTCTTCCACCGGATCTATCAATTGCACTCTGCACCAACCGCTAATCTTTCAACATGTAAGTCACCGGTCCCTAGATCATCACCCTTCATAATTAGTTTAAACATTTATTTACTTGATTATTTAGGTGACGATTCCTTTTCTTTTTGTTTTTTATGGGCTAATTATTACCTGATTAAGATGAATGGTTTTCTCTGTTTTGCAGGCGCGATCAAGTGCAAAGCTAGGTGCTTAAGAATTCTCGAAGGCATTTTATGATTGATGGAACTCTTATTTATTTTATGTTTCAATTGGTACGATAGTAGTTTTTATGTATTTAATAGTTAACATTTACTTATTTGTATTATTGATATTTACTCTATATTTTTATTTCACATGAATTTTTGCTTATTGTTGATGTACTTTGAATAATCAATTGCATTTTTTATATAGATATTTACGTTCTTTACTCTATAAAGGTGTTTAAATAAAATATATTATTAGGTGATTAATGCGTTGTCACAAAATAATTCAATAGTGACAATCAAATAGTCACATAAGATCTATACAATTTATACAGAGGACAATTCTTCGTCTTCAAAGATATAAGTTAGATGACAACTCGTCGTCCTCATATGAAGTATAAGTGACAATTGTTGTCGCCAAAGATGAAGTATAAGAGACTATTTGTTGTCCTTAAATAGAACTTTTGGAGACGATCTATTGACTCTAATTTAACACCTATGGGAATGACATATCGAGCCTATATGCATAAAACGGGACATCAAACTATCCCCAGAAGGCCACATCACTTTCATGAAATTGATTACTGGGGACAACATTTGGTGCCTACAAATAATGTTTAGGGGACGAATTATTGTCACCAAAGTCATGGCTATGGGGACGACATGTTGTCTTTCATAGAAAGACACGAGACAACAACTCGTGAGTATCGGGGACGAATGTCGTCCCCAGTATTAGGGACGACCTAGATTTTTGTCGTCCCCAAAAGAATAGAGGACAAGCGTATAAGGGACGAAAAATTGGGGACGACTTAGTCATCCCCAACATTTATAGGCACGATTTTCCCTATTTCCGGGGACGACTTTTCTCGTCCCCAAATCTCCATTTTTTTGTAGTGCAAGTTGTAACCCTTTCTCTCTCTCTCTCTCTCTTTTTTTAACGGGCAAGTTGTAACCCATTAATTCACAGCTTAACACTTGTAGTTGTAGGATATCTATATTGACGGGCAAAATTGGCACATCGTTGAAGAAAAGACTCGACCTCAAGCAAAGTTGGCACATCGTTGAACAAGAGAACAAAGAAAGCTAGCATCGCGTTTGACCAAAGTGAAGAGAAGCTTGGAATCCAGTTGAACAGAAACAAGAAACCCCTTCATAACCCAGTGGCGACTATCAAGAAGCGTCGCAAAGGCAAAGAGCAATCAGTTTCGATAACCCTACATGATTTATAATTTCTTAACAACCAATATACTACCAGGTCTTCGAGAATCCTCTTGGATGCTGAGGAAGAATTAGAAACAAATAGTTAGTTGTTTTCTTATAAGGTTAGGCATGTAGCTGGTTTGTTAATGTTTTTAGCCTTGTCACCCTTTGTATTTACAAATACTGCTCCAAAATCCTCCTAAGTCATACACACTGTGCCGCACAGTAGTATGCAACCAAAAATTCGCCTTCAGTAATTGACAATGGAACTACTCATTGTTTCTTTTAAGGGTGGGCGATGGGCAGGTTAGGTGGGTTTTGATTTCAAATTGACCCACCTACTTATTTGCGAGTTTGTATAATTGTGACCCGCTATCCACCCATATTTTTCTGCGGATGCGGTTGGGTGGGTGGCGGATGGATGCGGTTGGGTCGTGGGTTAACCAGCAAAAGTAATTCTCCAACTAGCATTAAGAAAGTTTACTAACATTTATAATAAGTTCCTAGCAAACTTGCAAGTTTGTATCAATTTATACACTTCCCACTTTGTTTTATGTGAATCCATGTAGTATTTGCATTAAAATTTTGATACTATGTCAACCTATTGTGTAGAGAAAACTTACGCATTTTGCGACTTTGATACAATTAATAGTTTATAATTTGTATCCCAATATGTAATGGATATGACATAACACAATAACCAATCGAAGTTGTCAAAAACTATTATTTACTCTCTATTTTTACAAGTAGATGGTGAGTATGTAATGCGGTTAGAAAATATGGTGAATATTCTATTGTATAAGAAACAACATATTTCATGTGAAAATACGGCGCAGGTCATTAGGGTGACCCGCAAGCTACCCACCACCCACCCACATAAGTGCGGGTAGGAGATTTATCAATCCGCAATACACACACATCAATAACCCACTACTTACTGGTCGAATTATTTACGGTTGGATCGGTATCAACCCACGGATTAACCACCCACACGTGCCCACCCCTAATTTCTTCTATGCCCAAAATACAACCCCTTCCACAAAAAAGAAATCATATATCAACTTGTATTTTTCCTATCATCCATATCACCTGCATAATCACTATCAGCATCAGTGTATCCCATTAAGAAAACGTTTCACTTTATTTATATAGAAATACTTCTTGGGGTCGTTTGGATTAGCAATTTTAATAGGAGTGATTTCAGATCAAATTCCTCATTTAAAAAACCAGATAATTTAAATCAGTTATTTTACCCAAATTACTTGTTTGTTTGAGGATTAGAGATTTTGATCCAAAATGTTTAAAGACTACCTTACCCTCGTCTTCTCCCTCCTGCCTCCTTCGGATCCAAAGAAACCCAGAAATCGCCATCATAGCCACCAATGACCAAACCATCATGGCCACCAGTAACCCATAATCACCCCCTTTATCCAATTGAAGAAACCATTATTCATTTATTCATCATCTTTATCAGTAGACAAACTAATCCCACCTTGCAATCAATCTACTCTCCGAAACCCAAAATCCCTAATTTGGGGATTAGGGTTCCCTCGAATCACCAACAACCATCGCACCATCCTCGACCAAGTCGTCGCCGGTGGTGGCACTCAGAAGGGGATTGTATTTGTCAACGGAGCTGTTGTGACTTCGTTCGGAAACGTTCGGCGGAGTTGGAGGAAGAAGAACAAGACGTCGACGTCGTTGTGGCTCTGTTCGCAAGACGACCGACGGATCTGAGGGAGAGAGAAGAAGATGTCGTCGATGGCTGCGGCATTCTCCGTGAGACGGCTGGCGGATCTGGGAGGGAAAAGAAGCCGACGAGTTGTGACGGAGGGAGAGAGAAGAAGATGTCGTCGATGGGAAGAATGAGAGTTAGGTCCGTAAAAATTGTGGTTAAGGGTACAATTGGATTAACAAAAAATGAGTAGGGACACAGTTGGCAGAAATTGAAAAATTGGGGCCGGATTTTAAAATACTTGAGGGGTGGCAGCTATTTCCAATTCCGGACTGGGCCGGATTTTAAAATTCCGAGTGGCCCAAATCCCGCATTATTTAAGAGCTACCCAAACGCGGAAATGGATTAAAATACTTGATGGGCCGGAAATCTGGCTGAATCCCTCATCAGTTTCCCGGATCCAAACGGGCCCCTTCACTTTTCTTCTTGCACCATACTTCGAAATTCATTGTTTCCTTTAGATAACTAAGAACGCTTTTAGTAGCAAGCATATGTTGCCTTGTAGCCGGCCTGTAGGTACATCCCAAGATTTGACAATTTTGCGTTTAATTTTTTTTTTTTTTTTTTTTGTGTACGAATATGCTTTAACAAACTGTCCTCATACATTAGCAAACAACCGATAAGTCTTGGCATCGAGGCTCATCTGCCTGACGGCGGCAACAGCGGCAATCGCTCCAACCGCCGAGAAAACGACAGCAATGGTAGAGTTGAGCCAGAAAACAATGCTCCTTTTGGAAGGCTTAAACGTCAGGTTATAGAAAACAACGGGCAGGATGAAGTCCAGAGGTATGAAACCGAAAGCTCCAATCAGCGCGTTAATGTCTCCGAAGAATGGCAGCATTGCAGCTACGACAGTTGCAACGACGACCGATAGAGACCTCGACACCACCCTCGGGACTACGTTTCGCACCGAGAACTGCTTGCTCGTCGGGTCGCCGAAGGTTCCTTCCAACACCTCATTTGTTGGCTGCAAATATACCTGCACGTTCAAACCCGAGTGATCCGAGATTAGTTGTAGGTAAGGTAGTCAAATTTGCGCTTTAAACTTAAAAGTTGACGCTTTTATATTTCCAGTTCACCACAATATTTATGCTTATCGCGCTTTTCACATACAAGTGTAGTCAAAATCTACACTTTAAGGTTTAAAAATTTACGTTTTAACATTTCTAAATCACCAAAACGCTTCTACATAGAATTGCGATGTTGAGTTGTAGCCATACGAGCCAGAAAGTAAATTGATTAATAACAACACTTAATTACCACGGCCACGGCGGAGAGCTGAAGAATGGTGAAGACGTTGGTCATCAGGACAAACCATTTGGGGACAAGAGGCCTGCCATTGTCCACGAAGTTGCTGAGCACGAGCCCATCGGCCCGGTTACCGAAAGCCCAATAGCCCGAAACACCGACGCTGAAGAACGTCGCCAAGATGACTGCGTAGCATATGCATAGCCCTTTGAACATCTTCCCCTTAACGGGCGCCGCGACGGTGGCCTGAATCTCGGGGATGATGCCGTTGCCGTAGGTAGTGCCGATGATGGCGATGGCGTTGAAGATTCCGAAGAGCCTGTCTTGCGTGCTGTCTCCCGGGAGGGAATATTCCTTCGGCTGCGAGGAGGAAGAGGAGGAGCTGCCGATGTGGATGGAAGCGGCGGTGGCGCAGGCGCTGTAGGCGAGGCAGAGAAGCAAGGAGACCAAGTTGATATGGCGGAGGGAGTGGAACGACGGGATTTGTGCCAGTATCAGCATGAAGCAGCCGAAGATCGTTACGAATACGTAGAGCTTTAGCGTGCCGTCCGGCTTCGACAACACGTAAATTGCCTGCAAGAGAAGATAAGAAATGAGTAAACTAAAAGTGTGTTGGTCTGATTACAAAGAATCAAATTACGGATTAATTACCATATTTGACTCAACTCGATCGATCAGACGAAACTAACGATTCATGATATAATAATCAAGGTGGTCAACATTTGGTTTAACTCGATCAAAATTGTAATTTTGGTCCACACGTTCTTAAAAGATAATTTATAGGATCGAAAACAAATCAAAATATATTCAATCCAAATATCGAATCTTTACAAAATTCGTTTCCTAATACTAATGGTATAATAATAAGTTTTGTCCACCTCTAATAATAACGGTATGATAATAAATTCCACTAATTGGAGGACTGACCTTCATGCATTGACCTCCAAGAAGAGTACAGGCAACAACAGCGCCATAACAGACCATGAACTGAATTGGGCCGACATAGTAACGGCCCCATCTAGGACCTGCAAGGATAAAGAGAACAGAAACGTTGTAGACCCAGTGTCCATGCGCAATTCAACACCGAAAACATTAGCCCAATTGAGAATTGGGGAAATTATTTTATAGTTTACAATCAATTTTGAATTCATCACAAAGAAATTCTGTTCTGAATGTGCGGTATGGGTCCTTCTCCAATCCAGCTATGGTCCATGAAAACGTGTTTCCACGAATTGTTGAATGAGCACAGTGACAACTGCGCAAATAAAATGTTACGACGTTCATTCAACGATTGAATGAGCCTCTATACAGAATGCAACGTCTTCATACGTCTCTAGGCAGTTCTACAAATGGGTTGTCAACATTTGAACAAGTACTAATCAATTATCAATTAATTGCTAGACGATTGGATGGCGGACGGCACTATAACGTGCAATGAAATGCATGGACGAGATATACATATGGTGGAAGTCCAAAGGGGATGATGACTCATTAACTGTGTTTTAATAGAGTCCAGAGATTGCCAACAATCAACCAACCACAAACATATATTTTAATGAGAAAAAGACCGATCCATCAGTGGTAAAGTCAGAAATTTAAAAGAGGGACTAAAAATATGACATCGAAGAAGTTGAACTTCTTTTTTATAAGCATTCAAAGGATTTAAGCTATTATAATAGGGAAGGAGGCTAAACTCTTACAACTACTCTACTTTCCAAATTTGTTACGAAATTTACATTTAATTTGCCTACTTTCGAGAGTTGAAGAGAGCAATAATAGTCTCGTCTATAACAAACCCAAACTATGATGCGCTCATTACCCATATGTGAAAACCATTTTATAAACTCTAGGGATCATTGGATCGGACGGTAGAAAATGTCATCGCATCGATTCAATGACAGCAAAGAACCCGTGTTTATGGACCCTCCACTATTATGGTGAATAAAATTGAGCACACATTCATATAAAAATAAAAACAAAAGCAAAGCACCAACGCTCAATCCAACGGTCTCTAAGGTTCCTGAGATGGTTCTCACGCAGATGGTTATTATGAGCGCTATAGCAAAATCGGAAGAAGACCAGAAGAAAAAAGAAATTTTCTTAAATTGATTGGTTTGGATTGTATCAGCGGGTCAAAATCTGTACACTGATGGCAAAAAACGACAGCTATTGGTGGTGGAAAACGACACAACCGTAAGCAAAGCAACTTCGTCGTCACACGTGTTCAACACCTGTATATGGGCCAAGTTGACTCAACGAACGTGGAAATGGATAGTCAAAGTAAAATAAACGGGTACCGAAAAGACTAAAATAGCCTCGGCTGGCACTAGTTAGAATTACTGACCGAGGATTTGGTTGGCCATGTCTCTGAAGCGGAGCTGGCGGCGGCCCATTGCGGCGTGGTGCTCGAGGACCAAGGACAGCAAGTTGTAGGAGTAGAAAGTGACCAGCGCTGCCACCACCAGGCTCACGATCCCGCCGGCCCAGCCCAGCAGTGTGAGCGCGAACGGCAGGCTGAGCAGCGGCGGCGCCACGATGGAAGTCGTCAAGTGATACCCGCAATGCACCCACGACCCTACAATACAGTTCGCATAAGTGTAAATATCCACTGGTCAACTACCCTTTTCGGTCTTTTCGCAAAAGTAAGCTTGGATTGGAAGCTTGATCGACTGACTACAGATCGAGAAAGAGTGTTCATTTTGGATTTTGTTACCATGAAAACAGCTTCCTCAGCTCTCACAGCCGTTGGATCGATAGGGAAGAAAATTATGTCAACAATTAATGTCACCAACATTGATTCAACGGCTGAGATCGATCGTGAAGGGGGCTGATCGGACTATGATGTCACCCCGTACATGCATTACATACAGCCGTTTATTTTGTGTTCGATCGATCGGCAAAAAGTCCTCTAGCTAGTTAAGCTCCAAATTAAGCTAAAGTAAGTTTTGATTTCATTTCATGCATGGTTGGTTGACTACTTGACTAGTGTTTGTGGCGGCATGGAATACCTTTGGATTCGAGAACGAAAAGCGCTCCGGCGTCAAGCTCTGCCTTCTGCGGAGGATCTGGTGAGGCGGCGGCGGCTGCTCCGCCGTCTTGTTGAAGCTTTGGGTCGGTTTCCACCGTCACGGCCATCTCTCTCTCTCTCTCTTCACACTTCTTCTGCCTTCTGGTTTGGTGGAGATGCTTTACTGAATAAATGGACTCTCTCTATATATAGGCTTGATTTGCTGGTTTCTTTTCCACACGAATTGAAGACATGCAAAGGCTTTATATAAAAAGCCTTGAATACTAATATCAAATATCTAGGGCAGTAGTTGCACCTGCTTATGATTTGTGGTTCTTTTATTATTATTATTTAATGCACGCCATTAAAAACCAATTAATTCACAGCTCGATTATATGAGTTTTCTGATTTATATCTCTTGTTGCATATCGATTGATACTGACTACTGAGGGGTTCTCTTCCATTTGTTTTTATTTTGATTTAGTTTATTTGTGTAATAAATTCTAGAATATAATTTGATAATTTAACAATACGGAATATGGTAAAGAGTGGAAAGATTTAGGAATGGCAAAGCGTTAGATTGGAAGCGGATTGTGACTATCTATAATCATATTCTAAATAGTTTGAGTTTTATCCATACCTGTACTCTATGCAAGATTCTGACCTGATAGTAAATTAAAATCATACTCATGCATGATTGAGTTTCCAGTTTTCATGAATATTAATGGATAATCATTTGCATTTATCTTCTCAACTATTGTGTTAGTAATCACAAGTATATCAACATTACAGGCAGTGGCGGATACATGCATGGTTAGGGGTGTCCCCGGATATCCCTAAAATTTGGAAACACGATTATTCAATCTATGATAGTAATTTGTATATGAGAAAAAAAATGTTTAAGTGGTGGTAGGACACCTTTAAATTTTGGGAAAATGATTATACAATCTCCCGTAGTAGTTTGCGTATTGGTATAAATAATATTTAAGTAGTAGTTTATGTGATTTAAAATTGGGACACTGCCACTATTAGTTAATATATTTTCAATTACGCTACAACTCATTTGTTATTGTGTTTTAGATCCAAATATAATAGTAAGATGTTATTCTTATCTCAAATTATTTTCAAAACCTAACGATTAAACTCAATTACGGGATATCCTTGTCTAGTAAGATATGTCGAGAGATATTTGTTGAGCAGTATAAACACCGAATGCATTTTATCATTTGATGAAACACGTCTGAACTTTTAATGAAACTTATATTAGTTAGATATTTTTATAATTAATAATTATTTAATTTAATTCTAATATTTAATTTAATTTTTTATAGAGGACACCCCTACGTAGAATTTCTGGATCCGCCACTGGTTACAGGAACGAAAAATTACAAATACAAACTACCAATACAAAGCGAAATATATAAAAAAAAATAACTCTAATTCATTATATATTAAAACAAATATTTTATATGCGTGTACCATCGGACATATTGTAGTCAAATAGTGAGAAAATCATACCAACTCGGTCACTCTATCAATTGAATAAAAATGGGGTGAATATCCATAATTATATGAATATTTTTGACATAACGACTAAGGTGAACTTGTGACTTGTGAGGTCAGTAACGAATGTTGGCAGTGGAATTTAGGCAGACAAAATGAGCGGGGCGAATAAGATCTAAATGTACTCCCACCTTTGGATTAGCAAGAATTATGGGTTGGCCCTGTTCATTAGACCTTAATTGGTCATTAGACTTCTGTTCATATAAAATATGCGTGTTACCCGCTGTAATTTGGGTTAATATCCTAACATAGCATCAACATTATTCAAATAGACAAGTTTTGCCCCAAATTTTAATGTAGAGGAAGATTCCCTAATCTTTTAAAACAATGGACAAATTTGGTTTGATTTTTGAGTTCATCGTTAACACTAAATAGCAACTCATTCCTCCTTAGTGAAAGAAGGTATCGATATATGCTTACAATCACTTCCATAAATATTTATAAATTTAATTATTAGATCATGAAAGCAGGTATCAATATATGCTTACAATCAATGTGTATCTATAAAAATCAATAAAATTGTGAAAGCAGGTATCAATATATGCTTACAATCATGTACACCGGTAGTGATGGTAATGGCCGCGTATATTTTAATACCATATTCACTCTGCACTAAGCGCAGTTAAGATCAGGTAATACTCGTGCAGGTACAAGATTGAGCAGTCGATGCATTCTTATATGTGATTTGAGAAAAATAACGTCGATATTTAACTATTTTATGAGAAGTCAAATGAAAAACGTTTCATAAATGATTTAGAGATACAGTACGAGGAGTAACTAAGTCTAAATAGTTGAAAGATGAGTCTTTGGGCTTAGATTTGAGGTAAAAACCCGGATAAAGACCGGATAAGAGAGCTCAACACCCAAAACTTAAGTGTAATTTGCATAAACGGTCACAAACCTTTGCACTTAGTACAAAACTTAACCAACTCCTCGCCCTTTAAGGCCTTAGGCCACTCAAATCCCACAATCTCAATGTAAAATCAAGACCGAATTGGGACCGGACCGGATCAAAACCGGACCGGATCAAGACCGGACTGTATCCAATCCAATCTTCGGTCCTTATATTTTTCAAAAAGACCGGACTGGACCGGATCAATTTGGGCCAATTTAACCGGACCGGACAGTATAGCCACCCCTATCTATACCAACGGGCAACGGGTTCTCTTCCATTACTTTTGATTTTGTTTTAGTTTATTTGTAATATATATTCGAGAATTTAACATTTAACAATATGGACTATGGTACAGAGTGGTGTGACTATAGTGGACACATGGAAACAAATGAAAATGATGCTCCTCTTGGGGGATTGTGGAATCTACCCAATTTGGACTTTTTTCCCCATTAGATCTCTTGATTAGAGAGATAAAACACCTATCCAAAAGAGCATGAATACACCTAGCCTATTGGCTAGTATCCCAAAAAACATAGTCCAACCTCTCCAACAAATGAGGCGACAGAAACAGAGCCTTACCGAACCACTAAATGAGTCACCCTGTTACGAACGACCTATGAACAACAAACTTATCCCAAATGAGACCTTAATAACCCATCAATCTCTTGGGGGTCGTTTGGATCCAGAATTTTAAAACGAGAGATTTTATCTCAAATTCCTCAATTAAATTCTCGGGATTTTAATACAAGAGATTTGTGAGAAATTTAGCAAAATTACTTGTTTGTTTAAGGATCTGGGATTTTTTACCACAAAAAGTAAAAGTCAAATTTGTCCTTCCTCTAACCCCATTCGTCTACCTCATCTCCACAGAGCCACCCTTCCCCTTCTTCGTCTACCTCACCAGTCACCATCCCTCCAATTAAAGACCAACGCCGCCCTTCCCGTCGATTTGCCCTTCCCCCTGCCCTCTTCGTTTACCTGGCCTCCCTCCAAGCAAAGATCCGTCAATTTGTCCTTCCCAGAGCCTATCTCGTCTACCCAGAGCCGCCATTCCCCTCGATTTTCCCTTCTCCTTCTCCCTCTAACGGAGCTGCAACGCTGGAGCAAAGCACCACCGCCCCAGAATCGCAGTCTGCAATTGGAGGATTGGAGAAACAGATTTGCTCGTGGGAGAGGAGTCCGCCCCGTGGAAACGACTTCCGACACAACAATGGTGGTGAAGCCGGCGCAAGATCTGTTGGTCGATGTCGGCGCAAGAATCAGACGATGGAGAAGGAGCAGAGGTTGCAGAACTCAGATTTGATGGTGAAGCCGGATCCTAGAAACGGCTGTTGGATGGACGGACGGCTTCTTGAAGATGAGCGACTGTTGAATGAGTGTTGAAATAATAATGACAGATCGCCGGCGGGAGAGGAAGGGCAGCGGAAAACATGTGGATGAAGGATGGAAGGGTAACATTTGGAAAACGAAAAAATAAAATGAGAGATTTCGAAATAGCTTATGCTCATCAATTAATTCGAAAACCCACGATTAAAGATTTTCAAAATCTCTAATATTTAAAATCTCTCATCATTTGAACCTCTCCCAAACAAGTGATTGTGTTAAAATCTCTCATCGTGAGAGATTGTATTAAAATCCCTCATAAAAAAACTCTCATCCAAACGGGGCCTTGGAGAATTTGGACTTTGGATTGATCAGGACTTTAGGTTGGGCCTGTGTTTTACAAAGCCCGATGTTCAAGAAATCCGGGCCTATACGGCTATACCCAGCCCAAGACAGTTTGTAAACATTTGACTGTATCAGACTTCTGTTTTTAATGCGTTTAACCAGTTGTAATTTTCATACATAATTGGCGAAAAGCCGATAGGTCCATTATTGTGCTACTCATTGGGCTTGTAAACTTGGGCCAATTATTGTGTATCAATAATAAGCCCGTTCTATTTAACACTCACCAGCCCAGCTGTGATTCAAACTTTCGACGGTTGCGATTCGGGAATAGAAAAGAAACCGGCGAGCATTGAATCAAAGGAGAAACGGAACTTCGGAAGCAACTCCAAGAAACGGCAACCCTATTAGATGATCTGATCCCCGGCCAAAAGTTTTTTTTCACTCTCTGGAAAGGAAGAAACGCGGATCCGCAACGGTTCGCCGCCGGAACCCCGGTGAAATTCATACCCCGCCAAAAAGATTCAACGGCCATTCGGTAAAAGGAACCCTAATCCCCCAATTCTCTTTACTTCCCTGCTGTCTGTGTTTACTTTTACTCGTGAAGATCCAAACTTTTTTAGGCACTGAGATCCGCTTGAATGTTCTTCATTCTATTAGTTTAGCCTTCATTAATCAGGGAGCTTTTGCTTCCGATTTGTTTAGTTCGGGATCGAAAGTTGAAAACTTTTGAGCACAGGAATGTTTCTGGACTGGTTATTGGTTCATCTAGTACAAGGAGATTAACCCATATGGATAATGCTCCTTTTTTTATGGTTCAAGCAATGTAGTGTGTTTATTAGCTGAGCTTCGAGCTCAGGATGTTATTGTGATAAATTCATTTACTGTGAGAACTGTTTCCGATGGAATTTGACTGTCAATTGTTTTCCTGGAGAATGTAGATAACGATCCTGATGGCAGTAACCTCTGCCGAGTGGTAGGAATTTGCCAATTTGATATTGTATTTCATGAAAATATCTTGCCCTTTATTAATATCTTTGGTGTTGATTTACAGCTGCAGCTACCTGGGTTTTGAGCAATGCCATCAGAATCTGATAAGTGGGGATGGGATCATGTTAGTGTCTTTGGTGGATTTGATAAGGGAAGTGGGACTAAAAGGTGGAAGTGTAACCACTGCAATCTGCGGTACAATGGTTCTTACTCTCGTGTGAGAGCCCACCTGCTTGGTTTCTCTGGAGTAGGAGTGAAAAGTTGTCCAGCCATAGACAGCTCTTTGAGAGAAGGATTCCAGATCTTAGAGGAAGAGCGGCTTGATCGAAAGAGGAAGAAGCATGCCACCAGTGGTGGGAAACCTGGAAAGCGTACCAAGACTGCTCAGTTAGCTATCGCCTGGAAGAACGTCTCCAAGAAAGATGTGGACGACATGGTGACCAGATTCTTCTTTGCAGATGGTGTGAATGTGGATCTTATCGAGTCCCCTTACTTTCTAGATATGGTCAAAGCGATTGGTGCATTTGGGTTTGAGTACGAGGCGCCCTCTGTGGATGAGTTGACTGACTCCTTAAGTAGAGAGAAATGCAGGATCGAAAAGGCAGTATCTCTACTTAGGGATTCCTGGCCACATACTGGGTGTTCGGTAGTATGTGTAGCTGCTCCTTCAGATGGTGGGTCAGGTAGCTCTCGTGCAAGCTTGTTTGTCTCAAGTCCAAGGGGGATTTTGTTCTTGAAGGCAGCTGATGTGGATGGTAGTAGTGACGGGAACAGTCCGTTAGTTGATGCACTTACCGATGTGATTGAGGAAGTCGGTCCTGCAAACATTGTACAGGTAATCTCACACCTCGATGGGGTCAGTAAATCATATGAATCATCCATCTCTTCCAAGTTTCCAAGTATTATTTGGTCTCCCTGCACTAGACAGTCCATGAAAACGTTCATGGATGAAATATCTGAACTGGAATGGGTTAAACCGATCATTTCACATGGCAAGGCTATTGAGGAATGCATGGCTGTTTATCATGGAAATTCCCAACCTCTTTCTCTTTTGAATCTCAAATATGATTCTGATCCTATCTCCACTAAGCTTGCACCTTCATACTGCTTTCTCAAGAAGATTTCTGAGCTTAGAGAACCATCACAAGAGGTTATTGCCTGTGAGGAATGGAAGCAATGGAAACTTAGTTTCGGGAAAGATGTTTCTACTATTGAGTGTTCCATATCAGGGCACAGTTTCTGGAACAAAGTTCATCTGCTGCTACAGCTATACGAGCCGTTTGTGAGAGGAATCACTTCAATCGATATGGACAAATCCCCTCCTGGTGCTGTTTGTGATTGGAGAATTCAAGCAGTGGAAGCACTGAGGAAGGACAATAAAGTTAGTGATCAGGGCTTACTGAATCAGCTAGAAGGGCTCATTGACACCAGATGGGATACACTATTCTCTCCTCTTCATGCTGCAGGTTACATACTCGATCCGAGATTTTTTGGTAAAGGTCAAGGTAAGGACAAACATGTTATGCGGGGATGGAAGACTGTTTTAGAAAAATACCAGACTGACAGCAATGGAAGACGGATCCTGAGGGAGCAGCTGAGCTCTTACTGGCGCCAAGAGGGGTCTCTAGGTGAGGAAGATGCTGTTGATTGCAGGGATAAGATGGACCCTGTTGCTTGGTGGGAGAACTTTGGTTCTGAGACACCTGACCTGCAAACCCTAGCCATAAGGGTTCTCAGCCAAGTCTCTAGTGTTGGAATGTGTGATGAGATCTGGCAGACTAATGGGTCTTCGTATCAAGACGTCGCCAACAGACTGGGAGTACAGAAGGCCGAGGATCTTTTCTTTGTTAGGAACAACCTCAGACTTCATAGCCAGAGAAATGGGAATTTAGGCGGCTGTGCTTCATCATCTGGCCCAAGAACTATGCTGGCTACCTTGCCTTCAGAAGTAGAAGATTCTATGCCTATTAATCATGAGCCAGCAGTAGAAGATGTTCATGATGAGACAGTGGCTGGATCTTCTTGATCATTTTGATGGTTCGTGTATGGAAAGTTGGAAACAGTGAACTTACTTTATGGAGTCGATGCCTATTAATATTTGCTGAAGACTTTGTGAATGTTCTGAACATTAGTGTATCCCGATTCCCAAGATTGTTAGTTTCAATAGATTACTTCTTGTGATAGATTACTTGTTCCTTCATGCATCACTTTTCCTCTATATCCTTTGTAGCCATAGTGAAAAGTTGCATGATACTTCTTTGTGAACTCTTGAGCAAAGTAGTGTAGAGTGAGTGGTAAAAAATGTGTTCCAAACAATGTTCTGCAGCAAATGTAACTATAAAAGCTGTTGCTTCAGTCGTTTCTCTCTTTTGAGCACAAATCATAATGGCAGAAAGATCATAAAAAATATATAGACATAGGCTTACATAGGCGAAACCTTGGTGTCCATATGTACATATTAAGCATTCATCGGTCTATTTCGTGATAATATACAAGTACAGAGGGACTCTGAAGCGTTAAGTTGACTACTAGACTTGGCATTCTAACGTAGCTAGAAGGTGGACGATTACTATTCATTCTGCCAGAGAGATTCACCGTCTTCTTTATGCACACTCAGTCTTCTCCTTCAGAGCAGTTAGGACAAGCATGAATTACTTCCATCAGTCAAAGATAATCTGAATTCTGATCCCTGGAAGAGACAAAGCAATAAATTTATGTAAGATCTCCTTTTTCACTGCACAGTTCTTCCTATCATGAAGGAGAAAAAGGAAGAGATCCATTGGCACACTATAACAAACAAAGGTTAACAAAGCAGAAGACTTGCTGACCGTGTTTTACCTTCTCCTAGTTTCAATGGTATTAGTATCAAGAAAGGCATATGTGCCCGACTTTTCATCAGTTCCTACAAATGGCAAGGAAGGATCAGGGACTATAAGAGTAGTAGCTTTGGGTATTTTTTCAGGACAAAGCCATCAACACTTCAAGGAATATAAACAACTTCAGCCAAATCGAGAATGCAATTAAATGAGCGAGCTACCATCTGCGAACCGAAAAACGACTTCCTTATGGTTGGCACAAGATCTGGCTGCAGGATGATTATAAACAACTTCTGCTCCTTGGGGGTAAATATGATCAGCGGGAGTTCACATCTTCACAGCTGTGCTGGCCCTGAGAGCATTTATTCAGTGGACAGAAGTTAGAAAAGTGAAAAGAAGGGAACAAGCACATCATTAAGACTACTAGTCCAATCTCCAGTAAACACCTGATAGAACCTGGGATTAGGGTTCTATCGGGAATTGGGGATTTAGGGATTAAGAACAGAAAATTGATAGAACCTGGGATTAGGGTTCTATCGGAAATTGGGGATTTAGGTATTAAAGAACAGAATTAGGGATTTGAGATTGAGATTTAGGAGAGAAAGATAGATAGAGAATCGGCCTAGGCCTTTAGAGGGATTGGGAACGAGAATTGAGAGGATTGGGAGAATAGGGTTTAGGAGAGGGTTTCTTAATATTCTTCTTCATTCATTCTGAATAAAACGCAAAGTACATATTTATAACGAAAGACTGGAAAAACCTAATAGACTATCCTAATATGGCTCAAAGACTAATAACCATATCTAGATAAATCCTAATTATATTAATAGTGATAATTATGGTTAACCTAAAAAGTAGGTTTCCATCAACACCATAGGATATCCCTATAAGCCAAAGACATCATATAGGACGCAATAGCAGAAATTTGGAAGAAGAAACATAAATGAACTCTTAAGTAACCACATCAAGCTTCTTACCCAGCAGTAGATGTTGAACGTTGTCCCTTCACTTTCCCGCTAACGAGCATATCATAAGTGGTATCATCTGGAACGAGACCTCTGTCAAGCATCTCATTATGCAGTCTAAATGCCTCCTGCAAGTTTCCCTCTCGAAAGTGCCCAGCAATTAGAGTGTTGTAAATGAGAACATTCGGGGTTATCCCCTTCCTATCCATTTCTTCCAGTTTCTTTTGTGCATTATCCATCTGTCCTTTGTTACAAAGCCCATTTATTAGGACACCATATGTTACTATGTCAGGAACAAAGCCTTTGGCAAGCATCTCAGTGTAAAGATCAGTAGCAGAGACTAGTTCTCCCGCCTTGAGGAAACCATCAACCAATGTCGTGTAAGTTTGTAGATCACAAGGAACTCCATCAGCCTGCATTCTCTTATACAACTTGAGTGCTGCCACCAGGTTATCAAGATTCCTGAAGCCACTTATCATGCTATTGTAGACAACAGTATTCGGAGATAGCCCAGCCTCAAGGAGTTCAGAGAAGAATTGCCATGCACTCTCCATGTCCCCTTTCTTGCAAAATCCATCTATCAGAGTGCTGTGCAAAGTAACATCTAAGTGAAATCCTTTGCTTTTAACATCATGCCACATCTTTAAAGCAAGATCGAAGTTATTGCTTTTGCATAATCCATTAATCAATGTAGAATAAGTCACGACGTTTGGATAAAGACCGCTTTCACGCATCTCTCTGTAAACTGCCAATGCAGAATTGACATCACCCTCCTTCACAAATCCATCCATAACGGTGTTATAAGTTAAAACTGAAGGAGCAAACCCTTTTTCTTCAGAAAACTTCCTCAGCCTCACTTGTGCTTCAGATGTTCTACTTGCTTTGCACATCCCAGTAATTAAACAATTGTATGTGTAATCTGAGGGGAGAATGTTCTCAATCAACATCTGGTCGAACATTTTGAAAGCACTTTCAGGGTCACCTTTTTTAAAATAGCCATCTATCAAAATTGTGTAAGTGATCACATTAGGTTTGAAACCCGAGTCCTGGAGTTGGGACAATGCACTACATGCATTATCCAAGTCACCTGCTCTACAGTAGCCAAGAATCACGTTGTTGTATGAAACAATTGTAGGTTTGACACCTTTGCTTAACATCTTTTCCCACAAATGTTGTGCTTCATCTACTTTGCCCTCACTGCAAAAGAATGACAGTAAGCAGTTATAGGTGCTGACATCAGCAATGCCATCTTCAATGGCCTCATCGAACAACTTGTTCGCCTCTTCGAGAGCACATTTCTTCAAGAGTCCTTGAAGCAAAGAGTTGAAAGTGAACACACTAGGTCGGATGCTTTTCTTCTTCATCTGTCCATAGAGCTCGCAAGCTTTACTCACATTCCCACACTTACAAGACCAATCAATCAATATTGAGTATGTCACCCTGTTAGGCGGAACCCCTGACTCGCCCATCCGATAAAAGAGATCCAAGGCACTATCATATTGGCCTAGCTTACAATAACCTTTAATCAAACTCGTAAACACCACCACATTCACCGACATCCCACAACTCACCATCTCGTCTTTAAGTCTCAAAGCTTCAGCCATATTCCCAAGCTTCATGCAAGCCGCAATGACTGTGGTAAAAGTACCCTCGGATGGAACCCATCCCTTGATTTTCATCTCACTCAACAACTCACACGCCAACTTTGCATCAGGCTTCCTGCAAACAGCCTGAATGCAAATGCTGTATGCCACAGCATCAAGCCCAATCCCCTTCTCTTTCGCCTTCACAAAAAACTCCATAGCTTCCACATCTCTACCTTCCTTCAAGCAGCCACGCATCATAACTTTAACCGTCACACCGTCCCCTTCCATGCCATTCGCAACCATTTTATAGTAGACATTGTCTGCCTCACGAATCATGCCACTTTTAACCAATTCACTCAAGACTATGTTCACAAACGGCACTGAGGGGAAAACACCATGACCCACCATTGAATTAAGACAATCTACGGCTCCATCCAGCCTTCCAGCTCTAACATAACTATTCAACAAGTAATCGAAAACCAGGGAATCTCGTTCAAGACTGAAACTTTCCGGACACTGCATCAAATGATCAACTACAGTACAGGGAGTCGGACCTGAATAATCACCAGAAGCGAACTGATTGAGCAGATACTGTGCCTGACGACGAGTCCTGGGCTCTTTCGTCAGAATGTGAAGCAGAATGCACATCGAATCGATGCTTCTTACAAGCCCGCGTCTCCTCTCCGCCCACTTGAAGTATTGCAGAGCTGAATCGGGGTCGTTTCTACGACTGAGAAGGCTGCTTATCACGTCAGCTTGCGTCAAGACACAATCTTTACATCCTGGAATTGCGATTTCGGGCAAATGGGGTTCTGGGGAAGTTTCATTGGACACATCTGAGCTTGAGTAGAGATTCTGTGGAGGAGAATCGGAGTCTAAGACGGGCTTGGTGGGGGGTTCAGCTTGGGAACAGAGTGATCTGGGGTTTCTTGAGATGGACCTTAAAATCAAGGGGGAGACACGTGAGGAAGCCGACCAAGTTCCCATTGCCATTGCTTCCACGGCTACACTAACACAGCTGATAAATTGGTCCGAACTTTTTGTGGATTTTGTTGTTGAATACTTAAACCCTAATACTGGAACAAAAACGGAGAAACAGGAAGTTTTGTTGTTCTTTTTGCCATACTCGTGAGTTCACTGTTCAGCATTGACTGCAAATTCCTGAAAGAAACGACTTCGTTTCATTTCGACGTTTTGTTAGATTTATACGAATTAATTACATATTGACAATAACATAGTTTTAATTTTTAGTGAATTTATCTGGGAATTTTTAATTGTCGCGCTAAATATTATAATCGGATCTATGGTTAGGCCATTTTAACCGTCAATTCAAGAATAATGGCGGTTTGAATGATTAGTTCGAACCACAGGTGATGGAGGAGGATGTAGATATGAACTTGTTTATCGTTAGTGACAAATGAAGTGCCGAAATTGGTGTATTATAGATATCTTTTATATTATGGGGATAGGATAGCGTGACAACCCATAAGGGTTGTCAATCTCACTTCCCACTTTATAGCCGTCCGTCCTCCTTCTTTATCCAACGTCCAGGAGCGCACGAAGGGTGTTTTTGTAAGTAACTAACTGAAATAATTTTGAATAAAACTTAAATGCATGGTGCAAATCTGGGAGCGTGATTGGTGGGAGCTGAACAACCGATTTTGGATGGGACTCTTTCCCTTCCATTTCTGACTCCTCCCTCATCAAACCATACCACAATACCTCCGGAAAATACAATCCACGCGGCCGCCGCCATACAATGGACGGCTACATCAGCAACGATGATGACAGGTGGGAGCTGAACCTACGTGTTTATTTGGGTTCGATCTGAATGTCCCATTAACAAGCAACGACAAGGATATATATGAGGCCGGAGCTGACCAGGCGGACCCGACGGACAAAGGCGATGATGTGTGCATGGTGGATGTTGACGACGTTTTGGAAGTGGAGGAGCTGGTGAACGAATATCATCCGGAACCTCGGACCACGTCCAATATGGCCTCGATGTGGAGAAGAACGACCATTTCATGTTGCACCCGATCGCGTTGATGCCGACGACGGTGAGGCGGAGAATAGCGTCGATGCCAACAATGGTGGTAGGGTTAACCCCTAAGCCGTTACGAATTCCTTTCCATTTTTAGTGTTTTACTATCGGTACAACTAATGTTTCAAACAAAAGTACCATTAGTTATGTTTCTAATTAGTGGTAGACACTTAGTCATCTAGTGGTAGTTATTTAGTCATAGTTAATTAGTGGTACTTCCTACTAGTAGTAGGATACGGGTAAGAGGGTAAATAATGCGACTTGCTAATATCACTAAAGGTATACCATCAATAGTCATTTACATTGGTACCAATACCTTTACAGTGGAGACATTACCATTAAAATTGTACCAGTAAAACTCAATTGGTACCAGTTTTCAGTAATTGTTACCAATACCATTAATTTGGTACCATTCGTAATAATGTAACTAGTACCACTGATTATGTACCAGTCTTAGTAATGGTTACACGTAGCATTAATTGGTACCAGTCTTATTAATGGTACGAGTACCACTGATTTGATACCAGTCTTATTAATGGTTATCAGTGGCATAAATTTGGCATCAATACTATTGATTTGTTAACAGTACCATTGATTTGGTACCAGTGAAGGGATATTTGTATAGCCAGTGGAGAAGGTACTGAATTTTCACAATCAAACACCAAACCAATTGTGCCAATGTAAGCAATAGTACTTTACCCAAGATCAAATTAAAGACAAGAAATACCCATAAACTTCTTCATACTTGGAAACGTACATGAAGCAATTATGCTACTCTTTAAATCCAACACACAACCTAGCCCAACCTAACCCAACCTTCTTCTCATCTGAAATACGCGGCCGCCGCCATACAATGGACGGCTACATCAGCAACGATGACGACAGGTGGGAGCTGAACCTACGTGTTTATTTGGGTTCGATCTGAATGTCCCATTAACAAGCAACGACAAGGATATATATGAGGCCGGAGCTTACCAGGCGGACCCGACGGACAAAGGCGATGATGTGTGCATGGTGGATGTTGACGACGTTTTGGAAGTGGAGGAGCTGGTGAATGAATATCATCCGGAACCTCGGACCACGTCCAATATGGCCTCGATGTGGAGAAGAACGACCATTTCATGTTGCACCCGATCGCGTTGATGCCGACGACGGCGAGGCGGAGAATAGCGTCGATGCCAACAATGGTGGTAGGGTTAACCCCTAAGCCGTTACGAATTCCTTTCCATTTTTAGTGTTTTACTATCGGTACAACTAATGTTTCAAAAAAAAGTACCATTAGTTATGTTTCTAATTAGTGGTAGACACGTAGTCATCTAGTGGTAGTTATTTAGTCGTAGTTAATTAGTGGTACTTCCTAGTAGTAGTAGGATACGGATAAGAGGGTAAATAATGCGACTTGCTAATATCACTAAAGGTATACCATCAATAGTCATTTACATTGGTACCAATACCTTTACAGTGGAGACATTACCATTAAAATTGTACCAGTAAAACTCAATTGGTACCAGTCTTCAGTAATTGTTACCAATACCATTAATTTGGTACCATTCGTATTAATGTAACTAGTACCACTGATTATGTACCAGTCTTAGTAATGGTTACACGTAGCATTAATTGGTACCAGTCTTATTAATGGTACGAGTACCACTAATTTGATACCAGTCTTATTAATGGTTATCAGTGGCATAAATTTGGCATCAGTACTATTGATTTGTTAACAGTACCATTGATTTGGTACCAGTGAAGGGATATTTCTATAGCCAGTGGAGAAGGTACTGAATTTTCACAATCAAACACCAAACCAATTGTGTCAATGTAAGCAATAGTACTTTACCCAAGATCAAATTAAAGACAAGAAATACCCATAAACTTCTTCATACTTGGACATGTACATGAAGCAATTATGTTACTCTTTAAATCCAACACACAACCTAGCCCAACCTAGCCCAACCTTCTTCTCATCCGAAATACCGGCCTCCATAATCTCGATGATTGAAGTTGGACTACAGTCCATTGCTTCTTCTTCTTGTTGCGACTCTTTGTATCCTCATCACGTGGTCGTTTTTTACTAGGCCCAGCACTCGAATCACTTGAGTCCCCCAAGCGTATTGCTACCTGTTGAGATGCACAACCATCAGGTTGTGTGTATTCCCGGATGATATAACTGATATCTTTGTTCTGCCATTCCTGCAACAACAACAAAAAATGCTTGGTACGAATTTTTACTCAAAACTTCAAGAGGGTTATCTTGTCACTGAGATCCACACTTCTAAAATGATATCACTACAAGTACTGCTACTACTACTACTTGCAACGTAGAATGTTACTGTACAACTACTAACAATCTAGAATGTTATCTTGTCACTGAGATCCACACTTCTAAAATGATATCACTACAAGTACTGCTACTACTACTACTTGCAACGTAGAATGTTACTGTACAATACTACTACTAACAATCTAGAATGTTATTGGTACCAATCAGTATGTAATGGTTACTCTTTAGTGGTACTACTACAAATCAATTGGTACCAGTCCCACTACAGATAGAACAAGTTGTGTCATTCCATTAAACTACCACTATTAGCATACCACTGTCATTGGTACCAGTAACACAATTACCATTACAACTGGTACCAATAGAAAACTACCATTCAATCATACCGAAACAAATACAACGGTACCTGAAGCCCCCATAAGTGGTACTTGTACCAATAAGTGTGTACTGGTATCAATTCATTGATACTGGTACAAATCAATTGGTATTACTATCACTACATCTAGAACAAGTTATACCATTCCATTAAACCACCACTATTAGCATATCAATGTTATGGGTACCAGTAACACAACTACCACTAGCACTATACGAATTTAAGACTACCAATGGATCATACCAACACCAAACAAACACACCACACAAGAAAGACAGGCCTTCATGTGGCTTATTCCAACATTGCATTCGGAAAACAAAAGCAGTAGTGTAAAGAAATCTCACCGGGGATTGTTTGCACGGCCGCAGAAAGGAACGATGGCGAAAGGATGTTCGCCTATGCGCTTAACCAGAAGGAGAAAAAAACTAGTTAGGATAACCAGAAGTGAATAGAAAAAGATGAAGAAGTGGAGAGGAGCGATAGAGCCGACGAATCGGGGCGGGAAAGCAAGCATAAAAGGAGGCTGAATGAAAATTACATTGTAAAATTTTTGCTTTACCTGAATTACCTATGCTCTGAAAAACAAAGTCTTCGCAATCGAACGGGACCGGACGAGTTGCTATCAAGAAAAGCGGAGAAAAGCGATCCGAGACGCTGAAAGGGGATGCTTTGGGAGAAGACGGAGGAAAAGGGTTTCAGTGGAGTAATGTACAGGCTGTTTTGGGGAGACGAATGGTTCGCCGAGGAGGGTGGCTAATTTCTCTCCACCACCGATTTCTTTGCCTTTTCAAAACGCGCCTGACGTTAGAGAACTAATGGGAGCTGGATCCAGTGTGGAAGCTCTCTTTTTTGCCCCTGTCTATCATCAATCGTCGGATGGAGATATAAGGGGATGAAGGGCTAGGAAGGGGGAAGCGAGATTGACAACCCCTAAAGGGGTTGTCACGCTATCCGGCCCCGCGCATAGATGATTCTATCAATGCTTAACTAACGATCTTATGATGAGTAACAATTGAACCATAAACAATTAACTTTTTTGGTTCATCGTCCGGTCATGCTTTGAAAACAGATGAATATACTAACATCATCGTCATTTCATCCTTATCAAATCTTTTGTTCAAAAATTTCCAAATTCGTATACGAACTCACATAATAAACAAAAGCAGGTCACTTGTCTCTAAATAGCCGAAACATGTGGAACCCATTTTTTTAGCTAAGTATTTCTTAATCATAGTTCATCTCCAATATTTGAACTTAATCTCCCACATTATCATTGGACCAACATATAGAATTGTCCTGCAGCTGATGTTGCAGAGTGAATACCTTTGTTAATTAGTAGAATCTATGAGTGAGCAAGTGAAATACTTTTGGTAGGCTTGCCTAATTGAGCAATGAACATGAGCTATAATATTTTTAAAACTGGTTTTCTCAACAGTATAGGTAGCAATTATGGCTATTGATGATTTTTTTTATGGTAACTTGGCTGAGGGGGCAAGATTGATCAATGTGCTGTCTAAAGAACGAATTGGCATAAATGTGTGGCTGGTGCCATTATGATGACAGCAGAGTACTGTGCATGTTTGTTTATATATGTTTAGGTGTAATAATCCCTTCCTAGGTCTTCTTTCATTTAGACTTTGTACATGTACACAATGTCTCAACTTTTAGGGTTTGATTCAAGTAGACAGAAAGAAGAGGACGGGATTTTACTAGCAAGTATTGAAGTAATCTAATATGGAAAGTAAGAAAGTGATTTTGGTCCCAAGAGTGGAGGTGGATGTCTTGAGATTTCACATAGTAAAACATTGCAAATATGTCATTGAATTTCCATCATACGTTACATGTTATGTCAGCCACCAAGAATATTTTTATCATTGACGCGCATTACATGATGTCATTTTGTCACGAACGTGTTTTGATTATTGACCCCAATAGCAATGAATTTGAACAAACAAAATTAACATAAGAACTAGAAACGAACAAAAACAACATTGCAAACGGCCTTGTTGATGAAAATTCATATTACAAATTTGGATGATCACTTGTACCCAGGAATTAAGCAAAGTAAGGCAGGACTGTCGGTCTCTTTGCTGTTTGTATCGTTCATCCAAAACTTGGTGGAAGTGGGCAATTTGATTAGCCCTCTGGTCATCCTTTGCTTTATTGATCTCCAGCGGAGCGTCACCCTTCGCCCTTCGGTCGAACATGTTAAAATGATATAAACAATAGAGCTACCGAGATTCAAGTAATAAAGCTCCCTGACCTCTGTGGTATAATATCATGCGAAACTTATCAATTCGTCTAATAAATTGAATCACTACAAGAGTTGAATAGAGAGCAAACTAAAACGGCAACCAAAAGTGACGATCTTCATAGACAAAAACTCATGGTTTCTGGCACGATATTGTACATGATTTACTAGCAAAGATTTTCATAGACAAAACTCATTGTAAAGTGACGATTCTCACGTAGAAAAGAAAGGTACCAATTTTTGCTCATTGTGGGAAAGCCTTTCACTCACTCTTGAGGATGAAAAGTAAACACTTAATTGTCTGTTTCGTGGGGACATATGTCGGATTTGATGCACAAGTAGTTCTCGGCATGGAAATGGCTGATTTGCTCCCTTGTGCTTTAATCTGCTTCGTCTGCTTCGTCGTGTCTCTTACTCTGTTTTTCCCTTCTCGTCCATACACAATCTTTGTTGAAACTACTCTCTACGATGACGATAAAAATGGAATGTTGTTGTATGAATTGTATTATCTTGTTGAACAGGGTAGACAGAGATGTAAGCACCGTGTTTATGTCTTTCAATTATGTGTACTTGAATTGCAAATGAATGATTATGATATGTATCGAAACGGTGTTGGTGCCGATTATGTATATGTTTCGACGATTAATCAAACAACTAGAAAAGCAAACCACTACACATTTTTTGCTTAAAGTGCTCTTCATTATAACAATGAAAAGAGAATGTTGTTATATGAATTCGACTATCTTGTTGAAGATGGTAAAAGGAGAAGTAAGCATCGTACGTGTTTATGTTTCTCGGTTGCTTGAATTGCAAATGAATTGAATATGATATATACTCGACATAAGAAAATATAAGCGATTATAATATGTTTGTGTCGTCATGATTGTACATGTTCCGACGGTAGATGATGGGATGTGATACGGTCTCACAACCCACTTCCTAGCCAAATAGATACACTCTCACTCCTGTCTATTTTTTTTAATTGATGGTTAGGATTAAAAGAATGATATTTTTGGAAGGAAAAAATATTACTACACCCAATCATTATCTCTCCAATATAAATAAATAAATAATCGTAATCCTCCTTTCCGACAGCAGACGACACCGTCGCTGCCCTCCGTCTTCCTTCACCCCGTGCCAAGCCCTCCACCGTCGCCGCCTCCCTCCACCCCCTGTCGTTGCCAGCTCTATGTCGTCGTGCCAACTTTCCTTGCCTCTTCCGGTGTGAGTTCCTCTACCACTATACTCTTCTTCTCCTCCCTCCGTTTTTCAGATATGTGATTTTTGAATTTTCAGATCTAGTTTTTTCTAGTGGTAATGTTTTTCTTCTAGCAGTGGTATCATTTTGCACCACTATCATTTTGTACCTCGTAGTGGTAGCGTACCACTACCAGGTAATAGTAGTGGTAGCGTTGTACTAGTAGTGGTAGCGTACCACTAGCGCACTGACGAAGTGATAATTTTTTACAGTTGGCCGGAGCGAGTCTGATTCAAGGATCTTGCCGGAAAAAATCTGTCAGTCGAAAAGGCAGCCGATCGAAGTGGAGTGACTGCTAGAAAAGGAAGAGAGAGAGTTGTATTTATTTTATGATTTAAATTTTAAAAAAGCATTAATTTAATATGAGTTTTTAATTTCCAATCTGTAGTTAATATAAACAAAATTAATTAATAAATTCATTTTTTTCATACGCAAAATGCCCATGGTTGTGAATCTCACAACCCTATTAGAGAAAGTGATCGTATCCCACCCCGCAAATGATAGAAAAGCAGAAGCACTACTTTTGATTCAGCAATCAGCAGCCAAGCAATGTTGCTACATGGTGGAAAATATTAGGGATTGGCAGGGGATTTATGAGCATGCAATAATGGGGGTATGGCCTATTTCAAGTAGACTGCATCTTGATGTTTTTTGAAGAGAGAAATCCATTTTTACCAATCAGAAGTTAAGGAGGGACAAAAGATTTATATGCATGGGATTTCTCTGCCCTTTTACCTGCATCCATCACTGATTCAGGAATCAGGAGTGTACAATAATGCACTCCTTGAATAAAAATAAAAGAAGGCAAAATGCAATCATGGTTCACAATTTCTATCTTAGTTCACAAAAGTCCTCAACCTCTTTGCTCATAGTCTATATCCCCCCTGCAATCTTCCAACTACACCAATCGAGTACTTGGTCAAGTATGTACGTTGAAATTAAAATAGGGTTAGTCGAGCCCTAGAATTTACAATTGAATTCCTATCAACTCGCATGGCGTTGCAAGTTAACGAGTTAGCGAATGAAAGTCTTCAGACTGTACGTAGTTCAAATGATGACATTCCAATTATTAATTGAAAGATTTAATTGAATCGATCAGAAGTTGAAGGATCCAATTGTTCAAATATAAAATTTCGCATGATTTTACAATATATTAATCTTAACTATTGTGCAAATGTGGGCTCTGCCACTTTACGGGGGGGATTTTGTTGACTCGGTAATAGGCGCCTGCCAAATTGTGATTTTGTAAATGGAATTTAATTAGAAGAATGATGTGGAATTAATAATTAATCATAGTTATTATCACAAAAGTCTGGCATGCGTCTTATCTTTTGGAAAAGGGAAAAAAAAGGTCTGACATCTTCGATTATTTATAATCCAAGTGCATAATTAGCAGCATAAATCAAGGGTGACTAGGACACATTATAAACAAAACGCAATTGATTAGCTCATTATTGTATCACCTTTTCCTATACTATTTTGCATTCTAGACTAGAGTAGTAAACGGTACGTAATACTTTGGCTTTATGATGTTTTTGACTTAGCTTGATCAACAAATATAGTGAGAGCTAAATTAGTTTAAAAAAAAAACATAACCGAGATGGCTCCTATTTGATGTATATATTATCCATTAGATAGATGTTGAAATGATAAACATGAATTTTGGCGATGGAGTTAAATTTTAGTTACCGACAACAAGATTTTTACTACATTAGTGATCTCACGTAACGCCAAAACCCTTACCGAGTATTAGATTGGCTATTCGTCTGCCTATGAAACTAGTTAGTCAGTTTTTATTACTACAAACTACTAAATTAAGGAAATGATGCTTATAGCAATTGCATATTCCTATAATTGAAATTCGTGTAGTATAAATGAATCGTATCATGTGCTTAAATCGACCGTTAATATGAATTGTTCTAAAGATTGAAACGTGGAATCTCTCAACTACCAAACTGACCAATATCTTGTGGAGAAGCAACAATTCGCTTTCATGACAAAAGTTTGGAACAGGGAAAGGAAAATCGAAAGGGAGCTATAGATAGAGATAGATATGTGGGTGGCTGGCTCCACGAAATGCAGAAAAAGCCACAACTCAATGTGGTTAGGTCACGATGTCTGTCTTCCTTTTGCACACATTACTTTCGTGATTAGCCTTACCTTCCCCTTCTGCGTATATTTTTTCCTATCTTCTTTTCCTTTTGCCTCTTATTGCTTTTGCTCGTGAAATATGAGTATTATGTGAATAGGTGTAGCAAAAGAAGTGGGTTATTAGTACATTAGAGGAACCTAGGAGTCTAGGAAGATGTTCGATCACTCGCACAGAGTTATGGGCCGCCATCTAGATCGAGGGGTTGTAGACACGGGACTTGGAACACCCAAGAGTTGCAACTGGACTTCAACACCGTTTTCAACTTACTCTCGTATTCAACACGAACGAATCATTAGTATGTTACTTGAGTGCTAGCTTTTTCGAGAACTGCAAAGGAAGAAGTGAAAAGTTAGAGATACTCAATCATATCTATAAAGAGGTTAGCTTTTTAACCGATTATTTGACTTATGTTAGTTTTTGTCAAGAACCAGTTGATCCCAATAACTCGAGTTGTTGGGAGAGGTTCAATCGTGGATCATATACCACAACACTAACACGCCCCCTCAAACGAAAGCCAGTCAACCCATAAGGAGACTTTCGTTTCCACATGTTCTGAACACGAGAATACATGTGCTTCCCAAATGAGGTCATCGGGATTCGAACACGAGACCTCCCGGCCACAACAGGCTCTGATACCATGTAAAGAATCAGTTAATCCCAATAACTCGAGCTGTTGGGAGATGTTCAATCGTACCACAACACTAACCGTTTTTACAACCCAAACATCGAGTGCTGAGTTGGCGGTTTTATTACCCGTTGTATTGTTTAATTAGAGGTATAAATTCTCTTCTTCGCACATATCTTATAACAAATTAAACTCGGTCAGCCAGCCACCCACTGCCACTGCAAGCTAGCATGCTCTAAGTCTAACCTAAACCGAACCCAAAACTCAAAAACAAAAACAAAGGAAACTGCTACAAATGAATACTCTATATATTGGTTGGGTGATGAAACCTACAAATTATTTATAGTTCATTAATTAGGTCAACCATCTGCCACATCTCAACGAACGTTATGCGACATAGACTTGCCGTCGGCCAGAAACTGTAATCTATGGACTACATATATTGATATATGGGTAGTTTACGAGAGATGCCATTAATTGTGGGCTTAGTTGGTTAATTGGTTTTGTTCTTACTAATCAGCGGGATTAGTTTTGTTTTTGCATCATTGCATGTTGATATATAAAAATGGGGGGGATTGTTTGGAGACTGCGTCATTATTTTGTCTGACATATTCAGGCATTCGATTCTGTAAATAATTATTAGGGTAGGAGTTACGAGGAGAATTTTTTCAAAATAAATATTAATGATGGAGTTACAGACATGAACCCCATTCTAAACTTAACCAACAACATGCACTATTCAAATATATATTTGTTTGATTGATCAAAGTTAGAAGGCACAACTATTTCACAGTGAAATCAACTGTTGACACTATCTAACCAGTTGTTACCTCTTTTGTTACCACTTGTATGGAAAAAAGAGCAGTTCTTAATCACGAACTGATGTTTAAAGTACAAACTTTAATTCTAATAATATATAAGGCTAATTTGATGTTTAAAGTCAAAATATTAAAACCCCCGTCAACTTTAGTTCTTAAAGGATTTAGTTAGACTTATTAGATCGCAGTCTATTGCCAAACCATAACTAAAATCACGATTGAACTTCATTATCGGCCGAATTAATTATAATATTCAACTTAGAAGACAGAAGTTCAACGGGAATACTCCGAATCTCTTAACTAGTACCTATATTGAATAGTGAAGGGAAGTCGAAACGTCGGCGCATGGAGGAATGAAACATGCAATGGCTGCGGTCAATGATATCTAGGGTCTTATCTTATGGGAGGAAAATGAAGACAAAGTAATTAGCCGTGGAATGGGCATGATGAGCGGAGTGATTATTGTGGCACTAAAATTAATCAAATAATCCAGATTTTTGGGAAAAAGACAACAAAACCATTCTTCCTTCATTTCCTCGTTATGCTCCGCTGATATTGTGAGAAGAAGATATATTGAGATAAAGAGATAGATATATGTCCAATAATAATGCTGCCTAGATTTTGTTTGATTTCTTCCTCGTTTTAATTTTATTATGTATAATGTTGACCACTGCTTTTACAAAAAAGCAAAATTAAAAATAATTTCTTAATGTGCCTTTTCTTTTTCGGTTGATCTTGAACAGAATAGCTTTGGGATCTAGCTTAGTTCCATTAAATTATTCAAAACTAAAGAAACATAAGATGTAAAGAGAGCTGAATTAAGAGTAAACTAAGCGGTGTTTTTGAGAGACAATACCCATACCATGATAGAGGCACAATACTTTATATATATGAAATCTTGGTAGTGTGGTATTAAAATTTTCAAAAATGCTATATTTGTTATTAGTATTAAAGTTTTGACTACACGAATGTATCGGCAAATATGTCGTGGTTAGCAGGTAGGAAAGGTAACACAAAAAATTGCTATGTCAGTATAAATTATTAGTCCAATCAGCACAACTAATGGTGTTGACGTGCTTTGATGGAATGGTTACATGTGTCTAACGAGCATTCCAAATCTAGTTGTATTCAAGTTTTTTTTTTTTGAAAAATTAACTATTATTATCACAAATATCAAAATTATGGGTGTATAATTGTTTTTTGTCTTTATTTTTATTAAATAATAGCAAAATGGAGTGAACCAAACTCATTGGTTTCCTAAATGTATTTATGGGAAATATTTGATTAGACTCATTGGGATTTTTTCTCCATTGGTATATTAATTCAATTTCCAAACTAATATTAAGAGCAAAAGAGGAAATTAAACATGATTTATTTTACTCCCTATTTCAAATGGATATAGGATTTTACTACCTTAAATGCATCATATAGTGAACCTCAGATTCTTAAATAGTAACTGACCTGATATTTGGAAATACCTTAATTTTTTCTGTAATAGAACTACCATCTTATAGTCTTACTATAATGTTTTTTCCTATAAAATGAAAACTACAAATTTTGTAACTTTAACTATAATGTTCTTGCCATAAATGAAAAATTATAAAGTTGGTCACAATTTTGGAGGAGCCAGGCGGACCAACCTACTATACACATAAATTATTCTCCTAAAATTAGAAACAACATTTACCGTTCATACTATAGAAAGTTGTTATTAGACACTCACTAATGTTACCTCCTATTGTCGGAATTCATGAAGTCCAGTGTAAAGTTAGACGAAGTTGAACGAGCAATGAATTCAATAAAGATACAAATTGTAAGTCAAAATTTTAGACATACTTGATAGCATTATATATGTTTCTCAGCTTACCCTGATTGATTTAACAAGTCAAGTAAGGATATCGAGTAAAAGTTAATCGCAAAGTCAACCAATCATGAAAATAGCGCACAATAGAAAGGTTTATCATTACAATTTAGGGTACCTATATCAACCTTACACAATGCCATAACTACCAGAAGAAATCGAACCAGAACGTACTCCTGCAGTCCTTTTTAATTGTTTGTAGAATGGTCGGTTCTGCTGTGCACCAATTTTATGCAACTTTACAGTTTCAGGCGGCCTTGGATGCAGTTGCAGGCACTCAAAATACTGCAAAAACAATCCACTCTGTAGCTAAAACTCTCTGAATCCAAAAGGTGCAAACCAAAACAGCAAAATTTTCCAACTTTGGCTTCCTTCTTCAATTCCACCACCTTCAACATCAGTCGTCTCAACTCCCTCATGGAAAAATATCTCTTGACCCCAAAAAAACCCCACCATGGAAAACTTACAGATTGGTCCTCCCCCATTTGGCTTTTTTTTCTGGGATGTAACTTTTGTTAACTTAGTAAATGCTTTCATAACCGCGAAATTTATATTAGGAAGGAAACCAGAAAAAATACCCAACCCCATAATAATAATTTATTAATTTTACAAGCGGGAGGGGTTAAAATGTGACTATATAACACCACCTTCGTCTCTCTCCTTTTACACTCAAACCAGAGAGAAATCATTTACAGAAAATCTCCCATTTTCTCTGTTTCGAGAAATCCTCTGTTTCCTCTTCTTCGCATTGGTAAGGAAGGAAACAGAGGCAAGAGAGGCAGAGCAGGGAAGAAGAACAGATTCCGAGAAAGAGGTAAAAAGGAGAAGCTGCTCCGCCTTTTCCCCCCTCTTCTCTTTGGTTTCCCGCTGCCTCTTCTTTTTTAACCTTTTCCGGAGGGGAAGAAGAAACAGAGTTCAGAGGCTTCGATTGAAGTCTTGCCATATCTCGTCTCGTCATTTCCATGTAAGACGACAAGACACAAGAACATTATTTTTTTTATTTCATTTCCATTTGTTTCTTCCTGTTTATATTTTGAGCCCAGATTTTTCACCCCATTGTCTGAATCAGATCCATTGCTCCTCTGCTTTCTTGTTGCAGGCGTAGAGACATAGTGTGAAAAAGAAAAAGAACAAAAAGAAAAAAAGGAGAAGAAATGGCACAAGATTCGCAGAGAATCGTGATACCAGAGGCGCTGCAGCTGTCGAGGGATGACATCGGCGTTCAATTTGCGCTGATGTGGGAGTTCGTCAAGGCTCCGTTGATTGTTCCCTTGCTGCAGCTCGGGGTCGTGATTTGCTTAATCATGTCGCTGATGCTCTTCTGCGAGAGGGTTTACATGGGCATCGTCATCGTCCTTGTGAAGCTCTTCTGGAAGAAGCCTGAAGAGCGTTACAATTGGCAAGCATTGCAGGAAGACATGGAGTCCGGTAACTCCGACTTCCCCGCCGTTCTCATCCAAATCCCCATGTTCAACGAACGAGAGGTCTCTCTTCCCCCTCTCCCCTCCCCTGTTTTCCCTTCCCCCTGTTTTCTTCAGAGAAAAATGCTAATGCACTTTTTTATTTTATTTTATCGGCGAACAGGTTTACAAGCTCTCCATTGGAGCTGCATCGAATCTATCTTGGCCTGCGGATCGTCTGGTGATCCAAGTCCTCGACGACTCGACGGACCCTGAAATCAAGGTAAAAAAACAACAAAACCCAGTAAGCGAGCCTTCCAATTCTATTTGTTTCTACCAGGCTCCTCTCTCTCTCAGTACTTTTATCAGTCACATGGTGTGCATTCCTTTTTAACCTTATTCACAACCCGGAGAGTAGTAAAGGTTAAAAATTTCTCCGGCTCTTCAACGACCACCTGACGAACAGGATAAGACTCCCATCCTTCCCACCCATCTCCCCCACGTTCCCCTAACCCTCGGGCGTTACCCATTCATCTCTCTTCTTTCAATTCTCAATTCCCCATTTCCGTCGGCTTGTGTATTGATCTTCATTTCTCAGCAATGAAATTCCCTCACTTTTGTTTAATGACTCGCTCTGCATCGTCGGTATTGTCTTGCAGCAAATGGTCGAATTGGAATGCCAGAGGTGGGCGAGCAAAGGAATCAACATCCGGTACCAAATCCGAGAGAACCGGGTCGGGTACAAAGCCGGAGCGCTGAAAGAAGGCCTGAAACGGAGCTACGCCAAGCACTGCGAGTACGTCGCCATCTTCGACGCCGATTTCCAGCCGGAGCCGGATTACCTCCGCCGCGCCATCCCGTTCCTCGTCAATAACCCTGAGATTGCCCTCGTCCAAGGCCGCTGGCGATTCGGTAATTTATATTTTTTTTTACTTAATCTGACTTTTTTTACTATAATTACGCAATTATGAGAGTGTCGGTGGTAAGTTTAAGTAAGGGTAAGTAAGGAATGCTTTTGGCATTGTCCCGTGCCGAAGGAAATATTCCGCTACGCTTGCGACTGCGTGAGTGAACCGGGCCCACATTCCATGAATCACGGGGATGTGTGGGGGCCCATTCTCGCGCTTAGATCCCACTCCTTTGTTTTATTTATCACTTTGCTCTAACCAAACCACAGCCGTACACGTCTTATGACCCCAATGCGGACGCACCTACAGTATCAAAATCCCCTCCCCAGTTTCCCGCCGAAAATTCATTATTAGCCGAAAATGAATCCTTAATCTTTCCATTTTTATGATAAATAGGATAGAAGCCAAACAAAAATTCCATATTGTTGCTGTGTATGTTTGCTTGACGTAAATGCCCCCGGATATCAGCCTGAAAGTTAGCTGACTATCCCGGGAGATAAGGTGGGCTGGTGGGGGTGGTTCGGTAATTCCAAAATCGTTAGTTTGTCTGTTTGTCTTTTTCTCCTTTACCGAGTTAGTTTACCACCGACAAAAAAACCCGGATTGTCCGGAATCTACATGGCGGCCGTCGGCCGTCTCCGGCTGCCACTTTCCGGTCACGTGGTTGGTTGGAAGAGGCTTTTTTTTACTGCGTTTGACGTTCCACCCCGTGGGACCCATCTTGCCGACACCTCGATTTCTTACTTCTCTGAGCTGGAAAATAAATAAGTAAAAACATTAAAGGTAAGGAAATATGGAAGTTCCTCGTGCTGCCGCGGGATGTGGCTGAATTTACTTCCCGAGTCACGTGAAGTCGAAGTAAATCGAAACGGCTGGGAATTGATTATTTGATTACTGTGCTTAGGAGATTAATTTACGTGGGAGTGGATGATTAAGCAGTAATGATGATAATAATGTGCATGGGGTATGGTTGGTTGGTGTTTTAGTTTTTGATTAATTATTGAATTATTATTGCAGTGAATGCGAACGAGTGTCTGCTGACAAGGATGCAAGAGATGTCGTTGGACTATCATTTCACTGTGGAGCAGGAAGTCGGGTCAGCCACCCATGCCTTCTTCGGTTTCAATGGTAACACTACTAAACCCCCCACTAAATAACCAATTAATTCATTATGGGTCACAAAATCGATATCGTTGGACTCTTTGTTTTCGATTGTTGTTCAACGTGCAAACACGATGTGACGCACAATCCAACGATATCATCTCGTCCTCAATCGTATTATGAAGTTGACATAAAGGGGAAGAAAAAAAAAGCTGTCCCAGTAATCAGTAGCATGTGCTGGAAGCAGGAGTAACAGTGTTTGCGTGTGGTTGGTTTCATGGAAAAGACTAGTCAAATGTAGAAAAGTAAAAAAAGAAGAACAGAAGGAATTCTACTTTTACTGCTATTGAATGAATGGATGGGGTAATTCACTAATTCTGGTGGTGTTATTATGTACAATGTGGTGTAGGGACGGCGGGAGTATGGAGAATAGCAGCGATTAATGAGGCCGGTGGTTGGAAGGACAGAACCACCGTGGAAGATATGGATCTCGCTGTCAGGGCCAGCCTCCGCGGCTGGAAGTTTGTCTACCTCGGCGACCTCCAGGTCCCTATATTTTCTCTCTTCTCCCCCAATTTTCATCACTAAACTTTCATTTTCTAACAATCCACTCCCTCCCCTGCAGGTGAAGAGCGAGCTGCCCAGCACATTCAAGGCCTTCAGGTTCCAGCAGCACAGGTGGTCGTGCGGGCCGGCAAACCTGTTCAGGAAAATGGTGATGGAGATCGTGAGGAACAAGAAGGTCCGGTTCTGGAAGAAAGTATACGTCATCTACAGCTTCTTCTTCGTCAGGAAGATCATAGCCCACATGGTCACATTCATCTTCTACTGCGTCGTGCTTCCCCTGACGATTCTGGTTCCTGAGGTTCAGGTGCCCATATGGGGAGCTGTCTACATTCCCTCGATCATCACGATCCTGAACTCCGTGGGGACTCCGAGGTCGATTCACTTGCTGTTCTACTGGATCCTGTTCGAGAACGTCATGTCGTTGCACCGCACCAAGGCTACATTGATCGGGCTGCTGGAAGCTGGCAGGGTTAACGAGTGGGTTGTTACAGAGAAGCTTGGGAACACTCTGCAGAAGGTTGCTGATGCTGCCAAGAACAAGACTTCTGCTGCCAAGGCTGTCAAACGACACCGCTTCAGGTTTGCCGAGAGGTAATGTAGTGGCTACAAAATTTTGGATTCTCTTCTAATTGATTCTTTCTTGGCCCATCTGCCCATTCTACCAAATCCATAAAGCTTGACATAATTATATGGTGAGTAGTACTATATTATACATGACCAAATCCAACTCTCTTAAAGATAAGATTTTTCTAGTTAGAATCTATCTTTGCTGTGTGTTGAATACCACTCATTGACTTGAGAGAGTGATGTAGAATAGATAAAGGGTTAGATTTGTGTCTGGTTGACCTGTTTCTGGGGTTCAGTTATAGTTAGTAGAGATGATGAAGTGGCTTCTCTGCCATTCACCTAACCTTTTTTGGGAAACTATGGTAACGACATTTGGATATGAGACCTTTTGGTTGATACTGTGGTTCTGATTGTGGTTGTTGTTTTGGGGACAGGTTGAACAAAACAGAGCTGGTATTTGCATTGTTCCTCTTCATCTGTGGCTGCTATGATTATGTCCATGGGAAGAACAACTACTTCATATACCTATTCCTTCAGACCATCACCTTCTTCATAGCAGGAGTCGGCTACATTGGCACCATCATCTAAACAGACATGGCTATTAGAGAGTGATCCCCAGATGGAAGAAGATGAAAGAACTGTGGTTCGGGGCGCAAGCCTATCGTTCATGATGCTCTCTGCATTTTGTTTGTTGTTCTTCAGCAGTGAAGGGATAACCTTGGGAGCATCTTTAGATTGCAGACTGCCTGCTGGTTTTTGTTTTTTGTTTTTGGGTTTTAGATTTACTCTAAGTTGGCTAAACAGACAGGGGAAAGAAAAAGGGGAAATGCACCATTGCTGCATGTGATCTCTATTCACAGAGAGCTTTTAAGTTTGGAGTGTAAAAAAATATCATTACTAGTTGAAACTAGAAGGTTAAGGTCATAGATAGTTGTTTTTTTTTACCATAAAGAGGGGGGTTGAAGAAAAAGAGCATCTTCTTATATAGAGTATTGTATTGTCATTGTGGGAGGGCCTCTCTCTTGGCCTTCCCCTTCCCCTCTTTTTGTAAAAGATTGTTAGATTTTTCTTTCTTCTTTTTGGCTTGTTTGTTGGAGATGTTGGAAATAAACAGAGCCATGAAAGAAATTTGATGCCATTCTCATATTTCAAAATGAAAAATCAGAAGTTCATTGTTCAACTAGTTCTGAATTCTGATACTCATATTGCTATCATTCATCATGAAACTATCTGTCTACGAAGAAACGAGTTTACTTGTGCGAACAATATAATTCGCACGATAGAGCATGCATATTACGTGAATACAAATTGTTCGACATCGAGTTGAAGAACTATATGCTTAACATTGTTTCGTTAAACCGGCTAGGAATGCTGACACCGACAAAAGAACCAAGGACTAGCTAGTAATGCATGTAGCTATCTGTTTGACTTACTGCAACTGCTCAATAAATATGCTGTGTGAGATGACCAACTAAGAAAGAATCTGAAGAAGAAAAGAGAAAACAAGTGGGTTATGGAAACTTCTGAAGCAAGTGGTTGAGCTTGAGCAGCAAGCTGGCTGATGGGGTATTGTAATAAACAAATACAGAACCAATTCCATCAGTGTTCCCTTTCCTGCTGCTGCTGCAAGTTATTAGTTGGTCTCGGTAGGCCACAAAATTAACTGCAGAATATAATACATATCCAACTGTTGGTTTAGGTAATCGTGTGCTGATGCTAATAATATTTGTTTAGTTATTGGGACTCTGGAACCTGCCATATAACAGAATCTACATGTGTTAAGGTATCTTTGGATACAACTGTCTTCTGCTGATGTAGGTTCAGAAATATTATCTTTTTGGGCTGAAGGGAGAACAGCCAATGCAATTAGAAAGCAAATAGTGGAAGATGATGCACATATAATGGTTGGATCTAAGTGAGAACCAATGAAGAGAGCTTTCATGGTTCCATTCATTCATACAACTGTTGGAGAAAGTTTCTGACTCTCCGCTGATTGTGGAAAGGAAAACAAATAAAGACAAATTATGGAGCAGAACTAGATAAAATACTAATCCTTAATTATGGAAAAAAGAACCAAGACAAATTGTGGATGGGGAATTTCTTTTATAATATCAATGGTATAACAGATTGATAGGGTCACATATTTACTGAATAAACTGATCATGGAAAAAAAGAAAAAAAAAACTTGATCTGTCATGTTCTTGAACCAGAAAACAACATTTGTGACAAGAAATCTCTAGATCATGTGGGCTGGTTTTGGCTCTTTGCCTTACCATGTTCCTTCATTCATTCATTGCAATTCAATTATGTCGTAGATAGAGATATACAGGCCCATCATAACTGCGTCTTTTTCCTCACTTCTCCCACACAATGAGTAAACAGTATGTGCCACTGCCAGATTCCCATCGGATATTCTTTTGTCTTCATTTCCTATGGTGCAGGACCGCTCGAAACATTACTATCTCCCGGTAGCATCCTATGTGAGTCTGTCCCTCTCCAACTCTAACTCTGTAATGTGTGTGTAGAACTAATAATGTGAGTCTGTCACTTCTCGTGCCTTGTCGATATCGGCATTGTTTGCTGGTTTTCCCATTCTTTCTTCTATTCCCAGAAAAGTATTAAGTCTTGCTACATTTCTTTTGCTGTTAATTAATCTGCATTCTGCACTGATGATGATTACAGACACTTCTTATTTTTAAATTAGCCAGAGACTGTTCCAGCAACTGAAGCTTAAAGGGCACTCAAATTGATTGGTTTCTTGCCCTCTAAGTTCCATTACTCACTAGGCACAAAAATGATGATCACTTCATTTAAGTTGTAAGACAGCAATTATGTATATGTGTGAAAGACGCAAAGTGTTGAATCTTATTTTAATCAGGAGGACGTCAGGGATAACCGTGTTGGTGCTGTGCTTGAGGAACTTCTGCAGTATTTTCGTAGTCATGTTGGGTTTTGTGTTCGATTTGTCGGTCGGCGTAGTAATAGGGTAGCCCATTCGGTGGCTCGTAAAGCCCTTTCTTTGTACCCGACGATCATTCGTTTCTTTGATTTTCAGGTCTGGCTGATCTCCAGGATGTAACTATCTTTTGTTTGGATCAATATAAGATTATCTCTTGTAAAAAAAAAAAAAATTAATCCTTTATCCACGTCCTCAAAGGAAGGTCAACTTGTTAGTTTGAAATTTGCTTAGGTAAGAGGCTTACTCTCGATTAAACCACAATATGATACCAGGTAAACTAAAACAAGTTGGTTCCAATGACTTGAAATGATGGGAGAGACTCAAGTATTCAAGTATGAATCTAAATTCTAATGCCACTTCATTGTACAATGAAAGTCAACTAATAGGCTTAAAGTTTGCATATATTATCGTGTGCTTAAATATATAGCTGTTAGCAGGAATTGAAGACGAGGATCTCTCGGTTCGGCGAGGCTCATTTATATATCGAGAAGTTGTTGAATATGAATCTCATATCAAGCTTCTGCTGCGGTTTGTCATAAAACGATTGCTACTACATTATATAAGACTGTCTCCAACCCAAGCATGCAAATTTGGAGAAATGGAGGTTTTTGGCTTTTTTCATCTCCAACCCACCAATTATTTGGCTTGCAAATTTGGAGAAGTGGGCTTGGGAGTGGATAGATAGAAGCTCATATGGAAAAATGCAAGGAGAAGGTGGGGGGACCAACCATGGAACCCAAGCCCACACGCTGGGGCCCTCCACTTTAAAGCATCTTCTTTTTTCTTTTTTTTTTACTTTCTTAATTTTTGATTGGTTGGTTATGAGTTGGGAAGGCAAATTTAGAAGGTTTAGGGTTGGAGCAAAAAAGTGTTTTTGAAAGGTAAAAATACACATTTGAGAATTTGAGAGGCTAAATATAACCTTTTGCGTTGGAGTTAGTCTAAGTACTGCAACAAGAAATGCAGACCTTCCAATCATGAACCTAATGGCTAAACACTGGTCCATTCCACGCCTCTAACATAACGAGGTGATTAATGACTTTACCACACTTCAGAGTAAGCTTTATTATATTAATTGAAAATATAAAGACTGAAATCAACAAGCGTTTGTAGTCCAACGGTTAGGATAATTGCCTTCCAAGCAATAGACCCGGGTTCGACTCCCGGCAGACGCATTTTTTCCACCTTTTCCGTCTTTATTTATTTATTTTGATGGATAACCCGAGAACCGACTTGGCCGACCCAGGAACAAGAAGGAAGCGTCTAGAAGCCGCGGGTAAAACCTGTTCGCTGCAAATTATCAGCAGCTCCCCGTAGACGATAAAAAACCCGAACCTTTTCTGGAAGAGTACAGCGAGAAGAGAGAGCGGGAGAGAGGTTCCGTCGATCTAAAGGTTGTCGACCGATCCGATCGAAGAAATGGCGGAGCACTTGGCGTCGATTTTTGGGACGGAGAAGGACAGGGTGAATTGCCCCTTCTACTTCAAGATCGGAGCTTGCCGCCATGGCGACCGCTGCTCCAGGCTCCACACCAAGCCCAGCGTCAGCCCCACCATTCTCCTCTCCAACATGTACCAGCGCCCTGACATGATCACCCCTGGCGTCGACGCCCAGGGAAACCCTATCGATCCCCGCAAAATCCAGCAGCACTTCGAGGTACCCTTCCGTCACTCTATCGATTTCCTGTCATTTCTTCGTGATCCCCCCTCGTCAGAGTTCTCTCAATTGATTCGATTTTGGGAATCTCTTTAATTGTCATGCTTTCTGGTCGAATTGCTGTATAATGGTAAAAAAAACTATGCTTTTTAGATAGATCGTTAGTTAGAATCAGTTTCCTGTGTGCATAGATATGCTGCAAGCTGCATTAGAGTTAGGTGTCTACAACATGATTGTGGCGAGATTTACGATTGCTTGGGTTTTCCATTCACTACTGCAGGACTTCTATGAAGATCTATTTGAGGAGTTGCACAAGTATGGAGAGATTGACAGCCTGAATGTTTGCGATAACCTTGCTGACCACATGGTAAAGTTCTATATACTGATGGGAATCTCCTGTTTATGAGGATTTCTCTGTATTATTGCTGATTTCCAATCAACGAAGTTAACTGTTGTTTGTCAACAGGTGGGAAACGTTTATGTTCAGTTCAGGGAGGAAGAACAGGCTGCTACTGCCTTGCGCAAACTGACTGGAAGATTTTATGCTGGTTAGTAGTATATATATCAAATTTCTCCTTTCTACCTCTTTGTTCAGCTGTTGAACTTCATCTTTCTTTGCTAAGCATTCTGTTTTTGATGATGTGCAATTGCATACCAGGCCGCCCCATCATTGTGGACTTCTCCCCAGTTACAGACTTCCGAGAGGCCACCTGCAGGCAATATGAGGAGAACACGTGCAACCGTGGTGGCTATTGCAATTTCATGCATCTCAAGAGGATTGGCAGGTAAGCGTTTCTCTTCCTGCCTGTATGATATTTGATAGAAGGAGTTGGTTTATGTTGTCTGATTAATTTGTTTCTGCTGCGATTGTTTAGGGAGTTGAGGCGGCAATTGTATGGGAGCTACAGAAGCAGGCATAGTCGTAGCAGGAGCAGAAGTAGGAGCCCTTACAGGCATAGAAGCCATGAAGATCATCACCATAGGAGTAGTAGAAGATATGACGATGAAAGAGAGCGGTATCATGAGAGCCGGAGTAGAAGGAACAAGACCACCAGCCCTGATCACTGGAGGCATCGAAGTAGAAGTCCAGGAAGAGGGAGGCGTGACAACCGAAGCCCTGTTAGGGAAGGCAGTGAAGAGAGGAGGGCCAGAATTGAACAGTGGAATAGGGAAAGAGAAAATGGATCGAGAACTGATGGTAATACTGATTCTGGATACCAGGAGCAGGATTCGCGCAAAGAAGTGGAGTATGGCAATTGAGTATCTCTGGTTTGTTTCTCTTCCTTGGCATTATTTGATCTTGTGTTTTTTTTCCTGAGTGGAAATTGAGCATTTTCGACTGTGCAGGTGATTTTGCAGGTTTCACAGTTCTTTTACTCTGCCATAATGGAACATATTTGCTGCTCAGAATTGCATTTCATAGTGTTTAACCGTGTGATTAACACTTAACATTCATTTGTGACTGTTATTCTGCCATAATGGAATATATTTGCAGCATGTTTGCATTCTATGTATGCATCCATTACAGTGAAGGAACTCTCTGAACAACGTTGTAATGAGGCTAGTAGCTAGAGAATGCATTCAGAATCTGCAGTCTTACATTCGGATTTTGTCTTGTGAACTTCCTCAGTCCTCACGCAAATCCTTTGTGTCTTTCCACATTACACGGAGAAAATACTTGACGTGTGTGATCATGAGTTTTTTGCAGGTTTCAAGAATCCCTGCTTCTCCTAACCATACCTTGTTTTGTTGAAATAACCTCCTATGATCATATTTGTTTACAGGTGGTTTTGATTGGAGGTGTTGGCTGGAGGAATCACATTCACGCGAGGAACGGGTTATATAGATTGACGACTGACTAGTTTGACCCAATGTTGCAGCCTGCAGGGGAAGTCTGGGACGGTTGGAATCTCTTCTTTTAGGACGGACTACTTCGCGGTTTCCTTTGTTTTTCTAGGAACTTTTGTGTTGTTTTTGTTTTCTTCCTCCCAAATGTAACTGGATTGGTCATTTGCCCGTTTGAAGTAATGAACATATGTCTGCACTTTAATTTATGTCCGCCATTCTTTTAATCACTATTACACTCAACAAAGGTTGTTAAATCCCCTACTTAACTCTCGATTAGATCCGGTCTAACTCGAGTCGGGTTTCAAAACGCCTCCAAGAAACCTCCGGTCTGATTTCTAAAAAGAGTAAGACAGGGGAAAGAGAGGAAGAGGAATGAAGAAAGGAAGATGGTGAGTATGTAATGAAGGTTAAATGGATTTATTTGATGGAAAACAAGTTTTTAATAAGACAGGGGAAAGAGAGGAAGAGGAATGAAGAAAGGAAGATGGTGAGTATGTAATGAAGATTAGATGGATTTATTTGATGGAAAACAAGTTTTTAATAGATATATATAAACTAAATTTTATTTCAGTCATTAAATCTTTAATCCCAATCAAACTATTAAATTTTAAACTTATTGTTTAATCGGCTCAATAACTTAAACCGATTTGACAACGTTGCCGTCAACAAAGCGTACGTAGTTGTTAAAACACCATACTTGATGCATTTGCAACAGAAACATAAACATGTTTCAGTATCCGAGAATGTTGTGACAGCCAACAAATTTCCAAAATCACTTTCACAAACATCCATCTATTTCCTCCATAAGTTCTTTCTCACGAACAATAACAACAAAAACCTCTCATTTACCATCTCCCTCTTTAGTGACTACTCAAAAGCAACACTTCTCTTCTCTCCCATCGATACTCTTCCCTATACTATGAGCTCTTCACTTGGCAGTGTGCTTGGCCTTGGCGTGAGACTGCAGAGCACCATCAGATCCGAATGACCTGCCAACAAGCAAAACCAACATCAATTACAAATCCTTCACCCTCTCAACATACCAACTGTCAATAGCTAATACACGGATATCCAACCGGCTCAAAGTGAGTACCTGTCGCAGGATTTGCAAGCAAATTCACCACCAGATTTTGGGGACTTGGCAGCACTACCTACGGTCTTTGCAGCATTCTTTGCAGGGTGAGGCGTTGCTGTGTGTGCAGCCGCCTTCTTACCATCTGAGCAAAACACCCAACACAACATAGTTACCACCGAAATTATGAAGCATGAGGGTTGGAAAAGAAACAGTAGAGTGCATTTCAAGTTAATCTTTTAGAGAACAAATATCACCCACTACAGAACACACAAGAGACAACAAGGGGGTAATTTTGATGGGTAACTCACCAGTCTTCGCCGGTGTAGCCTGTTTGGCCTTCTTGGCAGGCACTGGTGTTTTCACAGCCGAGTCGTTGGACCTTTTCTTACCCTGCTCCGGCTTCTTTGGAGTTGGAGTCTTCTCGTCTTCACTATCATCACTGTCATCATCTTCATCTGAATCAGCACCAGCATCAACAGACATGTCCTGCACCATTGATAGGGAGAGGATGGGTGATCATGGCAATAGTAACATTTAAAAATCAGTGAGATGGCTCAAAAGTTACTACAAACTACCTCTCCAGACTCATCTTCACCAGATTCATCTGAATCGTCATCTGAATCATCTTCATCATCATCTGAATCGTCAGATTCATTCTCAGGCTTAGCGGGCACCGCAGCAGCTTTGGATTTTGGTTTTGCAGCTTCAGGCTTAGCAGCTGCAGCCTTAGCAGGAGCAGCAGGCTTAGCCTTCTGAACTTTACCTGTTTCAGGATAATTAAAGGCAAGTGAGACAATGTCAGGCACTATACAGGACAAAGCATTGTAACTATCAATAAACAAGAAATGACTGCATACCGTTCTCTGCCTTCACCACTGGGAGCTCCTTCTCTTCCTCTGACTCTTCCTCAGAACCAAAATCTGTAAACGCCAGACAGATTAGAACTTCAGTGACAAGTAACCTTTTATATATAGAGAAGTCATTTGAGTTCGGGACTCACCAGAAAACTCCTCAGTGGAGGCAGCAAATCCAAAGGGAATAGGAGTTAAGGAATGGATGTTTGAAACAATTAAAATTTTAAGATTCCGAAAGATGGCATATTCACATTATCATCACACCACCAACAAACTCACAGAACTAGCTACAATGACCTAAATATTAAAGCATGAATGATTAGAAAAACATCAAGTGGTTAAAGGATATTCATCATCAGGGAGAATAGACTTGTAGCCAGTGAAATAGATGCTCCCATTCTTCCAGTTGTGGGAAAGTTCAAACTCCTGCTCCAATACCAGATCAAAAGCCAACTGGGGAATGGTTTCAGGAGAGAGGGTTCCCAAAACAAGCTTCTTGTCACCAACTTTGATGAAAAGAGGCACAAACTCATTTTCCTTGGTCTTTTTTGCCTCACCAAGTGCTGCCTGCAATCGCAAAATCATAGCAAAGGAGGGAATAAATAAATCATCCGATCACAAACCAAAAAAACACCAAGCTCAGGTACATTTCAACCACTATAGAATTGAACTTACATGGGACAGATGTAGGATGACATCGTCCTCAGGAGTCACTTTAAGTGGCTGCCCAGCCTTAACCTCAACACCTGCACCACATATCGCAGCAATTATCAGCAAACGAAAGCCATATAAGCAAATGAAAAAAAAAATCCCTACTGGTACAAAGACTATTAACTCGACCTAAACGCCAACAAACCATCAAGAACGCACCATCTACGACCCATAATGGTCCAAAACGATAACTTCAGGAGCTTCATATATAATCCAAGACAACTAGGGAAATCAGCCAAACCCGTCAGCCTAAAACCTAGTTATTCGACCCTGACACTAGCAAAAGGTGATTACTAAGTGTCATTTTCCAGAAGCACAAACAGAGTACAGGAGTTGGCATCAAGATATTAATATTATTATCTTATAATAAGAGAACAAAAGCACCAAAAAGAAAACGCCGCAGGATTACTAAAAGGAACGATCTTTAACCTTACTAGACCCGGACGGACCAGCTCCAAACAAACACAGAGGAGAACCCAGAACATATACTCGCAAAAACGGAACAATACATGAAGAAACATGAAGGGAAACGAAGAGCGTACCCCAAAATTCCATGGAGGAAGACATGGTGATGGACTTTGGAGAGAATCGACGGGAGGGAGGATAGGAATTTAGGGTTTAGTGAGGCTAAACGAGGCGGAGGAGCGTGAGGAATAAAAGGGTTTATGAGAGGCGAATTTATAATGCGAGAGACAAGTCAGTTTACAAGGTTTTGGCTCCGCTCCACCGCGAAGTCTCTTATTTCCTCTTAGGGTTTTGCCGTTTTCGCGACTGGCGCGTGGCCCGCCAAGACAAAGAGGGAACGCGTGGGAGAGAACAAGAAGGACGGCCTGCTAGACTATTGGGCCTAAACTTAATGGGCTTCTTGAATAGTGGGCTGCGTATAGTTTGCTATTAAATCAATCTGCCCAGTAAGCCGCTCTCTGGTTTTGGAAACAGAACGGCCAACAGATGTGACCATATAAAAGGCCGCCGAGGCGCCGCGGCCCAATAAATTGCTCAACTTATCGTTGAGGAAAATAAAGAGACATAGCTACTTTACAAACGCGGAGTGATCCATCAACGAATTAGATGTGATTGTATATTTCGATTTGACTTGCCTAATCTATTTTGAAACGAGATGAGAATGAAAGAAACGTTTTTGTTGTGTTCACACCCATTCCGACTCGTTGTCTTCTAGACCCATTATATCTAGTTTGTGCATGATATTTATTTTGAATTACTCATGTTCTAAACTTCGTTGCTTCAGAGTCCGACCTTATCAAGCTCTACTATCAATCGAGAACCTCCACTGATCAATATCATTCATGCTTTCCATTTTAAATTATAACGTGTTGTTGTGCCACTTTTGATGAAAAACTACATGTTAACAGGAGATATCAAAATTTTTCAGATCTGGACATAGTCCTTATTCTTGTGGGTTGAAGGTTTTTAGGGTTCCCTAGGACCTAGAGGCTCTGATACCATAACAACAAAGATGAGTTGGGGGAAAATGAAACCCTAGAAGCCTTGGGTGTTTCTCATTCATACTTGGGTTTAAATACTCAAGCTTGGCACTACAAGACAGATCATACCAGCTTGCGTTTGGAGAACAATTAACATAAACAAACATAACAACTCAAACTTAAACTAAACATTGACAATAGGACTAAACTTGTTGATGATGATAATTCCTCTAAACCTTGTCGATCCACTTTGACATTCATGATCGTCGGTTTGAGTTTTGACGATCTTTCGATATCTCCTGTTACATGTGTAGGTTTTACCTAGACAAGCAATCGAAAATACAGGACTGATGTGTACATATGCCGTGACAAAAAGATAGAAAGAGGACAAGAACAGCAATACATTGCTAACGAAGATAGAGCCGTGGGAGACGCAAGCGAACATGCGGCAGAACATTTATTGAATGATGCTCTCGATCGGTAGGAACCAAGCAACAGAGGCGTAGGTTGTTGGGAAAACATGTCCGAACGACAGGCACTTGGCAGAGTAGGAAAGGGAAGAAGACATTCATCGTGGATTAATACTGGATTAGGGGAAGTAGAAAAATGAACCCATTTCTATAGTAGGAGAGTTTGATACACCGATCATTCTACTAAAAGAAGAGAGTTTAATCAATCCGTGTTCTATTCTAATTGTCTATCATTTTAGAGAGAGAGAGAAAAAAAATGGTAATCAGTAATCACCAACTAAATTGGATGTTCTCGTACGGTTATCGACAGGAAATTTTGTGGCTTGCAATAAAATCGCATGAAATGGTACCATAAATATAGTGGACATGGTACGTTATCTATATCGTACCCCCCAGATTTGTTTTGTTTGTTTTTCTTAGAATGCGGTATATGATTCACTAGACTATTATTGAACATCTCTCAACAATTCAAGTTATTAGAACCAAACGATTTTTGATATGGTATCAGAGTCTTCTTATAATCAAGAGGTTTTCTAGTCGAATTTCAGAGACCCATTTTCGGACTGTGCAAACTTCAAACCCAAGAATGACATGAGTTTGAGGGACGTGCTGATATGTGGTATAAGATTCATTGTATAATATCTTATTATTGAATCTCTTCCCCCAACTCGAGTTATTGGAGCCAAATGATTCTTGATAGTTCTTTCATGGCATTCATTTCTTTCAAAATAAGGGGCCATATGTATTATGTAAATATTAATAACCGCGGAGAGCCGGAGACGTTAGGATGTGTTATATCCAACCTATACATAATTGTAAATTGTAATCATATACAGAGTATCCAATTCATTTGCTCTCATAATTAGTGATTATATTATGTTTAAATTGTGGGGAAAAAAACCATCCTCAATTTTTTTTACGCCATCTTCACTTCATATGCAATTACATTTATTGTAATATTGCAAATTTGTAATGGAATGTCACACCACCAATGTAATTGATTTTGCAATTACATAAACCATGTTATATAATCTTGCAATTGAAAATGCAATATTGTTGTGGATGCTCTCCAAGACTCCAACTTTACGCTCAATAAAAAACAAAAGTGTTCTTGTTCTGTTTCTATTTGTTTCGACACTTTCTGCATTGTGAAGGGATAGGACTTCACAGTATGACAAATGCAGTTTTTGATGGGCAAGCGATGATTGAAGAGGAAAGCCACTGAAGTAAAAGTCTGAAAACGATAAAAGGGACAAAGGAAGGTGCCCACTACTAGCTCCTTTCCTTTTTGACTCCACAACAAGAGAAAATGTTGAAAAGGGAAGATGATATGTAGATCAGAGTTGGAAAAGGAGGTTTCCATCAGAACTGCTGGACTGGACTTGATTTGTCTTTGCACTTTGCTTATTATGTATCTTAAGTTCGTACTAATCAATGATTCCATGTGTTTTCCCCCATTTTGTCAGCTGTACTAAACTACTAATGATTTTTTTTATCATTATTACAGCTGATAAAATAATGATTTTTTTTAATCATTATTTGGGATGACTTGAATCAAAAAAAAATTCTATAGATGATAGGTGATGTGAAAGTTCGCCACAATACTATTAGACAATTAAGGGATCGTTTGAAAGTTGAGATTTCAAGTGAGGTATTTAGCCAATACATGTAATGATAAGATTAAGTCGTTTTTTGTTTTGTTCAATTTGAGTTAGAATACATGTATTACCTTTTTCCTGGCCCACCCACAATCACTCAAAATGAATGATTGTCAATCTCTACAAAAAGTAGAGATTGTTAATAAAGGATTGTCTACCCTACTTTTTGCTCAATCATTATCTTTCCAAACAAGGTATTTTCCTAATACATGTATTGAATCAATACATCAAATAATAATACATGAATTGATTAAATGCATCTATTTGGAGAATCTCAACTTTCAAACATGCCCTATAATATCCACCTTACAATTAGATAGGTCAGTCAATTAAGGTAAAAGAATTCAATTTAAATATCATTTTAAGGGAATTATAGTTACATTGCAAAATGTGATCCTAAATTAAAGATTGGAATAGGGACTCTTGATTCTCTAACAATGAAAATGACACGTATGTTACTAATTAGGCGCTCTGATCTTCTCGGAACCCTCTGACCAGTGCGAAAGGCCCTAGGGTTTCTTCGGTTTCGCTGATTATGGCGGCCCCCTCATCGTCAGGGACGACGGCGCTGGCTGATAAGCCCCCGGACACTGTTGGGGGTCGGCGGCCGCCGCCGGGATCCTCTTCGCCGGACGGAGAGAGCGAAAAGGAGACCGTGCAAGCGAAGAAGAAGGTCCGACCAACGAACTTTGACAAAACATATCCAGCTGATGAGGATGGAGGTACGGCGAGTATGGACACGGAGGAGGATTCCATCCGAACACAGGAGGCAACGGGAACGGAAGGAGGGACAAACAGCTGGTTTGGCTCGGCAAAAAGACTATTCAGTGATGTCCTCAAGGATGAGACCTGGTATGTGGAGGAGTCGGATTCAGAGGACGTCGCTCAACGGGAAAAGGAGGAGGATAATATCCCAAATATAGATGACGATCCAAAGTGCCCCCACAATCCCATTCACAGCGGCGCAGAAGATAAGGTGGCGTAGGGAGTGGAGATCAGCTCTTGTAGTAAGGGGTTTGGAGAGGAAGGTATACTTTCCGGCACTCGAAAAAAAGATTGAACTACCTCTGGGCAAAACATGGTGCTCACCAAATCTCGGACCTGAAGAACGAGTGTTTCCTGGTGAAGTTTAGGAACAAACTTGATTACGAACATGCACTCACAGGAGGCCCGTGGCTACTGGGTGAGACATACCTGACGGTGCATAGATGGTATAAGGGTTTTAACCCGTGGAAAGCGGAAGTTAAATCCACCATGATATGGGTACAGTTGCCTGAATTGCCGATAGAGTTCATCAATAAAGAAGCAGTAATGATGATTGGACAAGCGATAGGAATCCCAATAAGAGTGGACCGAGCAACGGAACTGGGAGCTAGGGGAAAGTTTGCTAGAGTGTGCGTGGAGGTCGATTTAACGAAGCCTCTCCTATCTCAGTTCAAGATTGAAGGAGTAACATACATAATACAGTATGAGGGAATTGAAAATATATGTAGTAATTGTGGTATGTATGGAAAGAAGGTGCACCAATGCCATTGTCAAAATGTCACGCAGACGGAAGAGGATGACGATATGCAGGGCGGGGGACAAGAGACTCCTCTGACAAACCCTACTGAAGGGCAAGTGTATGGGGAGTGGATGACGGTACGTAAAAAGCGTCCGATACGACGAGAAGCCTCACCCCCACTGGCGGAGAAAAAAGGAGGAGTAGGGGTTGCAAGGGGAGGCCGGTTCCACATGCTGCATGGATATGGGGAGGAGTCTGAGGTTGGGGAGAAAGGGCGCCAGGTTGCAAATGATAAGATCCAAACAAGTAAAGCTACAGCGGAGGGGAAGAATGATAGCCCAGGTGGAGTGGGAAGTGGAAGCCAGCAAGACCCTGAAAATAACAAAGAAAGCCCAATGAGGGCGAGTGGGAGTAACAAGGGAGGTCAAGGACAGGGAGAGAAGAGGAAACAAGTTATGAATTCGGGTCAACAGGGGATGGAGAAGAACTCCAAGGAGAAAGGCAGTAATAGAGGGGAGTTGGCAGGTAATACGTCGGGGAAGAAGGGGGAGGGGAATAGTCCGAACCAGCGAAGCATGGTGAACAAGGATAGTTCGGTGAAGGCAAAAAATACTGATGGTGCGGGGAACCTATCCCCTTCTGGTCATAAATGAGGATACTTAGTTATAACTGCCGCGGATTGGGGAGTAAGCGAGCAGTTAAAGCTTTGAGATCGCTTTTGCGACAAATCTCCCCGGACATTGTTTTCTTAATGGAAACAAAACAAACAGAAGATGAGAACAAGGTTACGAAAACTGAGCTGGGTTTCGATAATGGAGAGAGCTGGTCCACAGGCCTATCGGGTGGTGGGAGAGCCGGAGGGGTGTGTTTGTGGTGGAAGGAAGAGATTAACCTACAGATTATGTCCATGTCGCTACACCACGTGGATGCGAAAATAACAGAGAAGCAGGAAATGGATTGGCGATTTACCGGCATTTATGGGTGGCCTGAAGATAGAGAGAAGCATCAGACATGGGAGTTAATGGGTAGGTTAGCGCAGCAATGGGCGGGACCTTGGTTGTGTGGGGGTGATTTCAACCAGATTCTGGCTGCGGAAGAGAAGGAAGGAGGACGACAGGAAGAGACTAGAGACATGGTAGCTTTCAATGACTGTTTACTGGAAGCAGGCTTGGTAGATATGGGATATCAAGGATGTAGATTTACATGGGCAAACAACAGGACCGTGGGGGGTTTCATTGGGGAGCGGCTTGACCGTTTCCTATGTTCAGAGTCATGGTGGGAGCGCTTTGATAAGGCACGGGTCATTAACATGGAAAAGGCTCGTTCAGACCATAGGCCAGTGGTGTGTGATACTTTGGGGGAAGAAGATGAGGAACCAAAGTGGGGCTGGTCCTTTCGGTTCGACCCACACTGGGCGAAGCATGAGGAATGTCCGGGAGTGGTGGAGGAGGCTTGGAGGATGGGGAGTGCAGGAGATTCACTAACAAAGCTTCGGTTTTGCAGGGACAACCTTGAAGCATGGAGTAGGCGTACATTCCCCAATTTCCCTCGGCAAAAGGCCAAGATTCGGCGTGCGTTGGCTGCTCTTGATCGCGGCCACATCACCCCGGAGGTCCAAGTCCAACAGAAACAATTGGAGAAGGAAATGGCAGAGCTCGAGGACAGCGAAGAGCTGTACTGGCAGCAGCGGTCGAGAGCGGATTGGCTGAAGGGAGGAGACAAGAACACCAACTTTTTTCACAAGAAGGCCTCGGCACGTTGGAAACGCAATACAATCAGGAAAATTTGCGATGAGGCGGGCGAGTGGCATGTGGGAACGGAGCAAGTCCTGGGCTGCATGGTAAATTATTTTTCTCACCTTTTCCATGCAGGGAGAGAGCCTGACGAGACCCCGGTTCTGGACTCGGTACGCCCTACAATCACAAGGGAGCATAATGAAGATTTGACTAGGCCATATGAACGTGACGAGGTGTATGCTGCTTTAAAGACGATGGGAAAGAGGAAAGTCCCAGGAGCGGACGGAATGTCGGTACTGTTCTTCCGGAAGTACTGGCATGTGATAGGAGACGACATCGTTGGCACAGTTATCTCTATCTTGGAGCATGGAGAAATCCCAGAGAGCCTGAATCATACTCTTATAGCGTTAATTCTGAAGGTGAAAACCCCAAACTCACCAAAGGAATTTCGTCCTATAAGTTTATGTAACGTTTTGTACAAGCTGGTGGCGAAGGTTATTGCTAATAGACTGAAGAAAGTCCTGGACGCAGTGATCGCCCCGGAGCAGAGTGCTTTTGTACCAGGAAGAGCAATAACGGATAACATTATTGCAGCTTTTGAGTGCTTCCACACGATGAAGAAGCAGCAGAAGAGGAAGGGTACAGGGTTTTTTGCGGCAAAAATTGATATGGCTAAGGCTTACGATAGAGTAGAGTGGCATTTCTTAGAAGGAATTATGCGCAGGATGGGGTTGAAGAGAGATGGATCAGCACGATTATGATGTGTGTTCGTACTGTTACGTACTCAGTGATGGTTAACGGACATCAGTCGGAGGTTTTCTCACCTAGCAGGGGGATACGCCAGGGGGACCCGTTATCCCCATACCTGTTTCTACTTTGTGCGGAGGGTCTCTCAGCTTTTACGAAGAAGATGGTGGAAAATAAACGGATTCATGGTATCCAACCGGCAAGAGGAGCCCCTGTTGTCTCCCACCTCTTTTTCACGGACGACAGCGTGTTCTTCGGGCGGGCAACACAGTAGGAGGGCGCAGTACTGAAGGGAATCCTGAATGCTTATGAAAAAGAACCTGGGCAGCTTGTGAACTTTCAAAAATCACAAGTTTCTTTCAGTAAACAAGTGAAGATGCATCAGCGATTAATGGTCAGTGGCACACTGGAAATGGCGATGGTCGAAAAACATGACAAATACTTGGGGTTGCCGACTGTGGTGGGCAGGTCGAAGAAGGAAATTTTCGCGGGGCTGATTGAAAGGGTTCGGAAGAAACTAAAGAATTGGAAAGAGAAAACCCTCTCGATTGGTGGACGGGAGACACTGATAAAGTCAGTAGCTCAGGCACAATTTACGTACGCAATGTCGGTTTTTCGAGTGCCGAGTTCGATAGTGAAGGAAGTACATGGTTTGATCACAAACTTCTATTGGGGGCAGCGGGGATCGGAGCGACGCATTCACTGGATCAGCCATGACGAGCTAACATGGCCGAAGGAGGAGGGTGGTCTGGGTTTCCGAAATCTGTTTGGTTTTAATACGGCTTTGCTCGCAAGACAAGTGTGGAGTATTCATCAGAGGCCGCAATCATTGGTGGCCAGGATACTCCAGGCCAAATACTACAAGAAGACGACGATATTGGAGGCTGCTGTGGGCCATCACCCCAGCTATATATGGCGGAGCTTGATGAGTGCTCAAGAGCTCCTAAATGAGGGAATAAGGTGGAGGATTGGGAATGGGGCATCAGTACAGATCTGGGGTGATAAATGGCTGCCGGAATCGACTCCCGCCTTCGTAACTTCAGCCCCAATGGGCCTCCCTGTTGATGCTAAGGTGCGGGACCTAATCTCCCCGGAATTGGATCAGTGGGACGAGACAGTGGTGGAGGCTTGCTTCCCGACGGAGATTGCTAGTCGGATAAAGCAGATTCCGCTGAGAGGACTGGATGAAGTGGACAAGCAAATTTGGATGGACACGCCTAATGGGGACTACTCGGCAAAATCAGGCTATAAGTGGTGGCTGAAGAGGTACAAGGAAGAAAGGCAATTGGCCGAAGTGGGGGAAGCGCATGTATGGAAGAAGCTATGGGCTATGGAAGTCCCGTCGAAAGTTAAGCACTTTGTGTGGCGGTTTGCTCGGGATGCTCTGCCGACAGGGGATCATATCAGTATAAAAAGCGAGAGAAGAACTGATAAGTGCCCCTTCTGCGATCTCAAAGAGACGCAAGTCCATCTATTCGACGAATGTCAATGGACATCTCGTCTATGGCGAGGCTGTGTACTGGATGGTTGTTTCTCTCGGCGAGGCAACCGGTCATGTTATGAGTGGTATAAGCTGGTTATGGAGGAGTTTGAGGGAGAAGTTCTGGAAAAGTGGAGCGTTCTACTGTGGTTCCTCTGGAAAGAGCGAAATGCTCATATGTTCAACAGATCAAAGCTAGACGAAGGGGAGATTGTAGCCCGCTCCCAAGCTTACCTGGAGGAATACAAACAACACCAGGTACGTGAGCAGGTGGTTGCGACTCCCTCAGTGAAGCATTGGAAGAAACCGGACTTTGGAAAGGTGAAGATTAACACTGACGCAGGTTTACTCGAGAACGGGGGGATTGGCCTCGGAGTAGTGATCAGGGACGCTGAAGGAAACTTCATCCTCGCAGCTGCGAAGAAGATCCCGAGACAATGGGACGTGGTCACTGCAGAGGCGATGGCGGCAGAGATGGGAGTGAGCCTAGCTTGACAGTTCTATGTCAGCAACCCGACCCTAGAGTCGGACAGTCTGATTCTTATTTCGAGGCTCTCCGAGGCGAGGGGGAATCAGACAGAACTTGGCACTGTATGCAAGAGTATCACAAGGAAACTGCTCGAAATGGGTAATGGGTCGTGGATTTTCACCCCGCGGGAAGGCAACATGGCTGCCCATATTATGGCGCATTCGGCTGCGAACTGGAATGATCAGAGTGTTTGGTTAGATAGTCCTCCCACGTTTCTAGTTGACCAGCTAGAGCTGGACAATGTAGCTTCAGATTCTGCTTAATAAAATCTGCAGGTTCCGATAAAAAAAAATAATTCTCTAACAATGACGAAAAGTTATTTGTCTAAAATATATAGGAAACATATCAATATTCTTCTTAGAGGTATAAAGAGAATTAGTCTTGAATCAATCTTTTAGTGGTTTTGTTTTGTCAACACCTTCTTGTGTATACGTTTAGTATTTGATTAACTTTTTAATTATATGGAAATAGAGGAGGAGAGGATACGTTTAGTAGCTGGAAGTTATGTTATTTCCGTAAACCAAATCCACAAACTACGTACCTACATACTTACTAGCGGTCAATTAGTTAGTCGGGAAACCTTAATAATTAGCGTATTCTGGTTAATTTGGCTTTATCTTAATTAATTAATTAATCCTCATCTTAACTACCTTGTCATGCTCTTACACGCTACCGCAAGATAGATCGATGGAATGCCAGCCAAGATTGTTTAAAAAGAAAAAGTTTCCATGGCTCTATCCTCTATTATCAAATGCAGTAACGGTAAATACTACCCTCCGAAATGAGAATTAAACAAGAAATACAGAATGAAGATAAAAATAAATCATCGTCAATATCCATCGTTTGATTGCATATTTCACGATCCAACGTCAATCTTGCTAGTCGATGTGGCTCGTTGAGTGAACCCTCTATCTGTATCCACTAAAAAAAAATACCTTGAATGGGCATTGGCAACTTATGATTTAATTACAATCTCCAATTTTCCCATCCATGGCGGGAGAGAATATTTGTCTCCCGACCCGAAATTGACCTAACCGAATACCTAATAATTTCACTCCAATCCCATCCATTCCCCAGGTTCAACTCCCCTGCCCACATTCCCGCGTAATCACAACCTGCCACCGTCTTAATCATCCGTCTAATCACATAATCGATTATAATTCAATCAATCTAACCGGTCACTGCCACCGGCCGCGCCGCCAAGGGATTACTGTCGGAAGTCGATGAATTTCAGCCACGGAAACCCACTCCTCGTTGCCTTCTCGACTTCGTTGGAACAGGAGGAAGACGACGAGCACGGCGGCGGAGTCGGCGATATAACGCCACCGCTACTGAATTCGGTCGCCGCTTTTCTCTGGCACATGAAGAAATTCCTCGACCCCAACTCTTGAAGCTTATCTGCCCTTTCCAGACCTGGGGGACCACACCAACCAAAATCAGACTCAATCAATCAAAACCATCCACGTCTACAAAATTTTCTGCAATTCCCAATTAGGCGAAACCAAAAGGGAAAAAAAAAAAACGAACGAATTGGTGAAAGAAAAAATTTCAATCGGCGGATGAATCGATTTAGGGAAGAGCGAGATCTTACTTTCTAAGCTGAACTGCGAGTAGTGGAGACCGAATCGGGAGGGATCCGCCGCGACAACCGGCCGTCGTCCTTCCTTGTTGTACTGCCGGATTACGGCGGCGATCAAATCTCCCACCGTCGATTCCGGCGAAATCAGCACCTGCACGGCCCCGACGCTGCCTTGCACCGTTACGTTGAGAAGCAGCTTCGTCAGCTTGAGCGGCCGGATCTCGACGCTCGACGACGCCGTCGTCGAGCTTCGTCCGGCGAGCAAGTTCGGCAAGGTCTTCGGCCTCTGCATCCTCGGCTCGGCCGGCAGAGTCGGCGCCATCTGCTCCGCTATTTTCCCGCCCTGAAACGACACCGCGCGCTCCGTCAGCCGGTTCTTGCGGCTGTTAGCCTTCTCCGTCGGGTCCATTAGTCCTCTCCGGTTGCTCTTCCCCGTTGACGGCATAGCAGATAATCACAACAGAGCAAAACAGACTGTCTCACCTCAGGCGGCGGTATCGGAGGAATCGGTAGCGAGGGAGAGCGAGAGCGGCGGAGGAGCTCGGGCTCTCGAATCCCCGTCGGCCGTCAGCGCGCATAACCAGAGTGGTCTACTTTTTTGTACACAAAACCAACGAATCAAGAATGAAGAAATCGAGAGAATGGAGAAGGGGAAATGGGGAATGATGAATTTTGGATTCGGGTTTAGCGGATTAGAGTGGGGCTTTATATGGAGTGGAGGAGAAGCGAAGCGGGCGTAAGAGATAAAAGAAAAGACGAGAGAGGGATACTCTACTCCCATTGGAGACGTCGGGCTTACCGGCTACAGCCGGTAGGAAGCCCATTTTGTACACGCTTGATTAGGTGGGTCCGCCGTTAAGGCCCGTGAAAGTGGCCATGGGCCCTACGAGGCTCGCCTAAATTTTTTTGCGTGAAGCAGGAGGACGAAGCCAAGAAAATTACAAGGGGATTAGGAAGATGGGGTAAGAGACCTGGAGACAACCCTCCGCTTGAAACGAATACCCATCATATCATCACGCAGAATCGAGGTTAAGTCTGTTGGCGGGTCCGCAAGCTCATACATACCAAAAGGATAGACGAGACTGTGCTTCGAGAGCCAGTCTGCGGCTCTATTCCCTTATCTGTACGTATGAGTGATGCGAACCAGCCAATCTCGACTTACCTGGCGACGAATCGCTGCAAGCAAAGTTGCATAAGGATGCACTGGATCTTGTCTGTCTTCTACGAGTTGAATCACCAGCTGAGAGTCAGATTGTACGATGATGGCACGATGACCCTCCTTCCAAGCAAGCTCGAGTCCATAGAACAATGCCCAAATTTCCGTTAGGGCAGCTGACGCAGATCCAATGTTTGCCACGAAACCGGCTCTCCACCTCCCTGTAGAATCTCGTATCAGCCCTCCTGCACCTGCCGGGACGGGATTTCCACATGACGCCCCATCAACATTCAAAGTCATCCAACCCTCCGGTGGGAATGTCCATCCTATGCTGGCCGTGATGCGGGTCCCTTGCCGCCGTTGATTTCCCAGTTCCGAGTCTGGCGCTGTCCACGCTGCATACCACAGTTTGGCCTTGGCTATGATCGAATGAGTCAGGGATGGGGAGAGCCCTTTGAACGTCGTGGTGCACCTGTTCTTCCAAAGGAGCCAAACTGAAGTGGCAAAGAACCCCGCCCACGGCATCCCGATCGCCCTGCTCTCAACGAGGCTCGCCTAATTGTTCCGGGCTCATTTACGGATTACGCTATGCAAATTATGTGGTGCCTGGTAGGTTTGGCGGCTATCGCGGTCTAGTTAAGAAAATCCAGTGTTTCGCACGTGGGACAAAAAAAAAAAACGTTATCGTCGCCGCTAGAGTTTGACAGTGACGGCCTGGGACGGTGGAAAGGAAGCGGTCACTGGAAGGTTTTTTTTATTATTATTATATTATAAAACTAAACGGCAAATAATAATACACGGTAACGACGTAAGCAGTAGAAGTTAAAAGGGGTGTTGTGGTGAATGGTGATACCGTTACTGTTAGTAAAATAATAATAATAATAATAGCGGGGGAAGTCAGCTGAAACGGCGGTGTATTACACGTGTCGGAATCTAACTGAGTGTGAGTGACTCAGCAGTCCTTCTACCCGGCAGCCGGTTGGGGTTGGGGGACGTGGAGACAGGCTAGTGGCCCGACAAGAGATGCCAGAGCCGGGTGGGACTCAGGCTGACGTAATTCGTCACGCTTCCCTAAGACAAACACGATTTAGGCAATTAATTAATGCATGATTTAATCTGGGGATTTGTCAGTGTATGAGTTTAGGGTTTGATTAACATAATAATAACAAAGGTTCCCACGTCGGATAAATAAATATCTTGTTTAAATATAGAAGGAAATCCTTGTTACTCTGAGACGAGTTTGAGTTTTTTTTTTTTCCCGAGTAATATCAGAAAGAAAGTTAGAACAAACACTACTCAAACGCCCTCCCCACCCCGCTAACAAACCAACCTATAAAGTCAAACGAAGCTTGATGATGAGGAGAATGCTCCACAAGATTCTCCCTTGTTGTTGAGTCTGTTGTAGTGGACCGTTGCCACTCCCCTGTATTTGCTCTATGCTGTTACTTAATATCCGCTGCTCAGTTTCATCTCATTGTATTATAAAAGTTGAATCTCAATAATAGAAATCTCACGTTGTGAGTTCCTTTCATGGTATCAGAGCTCTCTTTGCTCTAACGAGCTCCGCTACATCCCTTCCTCTGATTTCTTTTTACCTGTTATCATGGCCACAGAGACGACATCTTCTCCTTCTTCTACCTCTGTTTCTGATGCCTCTGCTTCCATTCCCACCTCCTCGCTGTCGCTTCCTGCCAATCCCTAATTAAGCATCAAACTTACCCCAACCAATTATCTTCTTTGGCATGCTCAAATCACTCCTCTCCTTCGCTGTCACCGCCTCATGGGTCACGTTGATGGCACGTTCTCTGCTCCTCCCCAACTCGTCGATGGCCAGCCCAATCCGGCCTATTATCAATGGTATGAGCGCGACCAGTACGTTCTGAGCTGGATCAATTTTTCTCTTTCCGAGGCTGTGTTGCCCATCGTGGTTAACAAATTCACCGCCTATGCTGCGTGGTCGGCCCTGGCCACGATCTATGCCTCTGGTTCCAAGGTTCAAGTTCGTCATCTCTCCAAAGCCCTGCATCAGCTCCGCCGCGGCGATACCTCCATTCACGACTATCTACAAGATGCAAAAACAAAGGCCGATCAATTGGCTGCTCTTGGTTCTCCCGTCAACAATGACGACCTTACGGGCTGGATTCTCGATGGCCTCGGTGAAGATTACCGGCCGTTTGTTCGTCACATTGAAGCCCGTCTCGAGCCCATCAGTTTCGAAGATCTCCACTCCTTGCTCCTCAGCGAAGAGCTTCAGATCAAGCGGTTCTCTGCTCGATCGGATTCTCCTTCCCCTGCTGCCTTCTATTCAAACGCCGGTGGTTTCCGCGGCAGAGGCGGACGTGGGCGTGGTCGAGGTTTCCCTCGCGGTGGCGGTCGTCTTTATTCTCACCCCAATTTGTTTGTTCCCTCTGTTGGCAGGTCAAACGCGGTGGGAGGTGGTGTTCTTGGGCCTCGGCCCGCTGGTGTGCTGGTTACATGTCACAATTGTGGTGGGAGAGGGCATATTAAACCCAACTGCCCAAGCCCACTCATATCCCCCACTCTCTCGGCCCATTCCGCATCATCTACTGGGCAGGCCTCTCATAACCCCTTTCCCAGCCCACATACCCATTTTGCATCTTCCTCAGCCCACGCCTTTAACCCACAGCAATGGTTATTGGATTCGGGTACAAATCATCATTTGACGTCTGATTTAGACAATCTTGCTCATCATTCCGAGTATAATGGCACTGATCAGGTCACGTTTGGCAATGGTAACTCTCTTCCCATCTCTCATTCTGGTGCTTCTAAAACTTCTTTATCTCATTTTCCTATTTCCTTGGATAACATTCTTCGTGTTCGTAATGCCCCTTTCAATCTCCTTTCCATTAGCTCTCTTACTCGTACTAATCCGATCTCCATCGAATTTTTTGACACTCTTTTTGTCATCAAGGACCGAAGCACGGGGAATGAGCTCTACCGCGGTTATGCCGTCGATGGTCTTTATGCACTTCCTCTTCAAATTTCTCGCCGGCTTTCCCCGCTTGCTTGTGTGGCTACTTTGCATGTTTGGCATCAACGTCTCGGTCACGCCAATGAACGTGCTGTCAAGCAAGCTCTTAGTCATCATCAAATAAAATTTCTTTCTAATTCTCCTTCACTATGTCATGGTTGTTCCGTTAGTAAAATTCACAAATTGCCGTTTTCTTCATCCACATTTTGTGCTTCTGCTCCTCTCGAACTGGTTTGTAGTGATGTTTGGGGCCCTGCCCCTACTCTTTCTTACGATGGCCAATCCTACTACATCCTTTTCTATGATCATTATAGCAAGTTTTCATGGATCTATTTCGTTCGATACAAGTCTCAATTGCTTAGTGTTTTCAACCAATTTCGCCAACTAGTTGAAAAGTTTTTTGGAACCCCCATCAAAACCTTTCAGTCTGATTGGGGTGGTGAGTATCAAGCGTTATCCACGTACTTACGCGATAATGGTATTGCTCATCGCTCTTCCTGTCCTTATACCCCTGAGCAGAATGGGTGTGCTGAACGCAAGCACCGTCACATTGTGAATAACGGCCTTGCTCTTCTTCATCATGCACACGTTCCTCAAAAATATTGGTCTCTCGCCTTTGACACTGCCTGCTATCTCATAAATCGCACTCCCACGCCCTTGCTCGATCATGATTCCCCATTTCACTTCCTTTTCAAACGTCTTCCTGATATCTCCAATCTTCGTGTCTTTGGCTGTCTTTGTTATCCTTGGCTTCGCCCTCTTACATCCAATAAACTAGACCCTCGTTCTCTCCCGTGTGTTTTCCTTGGTTATAGTAAATTCCATAAGGGTTACCGTTGCCTTCACATTCCTACTGGTCGCATCTATATCAATCGCCATGTACTATTTGATGAATCCCGATTTCCTTTTGCTGAACTCATTTCCCCCCATTCACCCACTGTTTCTCTCCCATCCCCCAGCCCAATAATTCTCCCATCCCTACCCACCATTCCTCCCTCCGCTACTATTCCCAGGCCCACCAATTCCCCATCAACCCAGCCCACTAGCCCAGTCTACCAGCCCAATACAGAACCCATCTCTCCGCCCCTCAATCAGCCCGTTCCCGACCCCACTTCCCAGCCCCTGACCCAGCCCGTACCCGACTCCACTTCCCAGCCCCTAACCCAGCCCGATCCAGACCCCAATACCCAGCCCAGCCCAGATCCCATACCCGACCCATCCTCTTCGTCCGCTTCCCCTGCTCCGCCAGCCTCACACACTCGACGCCTCATCTCACCGGCTGCTCCTCTTCGCTCTCCTCCACCCACGCCATTGTTGCAATATCACCGCCGCCGCCCTCCCCTCACATCGGCCGCCCCTGTCTCTCCTGTTTCCTCCTCTTTTCGTCCCACACCACTTCCTCCTCCGCGCCCTCTAGCCCCCCGCCCTCGATTCACCACCTCCCCTCGTCCTCTCCCCATAACCAACCCCACCAGCTCCCTCCATCCTATGGTTACCCGAATTAAGACTGGCCACCTCAAACCGAAAGCCCTTCTCTCCCACCTTCCCACTGATGATACACCTCGCACCGTGGCTCAAGCCCTTCGCCTACCCCACTGGCGCGCCGCGATGTCTGACGAAGTTTCAGCCCAAATCCGCAATCACACCTGGGACTTAGTTCCCGCGCCGCCAGATTGCAACATCCTCTCCAATAAGTGGGTGTACCGCACGAAGATTCATCCTGATGGCAGTCTTGATCGCCATCGTGCTCGGCTAGTTGCTCGTGGGTTCGAGCAAATTCCAGGACTGGATTTCGATCAGACGTACAGCCCGGTCCTCAAACCGGCCACTCTCCGTCTGATTCTTGGTCTTGCGGTGACACAGGGTTGGCCCCTTCACCAAATTGATGTCGCTAATGCGTTCCTTCATGGACAGCTGCAGGAAACTGTGTATATGCAGCAGCCACCGGGATTTGTTGACCCCGACAGGCCTGATTATGTTTGTCGACTTCGCAAATCGATTTACGGTTTGCGCCAGGCGCCACAGACTTGGTTTCAATGTCTGGCAGCAGCACTCGGCAGGTTCGGCTTCTCAACTTCACGTACTGATCCATCGCTATTCATATACAAGTCCTCGGCCGTGCGCCTCTATATGTTGGTGTATGTTGATGACATTGTCATCACCGGAAATGACAACTCCACAATTCAGCGACTGATGGTGTTTCTTCGAGACAACTTTGCCCTCCGTGAGATGGGTGCTCTGTCTTATTTTCTGGGTATTGAAGTTCATCGGACCTCCTCCGGCATTGTTCTCAGCCAACGCAAGTTCATCCTTGACTTGCTCGACCGTGCCCATATGTCTACCGCCAATCCCATCTCAACTCCTTGCACCCTCGACATCATTCAACAGGCTGCCCAGGACAACTCCCCTCTCTTTGCTGATCCATCCCTCTATCGAAGCCTGGTTGGTGGCCTCCAATACCTTAGTTTCACGCGGCCGGATATCTCTTTCGCCGTCAATCATGTCTCTCAATATCAACATGCCCCTACTGACACTCACTGGGCTGCTGTCAAGCGGATTCTACGCTATCTCCGAGGAACTATTGATCGCGGTATGGAATTTTCTCGGTCTTCATCTCTCCATATCCATGGTTACTCTGACTCTTCTTGGGCGAGTTGTCCAAAGGATCGTAAATCAATTACCGGGTTTGCAGTCTTCTGCGGATCAAATCTGATCTCCTGGTCCACTCGGAAACAAAAGGCTGTCGCTCGCTCATCCACAGAATGCGAGTACCGCGCGCTGGCCACGCTAGCTTCTGAAGTGCTCTGGCTGCGTAACTTACTTCACGAACTCGGCCAATCTATTCCTGCACCTCCGGTCCTATGGTGTGATAACCTTGGAGCTACGTTCCTGGCTCACAATCCGGTATTTCACAATCGATCTAAACATATGGAGATTGAATTTCACTTCGTTCGTGATCATGTAAGCAAGGGTCAACTGCGTGTTCATTTTCTTCCCGCGACTGATCAATTGGCCGATGTGCTCACCAAGCCTCTGCCTCGTGTGTCCTTCACACGGTTTTGCTCCAAATTTCGACTCACCGAGCCTCAATTTGCGGGGGCGTGATGATGAGGAGAATGCTCCACAAGATTCTCCCTTGTTGTTGAGTCTGTTGTAGTGGACCGTTGCCACTCCCCTGTATTTGCTCTATGCTGTTACTTAATATCCGCTGCTCAGTTTCATCTCATTGTATTATAAAAGTTGAATCTCAATAATAGAAATCTCACGTTGTGAGTTCCTTTCAAAGCTAACTCTAGCCGAGACAGCAACAGGGCTTTACGCGCCATTCTATGGGCAGCCCAGTTGGCAGTCCGCGGAACCGCCTTAAATTCTATACAAAGAGACAAAGATCCAAGGATACTCCTACAATCTCTAAGAATGGGGCCACCCACGGAATCCTCCACTGCACCAAGGCTAAGCTGACGGATGACCACAACCGCATCTCCCTCAATGATGACACGAGGCAGATTTCTAGAACCTGCAAGAGAGATCGCATCCCTTGCTGCAAGGAGCTCTGCAAGGTACGGGTCTGAAATCCCTGGATGCTGGAAACCTGAGGCAAGCAGAACATGACCGTCCGAGCCACGAACCACAAGACCAGACGAGTTTGAGTTAACCATTCCTAAAAAAAAAAAAAGGTTTGAGTTAACCAATTTAGTGAAACGGTGACGTATTGGGGATAGTTTTAGGAATCAGGATAGGAATAGAAGAGAAAACCAGAGGAAAGAATGGCATGAATCTATGAGCTGCAATGGCTGTGTTTGGGGAATGTTTCGATGTATCTTGTAATGGGTTCGTCAGCAGAAATAATGGTGGAGGTATAAGAGGTAAAGGATGTGTGGAGGGAAAATTTATTAACATCGCAATGATTTTCTTTTTTCCGTTGTAAACGATATGTTAATTTGACTATAGGATGTTAATACTATCATTTATAAGAATGTTTTTATAACATTCACAATCGACTAAACGAGCGATGGATGCTCTGTAGTCATTGTATGAACACAATGCTACCCTTATTTACAAAATTGCTATTATATTCATTCAATGATCAAGAAACGAATGCTTGACACTTGATCGGGGCCGACTTGTGAATATTGTAAGAACGGTTCCTAAAAATGGCGTTGCGCAAACCCTAGTCGGATTGCTGGCGCATGCTGCTACTTAAGTTTGGTAATGCCAAGAGCTAATCACGGGGTCAAGTTGCATGGTAAACGAAATATCCAACTCTTAACTTCAAGCAAAGAATCGATTTTGTTTTTGATTACGCAAGTGGTAACCTTCCCCCATATCCCTTTTCGTTTTCAGAGGACAAATTTTGTGGACCTGAAAAAAATAAATAATTGACTGATCAAATAGTAGAACAAAGAAAAAAGTAGGAAAATGTTGAATGCACATTAATTAGATAGAGAGTGCTACTTGAACATCAAAGGACAAAGATACAGTGACCTGACCTGACCAAGATGTGAGAACCTAACAAAAACAGTTGAAGGCTAAGCACCCAAGTTTGATCAAGTTCATCGGGAAGACGTACAGCACATCGACTAATTGACATCTACTCTTGCCAAATTCATCAACAAGACACCGAAATGTCATGGCAGCGTCAAGGATCTGGATCCACTCTAGTGGAAGTTGTTTCAACTCCGAGATTTTATGATTCATTCGTTTCAGTGATCTCGACGTATGAAGGTATCATGAATATGGTCTGATAAAAAAATATATGATACTATTAGAGTATCGAGTAGGATTGTGTCATACTATTAGAAGTTATGTATTTTCCATAGTAATTGTATTCTATATAAACCCTACATGGTTCCAGTAATAAACAAATAACAATACGCAACAATTTCCACCGAATTCTGATTTTCCAACACATATATATCTTTTAAAACGTGAATAAGAACATGACAATTCCAATTATAAATCGATACTGAATTTTAGCACAGGGTTGCGGTAGTAGTTAGTACCAAAGAATGAGACCGCCGAAACTGTTTTGTGTAGGTTGCATCAATGATTTTACTTACTCGAACGTCGGATGGATGGATAGTTTCAGGAGCAGTGACCACCAAATTGGCCAACTTGGTGGGACATGCATGGCCAGGAGGAGAATTGAAGGCCTTTCATTCAATTCCTTTCATCAACAAGCTTTGCTACAATGAACCAATGTCGACACGTTGTCCAAGGAGTTCGTTCACATACATTAGTGGTTGGTTGGCTTGACTTGGATTGGATTGGGAAGTAGGCAGTAGGCTTATCGGAATAAACGAGAAACCGACAGTTTATGAAAACAGAAGAGAATCAATTATGAACTTGATTTGATTCACACGTTTTGAACAAGCAATACGCGCGGAAGAGAGATTCTGTGTGGCTTGTGCTTTTAACATAGACCACAACCTAACCTGCTATTGCTAAGATGCCGACAGGCTCTTCTTACTGATCAAACACGGTTTACTGCCGCCGGTGGCGATGGTGACTGCACTGTGGTCGTCGTGTCTCTGTTTCTTGTATTCCACGCCGCCTTATGATGGTTGGCGGCCATGCAACCTCATTACCTCAGTGTTGTGTTGGTACCAAAAGTGAATTCGTTCACGAAATCGAGAGCCAAAACTGGTTCCTTCCTTCTTTCTTAGAACCATGTGTTATGGATGTTGTCTCTTTGCTATCTAACTATGATTGGACAACGTCTCTACAAGGACTGACTGTTTCATGGAATAGAATTAGTGCCGTTTTGGCAACACCCCAACCAAGAGAGAAATGGAGGCGGAGAGATGTTATGCAAAGCAAAGACAATCTATTTAACGAGATTCGGGTCGAAATGTGAGTACGAGTAGGTGGGAAATGATGAACCATCGGACTTTTACTAAAAAAAGAGACGCTAAGTGTGAGGCACAAAAATTCAACTATATTGGCTTCTTGGTTACATACTTAGAATTTCGTGACGACAAGAAACATGACATTTTTCACTTCTGACTTGAGTTTTAAAAGATATTTCTCAATTTTAACATCTGACTACATACTAGACTCAAGACTCGAACGCTTAGATGTGCTTAGGTACACGAGATAACAATGTTTGGTATATTAAATGACAAGAAAATATAGGAAAAGAAGGGGAGGGACATACATGCCTTATATTCTCCCTGCAATGATAATTGTTTACTCGATTGATCCTATATCCTAACACTTAATGCTTATCTATCTATACATAATATTATGGCAATTCAAAATTAAATTTTTGCCACATAAGCATTTGGAGAGATCTCAAGTTGCCAAGGTGGACAATTTTTTTTATAAAAAAAAAAGTTATTGACCTATTTATGGAGTTGTCCATCTCTCTTCATTTAATATTTAATTCTCTTTTATCCAATAATTATTTTTCTTTTGTTTTTGTATTATATCTATAAATAATATATGGAGAGAAAGGTTATCAAACCGGTTTAGCAAGTGAAATGGTTTTACCAGTGGTACAACTGGTTTGTGTCGGTTCATGTCGGTTAATAAAATATGTAAAAATATCAAAAACCATTAATATCAAATGAATTTAATCATATATAAACCATATTTGAAGACAATTTACGTACAATTCATATTGATATTTAATTTTGAATTGCCATAATATTATGTATAGATGTACTCATACTTAAATTCACTAAAACATAGGAATCGTATGTGCAATATTTATAATGTATCCTAAGTTCACATTACTAATATTTTCTCTAGGTCATGTTGATTGAGCAATCTCTATTAAGGTCTTACATCATATGCTAAGAAATTTTATTTTCAGACTTGGAGTTATTTATTGTTAAAGATTATAAATTGAAGTTTCCAAAATGACTTGAGTATAATAGTTGATGAACTTTGACTTCATATTCTAGGATGAGACACGAGATCCCTTGAAAAACGAAATGTGTGAAATTTAGAGAAATCTTTGTTAAGGATGTACGTTAAACATCACATTTCATGCTAAGAAAAATCTAAATTCGACGATTGAGGTAATAAATAAACATTAATGTTTTACTTCACATATATAACAAAAAACATTTATAGTTACAATAGTGTAAACCGAGCTATATAGTTGTGAGCCTGTGATTTCATACCAAATTTTGGCATATCATATTCCACCCAAGGAGCTGAGTTCAAAGGTATTAATTAGTGTTGAAAGTAAAATAAACTCTCAGTATATATATGTTTAGATATTAACAATAGATGTGTCTACAATACATCCGATAATTTTTATACATGTGAAAAGCCACATTGTTTGTATGAACTTTTAAATTTTGCTACAAGATATTTTATTAAAAATTATAAGCTAATTATTCAAGGAATACATAATTTTGAATGCACCTGAAATATTTGTCTGTCGTATACACACTTTACCAATTATTAATATAAGTAATGAAATTTTTGTTCTAGAACAAACACCAAATATAAATTGTCAAATAATAATAATTTGTAAGATAATAATTGATATATATTGTAAGATAATAATAATTTGTATCTTGATAGAAAAATTATCATAAGTTGCTATACAAAGACTTCATGAACATCAACAATAAAAATGAGTGAGGTTTAGAGAATTTAATCATTATAAGCGATACGATGTGTATCAAATTTCAATTGGGATAAACATAACTTATACAGTAATTAAGTATCTTTTCCAATAATTTGAACTCTGATTAATTGGCTGAGAGTTCGTACAAACTCGAGAATGATGAATTGATATATGTTGTATAAGATAATAAATTTGAGAGTTTTGGTTGAAATTTTTTTTATATACGATCCTAAATGGGACGTGATAAACCTTTACGACAGGATATATGATCAGAGAATAAAAACATCACAAGCGAGTGTGCTAACTATTAAATATTAAGACTTTTTAGTATAGGCATACCACATATTCACTTATGAAGCGAGAGCAGAAAATATATACAAGATCCAAAAAGTTCAAACATATAGATAAGTTAACTAACATAAATAATAAAATGAACTTCTCCGGCCAACTGGTCGGGTAAAAAACTAGTATTCCTTAAATGTTGATCACCCTCATGCTCTCATCTTCTACGATTTACAATTTCACTTCTGACTTCATTGTTAAACAATCTTTCTAGATTTTAACATCTGACAGCCTTCTTGCCATTTCCATCTTAAACCGGATGCCCTAAACATGAGACTCATCGGACGCTTGAACCATTCAACACCAATTCCTTCAAACATAACCACTACCTTCTCATTTTATAGTCCACACACACTAACTTGAAGCAGCCGCAACAGAAATGAGACTCAGAAGATTTTCGGACCTGAGCTACGACTTGTTTTTCCTGTAAAAAGAAAAAAGATGTATAATTGGGTTTTCAATTCCGCTGGGCCGAACTAAAATTTTAGTCAGGTCCAACCTTTAACCCAGTCCAATAAGTTGAGCCCAGCCCAATCCGAACTTGACACCACATGAAGTTTTGCTTTTCCCATTTTCTAACCTTTCTTCTGGTATGAAAGTGCATCGACTTTCAAAGATCCATTTTCAATTCCTTATTTTTCACTCTTTCCATTCCACCTACTGCTACTAGTAGCCTTCAGGCTTCAGAGTTCAGACTCAGTCATCTCAGTGCCCACTTCTGCAAATATATGTGTGATTTGTCACAGAAGTGACATCAAGTTGAGTAGTCCAATGTGCCCAAATTCCAATTTGTGGAATTCCTTGGATCAACTTTGAATTTTCACCTCTATTTGGAAGAGAAGATTGATTCCTAACCAACAAATGGTTACCCACTTACAGCGAACGAGGTTAAGAATTGTGCCACCAGAGCAGAAATCTTCAACAAGCTCGAAAATATCAATCAAGGCAAATTGCAATGAAGGCACAACGTATCATACAAGCTCGAAAGTCGGTGACTCTAGTCAATTTGCTCTCACGGTGTCGGCACCATCAATTCCAATTCCAATCAGTCCTTTCTCAAACCCCACTTCCTACCTGTTCAACAACAGGCTATAAATGGCACACATCAATTCATCCATTTCCCTGCAATTCATCCATAAAATGAATTCCCTCACCTGTTTGATCCTCTCGCTGCAGATTGTATTTGTAGCCACAATGGCTCAGTTTGCTGCTCCATCAATCAATATAGAGACGGACAAAGAAGCCCTGCTGGCTTTCAAGTCTGGAATTAGCTCACAGTTCACAGATGCCCTGCCTTCCTGGAACCAAACCTCACCTTCTCCTTGCAACTGGGAAGGAGTTTCCTGCAACAGATTCGGCCGGAGAGTGATAGGTCTCAATCTCTCCAGCTCGGGCTTGGTTGGTTCAATCAGCCCTCATATAGGCAACCTCTCGTTTTTGCGCTCCCTGCAGCTTCAGAACAATCAGCTGACGGGAAGCCTTCCAAACCAACTCTGCGATCTCGTTCGTCTGAGGACTCTCAACTTGAGCTCCAACAGCTTGGATGGTTCGATACCGTCGAACATTAGCAGGCTGGCAGAGCTCAGAAACTTGGACTTGTCGATGAACAGAATCACTGGAAGGCTACCTGACCAGCTCGGGTTGCTACCAGGTCTCCAAGTCATGAACCTGGGGAGAAATCGTCTCTATGGTCCAATACCAGCTGCTCTATCCAATCTTTCCTCGCTGCTCGACTTGAACTTGGGGACCAACTCTCTCAGTGGTGCAATTCCATCAGATATGAGCCGTTTGCGAAGTCTGCAGATGCTTGATCTCACCATAAACAATCTCACTGGTACAGTTCCTCCTCCTATATTCAACATGTCTGAACTTAGATACATCGCCTTAGCATCAAATGATCTGCGGGGTAGACTTCCTAGCAATATAGGGGAGACACTTCCCAACCTTTGGGGTTTCAATTTCTGCTTCAACAAGTTCAGTGGGGCTATTCCGGCCTCATTACACAATCTCACCAACATTAGGATCATCAGAATGGCGCATATGCTCCTGGAAGGGACTGTCCCTCCAGGTCTGGGGAATTTGCCACTCCTGGAAATGTACAATATTGGTTTCAATAGACTAGTGAGCTCGGGTGATGATGGTCTTGGAATCATCACTTCCTTAACCAACAGTACCCGTCTGAAGTTCCTTGCAATTGACGGCAACTTCTTCGAAGGAGTGATTCCTGAATCTGTGGGAAATTTGTCCAAGGGACTGGAGAAGTTATATATGGGAGGGAACCGGATTCATGGCGCTATACCGGGATCAATTGGTCGTCTTAAGGGGTTGACATTACTGAACATCAGCTACAACGCCATCAGTGATGAAATCCCAGATGAAATTGGCCAGTTAGAGAACCTACAGGAGTTGAATTTGGCTGGAAACCGAATCTCAGGAGCCATTCCGGATTCAATTGGCAATCTCCAAAATTTGAACCTGATTGACTTGTCGAGAAATCAACTGGTGGGTGGAATTCCATCGAGTTTCGGGAACTTCAGTAGCATTGCTTCCATGGATTTATCCAACAATAGGCTCAATGGAAGCATACCCAGAGAAGTCCTCTCTCTCCGAAGCTTGAGCATTATCTTGAATCTAGCTAACAACTTCTTCAGTGGGGGATTAAACCAAGATGTTGGGCTTCTACAGAGTGTCGTCTCGATTGATCTTTCCAACAATCTTCTCTCCGGCAGTATTCCTGATGCAATCAGGAATTGTAAGAGCTTGGAGAGATTGGCCATGGCAAGAAACATATTCTCTGGCTCAATTCCTGGAAGCTTAGGAGAGATCAAAGGCCTGGAAGTCCTGGACCTGTCATATAACCAGCTGTCAGGCATCATTCCTCCAGAAATCCTCAGCCTGCAAGCGCTTCAGACCTTCAACATCTCATTCAATAACCTCGAAGTAAATCCTTGTAGTGGAGCACATGCAAATTTTTCGAGAGTCCAGTTTGAAGGCAACCCAAAACTTCCCCTCTCACTATCTTGCCAGAATGGTCGATCTAATCGACTGGTGACAGTCCTTATTATCAGTGCAGTTGCAGCAACAGCGGCATTGTTTTTTTCCATTGGTTCATTCTACTATATGAGGAAGAAGAACAGACAAAAAGTCACTCACGCTTCTGGCCTGTTGAAAGAAACACACCAGATGGTCTCATACGATGAGCTCCGTCGAGCAACAGACAACTTTGGCAGGGAGAATCTGGTTGGAGATGGTGGCTTCGGATCAGTATACAAAGGCAAGCTAGCAGACGATACAGCTGTAGCAATCAAAGTCCTGAATGCTGGGAAGACAGGCTCTTGGAGCAGCTTTCTAGCAGAGTGCAAGGCGTTGAAAAATGTGAAGCACCGAAATCTTGTGAAGCTGATCACAACATGTTCAAGCGTGGATCATAAGAACGAAGATTTCTGGGCTCTGGTATACGAGTTCCTTCCCAATGGGAGCCTAGCCGATTGGTTACAACCCAGAAGAAACAGAGATGAGTTCAATCTGCTGCGGAGACTAAACATAGCCATAGATGTCGCCAGCGTGCTCGATTACCTCCACCATGACTGCGAAGTCCCCGTAGTACACTGCGATCTGAAGCCCAGCAACATTCTGCTGGATCAAGACATGACCGCGAAAGTGGGAGATTTTGGGCTCGCCAAGTTGCTGATAGAGAAAATGGGCGACCAATCTTCCATTAGCTCCCTCCATGGCCTCATGGGCTCCATTGGCTACATACCTCCAGGTAAAAAAATTGAAACTCTTCCATTAAAACCTCATACATCATAGAATTCATTGAGGAATTTAATCAAACAACTCGCCTGCATTTTAAAACAGAATACGGCCTGGGCTCAAAGCCGTCGACAGCGGGCGACACCTACAGCTACGGAGTGATGCTGCTGGAGCTATTCACGGGGAAGGGCCCAACGGATGCGAGCTTGTCGGAGAGAAACCAGACGCTGATCGGGTGGGTGGAATCGGAGTTCCCGGAAAACGTGTTGAGAGTGGTGCATCTGGAGGCGGTTGCCGGATTGAACAACGGCGTATCCGATGACGATGACGATGACGAAGAATTGGGTGTGGTGAAGACGGAGCGATGTCTGGTGCAGATTATCGGGGTCGGGCTGTCTTGCACCGCCGAGTTGCCTGAAGGCCGGATCACCATTAGAGACGCACTGCGGAAGCTCCTAGCCGCGAGAAGAGATGTTGACAGCAGCGGTGCGAGCGCGAGCAGATGGTCTCGAGAGCGAAAGTAATAGCCGGTGGACGAAAAACGTGTTACTTTCTTGTTTGACTATTTTGGAGGATAAACTCCTTTTGGGCTCTGTTTAAATTTCGGCCCGAAATAGACAACAGATCAAAGCCCACAAAGAAGGGGGGCCACCCTGAAAAAGAAAAAAAAATACTAGCCATAGACTCAAATTTTGTGCCTCAATATGTTCAACATAAATAAGTCATCACCAAAAATAGTAATTATCATTTTCCACCTCAAACCATCAATAACCCTGCTAGGCTAGAGGCAATTGCACAGATACAATAATCGACGGTTCAGTGTTTTTATAATTATAGTTAATATATACAATATTTTCAAAATTTGATACATTTGTACCTTATGTTCAAATTTATCGAGTGGTCGGGCTCCCGAAACTCTATGTACCTTCACCCCTTCATATACATATAGCAAAAGTCATAAAATGTAGCCCATGTCTTAAATAAAGAAGATTGATATACTTTTTAAAAAATAGATGCAACTCATCACATTTTACTTATGAGTTATGACGATTAAAGTATGCTATGTCGCCCTACTTAGAGATGACAATTTCGACCTGACCTATTTTACCTGACCTGTTTGGCCTGTTTTGGAGCGGGCATGGGTACTCTCATCGACTCGATATCTCCTGACCAGCCCCATTCTCGACCCGTTCTTGCCTAAATTACATGCGATCTTAGTCAAATTACTTAGGATTTTTCTTTTATTACATAATATTTTAGCCATAACAAAGTTGTAAATTAGTGAAAACCTCAATTTCTCCAATAATTTAACTACATTTATCATAATATGGTTTGTTTTCTTGGTCTTATAATGAAATTAACGAATATTTCTAATGTTTTCCATATAAATTGTATACTCATTGGGTCGACCTGCCCCGACCCGCGATCCATGATAATTTACCTGACCTGGACCCGACATGTCACAGAACCGATATGAATATCATGGTACCTGCCCGGACCTGCCCCATTACCATTCCTAGCCCTACTAATAAACGATAGTATGAAATTCTTCCTACCTAAATTAATCAAATTCCAAAGCAATCCGAATCCTTGACTAGCACGCTCTCAAAATATTATATCAGACTTTTCATTGAAACATGTATCTTAAGCTTATCCGAGCATTAACACTGTAACTGTTTTACCTTTTTCAGGATAACTGAATGTTGACCAATTTGACAAGTCCCAGAAATGAAAGTGCCCTTTGAAATAGTGGACTATCAACCAGTTTCAAAAAAAGCAACAGGCAGTCAGTCAAACTTCTCCTCTAGGCCGTCTTACTCTCGAAATTTCATAATCAGGGAAAAAAGCTCATTAGCTAACTACCCCATTAACTTCCTGGAACAAGCCAAAAAGGCCAGGGGAGAAACCATTCCTAGATTCTCCACTCCACAAATTGGCCTAAATTTTATATTATCATCAGTCATGACCACCAAGTTGGACGAATTTTTTATACTATTGTTACGGCTTTCACGTGCCCATCCTTTGATCTCAGCAACATTTCCATTCTTGGATACTGCAATTATTGCCGTCAACAATCAGCATAGAGCAGCGAACAGAGCCCCCAAAACAACCCACGGAGATGAGCTCCGCCGCCACCGTGACCTCCGCCGCCTTCCTCTTTTGGTTCTTGCTCAGTTCCGTTTCCCAGGCGGCAGCTGGTCCGACCAGTATTGACACAGACAAGGAGGCCTTGCTGGCGTTCAGGTCTCAGGTATCATCTCAACCCCCTGCTGTGTTCTCTTCCTGGGACGACGGCCAAGCTTCATCTTCTTCTCCTTGCAACTGGACCGGAGTTTCCTGCGACGAGAGTGGGAGTCGAGTGGTGGCCCTCGGTCTATCCGGTTTGGGTCTGGTCGGGACGATCACCCCTTTCATAGGCAACCTGTCGTTTCTCCAGTCGCTTGAGCTTCACAACAATCAGTTCACGGGGAACCTTCCTGACCAAATCTGCAGCCTTGTTAAGCTGAGGGTTCTGAACATGAGTTCCAACAGGTTGGAAGGTTCTATCCCGGGGAACGTAAGCAGGTTGGCAGAGCTTAAAGTTCTGGACTTGTCGATGAATTCATTCACGGGTTGGGTTCCAAATCAACTGGGCTCGCTTCTCCATCTTGAAGTTCTCAACTTGGGGAGTAATCTTCTCTCGGGTCCGATTCCTGCTTCCATATCGAATATCACGTCACTTGTGGAATTGCACTTGAGCACGAATTCCTTCTCCGGGTCGATTCCTGGGGAATTGAGTCTTCTGCGAAGCTTGGAAGTTCTTGATCTGACCATCAATGAACTCACTGGTACGGTTCCTTCAACCATCTACAACATGTCTTCTTTAACCTATTTAGCATTGGCTTCCAACCAGCTATGGGGTACAATACCTGGAAATGTTGGGGAGACTCTTCCCAATCTTCTCGTCTTCAGGTTCTGCTTCAATAGGTTCACTGGAGGGGTTCCTGGTTCGCTGCACAATCTCACCAATATGCGGGTCATTAGAATGGCTCATAATCTTCTGGAAGGAACCGTACCTCCAGGTTTGGGGAATCTTCCATTCCTGGAAATGTATAACATTCGCGGCAACAGGATAGCAAGTTCAGGCACTGATGGTCTTGGATTCATCACTTGTTTGACCAATAGCACCCGACTGAAACTCCTTGCCATTGACGAAAACCTTTTCGAGGGCGAGATTCCAGAATCTGTAGGGAATCTTTCGAAAGATCTGACCCTATTGTACATGGGAGATAATCGAATTCATGGGAGTATACCGTCCTCAATTGCCCGTCTTCATGGCTTGACATTGCTGAACATCAGCTATAATGCAATCACCGGACAAATCCCGGATGAAATTGGGCAGTTAGAGAATTTGCAAGAGTTGATCTTGGCTGGGAATAGAATCCAAGGAAGGATTCCAGATTCATTTGGTAAGCTCCAAAGGCTGAATGTGATGGACCTGTCAAGAAATGAGCTAGTGGGTAGAATTCCATCGAGTTTTGGGAATTTCCACAGCCTCGTTTCCATGGATTTATCTAGCAACAGGTTGAATGGAAGCATACCAAAAGAAGTCTTCTCTCTCCCAAGCTTGAGCATAGCTTTGAATCTGTCTCGCAACTACCTAACTGGGGAACTGAACGAAGATTTGGGGCTTCTACACAATGTTGTCACCATTGATCTCTCTTCCAACTTCCTGTCAGGCAACATTCCAATCTCAATCAGAAATTGCAAGGGCCTAGTTCGGCTGTTCATGGCAAGAAATTCACTGTCAGGAAGCATTCCAAGCACTATAAGAGAAATGAAAGGGCTGGAAGTCCTAGACCTGGCCTACAACAATCTTTCTGGTGTCATTCCTCCAGAACTACTCCACCTAGAGGCTCTTCAGTTCTTGGACCTTTCGTTCAATAACTTGGAGGCAGATACTTGTAGCAAAACACTTTCAAAAGTACGATTTGAAGGCAACCCGAAGCTGCTTTCCCTTTCTACGTCCTGTAAGAAAGTTGGTGGATCTAGTAGCAAGAAACTAATGGTGGTCTATGTTAGTGTTGCAGTTATAGCAACACTAGCTTTGTGCTTCTACCTTGTCACATGGGTCTACCTAAGGAAGCACACAGCGAAGGCCACTGGCAACTTAGAGGGGGACGAACATCAACTGGTCTCGTTCGAAGAGCTCCGCCGAGCAACAGAAAACTTTAGCAGCGAGAATCTGCTGGGAAGCGGTGGATTCGGAACAGTTTACAGAGGGAAATTGTCGGATAACAGCGTGGTGGCAGTCAAGGCACTGAACGTGAAAAGAACTGGCTCAAGGGACAGCTTTCTGGCAGAGTGCAAGGCTCTAAGCAATGTGAGGCACCGGAATATTGTGAAGCTGGTCACAACATGCTCGAGCTGGGACTCCGAGAACCAAGAATTCTGGGCTCTAGTCTACGAGTTCCTACCGAATGGGAGTCTTGCAGACTGGCTACAAGCTGGCAAAGATGGTGAAAAGAGAGACCGGTTGACTCTGCTACAGAGACTGAACATAGCTATCGATATTGCCAGCGCCCTAGATTACCTACACCATGGCTGCCAAGTCCCCGTAGTACACTGCGACTTAAAACCCAGCAACATCTTATTAGACCAAGACATGACGGCTAAAGTTGGAGACTTTGGACTCGCCAGGCTGCTGATAGAGCAAATGGCGGGCGACCATAAGGCTCCCATTAGCTCATGCAATTTCATCAAAGGGTCCATTGGGTACATTCCTCCAGGTAAATATATACAAAACTTTCTGACAACGATGACCATTCTACCTAAAAGAAATGTGGTTCAGGCAATTTAACAAACACTTCGTATGCATGCAGAGTATGGAGTGGGGTCAAAACCTTCGATAGCAGGGGACACTTACAGCTTTGGGGTGATGCTATTGCAGCTGTTCACCGGGAAGAGCCCGATCGACGAAGGGTTGATGGAGAGCGAGCAGAGCCTTATGGGTTGGGTCCGATCCGCTTACCCGGGAGAAGTGATGGAAGTTGTGGATCCGGATGTGGTCTCGTCCGTGAAACCCGAAATGGAAGAGCAATGCCTCGTCAAGATTCTGGGAGTTGGACTGTGGTGCAGTGCTGGATCCCCTGATGGCCGGATCTCCATGAGAGACGCGCTGTGGAATCTGCAGGCCGCGAGGAGAGATCTTGTTGCCAGTTATCTCCGGAGGCTCAAGCAATAGGGAATTAGGGGCTGTAATTAATTACTAATTAGTAGGTATGATTAATTTGTTAATTATAGTTCTCTTTTTTGCCCGGCCTTCCTGCCTTTGCTTCATCTCTCATTTGTTCATTGATTTTGTTTTTGTTTTTGTTTACAATTGCATGTTGGAAATGTACATACAATAGCCACCAAGTTTGGCTTAATGAAAGCTGTTCTTATGTAATGTAAGTCTTTAGGACAATGGCAATATTATTATCAAATAATAATACATAAATTGCGGCTCGATGCATAAAGGTTGGTACAAGTTAATTCCAATTTCTTATTGTTATGTGTTGCTATGATTTGAAAACAGATTATTCTGCCATCGACTGGAAATCATGGAGTCGTTGATGTCCGTAAGTTGAAAGATCTTTTGAGTATTGAGTTTGAGATGAAGGATTTGGGAGCTGCTTACAAGATTTTGGGTTTGGAAATTTACAAAGAAAATAGATTAGAAGAAGCTTTCATTGTCACATAAAAGTTACATTGAAAAGACATTGTCCAAGTTTGGCATGTCATCAGCAAAGCTTTTAAATACTCCTAATGCTAAATATTCATCAAATTCTCGGTCTATGCACTTCAATCCGAAGCTGGGAAGGAGTACATGTCTCGAGTCACATACTCTAGTGCATTAGGTATCTTGATGTATGTTATAGTATTCACTAGACTTGATCTTGCATATGATGTTGTAGTTGTCAGCATGTTCATGGTGCAACCTCGGAAGGAACGTTGGCAAGTTGTGAATAGGAGTTTCAGTTACCTTAAAGGTGCGTCTTATGTGAGAATTAACTTTGGAAGTGATACAGAGTGCTTGGTGGCTTGTTATTCATATTCCGATTATGATGGAGTGTTGATACAAAGAGACCGATGATTAATTATCTATTATTCGCTTTTGGAGGTTCTATAGTTTAGTTGGAAGGCGCTATGCAGTCTAAAGTTACTTTGTCTACTACACAAGGATAGTACATGACGCTAACACAATTAGCTTTGGAGGGAGTATGATTAAAGGGATCGGTTGGTGATGTGAGTTTACATCATGATCAAACTGTGATTTATAATGACAGTCTGAGTGCAATATGTTTTGCTAAGGATCAAGCCCATCATGAGAGGACTAAACACATGGATGTGATCATTTCTTGAGAATAGAGAAATTGATTAACGTGAAGAAAATGGGCAGTGCTGATAATCCTGCTGATATGTTCACGAAGCCGGTTCCAACATGGCAAGTTCCAACACTGTTTGAACTTGCTAAATGTTCTCAGCGATTGATATCTAAGGCAAGAGGGGAGTTTGAGGATATATGGCATTTGAGGGGGAATTCAAGCCAAGGTGGAGATTTGTTACTATGACGGGATGACAGTAGGGATGGACAATCAATTAGCGGTTAGCGATTAACCGACCGCTTACAACCAAAACCGGCCGGTTATCCACTAATCGAAAACCAAGATAACCGAAACTCGGTCGGTGTTCGGAGGCTGAGTGATATTGTTTTGGTCTTGGGGGCGGTTTGGTTAACCGAATATCAAGATAACCGAAGGCTTAAGCCCTCTTTCACTCGGTGGTCGGTAGGATTGGGAGGTGGTTCGATTGACCATTAACCGACCCTTCGGTTTTTTGTTATAACTGAATCAACCGATCCTCCACCCCTAGATGACATATTATCTCGACTGGAAGTCATATGGTATCGTTGTAATTTGTAGAAGGGACTATATACCTTCTTAATTTATGTAATATATATTTTTTCAAGTATAGTGAAACTGGCTCTATCCTACCCGTAATCTAGCTAAACACATATTTATATTTTAGATAAACTAGCTAACAGTTGATGAACCACATATAGTTCCAACATGGTAGGGGTGTAAGTTTGACCCTTAAAACCCACTGACCCGCCCCGCCCCGACCCTCAGGGTCGGGCTGGGTTAGTTTGTCTATAGGGTCAATTTTGGATCGGGTCGGCTTAGGGTCGGGTCAGGGTCAATTTAGGGTCGGGTCACTTTTTGACCCTATGACCCTTAGCATCATACAACACATGTTGGACCTATTTGTAAAATTTTATAAGTTTAGGTACTAAATTGTAAAAATTAAAAAATTTGAGTACCAAAATGTAATTTTACCTTCAAATTTTAGGGACTTATTTGTAAAAAAATAAAATTTAGGTACTAAAATGTAAGAAAAAATAAATTTGGGTACCAAATTGTGATTTTTAGAAAAGTAGTCTATTTATTAGGGTCGACCCACTGACCCGACCCTTCCTGACCCGCTCCGATCCTAAAGGGTCAGACAGGGTCATGAAAGAAACAGGGTCGGGGCGGGTCAGTTATACATCTTGACCCTTCAGGGACGGGTCAGACAGGGTCAGGGGCGGGTCGGGCCAATTTTCAGCCCTACAACATGGTGGTTGTTTATGGTAGTGGTTGGATCTTTGAACTCTTTTCTCCAATTTTATTGGATGTCTCCATATGTTTATCTCTGGAAATTTCTTCTCCATTTTCATACTTAATTTATCTATAATTAGCCTGTCTTATAGTCATGCATACATTAGTATGAAAATAACTCAACAAACTTCACTTGTGACTTACCCTTCTTCTTAGAAATTTCTCTCGAATTTCAACAAATCCAAACCATAATGTAGCTTCATTGTCAAACAGAAGGACTATAATTTAACTCAGAATGTCAAAATCGAAAAGAAATTGTTCCGTGTGAAAAATCATAATCTGACCACCAATTTTCCATTTATAATCTCCCATTAATATTATTCCTTTATCTTGTTTTGTCGGGTTCCCGTGCAAAACCCCCGGCAGCTACGGACGCCGGCGGGGCAGTTGTTTCCACGGCTCCATCACCACTGAAGAGTCTCGGTACCGGGACGGCATCACCTGGCTTCTCCGTCCTCTCTTCGATGTCGGCACCGTCGCCACCGTAGTCTCAGTCGTCATCTCATCGCTATTTTTGTACAAATCCACCACCCAACACTTGTTCCTCCTCTTCCTCTTCGTCCCACGAACCGCAATCCTGCCGCCACGTCCCCTAATCGACGGCGAATGCGGCTCTGACTCCTCCTCTGTCTCCTCCGCGGCTGCCGTCCGCATCTCGTCGGGATCCAGAGTGTTCGACGACGAACCACGACCGGAGGCAAGCTCCGTTGCTTCAATTAGGACCGTTAGCCGACGATCTGATATTCCGCTAATGCCTTGATCCCTTTTGTTCTTTTCTCCTCCTCCTCCTCCTTCCGCCCACGGCGCCGTTTCGGCTGCTCTGTTCTCCTCGTCAGCACGCCGACTGTCGTTTTGCACTCGTCTTCCTTCCTCCTCGAATTCTTTTTTGTCGTCGTCTTCGTCGCCAATCCCGTTGATGCCGATCTCCCGGATTTCGTTGATTCGCAGATTCGTTGCTTCCGAAGCCTCTGCTAGCGGCGGTGAACAATCTCCGCCGTGGCGATTGCTATTAGGATCAAATTCACCCTCGGAGTTCTTCTGATCAACAATTGCCGCAGACTCAGCACTACCTCTAACCTCCTCCTCCACCGCCGCCGGCGGCCCCGAAAAGTCGGGATCTTTATAATCATCCTCCGCCGCGCTACCGGCACTCACCGCCTCGCTTCCCTCTCCTCCACCGCCCAGACTAAATTCCATATTCAAATCGATGCCAATCCCTCGAGTCACGCAAGACAGATCCCTTTCCGGTTCAACCTCGGGGCGCGCCGAAGACGAGGATCCTTGATTCGAAGAGACCGTAGTGGCCGGCGGCGGCGGAGGAGCGGAGGAAGCAATGATACCCAGAATCTTGTGGAGGCACATTTGGGACTTGGATAAACCTTGTCGAGAGGGAGAGGAATTGCGTACCTGATCCCGGAATCGATACGACGCCATTTTAGAGAAAAGTAAACACAGGAGAGAAATCGATCGTCTCTGTTTTCTTTCTTTCTTTCTTTCTCCTCTGTTTCCGAAGCTGATCTTTCTCTCTTTCTTTCTACCTTCTCAGGCCATGATGATGACTACGACTTGCGCGTCCGCCTTCGCTGCCGGGAACGCAGCGGAGATCGCGGGAGGAAGGGAAGCGGAATCGGCGAGGAGATAACGCGGGAGATAGATTTTTTTTTTCTTTGGGAGGCGATTGTTTTTCACTCTCTCTCTCTCTCTCTCCGTCTTTTTGACGACTTTCTTTCTACCTTGAATTTCCTCCCTTTTGTTCCCCCTGGAACTGGAAGTTAGCATTCCGCCTTGGAAATTCCTGCTTAATTGGTCGTTCAATGACGTGGTCTTCGCCAAGGCCAGGTCATTGCCCACGTGGTTGACGGTGATTGGGGGAACCACCCTTGTTTTGTCACTTGGTTTCAATATGTTTAGAAAAGGACCGATACCGATTGATATTATTCGTCAATGTCGTTGCCTCTCCATTGTCTTGTTCTGTCTGTCCGTTTGCTACTTAACTTAGCTCGTGTTGATCAATCAGGGTAGTTAAACTATGTGAAACTTCTAATCCAGTTGAGATCAGGGGTGTATGACCGTATGGGTCATTTTCCACTTATGAGCATTTAGAAGTGTATTTCATCATAATAGTCTCGATTAAGATGCGCGATAGTATGAAAAATTCTCCTTCTCACCGTCTAGTTTATTAAAATTAGTGCATGATAGTGTCACGAATGTGCATTTTGCCTGCGTATCCATACAATAATAAAGAGGCTTTTATTGTATGACCTAAGTTTGAATTGGATTATATTTGTACAATTCATTTGTGATAGACCCATCAAGTCTAGATGATTGTATATAAAAAAACAATATCAATTATTTCATTAACTATATATCTTTATCCTAATTATACATGTGTTTTCACCTTTCTATCTGTTTTTTAACAAAAATTAAGATTTTTTTTTTTTGCATTATAGGTACTCATTTTCTTTTGGACTTATAATACTATGAGTTCATTTTAGATTCAAGTTAAAACTTTGGATGTGTATACGCCCATAAGACAAAATTGCCCAAACTCGATTTGACTCATAATAAGTTGAATTTGGACAATACCCAATTATTGAGTAATACCCAAAAATATTACCATGTGATGGTGTTGTGACCCGACCAAGATATTTCTCATAAACGATTACTTAATAATCATCATCTCCAGTTAGTAATAGTATGTGATGATGTTGTGCTCTACCTACATATCCTAACCGTTTATCAAAACCCAAACGTGAAGTAACAGTATAATAAAATAATGTAGGGTAAAAGTGAACAAAATACTCAAGCCCATAAACTATATGGATTTTGAATAACTTAATTAAAATCTTCAAATACATTAATTTGAAATAGTACAGACTTAGAAATACAATAATTTCATCCTATATCCCAACACAATCTTACAAAATAAACTAATACTGGAGTTACCAGCCATGCAATGCATGATGCAGCAGCCGGCCTCCTAAATTGAGCATGCATGAATAGCTCTTATTCCATTCTTCCAAACACACACGAATTTGCTTACATATAATTAAATTCTAATCCTTAATCATCAATAATTAAGTTCTTCAATCAGCCCTCACAAACTTGACGACAAAAGGATCCCCATCTTTGTCGACCAGAGCCAACCTCCTCCCACCATTCTCGTCCACGTAAATCCCAACATCCTTGCAGTCAACCTTGCACGACTTGCAAACCGCGGGACAATACGTCAGCTTATAGTTCGAACCATACTTCCATATCTTGAACCAGTTCTTCACCGTCCTCGGACCACTTTCCCGTTCACGTCGAGGACGGGAAGCGGGGTCAGCGACGACGATGTGGTTAGGGTTTCGGCCAGCGATCTTGCCGCTGAGGCGGAGGAGAGAGTAATGGAGAGGACAACCATTGCTAGCAACTTTGCACTTGCTCCTGCCCTCTTCATATTGTTGTTTTTTTTTCTTTTTTTTTTATTTAAAAAAAGGCTTAACTATCCCTTTCCCAACAACTCGAGTTATTGGGATTAAGTGGTTAGTTCGCTAACATGGTATCAGAGCCTAGAACCGAAAGGTCATGGTTTCGAATCCTCAATACGACCCCCAATTTAAGCAAACAATGGTTTAGTACAAGGAATGGTATATCCAACCTGTACAAACTGAAAGCCTAATGGGTTTGGCAGCACAAAGAATGATACGTTCAACCTGTGCAAACCGTATAAAAAACCGCGACAAAGGTAGGCTTTCGTTTGAGGGGGCGTATAAGAGGTTAAAAGGCTTAACTATCCCTTTCCCAACAACTCGAGTTATTGGGATTAAGTGGTTAGTTTGAGGGGGTCGTTGTTTGTTCTTTTGCTTTGTACGTTGGAGGTTGTGTGAAGAATCGGGAGCAGGGAGCAAACGGCATTTATAGAGGGAGCTGGGAGGTGATCAAATGGCAGAATATAGTAAAGATGGACGTACGTCGGGAAATCGTTTTTGTTGGCATTGGACCGAACATTGTAGAAAGTCTTAATTTTCTAGCTTCTTCGTAAGTTCAACTAAGTCCTCATTGGTTAGGGGAGGAACCAGAATGCTCTCACGTACAAATATTGCATCGTATGTATCAAGATTATGCTTGCTAACTCTGGTCAATCATGCATAATGTGCTTAATTTGACATATAATCAACTGCTTTTGTATGTATATCGAAGTCCCAAGTAAATATTAGCACAAGTTGAACTATATTATTATGGTCAAAAGTTGGGCTCCCTTTGCCTCTTAGCTTCTAGTGCAACGTATGTACTATTGTACTCAAGTATATGCAAATTTGGTCATATTCTACGTGACATAATCATCAACTTGTTTTATATGTATACCGAGGTTCCAAGTGCATATTTATTAGTCCAAGTGGATCTTTCTAGGGTCAAAAGTTAGGCTCCCTTTGCCTGCCTTCTAATGTAATGTCTTATTTAATTCATGCTAGCATATATAAACGAGACCAGGACTAGCAAGCTGTAGGAGTAGGACTAAGGATATATAGGAAAAGTTAGTTACTTAAACACTAGGATTAGTTAGTATTTACGGTAGAAATGCCAAATGCGCATGAACCAAATATTTGTATAATCTATTATTAAAAATCAATGGAAGAATATAAGTGTGACGACATTTGATTACCTAGAGTGGATTAGGATGGTATAATGAATGTAATCACATTTGACGATGTATACTTTATGCATACAGCTAAGGGAGGATTGCTCTTCGACGGGATTCCAGCTAACCAAAATATGGGATGAACACGATGATGATGGACTAATTATATTGGACACGTACCTACTTCCAAAATATATTTTTTAAAATTATGTAAAATTATATCAACCTACCTTTGAACTTTAACAGGACAAATTTATTTTTTCCTTATGACTAGAAATTCTGATAATTCCCCAATTTTTATTGCAGTATCAACAACGAAATTTGGATGAGGAATCGAAGGATCATCCGACTTAAAGGTTCTTCCTTTAATTACTGTTGAGCTAGCTATAGTTCGGTTAACCACTCTTTTTGTTGTGCAACTAGTGCAAGCGGTGGCACTGTCGTGGAAGGAGATGCATCTCTTAAATCAATCTGTAATTTGTATCTTCTCTAGTGAAGTTGGTCTCATTTGCTCGTGGACGTGGACGTAGCTAAACATATAGTCCCAATGAACACATAAACCTGTATGTTATTTATTTTCTCATAGTTAGTAAATACTTCGTTTAATACACGTATATGTATCCGTACGTATTTTATTCGTTTAAAACTTTTGTATCCGTACTGTTGTCAAGCCGTTTCATTTTTTACCGTTCATTTGATGGTTCTTATACTAAACACGTATAAAACCCGTATAACACATTTAATATCCGTATTTAATGACTTAAATTGTCAACTTTACCATTATTTATATATTTATTAATTTATAAAATAATTTATTTTTATATATTTATGACTATTAACGCACTATGAAACGTAACGTTAGATTAGAGGCAAAGTAAAATACCCGTACGTATTTTATACCTAACTTTCCTGTACCGTATTTTACTAACGTATTTTCTGCATTGTCGATTTTCGGTTCCATTCTAACAAATGATATCAAGTCCTTGGAAACAGATTTCAGTCAGAACATAGGATGATCGCCGTTAGGGATGGATCAAGATACAAATTTCAGCTGTCAGAACACAGGTTGATAGCTAGGGATGGATCAGGATGAATTTTCTAAATCAAATGCATGCATAAAACTTTATTATACATGAATAATCGATCTCAACTACGTACACTAAGCAATCATTGATGAGCTTTTGCACTTTCAGTAACTTTCAACGACTAGGAGCTAGCTAGCCTTCATGAACTTAACAATCATAGCGTCGTCACTAAGAGCAAGCCTCTTCTTGCCATCCTCATCCTCAAAAACCCCAACGTCCTTGCACGTCACTCTACAAGATTTGCACACGGAAGGGCAGTACACAATCTTGTAGCTTCCACCAAACTTGGCAATCTTGAACCAGTTCCCCACCGTCCTCAAACCGGGCTTCCCTTCGATCCCGCCGGTTCCAACGAACCACTTCTCCACATCGTCGTCGTAATCTTCCAGCTTCCACACCGCCGCCTCGGCAGTGAACTCGATGTTGAGGTCCGTGGCAGTTTGGACGGCGTAGCCTAGCTTGGTGTTGACCGGAAGGAACACCACGGAGAGGCCCTTGGAGAGCTCGTGGCGGTCTTGGACCACAGAAAGAGGGTAATGTTCTTTGGTGTTGGTTCGGTCTAGGGTTATATCCCTATTGCTGCCCATGGTATAATTAGAGGATTTTTTTGGTCATTTTGGTAGAAAGCTTCAAGTCTATCCAAGTCTCAAGTCCAAACCATAATACGGTATGTAGAGTGAACAATTCCCTTTTGGGGTCTCAACCTGAAAAATCCTGCACAGTACAGAGAAGAGAGAATTCCTACAGTAAATTGGTAGTTAGTGATTTATTGCACCTCATATATATATATGATTATCATACCACAGATTTTATATATGTGCTTTTTACATACACATCTTTTAAAATAACCTAAAATTATCTAATTTATACTTTTAGACAAAAAAAAAAAAAAAGAGAAGATACGTGGTTAGTGACATAGCTCAAATTTCACTCAAGGTGGATCCACGTAGAAATATACAAAATAAGTTCTATTAATATTTAAATGATCCACAATGTGTTTTTTTGTATAGTTTATGGACAGATATTTGAGGGTGAAGAATTCGACACTAAGGTAAGGAATAAGGATTAATAAATTTAGACTAAATAATTCAAAACATAAAATCTTTAGTTATTTATATAATATTTAAGGTTGATGTATGACATAGGGTTCACCACATTATGTCAGTAAGCTAGTAAAACTAATGAACATGGGTTACTGGTTCCGAGTATTATTAATTATGTACAATATTTACGATATATATATTGTGGCTAATCTAGATACGCCAGTGTTAGGATTGAAAATTTGCCTGTCCCGTCCCTGTCCCTGTCTGACCCGTCCCTGAAGGGTCAAGATGTATAACCATCTCGTCCTGTCCCTGTCTCCTTCTTGACCCTGTCTGACTCTCAAGGGTTGGGACGGGACGGGCAGGGTCAGTGGGTCGACCCTAATCAACACACTACTTTTTTACAAATTATGTTTTGGTACCCAAAATTATTTTTTCTTACAATTTAGTACCTAAATTTTATTTTTTTTACAAATAAGTCCATAAATTTTGATGGTAAAATTACGTTTTGCTACCCAAAATTTTCTATTTTTACAAATTAGTACCTAAACTTTTAAAAATTGACAAAAAGGTATTTGTTGTTGTTAAGGGTCACAGGGTCAAAACGTGACCCGTCCCTAAGTTGTCCCGACCCTTACAGGGTCAACAAATGACCTGTCTCTAATCTGTCCCTGTAGACAAACTGACCCTTCCCGATCCTTAGAGACGGGACGGATCGGGACGAGTCAGTGGGTCTTCCGGGACAAGCTTTCACCCCTAGCCAGTGTCAAATGTAGGATGCAAGAAAAGAGAGTCTAGCTAGCTAGCTAGTATGGTGTGTTGTTCATTCCAAAGAAGGTTGATCGAGGATATATTTGATGGAAAATTCCAAAGAACATTATTTTTTTAATGATGGGGACATGGAAGGATTTATAATATGAAATTTCAAGAAAATAAAAGACAGTTATGAATTACTTTAAATAACATCTTACTTGGAATTATACTGAATGTGAAATACAATAATTTCAAATCCTCCTATTGAAGCATTCTTACAAAAGAAATAGTTGAGGAGTTACCAACCATGCATGCATGCATGCAGCCGGGCCCCTTAATTGAGCATGAATAGCTCTTATTCCATTCTTTCAAAAATACTTTAATAAACTCAACAGATAATTAATGATAATCCTTAATTAATCATGCACCAATCACTTTCTTCAATCAGCCCTCACGAACTTGATCACAAAAGGATCGCCATCTTTTTCCACCAGAGCCAACCTCCTCCCACCATTCTCATCCACGTAAATCCCGACATCTTTGCAGTCGACCTTGCACGACTTGCAAACCGCGGGACAATACGTCAGCTTATAGTTCGACCCGTACTTCCATATCTTGAACCAGTTCTTCACCGTCCTCGGGCCAGGGTTTCCTTCAACACCACCGGTTCCAACGAACCACTGCTGCACATCGTCGTCATAGTCCTCCACCTTCCACACCGTTCCCTCCTCGCAGGGCGTGTCCGCCACGAACCGGACGTTCAGGTCCGTGAAAGTACGGACCGTGTAACCAGATTTACTGTTTACAGGCGAAAAAGTGAGCTGGATACCCTGGGAGATTTCATCCTGGTCCTGGACCACGGTCTGCGGGCAGCTCTCTGAATCTTTGGTCAGGCTAGCCAGAGCCACCCCGCCGCCTTCCCCGCTGACTGCGGGCAGGACGTAGTAGTTGGATCCCGACCGGACCACTTTCCCGTTCACGTCCAGGACGGGAAGCGGGGCCAGCGAGGACGACGTGGCTAGGGTTTCGGCGAGGGATCTTGCCGCGGAGGCGGAGGAGAGAGTAATGGAGAAGAGAACCATTAGTAGCAACATTGCACTTGCTCCTGCCCCCTTCATTGTTTCGAGATAGGGAAGTTGAATGACGTTTTGTTCTTGGGATGGGAGGCTATAGCTTTGTTTTTTGCTTCGTTGGTGGGTTGTGTGAGGAAAAGGGAGCATGGAGCAACGATATTTATAGTGGTGAACGAAGAGCAGAATATAGTAAGATGGGTACGTAATTAAGGAATTTCGTTTTGTTGGTATTGGACCGAACATTGTACAAAGTCTTAGTTTTCTGCTTCGTAGGCTCAATTAAGTCCTGATTGGTTAGGGGAGGATCCATATATGCAGCGTTCTGTATCAAGTTGATGCAAACTTTGGTCGTAATTAATCTACGTGAGATATAATCAACTGCTTTGATTTATGTGTATATCGAAGTTTCAAGTCCATATAAGTCCAAGTTGATCTATATATTATGGTCAAAAGTTAGGCTCCCTTTGCTTTTCCTTCTAGTGTAATATTGTCTTATACAATTCCTTCTAAGGAAGAACATAAACGAGAACAGGGGGACTTGAAGTGGGAGCCAGCAGCCAGTTCGACATATGATAGCTAGCTTAGATAAAAGAATATGGCTGAGGATGGGAAAAGTTAGGTACTTGAACACAAAAAATTGATTGTATAGTATTATACTATACAAATGTATAATGCATCGTCTATTTTGAACAAGGGAACTGTATAAAGTTGACATTATATTTACAATATTGTGTAGGCCTACGGAGATATAATTGAATATAATAACATTGGACTATGTAAAATATGGGATGACGATGAATTGATTGGATATACACCTACTTTCAATAATGTCCATCTACGAATTTGAACTGGGTCATTTTTATTTCTTATGAAGAAGGCTTTTTCAACAACAACAAAAAAATGATAGATGTATAGATTATTATAATATTCGATTAAGCGCATAAGAATATTTAGTTTTGATGATTTATTAATTGAATAAAGGGTAACAGAAACCTATATCCGTTCCGTTTATCTACGTCTTCTGATTTCAGTTAATAATTAAAAATTAATATTGTTGTCAATTACAAGGGGCCAACTAGGCAGCAGCAGCTACACGCTGCAACCCAGTTTGCCGCTAAATATTCCCCATTAATGGTAATTTTTTAAAGGAGGAACACCTTGTCATTTATTGCGCTGCTTATTTATTATGCATCATGCCCTCAGCCTCTTAAACAAGTATCATGAAGCATACCATAAAAAATATATAGATCAGAATTATAATAAAATACACTACCTATAATATTAAGTAGACCAGAAAGCTTTGAGAGTATAACATAACATTATCATACCATTAAATTCATAATGCATATTAGAAAATTCAAAGATTACCACATGTTTGTTAAAACATACCAGAAACATTATAAAACATATTGCAATTAGTTTCTTAAAGCAAGCCAAATTCCTATGAAGCAGAACACAAATTCATGGTATGATATTGATACTACCTATCCGTTCCCCGACTCGTGGCATATAATTCCTGTTGATATGTATTCTTTCGAAATCAGTGTTAGCTTTTATATTGATATCAATGTTTTTTTCTTTTTGTAATTGACGACAATAATAAATTCAGATCAACTATCAATGGATTATGTGACTTACTACCCCGTCTTTACTACATTGAGTCAAATTAAATACTCGTTTTGTTGTACGCGCGTGGAGTAACGCTGGGAGCTCCATGCCGCCTAATGCCAAGGTAGGGTTTTGCTTATTATTAGAGTTACGTACTCAATTATGTTTAACATTTCATGCCGCCATTTTACCATATTATATTATTCCCTTTAATTTGATCGCATGCATCAGCTTAATTCGTCCTCAAGTCAATAGTCATTTTATGGTCTGGACTCTGGATTCAGACAAGCTTCGGATTATGCTATTTATCGTGGAAGTTAAACTCAATTGATGATCGGATGATCAGCATGGATCAAGGTTACTTTCCCAAACAAAACATGCATAGAATTTGATTATGAAAAATTAATACATCCCAAGTACATTAAGCAATAATTGATGAGCATTAAGCTCTTATTCCCAAATCAACTTAAAGTAAGCATATTACTAAACAAATATATGAGTATCTTTCAGTGACTAGAAGCCTTCATGAACTTAACAATCATGGGATCATCACTAAGAGCAAGCCTCTTCTTGCCATCCTCGTCCTCAAAAATCCCAACGTCCTTGCATGTAACTTTGCATGACTTGCACACTGAAGGACAGTACACGATCTTGTAGTTCCCACCAAACTTGGAGATCTTAAACCAGTTCTCCACCGTCCTCGGGCCGGGCTTCCCTTCGATCCCACCGGTTCCAATGAACCACTGCTTGACATCGTCGTCGTAGCTCTCCACCTTCCACACCGTCGCCTCGTCACATGCCGTCTCCGCCGTGAACTCGATGTTGAGGTCAGTGGCAGTTTGGACGGTGTAGCCTGGCTTGGTGTTGACCGGAAGGAACACCACGGAGAGGCCCTTGGAGAGCTCGTAGTCGTCTTGGAAGACGGAGAGCGGGCATTTTTTGGTCTTGGTTCGGTCGAGGGCTACACCGCCGCCATTTCCAGAGACGGAGGGAAGGATGAAGTACTTGAGGCCGGAACGGAGTGGGGTGCCGTCCACGTCAGTGACGGGGACGGGAGAAGCAGCGAATGAAGTCGGTAGCTTCGTGGACAAGGCAGCCAAGAGGAAGAATGAAGCTACTAGGAGCATTGTGGACTTCATTTTTTGTGTTAAGTTGTGGTGATTAAGATTTGGTCGGGGTTCTTGGGATGCTTGCTGGAGGATGGGATTTTGTGAGTTGTGAGGAATAAAGTGAAGAGGACGGGTGGTATTTATAGGGGTTGAGGACAAGTGGGAAAAGGGTAAATTTGGGATTTGGAGTTGAATGATGGCCTAGTGGAGACAGAATTAGGAGAGGTTGAAAGTTGGGATTAATTGGTTAGGGAAGGATCCACGAAGCTCTTTCAATTCACATGCAACGTATGTATCAAGACGTATATGCAATTCTGGTCATAATCTACGTGACATATATAATCAACTATAGTTATTAGTCCAAGGGTACTCCAAGTTTATCTATATAGGGTCAAAAGTTAGACTCACTTTGCCTAATGTAATGTCTTATATATAATTATACTCATTCTAACATATATATATATATATGAATAAGAATAGGTCTATCTAGCTGTAGGGTAGGACCAAGGATCCATGGACTAGCTGATATTATTAGAAAAGTTAGTTACTCGACCACTAATATTAATTAACGTTTAAAGTTAACAGTACTTATGGCCCCTGAACAATATGGGTTTTCCTATCATGTAGCGCTGAACTATTATTTCCCTAACATAATTCATGAAATACAATTTATTTGCTAACCTGACTCTGGTCCTTGTCGTTCTCAAAGTTCGCTAGTTCTGTGAAATTGTGACCTTTCTGTGGTTCATTCATTACAATCGTTGGTTACAGTTTATAGATCTGTTTCGTTGGCGAAACACGCGTGTTCAATGCGCACTATTTTCAAGTAAACACAAGCACAAAGTCAATCACAATCGTCAAATTTCGTCGCAGAATGTCGGCGCCGTTGATTTGATCGATTAAACAGAAATCAAGATGACTGTCAAATATCCACCGGCGGCGGTGGCGATGTTGATTTGATCAATGCACCTTTGACTTCTAACCAGAACAACCGTTACTCGGTTCACCACCTCTCCAAACTACGTTCGAACGAGGGTGTTCAACGAGAAACCAAACCGGGAGTGTTCTAAGTTACGTTACCTCTACTCCTATGGAGGTTCCTCTGGAGAGCTCCGCGACTACGACTACAAGCTACGATCTACGACTCTGCAAAGAAAGTCTTTGACAGAGCGGTTCTACAAAACTAGAGAGAAAAACTGATAATTCTGCGACGGTGCAGTTTGAGATTTAATTTTTCCGTCTCGATCTTCTCTCTCTTCCCAATCTTTATACTTCGCTCTTCTCCCCGCAACCGTAGTAACTGCCTTCGAGCCTTTGTCTCCCACGTCTTCATTCCTGTCAACCGTGCAGGTAACTTCCTCCTTGTTGCGTAACTCCCACGAGTGCGAAACCGCTTGGACACGCGGAAACTTGGCCAAAACGACACCGAGCCAAAATCCACAATTGCTGAACTCTCACCACTGTGACGTTGTTTTCTATTAAACAACATCGTTTCAGTACCGCGGCGGTGTTGACATCTCCCACGATGTCGTTTTCGACTAAACAACACCGTCTAAAATAATCCTTAAAATATTAATTAATTAAATCGGCCATCATTGTTGACACGCCGTCAAACTCTCACTTCGCGGCGCCGTTCTTAATTAAACATCGTTTTCTATTGCGGCATCGTTTGGCCTACTCGCGACATCGTTTGTTAAATCCGCGGTGTCGTTTCTTTCCTCTTGCGGCATCGTTCTCAACTAAACGACACCGTCCTAAAAAGTCATTAAAGATATTAATTAATTAATCCGACCATCACTAGTCCAACTCGTGTGTTGACCAACGACATTATTAGCGCCAAAACGGGTCCGTTTGTTTTTTCGTCCGCGACACCGTTTATTTTCAACACTATCGTTTGCTAGTACAGCGGCACCGTTGGGCCTACTCGCGATACCGTTCTTAATTCTCCGTGATGCCGCTTGTCTCCATGTGGTATCGCTTCTCCCATTCCGACAAAGAATAAAAATAATAATTAATTAAAAAAATTCATTTTCCAACACCAATACTAAACGAGCGGCCCACCTCTTATTTTCCGGTAAACAGTGTCATTTCCAGTGTCGCGGTACCGCTGAGCTTCCTTGCGGTACCGTTTTTTGTTTCGCGGTATCGTTTTACCCATCAGTGATGCCGCTTGTCTCTACGCGGTGTCGTTTCACTCTCCTTCTCCGATAAGGAATAAAAAACACACTCCTTTTCCAACAACAACACCAATCTTGCGGCCCATGTCTCACATCAATTATTTTCTAGTAAACAATGTTGTTTCAAGTGCTGCGGTACCGCTGAGTTTCCTTGCAGTGTCGTTTTCTAGCTGAGCGACAACGTTGGATCTTGCTGCGGCGTCGCTGTCGCTTGTCTCCAAACGACGTTGTTTTTGTCATGCAGTATCGAATTAAATGCCGAGATTAATAATTGCGGTATTGAATTTAGGCCAAACTAATTTTAGGTGTCAACAAGATCTTAAATGTAGAGGATTCATATGACATGGGCTAACTCTTAAATTTGGTGTTGGGTTGGGGGGGGGGGGGGGGGGGCAGAGGAGAGAGTTATACAACTTATTGGGATTTATGGATAATTCGAAATATTTATAGTCCTTGCAGGTTAAAGTGGAATCTGGAAGCTAATGCAAAGTTCTCGGTGAAGTCTTTGTATAGCAGATTGACTGTGGGGAAATTCAGTGGTTTCCAGAATTTCCCTTATGCGAAAATTTGGAAGTCTTGGATTCCGAGCAAAATATGTTTCTTTGTATGGTTTGTCTCTCATAACAGGATTCTGACACGACAATTTGAAGAGACGAGGTGTGGTGCTGGCTAACAGATGCTGCCTTTGTCTCGTGAATGAAAAATCTGCTCAGCATTTGCTAGTGGACTGTTGCTTTGTTAAAGAGGTTTGGAGTGCAGCAGAGGTACGTAAGTGCCCGTGGATTAGCCATGTAGTGTTTTTCCTAATTCTCTTGACTTACTTCTCAATTACATCATTTTCTCGAGCAACCTCGAGTGACAGAAAAGATCAAGCAAACCTGTCAGTCTCGAGTTAATGTCGTATGAGGTGTTCTGGTTAATACGAAAAAAATAATATCTCAAAGACAATGAATTTTGAAATATATAAAAAATTGAGATACTTTAGTTTCAAATTTTGAACTACATATAGTAAAGACTTAGAAATACATTCATTTCAAGTTCTACTATATGGAGGGACACAACATTACAATCCATATGGAGCATGAATAGCTCTTATTCCAAACTTTCAAAATACATGAATAAAGCTTATATAATTAATTATATGTGACCCCTTAATAAATCATCAATTTCTTCATTTAATCGGCCTTCACGAACTTGATCACAAAAGGATCCCCATCTTTGTCAACAAGAGCCAACCTCCTCCCGCCATTCTCATCCACGTAAATCCCAACATCCTTGCAGTCAACCTTGCACGACTTGCAAACCGCTGGACAATACGACAACTTATAGTTGGAACCGTACTTCCAGATCTTGAACCAGTTCTTGACCGTCCTCGGACCAGGATTTCCTTCAACACCACCCGTCCCAAGGAACCACTGTTGCACATCATCGTCGTATTCGTCCACCTTCCACACGGTTCCCTCCTCACAGGGCGTGTCCGCCACGAACCGCACGTTCAGGTCCGTGAACGTGCGGACCGTGTAGCCCGACTTGGTGTTTACGGGCCCAAAAGTGAGCTGGATACCTTGAGAGATCTCGTCTTGATCTTGAACTACGGTTTGCGGGCAGCTCTCTGAATCTTTGGTCAGGCTAGCCAGAGCCACCCCGCCACCTTCCCCGCTGACCGCAGGCAGGACGTAGTAGTTGGCCCCTGATCGGACCACTTTCCCGTTCACGTCGAGGACGGGAAGCGGGGTCAGCGAAGAGGTGGCTAGGGTTTCGGCCAGCGATCTTGCCGCGAAGGCGGAGGAGAGAGTAATGGAGAGGAGAACCATCATGAGGATTACACTTGTTCCTGCCCTCTTCATTTTTTCGAGCTAGGTTAAGTTGAATAGCTTTTGTTCTTGTTGGGGGAGGCTTGTTTTTTTGCTTTGTATGTTGGATGGTTGTGTGAAGAAGTGGGAGCATAGAGAGAGACAAATTTATAGAGGGATCGACGTGATCAAAGGATATAGAATATAGTGAACTGAAATGGGTACGTATGTAGCTAGGGAGATTTTTGTTGGTATTGGAGCGAACATTATACAAAGTTTTACTTTTCTTCCTCGTATGTTCAATGAAGTCCTTTTTAGTTAGGGAAGGATCCATAATGCTCCTGTCACGTGCAACTTTGATCATAATCTACGTGACATTAATCAACATGGATTGATATATATATATATATATATGTAGAAGTTCCAAAGTCCAAATTAGCCCAAGTTGACCAACATGGTGTCAAAAGTTAGGCTTCCTGACTAGACTTGCCTGACCTTTTTATGTAGTGTCTTAAGAATTCCTTCTAAGGTAGAACATTAATGAGAACAGGGGACTAGATCAAGTGGAGCAGCTTTTCTGGATCATATAGCGCTATAGGAATAAGACTGAGGATGGGAAAAGTTTGTTATTTTATCACAGAACATTGATTATTATTTACAAGCCGAAATCTATCGTGTATCATATGGCGGGTTGATATATACAAATGAATATAATTCTTCTTATTAAAGAACAAGTAGAAGTTGCACTATTACTTATAGTCACATCATGCAAATGATTGGTTATGTGGCCCTTTTTGTTATTGTCTTTTGTTTGTTATTGTCTTTTTGTTTTCTATATGACCGTTTAGTTCGTTTACTTCCGCGTTTGTTGCGTTTGTGTTTGTTGCTCGACTTCGCTTTTTTGTGTTTTAAACGCAACATGCTCGGGACCGCTTTACAATTGTCGTTACCGATTTCTTTGTTGCTTTTTTGTCTTTTGCCTTGCTTCGATTTCCCAGCGAAAACGTACCTTTTGCTCGACTTCGCTTTTTGTGTTGTAAGCGCAACATGCAGAAACTTATCTTTTTGTTTTATATTGTTTCCTATGACCGTTTGATTCGTTTGCTTCCGCGTTTGTGTCTGTTGTCCAACTTCACTTTTTGTGTTGTAAACGCAATACACAAAAGATTATTGTGTTCGTACCGCTTTACAATTGTCGGTACCGATTTCTTTGTTGCTTTCCTACCTTTAGCCTTACTTACTCCAATTTTCCTACGAAAACGTTCCTTTTACTCGACTTCGCTTTTGTGTTGGGAGCGCAGTATGCAAAAGATTATTATGTTCAGGACCGCTTTACAGTTGTCGTTACCGATTTTTACTCGACTTCGCTTTTTGTGTTGTGAGCGCAGTATGCAGAAGATTATTATGTTCAGGACCGCTTTACAGTTGTCGTTACCGATTTCTTTGTTTCTTTCCTACCTTTTGCCTTGCTTCGATTTTCCTACGAGATCACTTTGTTAAATACTTTTGCTTGACCAAGTAAGATGTGCACTATTGGATCGACGTGATCAAAGGATATAGAATATAGTGAACTGAAATGGGTACGTATGTAGCTATGGAGCATTTTTGTTGGTATTGGAGCGAACATTATACAAAGTTTTACTTTTCTTCCTCGTATGTGGAATGAAGTCCTTTTTAGTTAGGGAAGGATCCATAATGCTCTCTTCTGTCACATGCAACTTTGATCATAATCTACGTGACATTAATCAACATGGTTTGATATATATGCATGTCGAAGTTCCAAGTCCAAATTAGCCCAAGATGACCAACATGGTGTCAAAAGTTAGGCTCCCTAATTAGACTTGCCTGCCCTTCTAATGTAGTGTCTTAAGAATTCCTTCTAAGGCACAACATAAATGAGAATAGGGGACTTGATCAAGTCGAGCAGCTTCAGGATCATATAGCCATAGGAATATATGACTTGGGATGGGTAAAGTTAGTTATTTCATCACAGAACATTGATTATTATTGACAAGACAAATGTGAGCACTTTTACTATGTTATATAGTATTGGTGCTTTAATGTACAACTCAAAGTTGTACCATAACATTAAATGTATAAGTTTAGGTTGTACCATAAAGCAATTTGTACCATTATGTTATGGTACAACTTTACAACATAGGCGGAGGCAGGGGCATTAGCCCTTGTCACGGGACAGGGGCAAACTTCGGAGTGGAAAAAAATACCCATATATATATATATATATATATATATGTTGATGATGGGGAAAAAAATTAAAGGTGGTATTAGAGTATTTTATCAGTACAACATAACTCATTAGTTGTTCATAAATTGACATAAAATTAATTTATTATACTATAAACAAACTTTTAATTGCAATAAAGACCTAATCAAATCTTTTTTCTCCTTATGTCTATTCGTTTTTTCCCAACAATCCTGAATTTTTTCAGCAACAACATCAGTTCCACTAGTTTTGATTCTACCAATTTGCAACTGCAAGTGCAGGAAGAATATTTTTAGCTTTGAGTTATATTAAGAACAAGTTTCGAAGTCGAATTGGCGACCAGTTTGCTAATGATTGTTTAGTGTGAGACATTAAAAGAGATTTACTTAACAGTGTAGACAACAAATGTTTTTGTGTTTATTTCACAATATGAAATTCTGTCGTGGTTGCTTATGAAAACAATGATTTTATTAGTCTATTATTTTTTATATGTGAATGAATTATTTGGATATAATTATTTTTAATTTTATTTATTAAATAATTATTAATTAATATTTATAGTATGAAAAGAGGACAGGGGTAATTTCAAATCATGCCTCCGCCACTGCTTTACAACTTGAAGTTGTACCATCACATAAAGGTACAAGTTCCAGTTGTACCATAAAAGAATTTGTACAAAAAGTATAGGTACAATATGAAATTGTATCATAACGTAAATGTACAATTTTACGTTGTACCATAAAGACAAAAACCTATAGCACCAATACTATATAGCATTGTAAAATTTCCCGACAAATATATATGAAGTTATGAACCAAAATATGTCTATTATTTTAGAAAGAAGTATAGAAATCAATCATGTTTCCTATGGCGGCGTGGTACATACAATTTACAAATACGAAGAATATAATTACATTTGACTACGTATACTTCATGCATATGCATAGAAGATTTCCCTTCGGGTAAGTAAAATATGGGATAAGGATGGAGTAATTGGACGTGTACCTACCTAACTTAGTTTTAAGATATTTTTAAAAAATAACGTGAAAGGAAATTCTCCACCTAATAAATCTAATAATAATGATATATTTATCGATGTAATTACGTTGATAAATAATTCAAAATATGTCAATATTTTTCTGAGTGAGTTAAATTTTCTGAAGGTTATGATTATTAAATTTCATAACGCCATGAAAAAAATTATAAATAATTCAGGGTAGTAATAGGATTTAGAATATGGAATCATGAAGCATCTGATATTAAGATAATATCTTTGTTTTGTGGCAGACCTTGTTGCATTTTACTTGCATTTCCTATCTTTTTGGTTTTGGCGTAATGACAGTGTAAAATATAATTCTTCAACTGAGATCTGCTAGGTCATCAAGGTGGTCCCGGTTTCGATGGATAACATATAGTAACGGAAGATTTAATCGCCAAAATTGCATACTAGTCCCTAAAAGAATGACCATCAAGACCAGAAACCCGTCGCAAATAATTGATTTCGGTCTCTGAAGATTACCAAAACTGGACCGAAAAACTAGTTACTGATAAACCAATCCGGTCGCTGCAACTATGACCTGAAAGGCTGAAACCCTGTCGTTAAAGAGCGGCCGACTAATTTACAGTCGCAAAACATTTAGCGCGCGGAACAAAATCCGGCTGTGCGTAACCAATAGCGACGAATCCTATAGTGACAATAATTCGGTCGCAAAATACTATAGTTCCCCGAAAGTGGGCTTCCGCAACCCACTTCCGGTGACTACAATGCAGTTTCTTTGTAGTGCGAGCAAGATTCGGCTACCATGCTATTATAGAAGTTAAACTCCTCCTTGGCGACAGATTTCCATTATAGAACATCGGATGATCAAGATGCATAGATCAAGATGAATTGTCTAAATGACAAAATGTATAGATTGATTATGAATAATTTCAATTACATAAAGCAAATAATTTGATGAGCTTTTGCACCATACGTAGTAATATGGTGCTCGTTAATTAGCTCTTATTATTCTCAAACAATACATAGTAAACGTATTTAATACTTAACTATTAGTCTTTAGTGACTCGGAGCCTTCATGAACTTAACAATCATAGGATCATCACTAAGAGCAAGCCTCTTCTTGCCATCCTCGTCCTCAAAAACCCCAACGTCCTTGCATGTCACTTTGCAAGACTTGCATACCGAAGGGCAGTACACGATCTTGTAGTTTCCACCAAACTTGGCGATCTTGAACCAGTTTTCCACCGTCCTCGGACCGGGCTTCCCTTCGATCCCGCCGGTTCCAATGAACCACTGTTTAACATCATCGTCATAGCTCTCCACCTTCCACACCGTCGCCTCGTCACATGCCGTCTCTGCGGTGAACTCGATGTTGAGGTCCGTGGCTGTTTGGACGGTGTAGCCTGGCTTGGTATTTACGGGTAGGAAGACCACGGAGAGTCCCTTCGAGAGCTCGTAGTCGTCTTGAAACACGGAGAGTGGACATTTCTTGGTCTTGGTTCGGTCTAAGGCTACACCGCCGCCGTTTCCAGAGACGGAGGGAAGGATGAAGTAGTTGAGGCCGGAACGGAGAGGAGTGCCATCCACGTCAGTGACGGCGACGGGAGAAGCAGCGAATGAGACCGGTAGTTTCATGGTCAAGGCAGCTACGAGGAAGAATGAAGCGATTAGGAGCATTGTTGACTTCATTTTTGTGATAAGTAAGGTTGTTGTTTTGTATTGGATTTTCTTGTGGAGGATGGGGATTTGTGAGTTGTGAGGAATTAAGTGGAGATCGAGGAGGGGTGATATTTATAGGGTTTTAGGAGATGGGTGAAAGGGCAAATTTGGAATTTGGAGCTGCATGAGGGCGTAATGGAGACAGAATATGGGTGAGGTTGAAAGTTGGGATTGAACCCAATAAGGTAGGCAAGTAAGGATTATTAATTAAATAAGGGCCCATTGATTGGTTAACTTAGCCATACTATATATTCTAGTTGTGATGTTGGTTGGTAGAGATCCATAATGGATCCCAAATTGAATATTGATTCATTCATGGCATATTTTTGGTAATTTTGCTCGTATATATATTTCTTTTTTATAATGGTGATAGAGTTTTGGTCCTATACTTAGCTAGGACAATAAAGCTTGATTCTCCTAATTTGCGAGGAAAGTCTTATTAGTCTATCCTAGTCATGAGTCCAAACAAACTTCCGGTGAAGTCAACAATCCCCCCCTTTGGGTCTCCCTTAGGGTAGAAGAATTATAGTGGAGAACGCATTGGATTTTATCACGCTGAACTGGGAGTAATTTGGTTTGGCTACTAGCCTACTTGTTTGAATTGTTAGACATAGATTGAGACTTAGTTGTACAAGGATTTTAGGGAAGGATCCATAATGCTCTTCTGTCACATATAGCTTATATATGTATCACAAAGTAAATTGACAACTTGGATCATAATCTACGTGTTATTAATCCACGTGGATTGAGATATATAAGTATGTCGAAGTTCCAAGTAGTCCAAATTGGACCAAGTTGACCTACTTGGTGTCAAAATTAGTTAGGCTCCCTAATCAGACTTGCCTGCCCTTCTAGTGTAGTGTCTTAAGAATTCCTTCTAAGGTAGAACAAAAATGAGAACAGGGGGACTTAATCAAGTGGAGCAGCTTCTGGATCATATAGCTATAGGAATATGACTCAGGATGGGAAAAGTTAGTTATTTTATCACAGAACATATTGATTATTGTTCACAAGAAAAATGTATATGAAGTTATGAACAAAATATATCTATTATTTTAGAAAAGAAGTATAGAAATCAATCGTGTATCCTATGGCGGGTTGGTACGTACAATGAATATAATTACATTTGACTACTTCATGCATATGCATTGAGGATTCCCCTTCGGGTAAGTAAAACTTAGGTAACACAATTCGTCACTGCGGCTCAGGCGCTCCCGCTTTGGCGCGTGAAAACGCGGATTCTATTCAGGTCGGGTGAAATTCGCGATTTTCATTTTCATGGAGCGCGAATTTCTTTGGATGGAGCACGATTTTCCATGGAACTGGTCAATTCGCCTGCCCAAGCAAGATGCTTGATTCCCCAATTGCCCTCCCACATTTTCTTTCGTCGTCGTCGACATGCAGCACTCTGTTCCTCCAGATGTATTAGCAAACACGAGACTTGAAATTGGTCCATGCCATTGAGGACTCCAAATCAAATCAAGCTCCATCGTCAAACTTCTCGGGAGTCTTTGACTCGCCGTCCGCCGTTCGTGATTGGGAATTTCTGGAGTAATAAAGTACAGGCTAAGCGATGGATTATTGGTGGTCGGGGCTGCGGGTATTGAGGTATGGAGGAGTGGAGTTCAAGGGTGTAGTCGATGGTCGGCCGGCTGGAGAGGAAGTCACGGTGACGAATTTGGTGGTGGAAGTCGTTTCTCGGCGGGTTTGGTTCCAGTCAGAGAAAGAGAGAGAATGAACGATGCGAATCCCAAAATGACGACATTTATTTTTATCCCTCATCTTTCTTTTTCTTCGGCGGAAATCTCTTCCCTTATCTATATCCTGGTTACTCGTTAGTATCCCTTTCCAAATTCCGATACAAGTACAAAATGCTTTATAATAACTATAAATAAATATTAAATATATTATGCACCACTGTTTATATGGATTCAAATATTAGTCTTTTTAGAAATTTTGAATTAATTTTTGTTGCCAACTTGGGATTTAGATAGGAGATACTTGATTGAATCTGGTAACTGAATCATTCTTTTAAAGTTTTTTGGTTATTTAATTCAATTATTTGGTTTTGTGTTTCACTATAAATTAAGTTTTTTGCATAAATATTAATATAATATTGACGCTTTTTTCACGCTCTTAGTACTGAATTCTTCTAAATCAAGCGCTCTCACGCTCTCGCTTCCGCTCCCGCTCCACGAACTGGTTACCTAAAGTAAAACACGGGCTAATGATGGAGTAATTGGATGTGTAACTAACTTAGTTTCAAGATATTTTAAAAAATAATGTTAAAATTTTTGAACTTGAATACGGTCGTTTTCCTTCAATGAAAAGAAATTCTCCACCAAAAAAATCTAATAATAATATATTTATCGATTTATTTACGATGATAAATCATTCAAAATATCTCAATATTTTTCTGAAAGGTAGTTAATTATTTTCTGAAGATTATGATTGTTAAATTTTGATAATGCCATGAATAATTTTTTTATAAAGAATTCAGGGTAGTAATAGGAGTTTTTTTTATGCAATAGTAATAGGAGTTGGATTAAGAAATAATGTAGCATCAGATATTAAGATAATATCTTTGTTTTGTGGCTACATTTTGCATTTCCTGTCTTTTTGGGTTTTGCCTAATGACAATGAAGAAGATAATTCTTCAACTGAGATCTGATGGGTCATCACCGTGGTGCCGGTTACGATGGATAACATATAGTGACAGAAGTTTTAGTCGCCAAAATTGCAAACTAGTTCCTAAAAGAATGACCATCACGCCAGAAATCCCGTCGCAATAATTTTGTCCGGTCTCTGAAAATTTACCAAAACTGGACCGAAAAACTAGTTACTGATAATGATAAACCAATCCGGTCGCTGCAAGGAACCCAACCACGACCTGAAGCCTTGTCGTTAAATAGCGATCGGCTAGGTTACAGTCGCAAAACATTTAGCGCCCGCAACAAAAATTGGTAGTCTGTAACCAATAGCGACGAATCCTCTAGTGACCCTATTTCGGTCGCAAATAGTATAGTTCCCGGAAAGTGGGCTTCCGCAACCGATTGCCGGTGACTAAAATGCAGCTTTTTTGTAGTGCGAGAAGATTCGGTTACCATGCTATATTATGGCAGTTAAACTCTTTCTTGGCGACAGATTTCCATCATAGAACATCGGATGATCAACATGCATGGATCAAAATGCATAAATTGATTATGAATAATTTCAAGTACATAAAGCAAATAATTTGATGAGCTGTTGCGCCATATACGTAGTAATATATATGGTGCTAATTGTTAGCTCTTATTCTCAAACAATACATAGTAAACGTATTAAATACATAAATTATAGTCTTTAGTGGCTCGGAGCCTTCATGAACTTAACAATCATAGGGTCGTCACTGAGAGCAAGCCTCTTCTTGCCATCCTCATCCTCATAGATCCCAACGTCCTTGCATGTAACCTTGCAAGACTTGCACACCGAAGGGCAGTACACAATCTTGTAGTTCCCACCGAACTTGGCGATCTTGAACCAGTTTTCCACCGTCCTCGGACCTGGCTTCCCTTCGATCCCACCGGTTCCAATGAACCACTGTTTAACATCATCGTCGTAGCTCTCCACCTTCCACACCGTCGCCTCGTCACATGCCGTCTCTGCGGTGAACTCGATGTTGAGGTCAGTGGCAGTTTGGACGGTGTAGCCTGGCTTGGTATTTACGGGAAGGAAGACCACGGAGAGTCCCTTCGAGAGCTCGTATTCGTCTTGAAAGACGGAGAGAGGACATTTCTTGGTTTTGGTTCGGTCTAGGGCTACACCGCCGCCGTTCCCAGAGACGGAGGGAAGGATGAAGTAGTTGAGGCCGGAGCGGAGTGGAGTGCCATCCACGTCAGTGACTGGGACGGGAGAAGCAGCGAAGGAGACCGGTAGCTTTGCGGTCAAGGCAGCTAGGAGGAAGAATGAAGCGATTAGGAGGGTTGATGGCTTCATTTTTGTGATAAGTAAGGTTGTTGTTTTGTATTGTGTTTGCTTGGGTTTTTGATTGCTTGTGGAGGTTGGGGATTTGTGAGTTGTGAGGAATTAAGTGGAGAGGAGGGGTGATATTTATAGGGTTTTGGGACATGGGTGAAAGGGCAAATTTGGGATTTGGACAAAGAAGTATAAGGGCCCATTGATTTACCTTAGCCAATTTATTCTTTCTAGTTGGGATGTTGGTTGGTAGAGATCCACAAATGGATCCCTATTTGAATATTGATTCATGGCATATTTTTGGTAATTTTGGTCGTTTACTAGGACAATAAAGCTAGCCTCGCCTAGTTTGAGAGGAAAGTCTTCATAAGTCTATCCAAGTCGTGAGTCCAAACAAACTTCTGGTGAAGTCAACAATTCTCCCTTCGGTTCTCCCATAGGGGCGGAAGAATTATAGTGGAGAAGTCATTGAATTTTATCACGCTGAACTGGGACTAGTTTGGTTTGGCTACTAGTTTGAATTGTTAGAAATAGATTAAGTCTTAATTGTACAGAGGATTATTTTTTTATGTGACCTAAAGTGTTATCTTGCCTACCTATATCAAATAAGGTTTCCTATTACCGATCCTTTGTTCACTTAGGTGATGAGAAGGCTGGGTGCAGAGTTGTTAGATGTACTCACCAGACCACCACTTTAATGATTGATAGAGTCGCTCGAGGAAGAAATTCTCACTACTCGCTAAGAGATGATAACGCAACAGGAAGAAGCGTAATGTAACCTCAACATAACCTCTTCAATAAATTAAATCTCGCAACATTATTTTCTTTATTGACCAGAATACTTATCAGTAAATTTGATTGGGAGCTATATTGACAAGTTGATAGTAGAAAGAAGAGCAGGAAGCCCGGCCTCATGTTTAAGCCTGATATTGAGAAGGCATTCGACAGCGTGAACTGGGAATGTTTGTTCAAGATTCTTTCAGGTCTGGAATTTTTGGAGAAATGGAAGAGTTGGGTAAAGGGATCCATGTGCTCCTCTATGATCTCTGTTTTGGTTAACGGTGAAGCTAATGGGTATTTCAGAGCTTCTAAAGGTCTTCGTCAGGGCGATCCCCTTTCACCGGGTTTGTTCGTACTAGTTATGGATGTTTTGTCAATGATGCTGAAAGTAGTTAGGGAAGCTGGAAAATTCAAAGGATTTTACATGAACGAAGACTCCAAAAATGGTGAAGTTACCCACCTCCTGTTTGCCGACGATACAGTGATATTTTGCGACGCCAATCATGATCAGGTTCTGAATATTCTGGCTACTATTGTGTGTTTCCAGTCTATGACCGGTTTAAGGATAAATCTGGACAAGTCAGTGATGTATATTGTCGGCGATGTGGCTGATCCTAGTTTCTATGCTGCTATTTTTGGGTGCAAATGGAGCAGACAGCCTCCGAAGTACCTCGGCTTCCCTCTTGGAGCCAAACTGAACGATCCGGCAATTTGGGACTCCATGATCAACAAAATGAAGAGTAAACTTAACGGTTGGGGGAGCAGACATCTATCATACGGAGCTAGACTGGTCTTGTGCACTGCGGTTCTAGGGAGCATGCCTACGTACATGTTTTCCCTATTCAAGGCACCTGTTTCAGTTCTCCAGGAATTGGAAAGAAGTCAGAGGAGGTTCTTATGGAACGGTGGGCGCGACAGCAATAGAAGGGCCCTCGTGGATTGGAAACTCTGCAAAACCGAGAAAAGCAGGGGCGGGCTGGGAATTCATGATCTGAAAGCTTTCAATGATGCAATGTTGTCCAAGTGACTGTGGCGGTTCGCAACGGAGAGAGATAGTTGGTGGCGTAAGCTTATCGATATCAAGTACCACAACCCCTCCTCGGTTTGGCAAACGGAAAAGGTTAGAAGTGGTTTTTCTCAATCGGTGTGGGTGAACATAACGAAAGAATACGAGCTATTCTGGAAGTTTGCAAGCCTAGGCCCTGAAAATGGTACCATGATTTCGTTTTGGCACGACGTTTGGAATCAGGGGTATGGTGTTTTCTTCTGCATTTCCCCGCGTTGTTGCTGCCGCTGTCGACTCCGAAGCAAGATTCTCCGATGTAGCATCCCTCAATGGTGAGTTGGTGAGTTGGTCTTTCAACCTTAAATATAATTTGAGGGGGGTGCTGAACGGGAAAGGGTAGAATTGTTGAACTTTCCTAATAATATTCCCATGAACAATAACGCTCTTAGTCCGTGCAGAATAGTTTGGAATCCTGATCCAAACAGTAAGTTCTCAGTGAGCTCTTTATACATGAAACTTGTGCAGGAAACGCTGCCAGGAGTGCATGATTTTCTGTTGAAACAAGTATGGAAGAAGATGATCCCTAGTAAAGTGTGCTTTTTTATCTGGATGGTTTTCCATAACAAGATACTCATGGTTGACAACTTGAAGAGGAGAGGGTGGTCGATGGCGAACAGATGTTGTCTCTGTTGTAGAAATGAAGAATCCATTAATCACCTACTGGTGGATTGTGAGTTTGTGAATGAAGTGTGGAGCCATATCAACAGGGTTAGATCGATGTTGTCCTACCAAGACAGGGAGGTGGAATTAATAATCAAACACAGCCCTCATTCCAAGTCGGGAAACGTCAGGGAGTGGTTTAGAGACTGTATCTTACACGCGGTTTGGTGGTTCGTGTGGTTGGAAAGGAACCAGCGGGTGTTCGAAGAGAAGAAATCGACTGCCATCGGGGTAGCTAGAAGAGCAGCGAGGAACGCGATGGAATGGCTGGTGGCCCATGGTCAAATTGATAAAATTCAGGGTGAGGCTTGGTTGCATGAGAGCTTGTTGATATGTTGATCCGTGGCGGCGAGGCCGGACTTGGAGTTGTTGTAGGTCTGTTTTTGCAGGTCTGTTTCCCTGGCGGTTCGTGGAGCACGTTTGATGTATATTTGTTGGTAGCTTCTTTGGAGAGATCGTGATGTTTGTAGTTCCCTGCTGATGGGTGGAGGCTTGGGAGATTGTGCGTTTGTACTAGTAGTAACGTGTTTGAGGTGTAACTTAGGTATTCCGGTTGATTGCCCTTCTATAGGTCAGTTCAGGTGTTCTTTTGGCTTTGGTCATGTCGTTCTATCGTTCCTTAGTTGTTGTGTCTCGTTTGTTCCCCCGACAAGCAGGAGCGGTCTGGTCCGCTTTTCTTTGTCAATTTCTCGTATGTTTCTTGTGCTGCTTTTCGTTCTTTGTAGTTCTGTTTGTTTATTTTCTTTCTTTTGTTCGTGGCACTGTGAGATCAGTCCTTGTGATCTCCTTTGCGTGTATAGTCTTTTGTTTTCTTTCTGCTTTTCCTAGCAATAAAAGTTCATCGCCATTATCTAAATTAAAAAATAAAATCAAGTTGAACCCCATTAACAATCGAGGCAACGAGCAGAGTGTGACATCCTACTAAATGAAAAACCTTGTTACCTAACGTCAAACAAAATAAGAAGATACTCATCCAAAAATATGCAAACCTCTTTCAATATAGTACCGCCCTTAGCATATTCCAAATTTGGCATCTCCACAAAATGTGAATTGGTTCAATCTTCCCTTCATCCCCTATGCAATAAAGTCACGTAGTGTCATAAGTTCTGCCAAGAATGAGTGTCACACTACTTCGTATCGACGAGCATTTTTTTGTTAAACTCCACCACATACTCTTATTGTAGGATAATCCAACCGTAGTGATGTCTCTTTTATGTCCAATTTTCTGTTCTTTTATCTTACTTTTCGATTCCAATTAATCATGCAAGGTTTTTTCTAATTCTCTTAACTTTCTTCTCAATTCTACCATTTTCTCGAGGAAACTAGCTCGTGTGACAGAAACGATCAAGCAAACCTTGCATTCTCGAGTTAATTTATGAGTTGTTGTGTTTAATACAGAAAAAATAAAACTTCAAAGACAATGGATTTTGAATAACTTTATATTTGAGATACATTATTTTCAAATTTTGAACTACGAACAATATTAACTTAGAAGTACATCAATTTCAAGTCCTCCTATATCGAGACAAACACAACATTACAACCCATATATTGAGCATGAATAGCTCTTATTCCAAACTTTCAAAAATACATGAATAAAGCTTATATTAATTAATTATATATGATGCTTAATAAATCATCAATTTCTTCAACTAATCAGCCTTGACGAACTTGATCACAAAAGGATCGCCATCTTTTTCCACCAGAGCCAACCTCCTCCCACCATTCTCATCCACGTAAATCCCAACATCCTTGCAGTCGACCTTGCACGACTTGCAAACCGCTGGACAATACGTCAGCTTATAGTTGGACCCGTACTTCCAGATCTTGAACCAGTTCTTGACCGTCCTCGGACCAGGGTTCCCTTCAACACCACCCGTCCCCAGGAACCACTGCTGCACATCGTCGTCATAGTCCTCCACCTTCCACACCGTTCCCTCCTCGCACGGCGTGTCCGCCACGAACCGCACGTTCAGGTCCGTGAAAGTACGGACCGTGTAGCCGGACTTGGTGTTCACGGGCCCAAAAGTGAGCTGGATACCTTGAGAGATCTCGTCCTGGTCCTGCACCACAGTTTGCGGGCAGCTCTCCGAATCTTTGGTCAGGCTAGCCAGAGCCACTCCGCCACCTTCTCCGCTGACGGCAGGCAGGACGTAGTAGTTGGATCCCGACCGGACCACTTTCCCGTTCACGTCGAGGACTGGAAGCGGGGTCAGCGACGACGACGTGGCTAGGGTTTCAGCCAGCGATCTTGCCGCGGAGGCGGAGGAGAGAGTAATGGAGAGGAGAACCATTAGTAGCAACATTGCACTTGTTCTCGTTCCCTTCATTGTTTCCAGCTAGATAGGTTAAGTGTCTGTTCTTGTTGGAAGGCTTGTTTTTGCTTTGTTGGTGGTTATTATTGTGTGGAGAACTGGGAGCAGGGAGCAACGATATTTATAGTGAAATGGGTACGTACTACGTAGTTAGTGATCGAAAGTTTTGTTGGTAATGGACCGAACATTGCGCAAAGTCTTAGTTTCCTTCTTCGTAGGTTCAACTAGGTCGTCCTGATTGGTTAGGGAAGGATCCATAATGAAAGCTCTTTCACATGCAGCGTATGTGAAAAGTATATGCAACTTTGGTCTTAATCTTTATCTACGTGACATGATATGTATCAAGTATAGTAGAAGTTCCAAGTCCACAATAGTCCAAGTTGATCTATATAGGGATAGAAATTAGGCTCTCTTTGCCTGCCTTCGTATTGTACTGTACGTGAATGAGCCTATAGGATAGAGACTAATTGGATGGATGAGTTTGGAAAAGTTAGTTACTTGATCACCAATATCAATTAATATTTACAATACAAATGTATTTGAACAAAATATTTGAATCGTCTATTACTAATTATTATTATATTAATATAACAAAGTAAAAGTATGACATATATATATTTATCAAACGGGAAGGTACTAAGTAAGACAACAAACTGGCTCACATTTGACTATTGCAGAGAGGAGTAATTGGATATGCACCTACTTAGATTCAAACAATTTAAAAACTAAGCAAAACTCGAACATCCAACGTATGAACTTGAATGTGGTTGTCCTTTCGTTTTTCTTATGACAAGTAATTCTATCTATATAGACAATATGATAGATTTCGATTATTATAATTGTTTATATTCGTTTGAAGTTTGGTATAGTTGTTGATTTTTTTTTTTATAATGGTGAAATAAATTGAATTAACACAAGACAAACAAATAATAAGATTTAGATTGAGGGTCAACTCATCATCTAACTTGAGAGTTCATATTTATTATTCAGTCGGGTTAAGTACCTTTTTCTGTTGTGCAATGGTATCGAGGTGGCACTGTGGAAGGTGTATGTCAATTGTCATTCGTAATTGAGCATTTTTTTTAACAACTTGAGTTATTTGGATATGGTGATTTTTGGTTTGATAAGTTTGCACGTTCTTTAAACTTCGGAAGAATTTATGTATTTAAACATTTATGGCTGCATTATTAAATATAGTGACATCAGCATTTAAATGTCAACACATAAGTCCGAAATATATATCCCTTTAATCAGAATAATATATAGATTGCATGTCATCTAAAATATATACCGATCCCTTTTATCAAAATAATGGACTGCAAATATGTATCTTTCGTCTCAATGAATATTCCCAAATCTATAAAAAGAAATATACGCTATTTATTACAGAAGCGCCCCAAGTGGAAACATGTCGTTCCTCTCCTTTTAGTCGAGGAACGAATATACTCGAACACCCTAGATGGCGAAAGTCCAGTAGCCGAAAGCATCACTAACTTATGCTCTGACCCGAGTAGCATGGGGCACGTGGAATCCCGTGTGAATCAGCAAGGACTCCCTTGCAGGGCTTGACATGCCGCGAATCCTCTTGAAAGAGAGGGGTGCCTTCGAGAACGCGGACACAGGTGGTGCATGGCTGTCGTCAGCTCGTGCCGTAAGGTGTTGGGTTAAATCCCGCAACGAGCGCAACCCTCGAAAACGAGGGTAAGGCTACTTACACATTCCATACAAATAAAAAAAATCAAGCAAAAAATGGGTAACTAGAAGATTCAAGATGGAAAATGAAAGACCCAAAGTAATGAGAAAATGACTTGTAACTGTGAAGCTATAAGGTATCATGCCCTAGGGATTACGAAATAACGAAAAAGTAAAAGTGACCGAGATGGTGGATATGCAAGCATGATAACTTATATGCTCTTCTATATCCCATGAATCTAGGAACTTTTACTTGCATGGTATTATTTGGTCTACGTACCGGAACTGATAACATTCAAGATTATGCAGGATTATACACGAGAAAGAATAGTAAAAGGAGACCCTGTCAGTCGAGTTACTTCGTACCTTTCGTATCTTTCATCTGAGAACGACAGCGGGAAAGACGGCCCTAGGGCTATATCTTTATTCCATGGTAGGGCTAGGGGCAGGGTGGTTGTAAATCACACCTTTTACTTTCCCTCCTACAATTACAATGGGTCCGGGGGGATTGACGGGGCGAACTGCGAGTTTTCGGATACGAGATATCCATCCTAGTCACTATGGACGCGCGCGAAAAGGCCTTTTATTTCTGTCCCTCCGGGTGGCATCATACCAGGCTATCCGGAAAGAATAATTCAGATAATGGAATGCAACGTAAAAAGCGTAGTTTCCTTGCAGGATCTAATCGAAATAAAAGTTCGTCTGGATTCTTCGATCGAAAGGGAAGGAAATGAGATTGTAACGAAAAGGAGAAGGTTTGATTAGTTTCTGGTTTGCTTTGTCTGAAAAGAAGGAAGAATGTGGACGTCACTCGATTGGGCTAGCCCCCGTAAATGCCCGTTTAGAAGTTGGGGATCCGCTCTTTAGTTCTTTTTTTTCGGTGAATAAATAACCCAATTTGTTGGGAGAAGGTTCTTCTGGATCTTATATCAGTCTCTAACACGCCCCTTCAAACGAAAGCCAACCCATGGGCTTGAAGTTTGCACAGACCCACCATACCTTATGCTTTAATCAACTGTTAATATTGGGAGTCGTGGAGATTGGAACACACGACCACTTGATCAAACCAGACTCTGATACCATGTCAAGAATCAGTTGCTTCAAATAACTCGAGTTGTTGGGAGAATTTTCTGCTAGATCTTATACCAGTCTCTAACAGGATCCAGGTGAATTTTCTAAATCAAACATGTAGTACAATGAAATTAATGAATAATTTCCAAGTACATAAAAGCAATATAATTGATGAGCTTTTCCGCCATACATATATATGGTGCTTTTTTTTTAGCTCTTATTCTCAAACAAATACATAAGTAAACGTATTCGTAACGTATTTATAATACATTAGATTTTCAGTATCTTTCAGTGAGTAGGAGCCTTCATGAACTTAACAATCATGGGATCATCACTAAGCGCAAGCCTCTTCTTGCCATCCTCGTCCTCATAGATCCCAACGTCCTTGCATGTAACCTTGCAAGACTTGCACACCGAAGGACAGTACACGATCTTGTAGTTCCCACCAAACTTGGCGATCTTGAACCAGTTCTCCACCGTCCTCGGACCGGGCTTCCCTTCGATCCCGCCGGTTCCAATGAACCACTGCTTGACATCGTCGTCATAGCTCTCCACCTTCCACACCGTCGCCTCGTCACATGCCGTCTCCGCCGTGAACTCGATGTTGAGGTCAGTGGCAGTTTGGACGGTGTAGCCTGGCTTGGCGCTGACCGGAAGGAAGACCACGGAGAGGCCCTTGGAGAGCTCGTAGTCGTCTTGGAAGACGGAGAGCGGGCATTTTTTGGTCTTGGTTCGGTCGAGGGCTACACCGCCGCCGTTTCCAGAGACGGAGGGAAGGATGAAGTACTTGAGGCCGGAACGGAGTGGGGTGCTGTCCACGTCAGTGACCGGGACCGGAGAAGCGGCGAATGAGACCGGTAACTTTGTGGTCATCAAGGCAGCTAGGAGGAAGAATGAAGCCATTAGGAGGATTGACGACTTCATTTTTGTGCTAAGTCGGGAGTGATTAAGGTTGTTGGTGTTGAGATTTCTTGGGTTCTTGATTTGCTTGTTGAGGATGGGATTTGTGAGCTGTGAGGAATTAAGTGAAGAGAAGGGTGGTATTTATAGGGTTTTAGGATATGGATAAAAGGGCAAATTGGGGACTTGGAATTTGCAAGAGGGCCAGATGGAGGCAGAACCAAAGAGGTTGATAGTTGGATTTGGACCCAATAAGTTAGGTAAGTTGTGGATTAATAAACATGGGCCCATTGATTTCCTCGGCCACTCTAATCTATTAGCTCTGAATTCTGATATTTTGGTTGGTAGAGATCCATAATGTATCCTTATTGGCCATTGGTTCGTGCACTATGACAATAATAAAGCTAGCTAGCTTTTTCTTTGCGGAGAAATTAAAGTCTCAAACCAACACTCTGATAGAGTCGAACATTATAGGGTATTATTTAAATCGTCATGAAACTATTTAGAATGTAACAAAATCGTCAATGTAAATGGGTTATGAGCTAAGTTTTATTGATCTTGTATCTTTTTAAGAGGTTAAATAACTCAACTAAAAGGATTTGGATTCATAAATCTCTATAAATCATATTTTTAATGTTATAGAATAGAATGAATATAACTCGGAGAAGAAATTCTCATCTCTACCCACCAAAAATGACAACACAACAAAAAGCACATATCCAATTACATAATAATCACCTCAGCGAATACTAATACCAAACCAAAACAATCTTTCATCCGTTGTTCGGTTGAATACAAACTACCGTATTTGGTTGTTGTTAATTTTGTAATCGAGTCCATGTTCTATCATCTATACCTTTTGGGTTTGCCTTGCGGAAAAAAAAACTAAAGAATAATTAAAAAAAATAAACGAGACAAAAAATACTCGGAAAGAGTCCTTCCCCCCTGCTGATCCATTAAAAAATGGGCTTCACTCTCCAGAGGCCCAGAATCATCAGGCCTTCCTGAACTGGACCACAAGAGGCCCAAAATCAGTAAGAGCAAGCCTGCGGTTCCCAGTATCCCCATCCACGAAGATCCCGACGTCCTTACACAACACGTGGCACCCTGTGCAAATCGACGGACAGAAAACGATCTTGAACAACCCCTGCCCCCACTTCCCCTGACTGTCCGAAACCATCACGATCTTGAACCAATTCCGCGCCGTCGACCTGCCGGGGCTCCCCTTCACGCCGCCGGTCCCCACGAACCACCTCTCCGCCGCGTGGTCGAACGCGCCCAGCTTCCACACCGTCGACTGCTCGCAGATCGTCATTGCCGCGAACTCGATGTTCAGATCCGTCGCGATCTGGACGTCGATTGACCGGCCGTGACCTCCGCCGAGAGCAGGGGAGAACGTGACGGGGAGGCCGAGCGACGCCGGGTGGTCGGATTGGAGGACGCCGAACGGGCAGGCTAGAGTCAGTCCGCCGCCGCCGCCGGCCGGGAGGATGTGGTACTGAACGCCCGTGTAAAGGGGGTGTCCGTCGGTGTCGAATACCGGCGGGGGAGTAGCGGCGGAGAGAGTAGTTAGGAGGAAGGTGAGGACTAACGCCGGAATCATCTTTTCTTTGATTTCTAAATTAATTTTTATTGTTTAATTTGTGGATAAGGAGTGGGATTGAGGTTGGAATTTATAGTATGATGATAGATGGTGGGATTGGGATATGGGTCGACGGCATTTTCGGCCGGCGGGAGGAATTGGACGGTTTGTTGTCTAGCTAGGTGGATTCCAGTGGATCGGCGGTGAGGGTAGAGTCCAAAAGATGAAATGCCATGAGGCGAACGGCCTGTGTTGATTGTGTATGTTTATCATTTACATTGGAGTTGTAGAAATGGAATGAGTAAACTAGTGGGTCAAGCCAGAGTCCAATGGCGGCAGAATTGTCGATGGCGATGGTTACAAAACAGCGACCGGCGGAGGGCCGGGATGGCTGTTCATCATGGCGGCAAATTGGTTGGAGAGATCCATGTGGACGTGGTCTACATCATAGATTAGGCTCTTCATACTTGGTTCGTTCGCTTGGTAATTAATCATGCATAATCAAGAATTGTGGTACACTTTGGAAGTATGAGTTTAACTAATTCCCGATTTAGTTGACACTTAAATTCTTAATCAAGAATTGGTATCCGTTTCTGATAACAATACAAGGGTAGATATATTACTTCTTCTTCCATGCAGTCGTTTGTGGCCTGTGGGTGTGTATAGCTAGTAAAGATGGCAATCGGGCGGATCGGGGTCGGATGTATATAATCTGTCACCCGCTCGCCGAAACTTCGGGTTCGAGGAATCCCCGGCCGAACGCGGTTATCGGATGTAAAATAGCAACCAAGCCCGCCCGTTTTCGGATGTCGGGTTTGTCGGGGACCCGAAACCTATCCGACTAGTTCATTAATTAAAAAACAACAACCAAATTCTTACATGAAGCTGAAGCATGAACTTCATAACGTCAAATCCAGAAACCAGAATGCACTGGAGAAGTAGCAAAAGAACAAAACATTCAACAGAAAACATCCAATCCTAAAATACCATCAAATCCAAAATGACCAAGACCATTGTATCAGCAAAACAAAAGTTTAAATGACTAGCAAAACATCTCTACTACTCAAGAACAGCTTCGATAGCGGCAGCAGCACAACAGCATGATAAAGACTTCACTTCAGGCCTCCATACTCCACTTTCCAGCAGCAGCAACAATGCAGCATTCTGCATTCCTTGGTTCCACCCAGCAGCCAAGGCAACAAAACTCAAACAAAACCTGAAAAACGAGGAAAAACAACCGTTATTAAGGATCCAAATTCACAAATCATGAAATCAACTAAAGTACTAAGAGAACACAAAAGTTCTTACTTACATCTTGCTGCTAAGTATTAGTTCACAAATCTTGATTAATCTTCAAGAAGCTTGAAACGAGGGGTTTCTCTACACATTTAAACAAACTATCTCAATCTCATTGACATATATCAAAGGCTGGAAGAAATCACACAACTGAAACAAGGTTTTTTGCTTATTACCTTCAGTAGTTTCAGCATCAGGTTGGAGCTGGATCAGATTGGCTTCACTTGTAGGGGAGAAACATCCTTCCAATACTCTTGCTCCAGAAGCAGCATCATCTAGGAATGCAAGCCAAGTCAAAATAGTTACATAACATGCTAAAACAACAATGAAATTGAACAAAAAGATTAACTTAACAGGGTTAAGAGTTTACCTCCAGCCAACTCAGCTTGCAACCAACTTCTTGTGCACACAAGTGTTTCCACAGTAGCATGGTGCAACCTGCTCCTATGAGGGTCTAAAACACGACCTCCATAGCTGAATGCACACTCAGATGCAACAGAGGTAACAGGAACAGCCAAAACATCCCTTGCTATGGCTTGCAAAGTGGGATATTTTGGACCATTATGCTTCCACCACATTAAAATATCAAACTCAGCAGAACGAGGGAGAATTTCCTCATTGAGGTAACTGTCCAACTCAGTATGGACAGAAGTAACTCTTGCCTTTTTCTTTGGCTCACAAATCGATCAAAGTCCAAATCAGTGGTGCTAGGAGCAGAGGACTCAACTCCAACATACCCAGAAACATTCAGATTCCTCTCCTCATTCATTTTACTTTGGTACTCCAATACCAGATCAGATAATATGTCATTAACAGATTCCAAACAATAGCCATCAAATTCAACACCAAATTTTTCAGCATAGTAGTCAACAGTTTCCAACTTATACCGTGGATCTAGAATCACAGCAATAGCAAGCACTTTGTGAATCTAGTCCCAGTACTTGCTGAATTTTTCCAGCATAGAATAACCCATCTTTTGAATCACTTCATTGGTATCAACACACCACTCATGAATCTTGAGTTTCAACTCACAAATACGAGGGAAGAACAGATTAGTCGTTGGATACTTCGATCCATAGAACAAATCAGAGATAGAGCTAAAAACTTTAAGTTTCTCACAAACAAGTGCAGCAAATTGCCACTGCTCATTCGATGGCAAGAAATTATATTGAGCATCACGTTGCTTCAGTCTAGTGAAAACCTCCTTGTAAGTAATAGCAACAGATAGAATTTTAAAGGTGGAGTTCCACCGAGTAGGGCAATCCATAACAAGTCGTTTCTCATAAGTGAATTTTAACTGCTTTGCAGTTTCAAGGAAGAACTCTAGCCTTTTAGGGGTAACAGACTAGTAAACAACACTGCTCCTATTGTTATCAATTCCCTCTTTAACAACATCCAGACCATCTTTCACAATCAAATTCAAGATGTGAGCAGCACACCTCATATGTATCAAAGCACCATCACTTATCAAGTCAGGTAACACTAATTTTGACTGTATGACACGAATCATAGAGTCATTAGTGCTACAATTGTCTAGGGTAATGGTGGATACCTTACTGTCGACATTCCAGTCGAGCAAACAGTTAACCAACATTGTCCCCAACCTTTCAGCAGTATGAGGTGCTGATACATATGCAAATCTGCACAAGAATGAGCATACAAAGAAACAATTGCAATTAGGAATGAAACAAAAACTAAGAAACAGAAACCAATGATTCAAATAGAACAGTACATGTCTTACCTAAGCATATGGCTCCTAAGAACCCACGAGTTGTCAGTATAATGAGTTGTAACAGCAATGTACCCCTTCTTTTGATTGGTGGCAGTCAACAAATCAGTAGTTATTGCAATTCTACCTCTGTTGATACAGACTTTGAATCTTAGCTCTTTCAATATCATAGATCTTAAAGACCTCTTTCTTTATAGTATTCCTCGATGGAACAGTGAACAGTGGTTGAAGAGAGCAGACAAATCTCTTGAAATAGAGATGATCAACCATCGACAAAGGATATTCATGCATTGTAATAGCAATTGCAAGCTCTCTTTTTGAAAAATCAGAGTTGAAAGCAGTAGCAACCAAGTATTGATTTCCTTTAGCCAAATAGTGAGGGCCGAGAATCTTTTGACTACCATCCCTAATTTTTTTCTGAACACAAATTTTGGTGTGATTCTTTAGGTGGGTAGTACCATTATTTGATTCCCCGCCTAATTGCTTCTTACAATAATTGCATTTAGCCTTGACAATTCCATCAATTCGAACTTTGGTATAGTGTAACCAAACAGCACTCTTAAGCTTACCAACGTCGAATATTTCCTCGACAACATTACCATTCCGAGCATTGCCATTCTGCTCATTAGTAGTTGCTGCCTGCGGAGTTGGGTTTGTGACAGTCCCATTTCCAGTAGGTGCAGACAGAACTGGATTTGCACTATTGCCATTATCTTGAGGAGTGGGTTGAACTCCCTCTGTTGACATTGTTCCTGCCGAAAAAACAGAGGAACAAGGATTAGTAGGATATCAAGCGACTCCCTCAATCATTAACCAACATCAATGATCAAATTTGAAACAAAGAACGTGGATATTTACCTTGAACAAACAGAGTGAGGCACAAACAACGGGTTGGAATGGATGTGAAGATGATTCTCGCACGCACAAGGCCACAGACAAAACAAGCATTAAAAGGATGAGAAGTCAGTCTGAGAACTGAGAAACAGAGTACTGAGATTGAGACTTGAGAGAAGTATGAACAAAAAATAAACCCCACCTCGTATTTATACTCCAACTTCAATCTCCAGCCGAATCGACTATTCGACTTCACTGCGAGAAATTCTCTTTGCATGCGCCAAGCCATGATCGAAAGGGAAATGATTATCATCATCGGGAAGGAAAGCGGATAATCGATGGGAGATATGCGACCGATATGTTAGGGATTCGATGCAGTGGGAGCAATCGGATTGCTAGAATTTAGCCTAGGGTTGGAGGCGGAGAAGAAAATGGGAGAGGAAGAGTTTAGTTGAGGGGAGTAATCTAACCTAGGGTTTCTAATTAGAGGGTATATATATATATATATGTACGGGGCGGAGTCGGGGCGGATAGTTTCGAGTCTGAAGCCCGCCCGAAGCCCGTTTCTCTTATTCTCGGGTTAATCCGAGTCCGGACCGAAGCCCATCATCAACGGATTTTGCCTGATTTTGTCGGGTTCGGATCGGATTTTCGGGTTTCGATTCAATTTGCCAAGCCTAATTGCTAAACTTCAATTACCAACCCAACCCAACCCAACCGGTACAAGTACCGGTCGCTGCTGAAGGCTAAGACGAAGCATGCATGTCTTTCTGTCTGCTTCACTGCAGGCTTACCCGCTTGTCAGCAAGTCTCTCAGTACGTACTTTTTTGTATAGCATTAATTTTGGGTGGGCCGTGAAATAAAGACAGTAGTACGTACCAACGACGCCATGACATCGAGCCCATAATGTCGACCATGTCAACAATGATGGTTGTGATGAAAGATGGGCTTTTGGAGAGAGAGAGAGAGAGAAGAAAACATAATCAATCAATCAACTGGACACAAACTTGCATCGATCGACTCGGTTTTTGAAGTCCGGTCCCGGACCACTTCACTTCACTCCACTGCGCCCAACGAAACTTAATTATCTCTTCCCCCATTACTGGTCAACAACAATCACTACATTTTTCTCGGATTTTAGATTTGTTGGCAGATGTTTATGTATCAATTTTAATCAAGTAATGCCTCACATAACCGTTTTTTATATGAAAAGCCAATTAATAATTAAGTTTGCGAAATGCTATATAGTATTGGTGCTATAGGTTTTTTTCTTTACGGTACAACTTGAAATTGTATTTTAACGTTATGGTACAACTTCAGATTGTATCTATACTTTTTTGTACAAATTCTTTTATGGTACAACTTGAACTTATACCTTTATGTGATGGTACAACTTCAAGTTGTAAAGTTGTATCATAACATAATGATACAAATTCATTTATGGTACAACCTAAACTTATACATTTAATGGTATGGTACAACTTCAATTTGTACATTAAAGCACCAATACTATATAGTATAGTAGTAGTGCTCTTAAGTTTTGCAATCTGTACATACCAATCATACCATGTGTTTTAAGACAACAGTTAATATTAGGGGTTTATGAAAACTTGAACATGCGTGATCTAAATAACAAATCAGCTCTGGTACCATATAATAACCCAACTTACTCCATTAACTCGAGTTGTTTGTGTCCATACCCATACGATTCCTTACACATTTGTGAACAAACTTTGACTTGTTTTATAGCTCATATATCACATACATTACATAGTTATTACATACAATATATATATATATCAGGTTTTGCACGTAGGTAGAGTGAAGAGAAGAGCGATCAATGATGAGGTTGTTTTTGGGTGTAGATGTAATCCAAGTGAGCCTCTGCAACCACTCTTCTCTTCACGCAATCCTCCTCCATCTCTCCACGCTCGCACTTCTCCTCCTCCTCCATCCCCATCAGCCCCTGAAAAGCCAAACATATATAAAAACAAGGTTGATTATGAATTTATGATGGAAGTATTATTGGCGTTGCCGGCCGGGAAAAGAAAAATAAAGCTCTTACCTCCATCCATTCCGATTCGCCGCCGGCGTTGGGGAAAGAACGAGCATTGGAGGAGAAAGAGCTAATGCTCAGTATGAGGAATAACAAGGAAAGCACGACAGCAAGGAGAAGAGGCTTCCCCATTTTCTAAGTTAAGACAGAAACAAGAAGAAGGGTTGATATTTGTTGTGAGTGGCGGATGGATAATGGTGGTTGTGAAGTGGTACATATAAAGAGAGAAACAGGCAAAGAAAGGAAATTTCGATACTGTAAAAAAAAAAGGAAAAGGAAAAGGGCAAGTGTTAAAGGGAAACTGAGCATGATAAAAGAGAGGGCAGAAGGCAGAAGAAGGAGTCATCGATGGCCGAACTTTGTGTAAAAAGGTCACATGACATGGTCCAAACATGTCCTTGTAATTAGTGGACTGTGTACTTGATAGTGAAACTGCCCAATCAACATCATTATCGACAGCCATTATTCAAATCGATTTATCTATCCATATTTAAAAAGAGCAGAGCCGAAATAGTATTTTGTTATTAGATTCCCGCCATCTTGGGAAATGATCAATTTAACTTAATGGCTCAATCATGTCCAAGTGGAATAATTGTGGGTTTCAAAGCACTTGCTTTTTATATGAAAAGGGGAATGTGAATTTAGAGCTCCAAATGACTCGAGCTGAGCCGAGTTTTATCCCAGTTTGAGTTTGACTCGTTAATAAATGAGTTGAGTTCGAGCTAGTTCGAGCAATTTATTAACGAGTCGAGTCGGGTTCGAGTTAGGCTTGTTTACTAAATTCCTAGATCGTATTTGATACGTTTATTTTGTATGTCGTGTATGATACATCTGTTTGATGTAACGATTAAAAAAATAATCAAATGTTCAACATTAATTAATCTTATATTATAATTTATATGTGTCATATTGTTTAGTTAATAAATTTTAACTAGTTCAAATCATGTTATTTCATAGTGTCGAAACAATTTTGTTCATAATTTCTTTATAGAATTAAAAAGAAGGCGTATTTTCTTACATGTTCAACAAGTTAAACTTCATATGTGTGAGATATATAATTTAACAATCCTATGAATTATGAAAGTCCAATTTAGATCGATTCGGCCATAAGTCGGTGATCAAGTTGGCCCTCAAACCACAATGTTGAGACATCTCATGAGCTCTAAATGAGCCAACTCACGAGTTGAGCTCAACAAGGCACCGAGTCGAGCTAGCTGGCGAGCTCAACAAGGCTAAGCTCAAGCTTAGGGATGTCAATGGGTCGGGTTGGGGCGGGTTTTGTCAAACCCAAACCCAAACCCATGGGTTTATCCGCCAAAAAAACCCGGGGTAAAACCCATTGGGTTTAAAAAACTCAAACCCAACCCGCTGGGTATCCGCGGGTTCGTGGGTACCCGTGGGTTTTTGCGGTAAAAAATTTACAATAACAAGTTTCTTTCAAAATAAAAGTTTAACATCAATTTTCTCATACAAATTAATCATAATAAAAAACACAAATCTAGAGCATACAAGCAAACCGCAAATGATCAATACAAATTGTTCAAAATTAAAGATAAACATCTATAAACAATAAGATTAATTGAAAGCTTCTTCCTCGTCAACTAAGTTTCTTCACTCTCCACTTCATAATATCAACTTCATTCTAAACAATTAGAAAGAACAAATTATACGTGTCTCCACAAAACATAAAGAATATTAGTTATTTAAGAAAGATATATTATTTAGAATATTAAATATACCGGAAAAGTAATATATATGTGTGGGCGGGTACCCATGGGGCGGGTTTACCTAAACCCAAACCCAACCCGACCCATTGAATAGTGTAGCGGGTTTAAACCCGAACCCGGCCAAAAACCCGTCAACATGGGTTTTACCCGCGTTGACCGGGTTGGGTCGGGTGGGTACCCGTGGGTTCGGGTTTTGTTGCCATCCCTACTCAAGCTTGGCTTGTTAGTAAACGAGTCGAGTTTCGAACCAGTTTTTCCCGATTCGAGCCTCGAGTTGCTCGCGAGTAGCTCGGCTCATTTGCAACCCTAAATGGGATATATATGCTCTTCATTTTCATGATATATAGCTAGCTTAGTTAGACTAGATCATCGCTTAATTAATATATTGGGTAAGTGTAAGTATGAGAAAATTTTCTTCAAATTTACGTTTCAAATGAGATACAAAAATAATGTTTAAGAAATTTTGTGTTGAGCTTTCGGTCACTGGTTTGGTCTAGTGGTAATCCCACGAGCTTTGAATATGGAAGTCTCAGGTTCGTGTATCTTTAGTAGCACATAACTCTTTGAAAAAGCAAAAGCTAGTTAGCTAGCTAGATCATTCAGTTGTAAAGAAGTGATTAGCTATCATACATGGACATCTTCCAACAACTCCAATTATTGAGAATTGGGACTAGTTGGTTTATGACATGATATTAGAGCCGGTTTATCATTAAGGTCACGTGTTCGAGTCCTTATTGTCATAAAATAGTTGGTCCCAATAACACGACGACTTGTTAGAAGAAGGTTATCCTGGATCTTATACCACTCTCTAACACGCCCCCTCAAACGAAAGTCAACTCATGGGCTTGAAATTTGCACAGGCGATCTCCATACCTTGTGCTTTAATCAACTGTTAATATTGAGGGTTGTGGAGATTTGAACACACGACCACTTGGTCGAACTAGCTCTGATACCATGTCATAAAGGGCTAAGATCAGGTGACTAAGGGGGGGGGGGGGGGGGGTCCCCTAGTCACATGACTAAGTCAATCTCCACCCTTGCACCTCATTAAAATCCAATGGCCCATATTAATCCAATTTAATGAAGGGTAGTATAGTAATTGCATGTTTATTTTTTAATTTTAATTATAAAATGAATAATAAAATTGAGTCCGCCTCCTCCCTTGCGCCGTCTCCGGCCAGGGTCCGCCCCGTCCCTTGCGCGTCTCCGTCCAATTTTTTCCGGCCAGGGGGGTTTCTGGGCAGGAGAGTTCTTCTCATGCGGCCATTACACACACACACACACACACAGAGAGAGAGAGAGAGAGAGAGACTGGAATTTTTTTACCCACATAAGGCAATTGCCTTTGCGAGAGAGAGATTCGATTATGGTCGGAAAATTTTCTGGTCGGAAAATTTTCTCCGGCGACCATCATCGACGGAGAAGAATTTTCCGGGGACAGTGCCAATTTTGTGATGTTTGTTGACATATTTTGTAATATTTGTACGCTTTGTTATTTTGTAATGTTTGTAAACTTTGTTATTTTTGTGTACCATGTTTATCATCTTTGTCAACCATGTTTGTAATGTTTTTTATGTCTCAAAAACAACATGGTTGACTTTTGGATGGAACTTCTCTATATAGGGATGGAGCCTCCAAAGTCAACCCGGGTGTTTTTTCCCGTTCGTATGGATTGTCGGTCTAGTTTGTCATTTTTGTCCACCATGTTCGTACTGTTTGTATGTCTAAAAAACACCCGGGTTGACTTTGGGAAGGAGCCCCTCTATATAGGGATGGAGCCTCCAAAGTCAACCTGGGAGTTTTTTCCCGTTCGTATGGATTGTCGGTCTAGTTTGTCATTTTTGTCCACCATGTTCGTAGTGTTTGTATGTCTAAAAAACACCCGGGTTGACTTTGGGAAGGAGCCCCTCTATATAGGGATGGAGCCTCCAAAGTCAACTCGGTTGTTTTTTTCTTTTTGTATGGTTTGTATTGTTTGTGAGTCTAGTTTGTATTGTTTGTACAGTTCATACGTTTGTAATGTTTGTATGTTTTGTCGCTCTAGTTTGTACTGTTCGTATGTTTGTATGGTTTGTACTGATTGTAAATCCGGTTTGTATACTTCGTAATTTTCCATAATACCCAAACTACCCCTGTCATTAATTAAATAGCCATTCCCACTTTTTAACCATTGGATTGAAGTGTCCAGATCTAATGGCTAGGAGGGGCTTAGTCAAGTGACTAAGGACCCCCCCCCCCTTAGTCATGGGATCCGCTCTCTGTCATAAACCAGTAGGTCCCAATAACTCGAGTTGTTAGAAGAAGGTTATCCTGGACCTTTATACCACTTTCTAACACTTATGACCCGCAATATTAACGATCGTCTTTAAAGCACATGATATGGTGGGCCGATGCAAATTTGAAGTCCATTACTAGACTTTCGTTTGAGAGGCACATATAAACAAATGATCATTAAGTATCATATATATATATATATATACATATATGATTATCTTCTAACAACTCGAATTTATTAAAACCAATTAGTTATGGAGCCACTCTTTCTATAATTCAACTCAACTGGATTACGATGTTCATCGCTCATCTATGATCGTGGACCTTTTACACAAGATCTTACAATCCTTCACGTGTATGAGTACCATCAGTGAACATTTTAGCAAAATTGATACAAATAAGATAAGTTCTAATGTGGATGTAAAATTGTAAATTGACGGATGGAGACCAATTGGATATCAAGAATCTTGTGCTGCCTGCCTGCCTGCGGATCTGTGTGCCGGTTATAGCTGTAATGGATGAAACTTATATATTTTATGGGGTGCGAGCATTAAGCAAGCAGGCGGGAGCGAGGCGGCATGTCCCCCAAATTCAGCAGGCGGGAGCTATAAGCTCATCTCATTCCCCCAAAAGCTGCCTGTTACCTACACATAGACTGGCAATCGGTTCGGTTATAATCAGAATTGTCAAATCGGTTTTTTATTGATTGTTAAGTATTTTGTACTTACGGTTAATGGGTTGTAACCATATAATTGATTCTGAATTTTTTTTCAATTAACTGAATAACTGTAATGATTTGGTAAGGTTATATCAAAATAATCGATCGATAACTACTGTGGTAAACCGAACTTATGCATTAATATGCCGGATTAGAGTTTGAATCTCTAGCTCCTACCTTTAATTTACTTTTCTTCGATGCTTTTTCTGCCAATTAAACTTTCTCTTTTCGGTGGGTGGTTTCCAAAGAGATAAAGAGAGAGCATTGCCTCTCTTACCACCTTTATATTTCTCTTATCTCAGTCCACCTATCACCTAATGATCGAATACTGTATGTCAATTAAGATGAACTTCGATCGATATCCTTGCAGCTAATCTGAATATGTTATTTGTTATATACGCACTGCTATAAATCGAGAAATCGCTGGAATCGACAGAGCAAAAATACGAAAGAGAGAATCGAAAACATGACACATGATTTACATGTTTCACTAACACGATGTGTGTTAGCTAGTCAACGGGCGAGAGAAAGCCAGTTTCACTATATCGAGGAGATTACATATTACAGATGAGTATGAGAATTATTTATAGTACTTCTTCTAACACGATATGCGTTGCCCCTGGACCCCACTCGCTGACCGAGCAGCGAAACCCCCGATTACCAGTCGTAGCGATTGATAGTCCAATTCAAGTCACATCAACATTATTATTATTATCATTGGGTAGACGATGGAGGTGGCGGCAGCGGCGCTTCAAGGGTTATACTTATTATACGCACCAGTGGAGGATCCAGGGCTGGGCCAACCTAGGCCCCGGCCCAGCCCTCCTCCGGATCCAGAGTTAGTTTAGTGCTTATAAATTTGTTTAATTTAGGTATTTGGCCCAGTGCTAGTTAAAATCCTGTCTAGTTTTATTTGATAATAAAATTTTGTGTAACGAGGAAAAGAACATATCCAAACCATCACTCTAAATAAATACTAAATTTTCTATACCCCAAATGATTTTATTTGAAAAAAGAAATGAAAACCTGAAAGTGTAAAGTTTCATTAAAATAAAATAAAAACTCTAAACTAAAGCACACCATTCCTTCCAAAATTCAAAAAATTTCCCAATCCCCCCAAAACAAAACAAGAACGAGGAGACGGGCAGACCCAAAATGGATTTCTCCTCCAGCCCGTCGAGCTGGTTTTCTTTCCATTCTTTTGATTAAGAAAATACTTACAAACTTGCTCAGTTATCATTTAAATTATCTCAATTGAGTGGGGCACTAGATTCTAACCGTTCTTTCTGGTGTTTTGATGAAGAAAATATGTACAAACTTGCTCAAGAGTTTAGCCTCGAGATTTTGAAGGCTATGAGATGCATTCTTTGGAGAATGCACTACTCATGTGAGGAAGATGAAGTTTTTTCTCTTGCAAAATTATTAGAGAAGCTGGAGGAAACAGGGATGGACATACAATACAAATTGATTTGTCAGTTGATTTGTGTAGTGTTGACCTAGTCGTTTCAACAACTACCATGGAGAGAATATTTTCAACAATGGAACATGAACATTGATTTGTGCAACAAAATGAGTGATGAATTTCTCGTTGATTACTTAGCTATTTTCTTTGAAAAAGAGTATATTATCAGTATGGATGGAGATTATATTATTGATAAATTTGTTAAATTAAAAGATCTTCTTGTACAATTGGCATTGTAATGAAAACTATATTATTATATATTTTTGTATATGGTATCTAATATTCTATTCAAATGCGGCCCAGTGCTCTCTTATGTCCTGGATCCGCCACTAATACGCACTAGGAAAGCATCAAATATATATATATGGCGGGAGAGAGCCACTGTCTTGGGAATTTCCACAAGGTTTGCCTTTTGTCGCGCTTCAGCGGCTCACGATGGATCAACCAGAGAATTCATTATGTGCAATAATGGGGATTTGAGATTTCCAAAGCTCAAACGACGGACTAAACACAAATATATATATGTGCAGCTTCCCCTTATTACCTACGTTGGCCTTGACTTAAGTGTATAATTAGCAAGAACTTTACACAGAGTATAGGAATCAGCTGGCACAAATTTAACAGTACAGTATGCATATGTATTGGGAATGGAGAGATGACAGACAGATTACTAAATGGAATAATGTGGAAAGGGTAGAGAAGCTATGGTGGTTTGTTTGTGTCCGCTGGTATGAGACACGTCTCGATTGACAATATTCTTCGATCCATCAGGCTGGTCTATAATGAGAGAGAGGCTCTCGTTACAACGGTCGATAGAGGATATTCATTTCGATCAAGTCGGGAATATAAACACCTTTTGCATCATGTCGTCAATCACATGCATGGTCGAGGATTAACGATTATACACTTATAGTATAACAATATTTCTCACATGAAACATTATTGAGTAATATGTTTGAGCAAATATACAATATATTGTTAAAATTTTATGTATAATCCCAAAATATTATATATTCTAAATCAATTACAGATAATTCCGAAGAATAATTTGTCCTCCTATCACATGTGAGTCAACACCTTTTGTTACACCGAAAGAAAAAAGAAATACTAGAATCAAGATGGCACAAGGAAGGCAAGGCTAGAGAATTCTACGGAATAAGGAACTCATTTTTTTGCCCCGAATTAATGAACTCTTAAAGACAGCCTTTTCTCCGGCCGCCATCTTGAGGAGTAGGAGACTGCCCCCTTCCACCGATTCGTCTTGTTACCTAGTTTTTTGCCGATCAATTCTTGCCGACGGCGAAGAGTTAGACCCAATTAGGGATGGCAACAAAATCCGAAGTCACGAGTACTTTATCCGACCCAATCCGGTCAACGCGGGTAAAACCTGTGTTGACGGGTTTTGGGCCGGGTTTGGGTTTAAACCCGCTATATCGATTACGGGTCGGGTTGGGTTTGGGTTTAGATATACCCACCCATGGGTACCCGCCCACACTCATATAATTAATTTTTTTGTTATATTTAATATTCTAAGCAATATATATCTTTCTTAAACAACTAATATTCTTTATGTTTGTGGAGACATGTCTAATTTGATATTATGGAGTGGAGAGTGAAGAAGTTTAATTGACAAGAAGGAAGAAACTTTCAATTAATCATGTTGTTTATTTCTTCAACTGACAAGAAGGAAGAAGCTTTCAATTAATCATGTTGTTTATAGATGTTTATCTTTAATTTGAACAATTTGTATTGATAATTTGCGGTTTGCTTGTATGCTCTAGATTAGTGTTTTTTGTATAGATAATTTGTATGAGTAATTTTATGTTAGACTTTTATTTTGAATGAAACTTGTTATCGTAAATTTTTTACACAAAAACCCACGGGTACCCATAAACCCACGGATACCCAGCAGGTTGGGTTGGGTTTGAGTTTTTCAAACCCAACGATTTTATCCCAAATTTTTTTGGCGGATAAACCCATTGATTTGGGTTTGGTAAAACCCGCCCAACCCGACCCATTGCCATCCCTATCCCTAGACCCAATGGAAGGAAAGCCAAAAAGTGTAGTAGACAGATAATTGAAGAAAATTTACCGAAGATGATTACTTCAAAAGCCCACTCAAACCCTTGCCCAGTCAAAGAAGTTAGGAGCAGGTGGAGACCTTCAACTGTGGGCTTCCATGGGTGCCATCTCGTTCTAGCAATCTATGTTCCAAGCCTACTTGGGCTATCTAGGAACCCACTACTATGAGCCGATTCCACGAACCCACTGCTGTGGGCCGATTGATACACAAGCATGCCTGCTAGCCCAGAGTTATCTCCATTACCATAAGACAAATAACAAGTTGAAGAAATTTATATTTAAACTATATGAATCAAATTTTGCAATACTACACATTGAGTTGAGATGGCCGAGTTGGTCTAAGGCGCCAGATTAAGGTTCTGGTCCGAAAGGGCGTGGGTTCAAATCCCACTCTCAACAAAAATTGATTTTTTTACTCTCGGAAGTTCACTTGTAATCTATAGAAAGGAAATATCATTGACAACTAATAAAAATTAATTAGTGCCTAAATAATGATAGGAACATCCTGAGCATGAAACATGAGAGGAATCTTTTTGGAACTGTTTATAATTACACATTATTTGTTTCACAATTAAGTTTGGCACATGCAGCAGCTGCGGGCAGGAAGGATTGTAATTAAGGGAAACTAAACAGAGTATTGATAGATAGATAAATAATCCTATAGAAAGACTAATGACGATTAGAGATCCAACCAATCAATAATTAAGCTAAGTACATATATATCTCAACCACTCCTAGTTCAATAGGCTGAGAAAGTTTGGCATATATATAGCTAAATAGGGATCAGATTTGAGATCTCAACCAAAACCCCCTTTTTTAAGTACACATTACCCTAAACTTATTGGGCTAATGGCCACCTATTGATATTAATATCCTTTTGTTTTTGTATATCAATGCATGTTATATGCCCTCTTTTTAAATCCACTCCACTCCAACCTCCCCATATCCAATCATTAAGTGTGACTTAAGTGATAAGATATATACTCTTTACATAACTTTGATTCAAGCTTCACAATTCAAATTTAAGGGGGGCCAGGTATCTGTTGACAGGGTCACAAAATCACGATCTTATTTTCATGAATTTCGCACATATTTATAAAAGTAAGGCAGCCTCGATTATATGCGTTGTAACCGGGAAAAACGTTGGCATTCAAGTGTGGAGACCCATGTTCTGAAGAATCCGAAGAAGACAGCCCCAACTCACGGAATCAAACGCCTTTTCAATATCGAGTTTTAAAATTAGGCCCGGTCTGCCACTTCTCCTTATACTGTCCACCAGTTCGTTTGCAATCAAACCAGCCTCGTGTATCTGTCTTCCCTTAATCCCTGCGAACTGCTGAGGAGAGATAGCCTTGCTCATAAAGGGTCGAAGCCTTCTGAACAAGAGCTTAGAAATAATCTTGTTAAGACTACCAACGAGGCTAATCGGTCGAAAATCATTAAGACCTTCCGCAGATTCTTTCTTGGGAATTAGGCACAAGAAGGAATGCCCAATAGAATCAGGTACGAACCCCGTAATGTAAAACTCATCAACCGCCTTTACCAAATCATTCTTAACGATGCTCCAAGCTTTCTTGAAGAACTCTATTGTGAAACCATCGGGGCCATGGGCTTTGTTGTTACCACAAGAATTCACAGCATCCCAAACTTCCAATTCCGAAAAAGGTAAAGTGAGCTGAAAGTTATCATCCAGAGAGAACAAATCCTTCTTGAAGTCCACAGGGAAAGGCCGGTTGACAAGAGGTTCCGTGAATCGCTGTTGAAAATGGGTAATAAAAGCATTTTTGATATCCACCTTATCCACCAGCACCTGTCCGTCAACTTTCAGCACTTGAATCAACTTCTTCCTCTGGTTATAGTTAGCCACTCGATGGAAATAAGCGGAATTTTTGTCTCCAACCTGGAACCAAAAATCTCTAGCCTTCTGCCTCCAAGAGATTTCTTCCATCAAAAGAATCTTGTCCAACTCACATCTTAGCAAGCTCCTATCATTATTCTTGATTTCATCAATCGGTCCTCTCTCTTCCTCATCATCAATATCCTTGATCTGCTTAAGAATCCTCTCAATCCGCTGCTGAATATTGCCAAAAACCTACACGTTCGACAATCCACACTCGTTTTAGGAAGTGGATTCGGGGACTCGTGACCTCATCTAGACTTTCTGTGCTCGTCAATGGTGAAGCTGGGGGCTTCTTCGGGATGCAAAGAGGCTTAAAGCAGGGAGACTCTCTCTCTCCTTTCTACTTTAGTCTGATAATGGATGTTCTGTCCTTATTCTGGACAAGGCTCGAGAGGCTCACCTTTTTACTGGTTTTTGTATGGATGAGCAGAACAGCTTAGGTGAAGTGAGCCACTTGTTATACGCTGATGATGCGATTATTTTCTGTGATGCGTCGGAGGAGGAGGTTTTCCATTTGACTGCTATTCTGCTTTGGTTTCAGAATATCACAGGGCTAAAGGTTAATTTTGATAAAAGCAAGTTGTTCCCGGTTGGTGAGGTGGAGTATATGGATAGGTTTGCACAAATTCTTGGTTGTGATTGGCAGTTCCTTCCCACGATTTATCTTGGCTTACCACTCGGCGCTCCTCCGACTTCTTCGTCCAATTGGAATAATGTTTTGGGTAAAGTGAGTAGCAGATTGGAGGTGTGGATGGCTTCTTATCTCTCTTTGGCTGGACGAATTACCTTGTGCAATGCGGTCCTGGAAATTCAACCTGCTTATCTGTTTTGCCTGTTCAATGCTCCGCGATTTGTTGTTGATAAACTTGAGAAGATTCAGCGGGATTTCATATGGTCGGGTCGTCAGGGTGAAAACAAACTCCACCTTGTTCCTTGGGACGTGTGTAAGGCTCCAAAACGGTTTGGGGGTCTTGGGATTGCTGATTTGAGGATTCGTAATCAGTCCCTCCTGTGCAAATGGTGGTGGCGTTTTGCCCGTGAGCGAGATGCGTGGTGGCGAGAGCTTATTTCGTTTAAATTCCCCAACGCTTCCTCGGATTGGATGTCGGGGGCCCGCTCAGGCCCTTGCGGTTCTAGTATCTGGGCTCATATTCTGAAGACTAAAAAACTGTTTTGGAAATTTGCTTATGTTGAAGCTGGTGCGGGTTCGGGGGTTTCTCTTTGGCAAGACGTGTGGATCAAAGGCAGGCTGCTTAGGGAGGAGTTTCCGCGTGTTTTTGCTGCTGCGGAGCTGCCCAACTGCCGGGTTTCCGAGGCTGCTAGTACTTCTGAGGGGAGAGTTGTGTGGGATATTCCTTTTAAATTTTCCTTGAGGGGGAGTGCTGAGCAAGAGAGAGTGTCTCTTCTTAATTTGCTTAATGGATTGCATGCTGATTCTTTCTTTTCAGGTCCTTCCAGACTGGTTTGGGGTCCTTCTCCAACCTCTGGGTACTCTGCCCACTCTTTCTATTGTGCAGTTCTCAAGGAGCAGTTCCCTGGTTCTGCTTCTTTTCCCTTTCATGTCATTTGGATGGCTGTGGCTCCTCCAAAGGTCTGCGTTTTTCTGTGGATCGCGTTCCAGAAAAAAATTATTACACAGGATGCTCTAAAGAGGAGGGGTTGGTTTCTTCCGAGCCGTTGTGCGCTGTGCAGAGAGCAGGAGGAAACCATTAATCATATTTTCCTCTCCTGTAGGTTCTCCAAAGATGTTTGGAGGATCCTCTCGGCTTTTGTTGATCTGCAGACCTCTAGCTCGGACATCTCTGACTTGATCTCCAAGTGGCCTTGCAGGCATCCGAGCAACGCTAAGGAGTGGTGCTCTGCCGTTTTCCTCCATGCTTTCTGTTGGCGTATTTGGCTCGAGCGCAATTCCAGAATCTTCAGGGAGGTCCACGAGATCGTTCAAGTTGTGGCTTATCGGATTGCTTCATGCATCGCGGATTGGTTGAGGGCGGCGCACAAGGTCGATCCGATGCAAGCTAATGAATGGCTGAGTGTGGTTAAGTCCCGCTTGTTCCCCAGAATCGCTGTGCCCGTGACTCTTCCACTTGCTGCTTCCCCTGCGGATGATATTGGCGACTCTGCTTTTCCCGGATGATTTCCCATGCCATACCTGGTTCCTGTTTTGTCCTATCTTCAGGTCCTCTGTTTTTTTGTTCGTACTTGCTTGTGCTATGCTGGTGATCTTTTTCCTCGCTGATTTGTTTCCTGGCGATTGCTTGTGTCCTGTATTCTTTTTCTTTTCTTTCCTGCTGGTTTGGGGGCGCTGTTTTGGGGAGGTTTGGGCTGTTTTGTTTCTTGTTGGTTTCGTTTGTACTTTTTTCTTGCTTTTTGTTTTCTATTAATATATTTCATCATTATAAAAAAAAAAACGTTGGCATTCACAATTGGCCTAAATACAATTACAAACCCAATACCTTATATTGTCATATATATGAAAGTTCATCGTGGAGGTAATTAAGATGCTCAACTCACGTGAACCAGGTCGTTTGGTTGTTGAATTTCGAACTCAAACCCTAAATATCAAAGATCTGATTAAATCCGATCGTACCCATCGTCTGTTTGCTTCCCCAAAATATTTATGTTCAATTCATGGCTCCAAAAAAAATTGCAATTTCTTTTCGGTTCTGAATCTCTTGACCTCAACGATTTACTGAAATCTACATAAATTACTACTTGTAGCCTTTAGGGTTAACAAGGTACATTCATTTTCAAACACATAATTCCAGTTCTACAGAATCCATCAAACAAACAACAAAAATTTAACCTTTTAATCAATCACAAACCCTTTTATTTTCTAAATCCAACCATTTAACTAAAATCTTTCATTTTTCAAATCAAACCAACTCCATTCATTGAGCATTGCACAAATGGACACATCCAAGTTGCAAAAAAGACTCATGAAAAAGCAAACTACGTAATAATGATATAGCTGATCAGATAGGACCATAAACTTTCAACTTCACCTACCACACCCGCACCAATGGCCACACCGGCTGACACTAAACTACAGTACTACTTTGTCTACTGCACAAACTCTCATTTCTCCTTCTTCCAGTTGTCTGCACTTTCCCACCAACCCTACAAGACAACCTCCAACGTCGTCTAACTTTAAAGGTCCCTCCAACCCCACAATTTTGCCGCCCCAATTCCATTTGTTTATTTTAGTGGATGGATCCCCCATTATATTTAGGGTTGTTAATCAATCAACATTAACAATCATTACGTGCTAATGTCATCAATGATCTCATCAAATGAATGTCATCATCCAATGCATCAACCTCCACCCGCCACCCTTCGTGGCGTAGACGAAGAGAGACGGTATTCGAAAGAACGAATATGTTGGTATATCAGATATGGTGTAGATTGTCGAACGTCGAACTGATACTTCCACTTGCATTATCAGTGGGTAATTAACCTGCTTCCTCCTGGCTCGCTGATTAGTGACTCGATGTTGATTGATTACTGGTGACGTTGGGATTTGAGACCCAACGAATCACACTGATACTTCTCACTGAAAAAGGTGGTTGGTGAAAAAGATTTATTAAAGTGAGGGGAAATTAAGTGACACAATTTGATTATTAGTTTCATTTATTACCAAATTCCATGAAATGTCAAATGAGGAACAGGTCAGAAATTAGCAACTTCTCGTAGTTGGTGAGCTTGGTAGCTTGTTGGTGACTGGTGAGTGAACTCCAGCCGGTCTTTTTTTCCGAAATGGAATATTTGTTATTGTCATTTTTGTTCTAAATCGATACCATCAAGTGTATGGTCCATTTGGTAAAATAGATCCATTCATATGAAAAAAAATTGGAGGTGCAAATAATATCAAGTAATTTTGGGTACTACTACTATGACTAGCTCCGACATTAGAGAGTAATAAGCCTCCGTTTTAACGCTCTAACTATTAGAGAAAACTGCAACAAGAAATCTTCTAATGTACATAGCATACAATTCAAATCTGATCGAAATTGTTGTAGTGTGATTAGGGGAAAATGTAACAATTGTCAAAAAAGGAGCCGGCACGATCCTTTGATGAAGATACAAGTAATCCCACTTGTATCAAGGTGTAGTGACTGACTGAGTTAGGTTATGAAAATGGAAGGTTAAGGCTTTCTTTAAATCTCTATCAAACTAGAGATTAAAGTACATACAAAATTCATGATAAATTTGAGAAAATAGAACAAATGACAAGATATCGATACTCTCAAATGTGTCCCATGATTTCATTCTCTTGAACTTCTTCCAACAACGTCGCAGTTGATAAAATCTCTCGAATTACGACCTCTTTATTAAGAAAATGTTTTCAAGGTGAAAGTGGCACTCGAAATGTGCTTTGTATGGAGTAAACTCGCCTAAAACTCAACTTCACCCAACCGGCACTCAAACTCGGAGGATTCTTCCTCGTTTGGAGGAAGAAAGAGATCAGGAATGTCCCAATGGAATCTCCCTCTCCTACCGCTCTTTCCCCACCTAACCACCACCACGGCACGCCTCAAACAAATCAGGGGATAACAAGAAAACAAAACCTCAGTAAAAAACAGGGGAAACAAGAAAACAAATATCTCATTCCAATTAGCATATATACGTTTTATTATTTTGTGTGAAAATAATTACCACGTATATATACGCATGAATCCAGCCCTTTGTTTTCATTTTTTTAACATCATGAACATTTTCCCTCTACAAGATATTGTCTACTTTGGGCAAACCCTCATGGATTTTACCTTGAAATGCATATCAAGGTGATTTCTCATGAGATCATCCATTCTTGCAGTGCTACATAATGACTATGTTTAACTTCAGAATTCTTAAAAGAACTCCTTCATTTCACCTCAAAACGTATCTTGTCAGTTAAAATCAACTTATGAACCATGGATCTCTCCCGTAGTGTCGATGTGGGATTCACCTAAAATGTTACGATATTTATCCCAACACTCTAATATATATATATTTGTCTTATGAGTATCTCAACTATAAGAGTGTCACGAGCATTGAAATAAGAATTTCCAAATTCAAACTAGTACTCCGCAACCAACTGATCAAATCAGTATTGACAACAACTTCTAAGTCAAAAACCAAACATCGAATAAGGATTTGATCTAATGATTCTATAACTAGTATTCAATTTTGAGGTACCGGATTTGAATCCAACACCTAGTATTAAAAGCTAATCTATGTGAGCTTTATTAAAAAAAAATTATCAACTAAAAAAGTACATTGGTTCTTCTATTCACCGAATTATTGCTTTTGCACATGAGTACTTTGGCAAATGAGTGAAAACACCAAACAAGCTCTATTTCTGTCTTTCTTCTTGTGACATTAGTTTGTTCTACGTGTTCTCCTTGAAAACAACACATTTTTGGGGTACATTATAGACATTTCCATTTTCATTTCATTTTACCTTAAGTAGTGAAGTAGAAGCATCAATTCCTAATTCCAGTGTCGACGAGCTATTATTAAATATTTGTATAGACCAAATCCAAGAAAATTTAGATACACCTCCTTCACCTAACACCTTCACAATAAACAAAAAGTAAAGCCAGAGTGAAGATTGATTGGGTCAATTTTAACGTCTTCCCTCTGCTTTCCCGGCTACCTTCCCGTCCACAACCAACCAACAAACACTCTCTTTTACACTCTTCTCTTTACTTACACATAAACTGCAAACCAATCATCATGCGGTTAATTGTAATCGTAAGTTAAAATAGTGATTAAAAAGATATTTACCCTCAACAACTTCAACAACCAAGCAAGCAAATCATTATCACATCAACATCCCTCAACATTTTCCTTCTTCCCATCCCCATCCCCCGAATTTTAAACCCATTTGATGGATCCAAAACTCCACCCATCATCACTAAAAAGTAGAAAAAAGAAAAAGAAATAGAGAAATAAGGGAAATTTCCAAATTAAATTGAATTTCCCTTTATGTGCAAATAAATAACACTTAATCCAGGGACTTTTCAGCAAATTCTTTGTTGTCTATTTTTTTTGGCGGGGTTTTTGGTTCTTTGTTTAAGCGGCTAATTAATCTCCACCGGAAGGGGACCATGGGGTCATGTCCATCGGATAGCTACCCAACACCCGCAAGAAGGACGCGAACTCCTGCACCTCCGCCAGCGCGTTCTGCGCCCTCACCTCCGCCATCGACGCCTCGAAATCCACGTAGAACAGGTACTCGAAGTGCTTCGCCGTCCCGACGTTGGCGTCGTCCACCAGCCGGATCGGCCGGTTCCGGTGCGGCCGCGACTCGATCTTCGTCAGGTTGATGTTCCGGAAAGCGAACGCCGACAGCACCTTGAACAGCACGCTCGTCCCTTTGTCGTGGGCGAAGACGATGCTCGTCTTGAACGGCCGGTCAGTCCTCGGGATGATCGGCTCACGCGCCAGCATCACGAACCGCGTCACGTTCCCGCAGTCGTCCTGGATCCCGTCCGCCAGGATCTGCATCCCGTACAGCTCCGCCGCGCGTGCGCTCGCTATCGCCGCCGTGTCCCTTAGATTGTTCGCCGCGATGTACTCCGCCGCCCCCGCCGTGTCGTCAACCGCCTCACGCGCCGCCTGCAGCCCCAGCTTGGTGAGCGTGTGCTCGCATTGGGCCAGCGCCTGCGGGTGCGAAATCACGCGCGTGATGTACTCCTTCCGCACCCCCGGCAGCGCCATCAGGCAGTGGTGGACCGGCAGCTGGACCTCCCCAACAATATGAAGGCGGTGGCGGAGGAGCAAGTCGTAGTTCCTGTGAATCGATCCGCCCAGCGAGTTCTCCACGGGCAGAACCGCTCGATCCGCGATCCAGAGCTCCACCGCCTGGAAAGCGACCTCGAATTGGTCGCACGGAATCGCCTCACATTTAGGATAAGCCTTACCTGCCGCCGCCTCGGAGTACGCGCCGGGGACTCCCTGATACGCGACTCGAAGCTGCGAGCCGTGCATCGGAGCTGGAGCCAGGTCGGTGATAGTCAGCGGCTTCTGCATCGGCAACGGCCTGTTGCCGTTGTTGCTGCCTCCGCCGCCGACGGCCGCCGTACCGTCGGCCGCAGCCTTGTCGATTGGGACCAAATCCAGGTCAATAGTCTTGTGACCGTTGACGGAGGCAATGGAATCAGCAGGTCCATTATCTCCTCCAGATCTACTTTCAGGAGGCTGCTCCTGACCAACGACTTTGCTGGAGAGGATAGCGCAGGAGCTCTGCCAGTCAGATCTGCTGGAGACGACGCCTGCGGGGAAGTTGACGGAGTCGTAGGAGCGGTGGATGCAGTGGACGACGAGTGGGCCGGTGGGGGGACGGCGGCGGCGGCTGGTCCCTACTATGAGCGACGACGACGACGGAGGTGGTGATAGAGCCTGCATATCTGTGACAATTGGTTTCGCTACCGGAATCGGAAAATGGAAGAAGAAAGAAAAAAGTCGGAAGAGATGCTAATTGCTATGGTAGAGATCGGAAACTGTAAGAAAATTTTCTTTTTCTGTGTTATTGATTGCTCAGCTTGTTGTTCTCTGTGGAAGGGAACGCCAAGCTGAGGGAAAAAGGAAGGGGGAGGAGGGGTATTTATATGGTGGATGGGAAAGGAAGGGTAAGAGGAAAAAGGGGGAAGGAAGCGTAGCTGCCTGGCTGCTGCTTGCGTGGGAGGTTTGAGGGGTTGGTTCGGTCAAAAATCTCACACCTACCCCCTCTCTCTCCTGTTTTCTCTCTCTAGATTTTTTTTTATTAATATGATTTATATTTATTTATAAAATTTAAAAAGAAATCCCAAGTTGATGAAGAGAAGTAATTAAATTTGGGTTTTTTTTGGAATAATTTGCAATCCATCTGAAATAAATAAATTCCCAAGTGTTTGTGTGATGAATAGATGTGGCACATGTCAATGATGTGGTGGTTATACTGTTATACCATGAATGCCCTTTCCCTTCCCTCCTTGTGTTCAGTGTAAGTGGGGTATTGGAACTATGGTATTTAATGGAATCTTTTGTTGTTTCTTTAAAATTCTTTTTTACTGGATTGATGTTAATTAATGACAGCGGTGTGCAGTAATAAATGATATGGTTAAACTGTCATTATTGGGGGGGGAGATAGAATGAGTAATTACTGTGATTAGATTAAGATGGGTGGGGGTTAATTAGTGGGGGTTGGGAGAAAGGCTTTTCTGTATCTTTCTTGCGTAAGCGAATGTTGTATACGTAATTATATAGTTTATTAGTTGCTGTTTAGCTTTTATTGTCAATGATTTTGGTTAACCTTATTAGCTTGCGTTGTCTTTAAGTTCTTAATCCTATTAGACGACCCCAGCTCAAGTCATTTTGGAACTCTTCATGTGAAGGGGATTTTCATTAGTTAGGACCAGCTCGAGTTATATTTTGTTCTAACGCTTACTTACTCTTTTTAATGATAAAACTGCTGAATGATGTATCTAGCATGTAATTGGTATGTTTGTCGATTCAATATCTCATAAACCGATTGACGAGTTTTTGTATAGATTATCAATTATTTTCCCCCTACTTTTCTAATATCAATCTCAAATCACTTTGGAAAATAGTTTACTTTGCAAATTAGAAAACTAATGGGAACATGAAAAGAAATTCAACAAAAGAAAGCTGATGAAGGCTTTTTGCTATTGTACTTTTTTTTTTTCTAGAACAGCTAGGGTTGCTTTCTACTTATTGCCTAGTTCTTGGGCAAAGCAAGCCTATCGCCCACACGAGTAGACGTATCAAACGAGAAGACGTGTAAGTATATGATTGGTGGCTAGGCGTATCCTTTTACGTATTAACCAACCCAATACCCACTCGAGCTACTAACCATATGATTCACTCGATCATCTTTTTATTCTCTATAATTAAAATTTATCTGACTTCATAATCCTGTGATTGATGGATGAGATTGAATGAAAAATAAAATAATTATCAATTGATGAACTTTACATTGAAATATAAAAATAAATTCATTTAAATATAAGCTAATTTGTGTGACAAGAAATTTCGATCATAGTCTAAATCCCCGAAAGATGTTTTCAATGTCGTCCCATACTAGTAATATACTTATTTAACACGTTCGGTAATAATATAACGAGAACACGAATAACGTAATACAAATACAAATGAATATGTAATCAACTAATTTTTTATGTGTTCATTTCACATAGTAATAATATGGTCAGATGAACAACTGAAATTAAAGCAGCTGGCTAGCTAGTTCCATATGCATGGATTGACCACTAATTTGAGTTCTTCTGTATATTGAACAGTCTTATAGGAGGATTATCACAATAGCTAGTTGGCTTAGATCGATAGTTGGTGGACAAGTTAGGTTAGAATTAGATATCCTCAGCTCCTGTTGTTTTTGTCAACTAATTAATATGCTTCTTTCTGTAACATTGTGTCACACGAGCTAATGACCATTCAATCTCTCCCGATCGACTGCAGTTTTGTTTTCTTTGTATAATTTGCAATCCTCTTTCGATGAACTGGTACAGTTTTGGTTTACAACAACTGTTAATTAGTACGAGAATTCGGGCCCAATTAATGTTGGAAGAAGTTTGGTCGAAATATGAGAGGCTACAACATGTCTATCGGCCAGGGTGTTGTCGGACTTGGGCAAGTATCTATGGTGTCGTCAAAACAGTTGGTCGGGATAATATTTTTCCGGCCGGCCGGCAGGTAGGTATGGCATCCGAAAGAAAGGACCTTGCAAATTGGACGGCAAATTAAATATCTTTCCTTTTCCCTAACTTGCCATGCTATAAACGCCACACAAATCTTTCCTACAAGTTAGGTCCGTTTGGTGAACGAATGGTTGCCCATGAAACATGGGACAATCTTGAATTCCATAGATTCCCATGATTCCGCTTATTCCTTTCTGAAGTAAGAACCATGAGATAATGAGAGGTCGAGATCGTTGAAATTCTAGGATCCTGTAAGGCTATGTTACTAGATAGATGTAGGGCTTACTCAAAGATTCTTTTCAAATATATATGTAGTCGTGGAGAGGGTGTGACTTTGGAATTTGTTTATTTCTGATGAAGTTCAGCATATTCTTTTCGTTGTACGTGTTGATTCAAGTGAAGGGTAGGGATGGTTGGGTATCGCTCGTCGTCGTTCCGATAGATCGATAAAGTACCACGCGCAGATCGAGCGTAATACAATGCTGAATGTGATGGGGAAATCAATATCCTACTATACGTCTTTAATTTGTTCTTGAGATGCATATATGAATGAATCGACCTAGCTATCGCGATCGAACCGAAGTATCCGACATGAAACGAGGCTAGCGACTATGACTATTGATGATGATGTCTGTCCAATATTGAATTATTACAAACCTTCATATTGATAGTGGATTTAAACATACTGTATGGTGAGTTTTTGCAAACTTCTGATCGCAATAATCCGAGTTATTGAACTAAACATATATGTGTAAGCGGACCTTCTAACCAATTTTGTTTGAAACTTATTGTTTATGCACTACTACTAATTTCATAGTGAGAAGGGTTGGTGAGAACTCCAAATCATCATTTGAAATCCTTTCTATTTCTTAGTGGGTGATGATGGTTAGGGCACAATTCATTAAGGAACGCACAATCCATGCGGACCATTAGCTAATCCTGGTTGGTGAAGACGAAAGAACTAATGCTGGTACTAGTCTTTGGACTTTCTTATATCTTTCTTGCTGTTGCCGACTTCATCGATCGGTTGATAGATTTCAAGCCCACATTTGAGGATTTGATTACGTAATGCTGATCCCACATTCATGTATGTGAAAAATTTGGCCAAGACATATATCATGTAGCTAGAATCCGGCTAGAATGCTAACAACACCGTCTATAATAAGGACGTTTTTAAAACATCCACAACTGTCCGATCGAGCGATGAGCGCTATGCATTCGTTGAAAGAATGCACTGGACACAATCTACGAACGGAATTGTCATCGTGTTCATCTAATAATCACGGGACGCCCGACACTCGATTAAACGGTTGTGGACGTTCTAACGACGTCCTTACAAATGCTTTTGTAAGTACCCTAACCAGATAGCATCTACCTAGGTTCAATAGTAATGAAAGGCCGGTTTCAATACCTTATCAAAAACCAGTTTCTTTCAGTAAAGATATTACACCATTATATTCCTTTACGAAGAGAGCGTCAAAAGAAAGTCAATATTCATACGCTTAAAGTTTGAATAAGCACAACATTTACACCTTGTGGCCGATTTTAACACAAACCCTCGAGATCAAATGTTTTGATATCATGTCAAGAAATCTACTAATCGTCACAATAACTTGAGTTATTGAAAATACTCAAATATTGATCTTAATTACATCATGTTCTACCTACCTACGTATACACACTCCCTTCCTTATATACAAGTCTCAATGTATACATTCGAATTTTGCACACGAATTAAGTACATATCAATCTGTCTATATATCGATCTGGTTAGATTCGGTCGTTATCAAACTCCATGTTCCAACGACGACTCGCAGCTTTTGTTAAAGCACATATACATATATATATATATGCCTTTCTTCATGGCTTTCAGTTTCAGGCACGTACGTAGCAGTCTGCGCATTGCATGCAAATATACGAACTCCTGATTGGCTTCGCGCCCTATACGTACATACAGATCAATAGCTAGCTGTCGGTGTTTACGCAAGATATAAAGTCTTCGCAGCGACTTGAAGAAAGTTACGTGAAATTATTAACTTTTGTAGAGTGAAAAAAAAAGTAGGAGAAAGTGAGTTGAATGTGGATGCTATTCTGAAATATTATAAGTAGTTGGTGGCGAAAAGGAGACGTTTGCTGTGACTGGTGATATGGGTGGTAGGTAGGATTTTTTTGAGAGATCAACGACGGTTTAATTACCCTAACACTAGGGTTGGCTATTTCGTCCCAGACTGTTTGGTTTTACTCGAAACCAGACTGTATAACCCGGACCGCGACCGGACCACGATCGGATAGCAAACAATGCAATCTCATATTCGGGCTTAGATTTGAGGTAAAAAATCGGATAAAGACTGGATAAGAGACCCCCAACACCTAAAATAAAGATAAAATTGGGACCGGACTGGGTCAAGACCGGATCGGATCAAGACCGGATTGTATCCAATCCAATCTTTGGTCCTTATATTCCCGAAAAGACCAGACTGGGACCGGATCAATTTGGTTCAATTTAACCGGACCGAACTGTATAGCCACCCTACCTAACACCATGGTGTCATTTTCTTCCCACTAGACACGAATTTATAAATATCCATGAAATGTCCACTTATCAAACAAAAAAAATATCTTTTAAATAAACGATCACGACTTCTTTAAGTAAGGATGAATAAATGGTTTTTTGTTTGTTTACATACGATTCACCACAGTATATAATTGCATTCAATGGGAATTGAAAGGGGAAAAATCGTACCAAAATGTTAACTACATTTTTTGTTATTATCATAATTATTATGAAGAAAAAGAAGAAGAATAAAAAGTCCCACTACATTTTGGGTTATAATTCTTGCATGATAGGGTCGTCTGGCTAGACGATAGTCGTTGATTATTTTAGATCAAAAGTGGAAATCTGGAATTGTTAATACTTTTCAATGAAAGTATATATGACTACTTGATTTTGGGTTATAATTCTTGCATGATAGGGTTGTCTGGCTAGAAGATACTCGTTGATTTTTTTCCGATCAAAAGTTAAATCCGGAATTGTTAGTACATTTCAATGAGAGTATATAGCTACATGATTTAATCCAAAATTATTAATAGCTAGTCCACTGACAGAAGATTGCAGACTACATAATAGGAGTATGAGAAATATGAGAAGTATATATAGATTACAGCGAGATCTCCATGACTTCCACTTGACAACAGATAACTCAACTCAAATCAAATCATATCAACATCTGGTTCGCCAAATCTTGTAGAACCCCACCCCACCTCTAATTATATATTTCTCGCACAGTTTTCTAATCCCTAATTCATTTTCGTTCCTCTGCAAATAAAAAACAACCGGTAAACTTCCTCATCGCGTCGCCTCCAGGTCCATCGAGACCCCGACTTATGTGTCTTAAGTTCGAAGTTACCATAGTATCACTTACCAATAATTACCAACTCCTTAAACTAAATCCTATAGCTAGAGCTATGGGCTTTCTTGTTTCTCAATATTCCAACCATAACAATATATGAATCATTCACCCCTAGCTAGCTAAGTCATTAGGTGAAAATTGGAATCCCCTGGTTTCACACACACCAGACACTAATGTGGCGCTTATTTTCGACCGACCCCCTAACCAACAAATATATATTGGTATAATGGGTATTGTTGGCTGAATGCGATTTCGGTTTAATTATATATTAATACTAATTAATTACCCTCTTCTTTTCTTCCCACTCCAAAGACTCAACAACCCCTTCTTCTCTTTTCTTTAATACTTGATGATGAGTAGATCCCCTCATCTTTGTTGGTAGGCAGATCCACCAACGGTGGAGATTGAGAGGTGGATCCTCCTTGGTGGTTCAGGAGCATTATCAGTCGTCCGATCTTTCGGCCTGCCCCTGGCCCTGATGGTCAAGTCAAACCCACTGCCGCGTTGACTATTCACTCCCAAACTGAAAAGAATGTATTTTCTGGGGTAGGAATGATGATGTAATTATTTCAATAATAATAATAATAATGATAATGATGATGGCAATGCATAACCTCTACAACGGGGTTATGAAATAGGTTTTGACCTCTTATAATTTATATATAATTATAAATTATATCTAATTATCTATTAATTAAGATGTATTGAATCGATTTATTTGACCTAAAATATAGTTGGTAGTTAGAAAAAAACAATATACATAAACTTTCCAACTCTTTTGTTGTAATTGGTATTCTCTTCCTAAGTAATGAATTTGAGTTTTTTTTCTACTCATAGATTAATTAACTACTAAGATATATCGTATTAGTGAATTACGTCTTATTTTATCAATTTCTCGCTTCATTTTATAGAGCACACAATATAAATTAAAAGAATATTTTCCATTGAATAAAAAGGGGCTTGAGCTTCATCTTCTATAATGATGAATTAATTTCATCCCTTAGGAAATGTTCGGACAAATACAACAAATGTATTTGTTGTGGATGCACTATATATTCACGTAGGTAGATATCGAGGTGTATGTATAGACTATAGATAAACTCCAGACAAGAATAAAACAGAATATTCCAGAAAGAAAAGAGTTGGAAAGTATATTCACGCAGCCTTCAGATTGGTCCAAATCGATTTCTGCAGGTTATTCATAGTATACTCATAATAAAGTCGCGTTCTAGATTATGTGAAAATTTGACTTTCGAGGATTCTTGCACGATTTCGAGAGGCTTAACTATAAAGTAAAATGTATAACTTCACATATTTTGTTAAAATTTGAAGTTGTACCAAGATATAACTATACAAAAAATTCAGTACCGTAATATGATTTGTACGAAATAGTATAGGTACAACCATAAATTGTACCATTACGTTCAAAATACAAGATCAATGTGTACCGTAAAAACAAAAAAAAAACACTTCGTAAAATCCCACTCAAAAGAAATGTAAATAACTCATGAATGAATACAAATTATTCACTTACATGAGGATGATAAAGAAAAAAGCGTAATGTTCTGAAATTAAAGCACCCAGTTGACGTGAAAATTACAAAGCTTTGAGTTGGTTTTGGATCGTACAATTTGGAATCCAAAAAGTTTATCAGTAACCATCTCGATCGACGGCTCGACTCTGTCACTTAACGGGCCGCTGGTAGGTAGGGTGGGGGAAATTGTGAGACAAAAGTCAAGGCAAGGGAGCTTCAACGACTCCATCTTTGTCGTCTTCCACAACCTTTCTCGTCGTTACCGTATAAATAATATTGAACCATTCCTTTTTGTTTGTTGTTTTTATCGATGAATATTCAAACAACTTCAACACGTTTTACATAGACGAGTAGTACGACGATTATATAAAAGCAGTGGTTATATCTCCACTACGTGCAGGGGGAAAAAAGGGAAGCAGGTTACACGACACGTGTTCCTCAACACGAAAAGAACATGCACTAGCAAGTTGGCTTCATACATATTTGAAGATTTTATGTTTTTTTCTTCTTCCAGAAATCCGAGGATTCAGATCTAGCTAAATAAGCGAGCAACTCGGTTATCGAACCAACCCATGTTACACATCTTCATAACTACTACGCAGATGAAACGTCGGTGATTGAACATACGAGAACCTGACAATCCGATTGGACATGAATCTTGGATTCATCGTCTTGATCTAACTGAATACATTTCAAAGGGTATTCACTTCAACTTCAATTGGGATATGTAGAACAAAAGGATAGTGCCAAACTTGAACGAGAAAAAGTTAGATCTATTTATGATAATAAAAAATCAACTAATATATTATATGCCATACTATCTCTTTGTTGAGCATATCTTAATAAAATTTTAATAAATAAATTCAAATTCAGTCTCTAACCATCTGCATAAGTACTTCCATATTAATTTTTATGCGTCTGATGTTGATAATATATTCAAATTAAGTAGCTAAATCATGTGCAAACCACGATGAATCTACTAATCCACTTCTCGGATCTTTGATCTACTTAAATTATTTTTCAATATACAATTTTTTCAGATTTTCTTATTTCTGATAATTTCGTCAGTAAGAAAGCCGCCACTCACATGTTAATAAGCTAATAATAATAATTACATTAGTACAATAGAGAAAGCCGCCATCATATCACCCAAAAAAAAAAAAAAAGCCGCCATCTAAACACCAGTATGTGTAGGCTTGGGCATGCGGTCACTCCTGGACTTTGTTTATCTTTTTTTCACTGCCAAAGGTCCAAACATTTCTTGGGCTTGCAGACCAAATTATTGTGGGTTAATTTCCAAGTAGCCCAAACAATTCTGGAGCCCACAACAAGACCCACTAAACTAAACTAAACCAAACCATACATAGCTAGCATTTTTACCATTACAAACAAAGAAAATAGAGACCCTTTACATAAAGGTAGGTAAACTTAATTAGGTTCTTTGTTCTTCTAATTAAAGATCAAGTACTAGAGCTGGTAAGTCATCCCAACTCTCACTGTCCTACTACAGGGCAGATCAAACATCCTCGGACCGCTCCGCCGCCACACGATCTTTCTCAAAAGACCGTAACCCCAATCGACTAATAATCTCTTCCAAAACCCGCATCCTTCCCCAGCAATCATCTCATACTCTCCAATCAAGTGGACCACCCCATCGTCCCAAGCTCGCTCAATCTGCTTCATCTCTTCCACCAACTCGAGCCCTACCACGTTCGCTCTCACGAACTCCATCAGAACCTTCACCATCATCTCCTCGAACGCCACGTGTCCACTCTCCCCACTCCTCCTCCTCTTCCCGTCCTCATACCCATACCTCGCCACGCAACGGTACATCCTCATCTCTGGGGGGCCCACGCAGCTGAACGTCATCCTCTCCTCGATCCGAACCCTGGCCACGTGGACGGTCCTGATCGAGACGAGGACCACGACCGAGTGTAGGGCCGGGATGTTGGCCACGTAGTGCTTGAAAACCGGCGGGATCCCGTGGAGAGGCGCCGGATCGCCGTCGGAGTGGAAAACGGCGATCCCTGGGAGCCTGCTCAAGCTGTGGTGGGTGGTGGCTCCGGCGCCGATCGAGTCCTCGTCAGGTGAGATCCGGTGGTGGAGCTCGTAGTGGTGTCTCCTCCTCTGGACGTCGCTCCACGTGTACATGATTAGCATCAAGACGCCGGCGAAAGTCAACGGAAGGTAGCCTCCTTGTGGGAACTTGTAAAGGACGGAGGTTAAGTAGGCTAGCTCCGTTGTACCGATGGTGGCCACGAAGGAGACGACGAGCAGCAAGTTTACCTTCCAGATCATCACCATGATCAGTACTAGGAAGGAGGTGGTGAGAACCATCACCAGCACCACTGCCATCCCTGTAAACAATGATATTAGTACCTAAACTTTCGGAATTTTACAATCTGTTCAGTGAAGCAAAAGAAAAGCGACGGAATAAGTGTGGGTGGGTATTCATGGGTTGGGTATCGCTTGATATAAACCCAACTCAACCCGAAGAATAGTGTACAGGTTTAAACCCAAATCCGACCTAAAATACGTCAATACAAGTTTTACCGCGTTAACTGAGTTGGGTTGGGTCGGGTAGGGTACCAGTGAATTCGGGTTTTGTTGCCATCCTAGTTTTAGTTACATTGCTTTCTGTTCTCACTTGTTCATTCATCAGAAAGCTATGGTTTGCAGTAAAGCACAAAGCAAACGTTAAACTACTAATTAAGTCCAAGAAAATGTCACAATTGGCATGTAAAAATACGAGACGTTATAATAAACATATATTACGTACCGTATGCGTTGCAAATCCCGGCGGTGGTTTGGAAGCTAACCGTGACGGCGACACAGGCCACCATCAGCAGCCAGTTCACCTCCGGCACGTAGATCTGGCCGGGGGACTTTGACGAAGTGTGCACGATCGTCACCGGAGGGAAGCAGCCCATCGAGTGAGACTGCTGGACGATGGAGAACGTCCCTGAAATCAGCGCCTGGCTAGCTATCACTGACGCCAGAATGGCCACCACGAACACTGGCCAGTAAAGTGTCCCTACATAGGTCCACGATGAACAAAGTAAACATGTCAATAACCTGCTGATTTCAATAACTCGAATTATTGGACAGTTCCAATAAGATATTTTTTTTAAATAAAAACTCATTTTTTATTTTTATTTTTTTTAATTGTTGGGAAATGTTCAATAATGGATCTTATATCATTCACAAACACACACCCTCAAACGAAAACCAATCAACTCATAAGGGCTTTTCTTTTGCACAGGTCTGAATACAAGATACCATGTGCTTCACGGGTCACCGAGATTCGGACACAAGACCTTCCGATCACAGATACCATGTCAAGAACCAGTTGATCCCAAAAACTCGAATTGTTGGGAGATGTTCATTAATTGATCTTATACCACTCACTAACAAAATCATTAGTTAATTACTGTTAAACCTTCCATTCTCTCTCCATTGATCAAGGTAATTTAAGGCATTCTCAATCAGAATAAAGGTTGGCTATTTGGTCCGGGATTTTTGGTTTTACCCGAAACCGGACCGATACAGGACCGGGACCGGATAGTAAACAATCCAATCCAATTTTCGGGCCTAGATTTGAGGTAAAAAATCGTTTCGGACTGGACCGAAAATCTGATAAAGATCGGATAAGAGAGCCCAACACCCAAAATTTAACCTCCTCGCCCTTTCAAGCCTTAGGCCACTCAAATCCCCTCAGACCACTCAAATCCCCACAAGCTCAATCTAAAATCAGGACCAAATTGGGACCGGACCGGATCAAGACCGGACTGGATCTAATTCAATCTTTGGTCCTTATATTCTCGAAAAGACCGGACTGGAACCAGATCAATTCGGGCCAATTTAACTGTACCGGACCGTATAGCCACCCCTAAGAATAACTTATAGTACCAGGGATGGATTTGAAGAAGGCGTCAACCACCAAGTGAGGGTTCTTGGTCAGGAAGGCGGCTTGCCCCACGTAGGCGAGGACGAGGGCGGGGTACACGACGACGCACATGCTCAGCTGCACGGCCCGAACCGAGAAGTGGCCGACGTCGGCGAACATCGCCTCGCTGCCCGTGGTGGCGAGGACCACACCGCCGAGGGAGATCCACGCCTCCTTCCCGTTCCTGTTGAAGTATCGGACGATGTACCTCGGATCCAGAGCTCTGACGACCGATGGATCGTACTTCAGGAGGTTGTAGAGGCCGATCCCACCGTTAATTACGAACCACACGCACATTACTGGCGCGAAACAGCTACCCACCCTCTCGGTGCCCAATCTCTGGGCCGCGAACAAACCCATCAGTATGGCTATCGAGATACCCACCACCAACCCTGCAATTGGCATCCAAAATATGACTAAAGACTACACACAAAGCTAGCTAGTTCAAAACGACGCAGTTTATTTAAGGTATACCTTGCGTCATGGATTCTATAGTCTGCTTGATACCTCCCACCGCTGACAAAACTGCATTTTGGGTAAGAAAAGAGAAAAGGTCAGATGAAAGCAAATGTGAGTTCTTTTTTACTTCTTCTTTTTCTTCTTCTTCTTCTTCAGAAGGAAACCATGATTGCTTTATTTATCAATTTGTACACACCTGAGATGCAAGGAGTGAGAACTCCGTCTCCGATGACCATGGCAGCACAAAACATCGATGCGACGAGAAGCGCGTACTTTGCGAATTCACTGTCTTCTAACTTCGACTTGAGCCTCGAAGCCATTTCTCGAGCATCCTTCGACACCTCATTTTTCTGGTCCTCGTCTTCGTCTTCGTCGTCATCCTCTATTGTTGGTTGACCGTGCAGCCCCACCCTCGCGTGTTTGCATATGAGCGAGTATAATGCAAACGTCCCGCCTAGTGCAGTAATGTATTTTTTTTAATTTGATTTTCAACGATGATATCTCACTATCTATTACCAATAATTAAACTCGGTAATTTGAATTATTCAAACATGTTCGAAATATATTAAAAAAACACTCATAAGAAAATCGAATGTATAGTTAGGTATCTAATCTATACCTAGAAATGAAGCATATGATATGACTAGGGACAACAATGAATCGAGAGTCCGATGATACCTAAGTACCATTAGGTAGTAATTAGTTGTCTAAAACTCAAAAGTGATTCCATAATTTGAGCTTAATTAATGGAGTATGTATGTTACCCTCTCCATTATGAGTGGCGCGTAAGACGACGAAGCCATATTTGACAAGCGGGATCAAGGTGAGGGTGTACAGTATGAGCGACAGAACGCCGAGGACGTCGTCGTCGTGCTTTATCCCGTCGCTGAACGTGCTCGCGTAGAGGTACATCGGCGACGTCCCGATGTCGCCGTAAACCACTCCCAAGCTCTGGAACGCGAGCCGCGCCGTCAGCCCCCAACCCACTCCATCCTGAAACCACTACAAGAAAATCGTGGTTATAGTGATAAATAATTAGAGACAATTATTGTATTAGTTCCTATATTTAAATTTTAGTGACAAATATATAAATTTGTCTCAAAATGTCATATTATTTTTCTCTGTTTCATAAAATTCTCTTATATCTTATATAAAATAATTTTTTTTTTGTAAGGGTGATATATTAGGATAAAAAAAGAACAAAAAAAGAGTTCAGGAGTACAGGAAGGAGCATTTCCAGGATCCACAAACGAATCCAAGGTTTGCCACTAAAATGAAAGGTTGACACAGACACAGTTGCCACTTCAGCTAATTAAGAAGATCAAAGAAAACCATACATATAGAAACAAATATTAAAACTTTTTGTTTATGAATATCTTGGAACTTTTAGAAACAAATACAAATGTCACTTTATGTAGTATAGAAACGAGTGTAAGACTTTCAATGACAATTACAATATTTTTTTAATAACACTGCATTCAATTAATTCACCATAAAAAGGTTTATAAGGTAATCCTCTATGAGAAAATGTATAAGAAATACAGGTGGGCTATCAATTCACACCTCCTCCTCTTCCCACCTACGTATACTCAGTTTGGGCCATCAAATGAACCATTTTATTCTTTTTTCCGGTACGCAAACTTCCACGCAACCTTCTCGAAAATCGTGGGCTTGATATTGTGAATTCCTCTTCCCACCTACACTCAGTTTGGGCCATCAAATGAACCATTTTATTCTTTTTCCGGCACGCAAACTTCCACACAACCTTCTCGAAATCGTGAGCTTGATATTGTAAATTACACAAATGTTACTTATAGTTATGCTAGTAGCAAAATATTTTAGAGATAAAAATGGATATTGTAAATTACACAAATATCTTAGAACTATTAAGCCGGCCTTCCTTTTAATATTAAATGTTTTAAATATTTTACCAATGCGGCTCGATCTCAAATAGCTTCCGTCTTTTGTTATGAAAGCATCAGAGTCTCCAAAAGTCACTTTTTGTGGTATGAAGAAATCACATTTTTTAGATTTGATAAAATAGTCTCCAAAAGTCAAATTAGAAGCAAATGTAATTTCACTCTAAAAGTCATCTAGAGACGGATACCTGTAAGACGAAACGACGGACCTTGATCAAGTCGTGACGCCCGCCATGGCCAGGGAGCCGGTGGAGGCGGCGGCCGGATTCCATCTCACTCGGCGGCTCTCTGTCTGCCGGCGGGTTGTCTGGAATAGCTTCGCCTCCCGACATGTTTCTTTTTGTCTTTTTTTTTTTTTTGGGATTATTAGGGTGTTTATTGGTAAAGAGAAGCCAGAAAAAGAGAGTGGAGAACCAGAGAAGGATGGGGACACTACCGAGGCCAATTTGAAAAAAGTGTCCCGGAAAATGGAGAAGGGAAGAAAAGCAAAGCAGCGTCCAAACCCAATTTCCATTTTCAGCTTCAAAATGTAGTCACAGAGGAATTCAAGATGAAGAACTGAAGTTGGGACTCCCCCACGTGATGGTGTTAATGGACACTTCTGATCTCTCGCTTGACGACGACAGCCAGTCAGGAGAGCCTGGTTTAGTGGTTTTAGATAAAATATGTATGACCTTCTGCTGCGAGTAATTAATTATCATCACTAATTACTCTCATTTTGGACTTCTGCCTCTACCGACCTCTCCACCATGCAGGAATCAATATTAAGACGGGGATAAGCTTAGGGCTAAGACACTACATTTTGAGTTTATTAAATTATTAGGGTTGTTAGGATATGACTCTTTTTTTTATAAGGTTGACATCAATTAATTTAAGAAAATAACAAGTTACAAAGAGAAGGAAGAGATACACGATTGAAGAACTCCAAAGAAAAAAGAAAAAACCAGCAAACAAAGGTCAACAACACCAGCAAAATAATCGTCTTGAATTTGATTTGAGCTTTGTTATTTTGTTTTGTGTTTTGGGTCTATTCTGTTTGACTTTGGGTTTGACATTTTCCTTGTATGTTTGGAAAAAAGGTGTTTTGTTTTCTGTTTTGAATTAGGAGAAGAGTTTTATAAATTAGTATGATTGTATCAATAATTTGTAATTTTGATACAATTAATAATTTATAGTTTGTATCCCAACATTTAATGGATATTGACAATAATTTATGCAAATACCCAATACCCAATGGATATTGCACAACACAACAACCAATAATAGTAGTCAAAACCATTCTTTATTCTCCACCTTTTGAAATATATGATTAGACTGTAGTGTCGTTCGAAAATATGATGAATATTCAATACTATAAGAAACAACATTTTTCCATGTAAAAATAGGACGCGAGTCATACGGGTGACCCGCAATCCACCCACATAATGTGCGGGCTGGAGATTTAACAATCCGCAATCCGCCCACATCAATCACCCATTGTATGCAGGTCGGGTTATTTTGTGGGTGGATCAATATCAATCCGCGTTTTAACCACCCACCCACGTGCCCACCCTTACAGATTGATATCAAGTATTCAAAGTATTGTCGTCGTATATACAATTGCTATTTTTTCGCTCCTGGCGAAAGTCTGAAGGATGGTGGCCAACCAGGCCCATTCCGGCCGGCCTACTCTATCAGCCCGTCGGAGAAGGATGGAACCACTGGCTCACTGAGGCACTGACAACAATAATGATAATAATAATAATAATCCCGGCATTAATTAAGAATAAATAATAACCACGAATACTTCAGAATAATTCCCAGTAATGATTTTGATAATCTCACCGGCCGTAAACACGATCAACCTACTGAAAAAAGCATGGGAGATTAATTAACGGCACCTCCACAGCGCAAACTCTCAGCGCACTAGCAACAAAAGAACCAAAAGGAAAAACTTATTACAAATCGTCAGAACGATATCGAGAACGTTAAACAAGTAGGGTGTCCTCTCCGACGTCGCCGTCGCCGCTTCACCGCCACCGGGACCCGCTTCATCCGTGGCAGTACTACTACTATCCAACCCGGCGGCGACGGAGGCCTGAAAGTTATCGCCGCCGCACTTCTCAAAACACGCCGCTTGCACCGCCAGCGTGTCGGTGGTGCGGCTGTCGACGTCGCCGCCCCTGGTCTCGCAGACAGCCCTACGGGCGCCGGCTTCGTTGAGGGTGGTGATCCCTTCGGCGGCGAGAAGTAGCAACAGCGGTAAGAGGACCGTGGCGGCGGTGAGAACCGTCGCCATGTCGACGGGTTTCATATCTACTGCCGTTGATTGATCATATGCAAGAGAGAAAGAAGATGTGTGGGTAGAGAGAGATCGAAAAGGAATTAAATATGTGCACTGGCAATATAATGAGGATCCCGGGAATTAATTTGCTTTTTACCTTATTGCTATGAACGCGAGATTTTTCAAACATAGAAAACCGCTAGCTGTCTGGGAAATTTGTCCTCTTTTTTGGTCCTTCTTTTTTCATTAATTACTAATTACTGTTTCTGGAGAGTAAGCTAAAATAGGATAGTGGAAGCGTAAAAGGAAACTCTACTGTAGCCAGTAGGATTAGCATGGAGCTTAACTAGATATCCGCCGTCCCTTTTATTTTGGGCTCAAGATAGGTGCATAACCATGGGTTATGCATCCATCAATAACCAAATCTGAACCCTTCATTTAGAAAATTCAGATTTAAGGATGGAGAATTAAAGATCATTTTTATTTTCTCTAGCTTTCTTAATCGGCTCATATCTTTTCGTTTTAACTCGGATTTTAATTTTTTTTGCACAGGTGGAACGAGTTCATCGTGCTCTACAAAATGAGATCAATTTTCAATATTTTTTTAGAACAAAAAATTATGGCCTCTCGGTACCAACTGCATACCATATGGTATTTTCTTCATTTTTAATTCGTTTTTTAAAACGTTTGCGCATAAGGGACGAGTTCATCATGATCTATTAGATCTACAAATTTCTGGGTGAACAAATTACAGGACCAAAAAATACCACACAATACCATACAATACCACCCTGGTATACGGGGTGGTATTGTATGGTATCTTCTTCGTTTTTAATTCGTTTTTGAAAACGTTTGCACAGAAGGGACGAGTTCATCATGATCTATTGGATCTACAAATTTATGGGTGAACAAATTATATGACCAAAAAATACCATACAATACCACCCTGGTACGGGGTGGTATCTTGTGGTATACAATGTTAAAAGTCGTAAATGACAATCAATATATTTCTACTATCATGTATTCAACCATCCTACAGTCTTGGTTTGTTCATACCACCATGGTACTTTTTTCAAACCATATGTATGCTTTTATTTCAATACCAGTCAATACCATATGGTATAGACTGGTAAAAAATGGCTCAATTTTTTTTGTTTGAAAAATATATTAAAGTGGATATTATTTTGAAGAGCACAATTAATCTGATCTAATTGTGCAAAAAAAAATTAAATTTCGATTTAAAATGAGTGAGAAATCGTTCATCAAAGATTAAAGAGGGGAAAATTAAAGGCTTTCCAGGAGAGAGAGGATGCTGATGTCATGCTGATGTGGACGGGTTACTCATGGTTACTCACCACAAGGTTACTCACCTAATCTGCTCCCTTTATTTTGGTTGTGAACTTGTGATACTACGGTGAGTAATGGGAAAAGGGTATTTTAGGGTATTTGAGTAAGAGTTTGTTAATAAGAAGTTCTCGGGAGAGAGGGAGGGAGAAACAAGAGTCACTAAGCCGAAGAACGAGAATGAATGAAACAGAGTCGTGCTAGCTGTAGCGATGACAATTTCAACCCGCCTTGTGGGTATTATCGGACCTGACCCGCGATGAGGCGGGTATTACCCGACCCGCGGTAGCGTGGGGCGGGGCATGAGTATTTACTTTCGACCAGCCCTTCCCCGCCCCGCTCCGTTCTAAACTCATTTTATTCTCAATTTCTTACAATATCTATACATATTTCTCCTATTTTGGCTTTTCTTCAACTAGTTAGAGTCGATCTTTCAACTTGTTAGGCTCAATTATCCATTCTATTATCAATATTTTTCATTCTTAAAGTGTTTTTCCCTACGTTTTATTGTAAAAAGTAAAATTTACTTGTATTTTTTTTAACAACATGTAAGAGTGGGTCGACCCGCCCCGCCCCGTAACCGCGCGGGTTTTACCTGCCCCGACTCATACGTATGAGAAGCCATCAAGACTTCCCTTAAACTTAAACTTAGTTAGGGAAGTCGTAACGATTCATCCCCCTAACATCTTAAACTTATCGTGGTGGCTCTTCACCACGAACCCGAAGTAGCGTGGGGCGGGGCATGGGAATTGAGGTACCCGCCCCGCCCCATTGCCATCACTAGCTAGCTGAGTAATGTATCGAAAGATAATTGAGAGTATAAAAAATGATTTTTTTTAAGATTCTTTCATGATATGTAAATTGAAAACACATCACAGATAGGGATGGCAATTTTGCCCATACCCATGGGTATTTTACTATCCAACCCAATTGGGTTGGGTATAGATTCCAAATAAATGGTAGATGGGTAGAGTTTGATGGATTTGTATCCATACCCATTTACTTGGGTTGGGTTGGGTTTTTAACACATGGATTTGGGTTTGTACCCATGCCCAAAGGCAAATTACAGTTTGGTACCTAAACTTAATAGATATGCAGATTTAGTACCTAAATTTAATTTTTTTGCATATATGTCCTCAAAATATCGATGGAAAATTACGTTTTGGTACCTAAATTTTTTTGGTCTTACATTTTGGTACCTAAACTTTTCAAGATTTACAAATAGGTCCAATTTTTGTGTGTGTAGTTAAAACACTCTCAAGTAAATGGATATCCATATCCAACTAGGGGTGGGCATCGGTGCGGTTTTGACCGCACCACACCGTATTGATATAAACCGCACCGCATCGCATCTTAATCGGACCGCACCGCATGTTCGACCGCAAAGTTATTGGTGCGGTCAAACCAAACCGCATAAATTAGCAGTTTGGTACGGTTTATACTGCGCCGCATTTTGACTGCAATTCATTATGATTTGTACATTATTAAATAACATTGACTCTGTTTCTTTCCGCCAAAACAGAGCAATCCTACCGTGTGTAAATGCCAATTTCTATGGATTTCATCACAGAATCCAGGACAAGCTTCGTCTTCCTGCAAATCTCAGCCCACGACCGTGCCTTAACCCCCTGAAGAAGCCTGGAAAATTCCTCAACTTCAACCTCCTGTAGAACTTCATTCACAACTTCACGTTCCAATCCAAATCCCGATCCACTTACTTAGCCATCCAAGTGAAGTTGAACTCAGTGGATTGCTACTTGTAGGGAAGTATGAAGTCCCCTAAACACATAGACCAATTGGCGCCAACGATCTCCAATTCCATGGTGAGATGAGAGAGGAAAGAGCACAGTGGATGATCCCCACAGTGTTGTCTTATTCGTAATGCAGTTGTGCCGAACAAGAGATTATGACTCCAGTAAAGCTTTTGGTGAAATCAATCATTTTGAAATGTAAGGGTTTCAAGCGGAATCTACTAGGAACACGAGTTAGCAAGCAGAAAGACGGAGAACTCTGTTGCCTTGCCACCAAAACAGAGCATGCCAAGTTTCTTTACCCTTTAGCCCATTCACCATGTTTCTCATTAGCTGGTTGGTTGCTTCTGCAGAAATATTTAAATCTAGTCACAGTATTTAAATTTAGTCTAGCTATAATGATCGGGAGTCGAGAACGGGTAGTCGAGAAGGACGAATAAATCTGCAAAGAGAGAAGCATCATGGTGGTCGAGAACGGGTAGTCGAGAGGGACGAATAAGTCGGGAGTCGGACGAAGGCGAGAACGGGTAGTCGAGATGGAGGAATCGGCGCTAGCGCCGCGACGATACTTGCTCTTGTGGTGATGAAGTTGGCGCTGTCGTCGGGAAGAATAGATCGGGTTGTGTGGTGAGAATTGAGAGGCCTCGCTGAGTGTTGGTGGGAGACATAGGGATTTAGCGGATTGCGGTTTTAAACCGCAACCGCACGGTTTCGGTCGATCCGTACCGCCAACCGCTAACCGGTTGAGAATTAGCCGCAAATGAAACCGCAATTTAAATGGTGCGGATTGGATTGACCGCACAAGCGATTTGGAGCGGGCGGAGCGGTTTGGACCGCACCAATGCCCACCCCTATATCCAACCCATACCCATTTGCATTATGAAAGCAATATCCATACCTAACTCAAACCCATCTACAAACCCCCAAACCCATTTACACTTCATCCAAACCCTACCCATACTAAATGGATTTATTTGGATTTGGGTAAAATTACCCATGGGTGAGTAATTGCCATCCCTAATCATAGATGTTTATAAAAAAAAAAATTTGAAACTTATATCAATTGGTTACTTTATTCCATGAATGAAATACTCCATCATTAATTTTTAATTCTATATTTTAAATATTTACTTGAACGCACTAATTTGATCTTCTTCTCTTCCACGATAACTATCTCATGCATGTTAAAGCACTAATAACGTCAGGCAAACAAATATTGACAGAAATTGGTATTATATATGAACAATATTACTAAGGACTAAATGAGACAAAACGGGCATGGATCTGCCAGAGAGATCGATCCGTGCATGGCATTGGCAATACAAGCTGACTGAAATCCACTGAGGATTTCATCCATCCAATGCTTGATATCAATTTGAACTCTGTGTAGCCTGTGGCACTGTACGTATTTCCACTTGTAATTGAACTCAACTTCAAGCGGGGAATTAATTTGCAATAATTATTAAATTTCGAATTATAAGAGAGGGAATAGATCTCCTGTAAAAAGAAAAAACTCCGCCCTGTATATATATAAACACACGTACAGTCTACACACCCTGTAGTATTTCACACACACTTCACTCGCTATCAGCAAACCAAATTTCTCCCTGTCCTCGCGCTTCCCTGAAAATTCTCTTCCTCTCCCCGAGTAGAAATCCAAGTTTATCTCCGACGGCCATGGATTCCTCGGCCGGAGGAGGAGTCAGCGACGTGGAGGCGCAGAAGGAGCACGAGAACGAGCAGGTTTGGGAGGAGATCGGTAAGCTGCCGCCGGAGGAGCGAGTTCACTACGCGGTCCTCAACCGAACTCCTGCCGAATTGGCGAGCGTAGTCGGCGGCGATGACAGCAGCAATAATGATATTCAGTTGGCGGAGAAGATCGACGTCAGGAAACTCGACCGCTCGTACAGACAGCTGGTCCTGAGGAAAGCTCTCGCCACGAGCTCTCAGGACAATCACAATCTCCTCGCCGGCGTTAAAGACCGTCTCGAGAGGTACGCTTTTGGTCTCTAGATCGCATTGAGATTTTTTTTATCGTTTTTCCGAATTTTTCAAGCTTGAAACAGCAATGTCTCGAAACTGTTCGATGAATGTCCCCTGTGAGAGTTTTCTTGTATTTCCTTTGCGCCTACGATTTTCAAATTTTGACCGTACGGGTCGGTTTTCCTGCGTACGGAGGCAGAGTCGGGATTGAGGTGCCGAAGGTGGAAGTAAGATTTGAGAATTTGAAGGTGGAAGCCAATGTGCAGACTGGCTCTCGAGCTCTGCCTACATTGCTCAATTCCGTCCGCGACGCCGCAGAGGTCTGTGTATTCAGTCTCCAATTCTTCTCCAAACAATCTGTTACTCTGTTTTCAGCAAATTGGATTCATGACGATAAATAAATGATTATCTTTATCTGGCAGTATATTTCAACCAAGCTACGGATATGCCGGCCTGAGCGACATCGTTTGACGATCTTGAACGGGGTCAGCGGCGTTGTCAAGCCTGGCCGGATGACCTTGCTCTTAGGCCCTCCGGGAGCCGGAAAATCGACATTGCTTTTAGCTCTTGCCGGCAAACTTGATCACAACCTAGAGGTACATTAATTAAGTTCATCATGACTGAATGTTAATTAATTACTTTGACTTTGGATTAGAGATTAGACGCATGTCCGTTTCTCGCGTCTATAAAAGAAACCTTCCGTAACATCTAACATTTAGATATTGTTTTTGTCCATAGGAGTAAAGACTATTTCAGGAACAAAAGCAGTGATAATTAACTACCTTACGTTTAACCTTTTTCTAAACAATTATTCAGGTAACCGGAAATGTTACATACAATGGGCAGAGCATAGATGAGTTTTATGTTCAAAGGACAGCTGCATACGTCAGCCAAACCGACCACCATATAGCCGAGCTGACCGTCAGAGAAACGTTCGACTACGCTGCTCGTTGGCAAGGCGCCACCAATGCCTTTGGCGGTTGGTCTTTCTTCAGCATGTTCCTTTATAAATACCCATCAAACATTTGTGCAATAACATTACACTTTTAGCGATTACAAAATGTAGTGAAGTTGAGCAAGTTGACTGATCAGGATTTTTGTTTCACTTTGTGGTTGTAGTAGGATGCATGGATGATCTTGCCAGACTAGAAGAGGAGAACAACACCCGTCCAAATCCAGCTATCGATGCGTTTATGAAGGTTAACTAAGTTTGATACTGCCACGAAGACACAAAAGCTCTCTCTGGTTCCTTTTCTTAATGATTTTGACGCTTTAATTTTCTGTGTAAACTGTAACGAAGGCCTCAGTGGTCGGCAGCAAGCAACACAACATCTCGACGGATTACATTTTACGTGTGCTTGGCCTTGATATATGCGCCGATACCAAAGTTGGGGATAACATGCTTAGGGGTGTCTCCGGTGGCCAGAGGAAAAGAGTTACAACTGGTATATTCCACCTGTTTGACAGGACTTATTTAGAATGACTTGCTGCATAATTGAAATCCAATCTAAGTAAAGTTTTAATCGTACCCATCGTGTTATAAATGCTTGTTGCAGGAGAAATGATTGTCGGGCCAAGGAAGACACTATTGATGGACGAGATATCCACCGGGCTGGACAGCTCAACGACGTACCAGGTTGTGAAGTGCATGGGCAATTTCGTCCATCTAATGGAAGGAACCGTGCTGATGGCTCTTCTTCAACCTCCCCCGGAGACGTTCAATCTGTTTGACGACCTTATCCTGTTATCAGAAGGGCACTTAGTATATGCTGGACCGCGAGAGGAAGTTCTGGAATTCTTCCAATCCTTGGGTTTCCAGCTGCCCCCGAGAAAGGGCGTAGCAGACTTCCTTCAAGAGGTATTTTAACAATCCTTCCACAACCATGATTGACAGCTGGTGTGCATGTCAAGATTTGTAATTTAATACTATTGGTTTGGTCAGGTTACATCGAGAAAGGACCAAGCACAGTATTGGGCCGACCCTTCAAAACCATACGAGTTCATTTCAGTGCCAGAGATCGCCAGAGCATTCAAAAACTCCAGGTTCGGGGAATCACTTGCCTCCGCGGTGTCCCTTCCTTACGACAAAGCCAAAGACCATCCTTCAGCGCTCTCGAACACCAAATACGCCGCGTCGAGGTGGGAGCTTCTCAAGACGTGCTTCACTAGGGAGACAGTTCTAATGAAGAGGCAGGGGTTTCTGTACATCTTCAAGACGGTGCAAGTCACTTTAGTCGGCTTCGTCACTTGCACAATGTTCACCAGGGCGAGGCTACATCCAGTGGACGAGATCAACGGGAACTTGTACATCGCTTGCCTGTTCTTCGGCCTCGTTCATTTGCAGTTCAATGGGTTTGCAGAGCTGCCTCTGTTGATAGGCCGCCTCCCTGTGTTTTATAAGCAGAGGGATAACCTCTTCCACCCTGCGTGGGCTTGGTCGCTAGCCAGTTTCGTGGTCCGTGTGCCTTACTCGATTATTGAAGCTGTGATGTGGACCGTCGTTGTCTACTACTCTGTGGGGTTTGCCCCCAGTGTTGGAAGGTAAGCGATTAATGGACTAATCATACTTGATTAAGTACCGGTTAAGTTAGTTGTTTGTCTCCCCGCCAATATTGACCTGTTGTGTCAAATGTGTGTGCACCAGATTCTTCCGGTTTATGTTTCTTCTGTTTTGGATGCATCAAGCGGCAATGTCTATCTTCCGAACCATGGCTGCAGTTGCAAGGGATCCAGTGATCGCCAATACGTTCGCTTCAGCTGCATTGTTGATTGTGTTCTTGTCTGGTGGATTCATCATTCCCAAAGGTGGGTTGAAAGATCTAAGAAAAAAGTTAACTACTTTTAACCAATTGGTGCAGCTTTTTAACTCCGTTACATATATGCACAGCTGTAATGAAGCCATGGTGGGTTTGGGCATCATGGATCTCACCACTAACCTACGGTCAGCGCGCAATTTCTATCAACGAATTTTCCGCCGAGAGGTGGCAGGAGGTATGCACCGAAATCACCAGAACTGAAAGTTGAACAAGCGACTTCTAATTTGAGACAGGGATATTAGTAATGCTCAACACTTCATTGAGTTTAACTTGATGTATGCTTCAGATGTCTGCTGTCGGAAACATTACAATTGGAAACAACGTACTCCATCAACACAGTTTGCCCCCGGAGGATTACTGGTATTGGATTGGACTGGGGGTTCTAGTGCTGTTTACAGTGTTCTTCAACCTCGTGGTGACCGCTGCCTTGGCCTACCTTCGTCGTAAGTGCATTCTCAGAGCTTAAGTCATTGTATATATATCTTGTCCTTCACTGTCACAGGCTCGTTCTTACACAACTACCTTGTTGGTCACAGCTCTTAAAAGGGCGCAAACCCTCAACCCAGTTGATCCATCCAAGGAGGGAAGTGATCATCAGTTGTCAAACAAAACAAAAGCTGCTGAAGGTCATGAGCGCACTAAACAGACTGGAATGATTTTGCCGTTTCAGCCACTGACAATGACCTTCAATAAAGTCAACTACTTTGTTGATATGCCCAAGGTACTTCTGCATGTAACTTTTTTACCTTAACAGCAATCGAAGTACTTATTTCCAGTGGTTTCTGAATGGCATTATTGCTGTTTTCAGGAAATGAGGAAACCAGGATCAACGGAGAAGAGGCTGCAGCTTCTATCGAATGTGAGTGGGGTGTTCTCGCCTGGAGTTTTAACAGCTTTAGTTGGAGAAAGTGGAGCTGGAAAGACTACCCTCATGGACGTGCTGGCAGGGAGGAAGACCGGTGGGCTGATAGAAGGAGAAATCAAGATATCCGGTCACCCAAAAGAGCAAAGATCGTTTGCAAGAATTTCAGGATACGTTGAACAGAACGATATCCATTCTCCTCAGGTTACTGTTGAGGAATCCCTTTGGTTCTCTTCTAGCCTCCGCCTTCCCAAAGAAGTCAGCAAAGGACAAAGAAAAGTAAGCTTCCAGAGATGAAAAATCTAGCCAATTGGAGTTCATTAAACTATATCATGACATTTTAATTCCCTTAATTTGTCACTGCAGGAGTTTGTTGAAGAAGTGATGAGACTAGTGGAGCTTGATAGCTTGAGGCAAGCTTTGGTGGGTGTGCCTGGAAGTACAGGTTTATCAACAGAGCAAAGGAAAAGACTGACAATTGCGGTCGAGCTTGTAGCCAATCCTTCCATCATCTTCATGGACGAACCCACATCAGGACTCGATGCAAGAGCTGCAGCCATTGTAATGAGAACTGTTCGTAACACTGTCGATACAGGGAGAACGGTGGTCTGCACTATCCATCAACCAAGCATTGATATCTTTGAAGCCTTTGACGACGTGAGTCGTTGTTGTAGTTCGGTTTCTTGCAATTATTGGTTCCAAAAGCTAACGACTTTATACACATTTCTTGTTTGCTGGGTTGATGGGGGCAGTTACTTCTGATGAAACGAGGAGGCAAGGTGATATATGGTGGGAAGCTTGGCGTTCACTCCAAGCATTTGGTAGACTACTTTCAAGGAGTAGAAGGAATCCCTCCAATTGTTGATGGTCACAACCCCGCTACCTGGATGCTCGAAGTCACAGCAGCTAGCGTTGAAGAGAGACTCGGTGTGGATTTTGCTCAACTCTACGCCAAATCAGAGCAGTACAGGGAAGTGGAAGAGTCAATAGAGCAGCTAAGTATCCCTCCAGAGGGCTCACAACCGTTGACATTCCCCACAACGTTCGCAAGAAATTCCTGGTCTCAGTTTCTGATTTGCCTCAAGAAACAGAACATTGTCTACTGGAGAAGCCCACAATACAATGCTGTGAGGCTTATGTTCACCGTCATAGCCGCCTTGATCTTAGGCTCTCAGTTTTGGGACATTGGCTCCAAAAGGTAATTAATTTACTTGTGTTATTCTCATTGCTTTGCAGCCTTATGAATGTATTATCTGGTAGTTAGCATATGATGGAAGCTTATGATGTGAACTGTATGGCTTTTTAGGGACACCACTCAAGCTTTGTTCACTGTCATGGGAGCACTCTACTCCGCGTGCATATTTCTCGGGGTGAGCAATGCTTCATCTGTACAGCCGATAGTCTCGATAGAGAGAACAGTGTTTTACAGGGAGAAAGCAGCTGGACTATACTCTCCATTAGCATATGCAGCTGCGCAGGGCATCGTAGAGCTCCCATACATTTTCGCGCAAACAATTCTCTATAGCTGCATCACATACTACATGATCAACTTTGAAAGATCAGCTGGTAAATTCAACACTTCTCCCTTCTGAATTTTTTTTATTGCTGTAGGATTTTTATGCAACTTTCGGGGCTCCAACCGGGTTTTTGCCATTGTGTTTGCAGGCAAGTTTTTCCTCTACGCTCTGTTCATGTTCCTGACCTTCACCTACTTCACCTTCTACGGGATGGTGACCGTGGGCCTCACGTCGGCTGAACACTTCGCATCAATAGTCTCCTCTGCAGCCTACTCGTTGTGGAATCTGTTCTCCGGGTTTTTGATCCCCAAGAACAGCATTCCCATATGGTGGAGGTGGTTCTACTACCTCTGCCCAATTTCATGGACACTGCAGGGCATAATCTCGTCCCAGCTCGGCAATTTGGAGTCCATGATCACGGGACCAGGATTCGAGCTCACCATTAAAGAGTACATGAAGAGTAACTTTGATTACGGACCAGAGAAAGTTGGTATCTCCGTTGCTGCACTGATCGCCTTTTGTTTCGTCTTCTTCGCCACCTTCGCTGTCTCCCTCAAAGTTCTCAACTTCCAGAAACGATGATGACGACCACGAAGAACACAGCATCAGACTCTACTCTGCTTCATACCTCGGTACAAGTCTTTTACAATACGAAAATTCAATACTACAAGTCTATAATGTTGCTCTCATAGCTTCTCTAGTTGGCATTCTTTTTTGGAACATTGATTGAGTCTATAAACTAGTCTCAGAATCATATTGGGATTTTTCTTTATAATAATATACACAACTAAGAACAGAAAAGATTTTAGAGACTGGATTTCTCACTTTTTCCCCCCTCATTTTCTCTCCACCTTCCCACCCCCCAGAAAATGGTCCAAATGAATCAAGAAGACCAGAACTAATATAGATACACGAACAGGCCAAAATTAAAAAATTTAAGAGATTAAATTACAACACGGCCAGATACATCAATGGATCCAGAAAATGTACAGAGAAAAATAGGATTGATGAACTCAGGATCGTAACTTATCTATTATCGGTCGTCCGACTTTGCTAGCTATCTAAGGTGCTCTTCTCTTCTCCGTGCCCGTGATGAACGAAAACCTACTCGCATAGTCGCAGCTAAATCCGCTGTTGCTGTTTCACCAAACAAAAGCCAGCTGCAAAATGGACTTGCAGAGTCGCCCAACCCCATTTGAGAGTTCATCTTGTGTTTGTTTCTTCCTTCACCCTCTCACAGTCCAACCCACTTTACCCATCTGAAAAGCCGACCAACTCTGAAGGGCAACTCGTAGTCCTTGGCCACAGCAGGCTCCCTCCTTGCTGTTTCAGCATCAGACCACACGTATACACCACGTTCTTGCCGGCTTCCTGGCACCGTGTTGTCCAAGATCACGGCCATGATGAAAGCAACCACCATATGGAGCGAGAGTAGCGTGTTGAGGAAGTAGTTCAACTGCAAAAGGATGGAAATGCACTGTCAGGAAACCAACCAAAGAACCGTATGGAAAGAACTGAAACATTAAAGCGAGAAGCTTACCCCTCCAAATGTAGTTCGGATTGGACCATGAGACGCTACAACATAGGGTTGAAAATAGCTAGGGACTGACGAGTTGCTATTTGGAGAGATACCGTATTGCTGGAAGTAGGCTGGTACAGATAGAGAGAAGAATAAGGATAACCCAACGATGATGATGTTTCGAGAGCTTCCGGCCTCGCTATATCGTAGATTCGACAATCCCAAAGCTGTTAGCATTGCCCACATGAAACAGAGTAGAGCTGCTACCATGACTAGTGGGATCGAAGCAATAAACCCCCCTACTTTCCCTGTTGTACATTAGCAAAAAATTCAGACTCTTACGAACCACATTCTGGCATATAATAAAGTAATGAAATCCTTGAAAGCAATAGTTCGATTGAACGATAGGAAAACAGGAGAGTAAAAGCCCATAGATTGACGAGGGCTCAATATCAAATTGTATTGAGAGCGTAAGTAAACTATTAGTCCAACACTATTAACATACATCGCTGACGATCTTCACCAGAGTGATCTGTGAGATTTATCTACCAAAACTACCAGTTAATTCCTGAACGGGGAACAGAGGCACATCAATCCACTCCAAAGTCCCAACACTTATTGATGCCCATACTTAAATTTCCAATACTCATCAAGAAATGCTTGCATACGAAATCCAATTAACAATGAATAGAAGAATTCTTGTTAAACAGGCTTTTGGAGACAGAGATAGACGATGACGTACCTACGAGCGATAAGACAATCAAGATGCACGCACCTAACTCAACTGCTCTTCGGCTACCCATTTTAGTCACAGCAAGAGTATGCACATTCTCTGTTAGCGTTGTGGAGCCAGTTCCAGTACCCCATAGACCAGCTAGGACACTGCAGAGACCTTCAAGCCCAATTCCCCTACTAAGTACACCTGGTGTTGGGGGCCTAGATGCCACCAGCAACGATGATGCGTGATAAGAGCCAACCTGATTATTCGAGACCAGACAGAAACACAAACAATTAAGGACTTGGTCACCTTGAACTTGCTCGACGCATAATTTTTTCTAACTCATGCTGGAAATAAACAGTTAGATAAAATCCAATGGACAACAACTTACCGAATCCACGGATGAGATAATGGACACCACACACATTAGCACAGCCATTTTCCACTCGAAAACAGGAGTACCCCATTGAAGTGGATATGGAAACCTAAACCATGGGGAAGATGTCAATGCACGAGAAGTGTCAACACGGCAGAACTTCATCCTTGATATCCGCTTTCTGCAATGTTCAGATATAATATTTGAAGCAGGAATGTTCGCATTGCAGCCCTTGTAACTATAGGCTCCTGTTTCTGTCAAGAGGAAAGCCATAGCCCATGTGATACCCAAAGCCAGCGGAACCTGTATCGAGTACATAAAGAAAGCTACCACATTAGCAACCTACTGAGAGAGAATGAAAGCTATCATTCGATTTTTGTAAATAGTTTACATGGGAATACCAAAGACCAAAAGTTTAGACCTCCCTTACCGCATAAATCAGGAATATGCGGTGGCCAAACACTGATATCTTCCGGAGGTACTGCCACGAAAAAGAAAAAACAGTCATTATATAACTATCAGAACTTAATGTTCAAATATCCAAATTGAAGTGAGACGATCACACAGTTGCAAGAAAAACACAACTAGTAGCTAAAGTAATATAAGTCTAATATGTCTCACTGAACTTACAAGAGAAAAGATGATAACGAATAATATCTGCACAGCTCCGATTTCGATACAGGTACCAACTAGAGGGAAACCATAGCTATAGAAAGAAAGTCCGACGGCTGCTATGGTAGGAGCAACAACTACAGGATTGATCAATCTGAAAAAGGAAGAAAAAAAAAAGATACTCAATTCCAAGTAAGGAACCATTGCAATATGTAAACCGGAACAATAGGGCGAAAAGGATTCCTCTCTCAAGCACTGTAATGGATAATGTATATACCTTAAGATTATAGACATCAGTCCACTATATCCGAGTATTGTTTGAAAGGCCGAAGCTATCACAACAGCACCCTGCAGCCGCTTCATAATATGCTTGAAATGCTGCCCACACAATCAATCAGCTTTCAGACACATTAAACAACTGATTAGTGAATTCAATCAAGAAACTTAACATAGCATACATTTCCATTTAGGCCTTGAAACTCCGGTGAGTTGATTATGGCTAATGCCGGAGCTAGGAAGACGAACGATGGGCCTTGTATCAACGGCAACCTCGAACCGAAAGACGTATGAAGAAGCGTAGTAACCCCGGAAATGAATAGCACCGTCGACACCACCATCGAAGTATCCTCCTACACCAACTATATCCAGTCAGAATAACACTATCCCACAGCACTTAACGCTTTCAAAGATGAGAACTTGATCCCGATTTACTCACTTGGGAACCGCCCATTGCTGGAACTATGACAAGCGGAATCAGAATCAAAGAGCCTAACATTGAGAGGTAATGCTGCAATCCGTAGAAACCAATTGGAACTGCGAAAATCAAATCAAACCAACACATTAACTCTTCAGAATTTCGTCCAAGGAAAAACCCCTTTTTTCCCCGGGACACAAACAGACAGCCAACCTCTGGTTGCCGGAGAACTTACCAAGGCCCGGTGTGTCCCTTAGCTCGTACTTCATATGCGAATGCCTTGCCGGGAAACCTTCATCTTCCTGAGGCAACACATCAATTACTTCGTCGTTCCTCGTAGCTCTCCTCGTGCCGCCTTCCGAATTCCCTTGCCCATTTGCTCCTCCGTTACCACCCGACGGCTCCTTCCTATGAGCCCCACCGCCTCCGCCGTCGGAATCCCTCCTCCTCTTCACTGACTGATCCTTCTTGTTGTTTGCCGACGGTGGCACCACCGTCTCCGTCCCCCCATTCACAGCAGGGGCAGGGGCAGGGGCAGCCCCTGCCCGTCCAGGTGGAGGAGCAGGCACCGCAACTGCAGCTGTCGCCGGCGACGGCGTGGGAGCTGGCGATGGCGCCGCCGCCGCCTGCGCAGGCCGTCCCCGTCCGGCCTCAAGATCGGGCTGGGCATCCCGATGCTCTCTGGGCCTTGGAGGCAGAGAAATCTGGCCGGAATCACTGGCATTGGTCTCGCCGGAGAACTTGGGGCGGAAGCCGGTCTTCTTAGCCCAGGTAGCCGGCGGCAATGGGGACGCGTCCGGTGCTGGTGGCCACGGGCCGGGCTTCGGTCGGGCTTTCGGGTTGGAGCCGGACATTTTCCCCTGATTTCAAAATCTCAGCTACAGCTCCGCCACCGAGGAATGCATATCAATGAAACAACAACAAGAGCTCCAGAAATGGGGAAGCGCAGATCTGAAGCGCTGCGCCTAGGGTTTCCTCTTCGGGCGATTATGGCGAGGCTTCTTGAAAGAATAGATAGAGAGAGGGAAGAAGAGGAAAAGGCCAGCGGTCTTGAGCGAGAAAGATAGAGAGAGAGAGAGCTCTGCTGCTGTGCTTTGAAGTGCGAGTATGGAAGTGAGTGAGAGAGTGAGAAGGCAGAATTATGAGAGAGAAAGAGACGGAACAGAGAGAGAGAGGATAAGCGACGGGAAGGGAGCTAACTAAAACCGCGTGTTTTTATTTAATAACAATCAATTTTCGAAAGAGGAAAAAAAAAAAAAAACTGAAATTTGAATTTATTTTTCCGGGCATTTTTTATATATTTTGCCGGAATTAACGGGATTATGATATGATGATGATGATTATTATGATGTATGAATACGCGAGCAGGAAATTACGACAGCTAATCGAAATAGAAGAATGTTTTCTTGGCATATTTGTCTTTGTATTTTCTTTTTCACTCCTAAAGTTGGTTTCTTCTTCTGTCACTGATTGCACTGCAATCCGCAGGCCACAGCCAATGGATTTCCACGGATCGATTGACCATAAAACTGTAATTAATTAGCTTGATTAATTGACCGTAATGTGGATTTTATGTGATGATTAATTGTTGGATGGATGAACCAAAAATAAAATCCAATTCCTGGTAATGCTGATTATTTGTTAATAAATGATGGCTTTGTGAAAAAATAATAATTGATACGAAATTCTCCCGATGCCGCATAAAAAAAATTAGTTTCCTTTGTTATTATATTTATACAATGGTTAAAATGTTAAGTATAACTAGTTGGTCGCAATGTGGTAGTCCATCGGAGACCAATTGAGACAGATGGATTACAATGAACACGAATGGATTACTTCAGGAGTTCAGTTTCGTGTGCTCTTTTTCAGGGATTTATAGCTGATCTCTCCTACTAAAACATGTGGATAACAATGAAACACGAATGGAGACTCCTGTCTCCAGTCGTTCAACGTATCCGCTCTCTACCCGTAATTAATTTGGTTGATCATTCATCAATAGCAATCCCAACACTATTATGTCCTTCAATGGGCTCCATTATTATGTTCATCATTCTCACAGGCTATATAGCAAAAGGTACAATGAGTGGTCAATGGTGGTGGTCGTAGTTTTGCTTCGTAAACAATCATTTGTCTCGCAGAAGGAAGGGGAAAAAAAGAGAGAGAGATCTATAACAACAAGTGTACGTAGGATTATGCGGTCATGCGTGTACTAATAATAATAATGGCTTCGTTTCATAAGAACTGACATCTTCAGCTTTGTAATGCCAGTAGTATATACAATGCTTGGCTTGCTTGGTCTCTTCTTGCCATTTCTGACTTCATCGCACGGGAAAAATGTATGAATAACTATGGTGAGTTCTACGGTACTCAGGATAAGATTTGGGATATCGTGTATCTTGAGTATGAAACGTATTTCAGACTTTAAATTGGCTTATATTTCGGACATGATATTATACTTTAAACCTTAGTGGTCGCTTGGTAGTTGCGATTGTTTTGTTGAGATTGTCATTATGCATGTACTGTTTACAATGCATCATTTTTTTGTTTTGTTAGCAGAAACAATACATAGATTGTTTCTATGATGTGACGTAAACTATCACTCGTTTAGAGTGATTGTTATATCTCAACTTTTAGTTGTGATTGTTGAGATAGTTGAGTTGAGATTGTTTTGTCTCAACTTTTAGTTGATGCGACATACACAATCACACATACCAAACGTTGTATTCTACAATGCATCAAATTCGACAATGCATGTATAATATTATACATGCATTCTCAACAATACATTTATTTAACAATCGCAACTTCCAAACGACCCCTTAAAGATCAAAATCAAAGTCTTAATTCTCTAATTTTATACCCTAAGATCAATTTAAATAGAAACAAAAATCAACGGTCATGATTCATCCAAATATAGGCAAAAAATGAAAGCACCATATAAGGGTTTATAGTTTATGCTTTAGTAATTAGAACCTAGATTTCACTCATTAAGGGTTATGGCATAGTATCAGGGCAGAAATCCTGTTAATTCAAGGTCTAAATAGCATTTTCATACTCAAAATATGCGATACCCCAGATTTTACTCGTGATACTGTAGAAGCCTCCTAATAACTATTTTCTACTGTAATAAATATACTAATACTTCTATCTCATCTACCCAAAAAAATGCTCCATCTAAGTATTGACGTTTTTTAGTCCTTAATAAAAAAAGTATTGACGTTTTTATTTATTATTCATTGTTTTTTTCTTGAAGGAGGGCGTTTGGATTATTAGGGACGTTGGAAATGGCACCGCTAAGTCTGCCGGGGAAAACTAGTCAAACCTTTGTACTTCGTTCGTAACAACTAACAACTTCACTTATTTTTTATACCTTCTTTTCAACCGTATTATGATCATCAAATAAATTTGAAAGGATCAACCGTTCTTGTTGTGACTGCCAAGTGTGGACACCCAACAAGAAAAAACGCTAATACAAACCTGCTTTGATTTGGTAGACACCATTAGTCCTCCAATGATACTACCTTATTAGCAATAATCATGTTTAGACAGATATGCCACTTCAAACTTCCAAGGAAGACTTAACGGTTAGATAGAACACGATGTAAATTTTTGAAAATAACACAACCTTGTCCAATCCACAAAGCTGAGATCAATCCAGATGATTGGTTTTACTTAGCTATATCACAATTCCTTATACGATCTCCTCCCAAATTATCATCAATCAATTTGTCTTCTACTCACGAACCATGATTCTGGAATTCCTACAAGCCACAACCTCAATCTAGTAATCATGTCAGTCGTCATCTGCTAGTTACTACTCGGTTTGTTCGCTTGCCGCTAACAACAAAGTTGAGTTGGGGGAAATGAAAACCCTAGAAGACTTGGGTGTTTCTCATTCATACTTGGGTTTAAATACTCAAGCTTGGCACTACAAGACAGATCGTACCAGCTTGCTTTTGGAGAACAATTAACATAAACAAACATAAAAACTCAAACTTAAACTAAACATTGACAATAGGACTAAACTTAATGATGATGATAATTCCTCTAAACCTTGTCGATCCACTTTGACATTCATGGTCGTCGGTTTGAGTTTTGACGATCTTGCGATATCTCCTGTTAGCCGCTCGTCATTCCGTAGCGTATTCATCATCTATTTAACAGCAAAAAAAATCTCAGCTTGTTTCTCGAAAATGCCGTTTAGGACATGATAGCGGTTCCCCAACATCTGAGTCAGGTTGTCGACTGCCATTTGATGCTAACCGCTCACAACGGTCTATACAGTTGTTCGACCTGCACCTTAACAAAATTTCCGGCTACGCCACTGCATGCCACTCTATATGATCCATGGAAAGATTCCAACACGACACAAGAACGTGTAAACACATAGAGGAGAAGGAGACGTATTAGTCATTCATTGCCTTTACCTTTTTACTACGTATATAGCTTTATGTGTAGACTGTAGAAAGAAGATTCATATGGATGTGATTAGACCCATGAGTAGCAGGATATACGAAAGGAATCGTCAAGTTCCAGTTCCCTTGTACGTTGTGAAGAGCATATCCTGATCGATCGAGAGGGACTTGTGATCAGAAAAAAGGAACCCATAATTGTTTGCAATTAACAGAGGAGCTAGCTAGTATCCAAACAGGACTTGACACATCAGGGGCTCGAAATTGCTCTGCAGCCGTTTTCATGGAGAGGGTAATTAGGTTAGGTGCCCACCAGATTGGAGGGTTTGCCCGTTTTGGGTTAGCAGAATTAACAATGGCGGTATATGTTTTTGCAGTGTAATCACGTACACAAGGCTCTTCTTCGGTCGACAAGACAAGATAGATAGGATAGAACGTGGAGTGTGTGTACATCATTCCATTTTGGTGTAACATTGTTCATCGGAATGGTATTAGATTGTTTGTCTTCTCATTTATGTCTGCTGCACCAGGTTTCTTTCATCAACAAACGATGGGTAGGGTAACATCGCTATTGGGTTTTGGGTGAACATCGCGGGATTAAACTCGATCTGGACCACGATTAGGCCGCGTAAATTTATAGTAATGTAGTGGTCAAGTTTGAAAGATCCGCCAACTAATTCTAGCTCGTAATTGAAACAAATACAAACAACCCAAATTATTTGTTTACATTAAAACAATGTCTAAATTTTTCATTGTCAAACATATTTCCTAACAATGGTCTGCTGGGAGATGAGTATGTTTAATTTGCTTAACAACGTTCTCAACGAAAGAAAAAAAAAATGTTCACAAGCTAAAGAATCAACACGATGCCGAAACGACTTGCTACATCCTACCACTCAAAAATTTCAGAATAACTTTTTAGGTTAATATTTTCGTATCACCTGAACTTTGATCAAAATAAACATCCTGGCCAATCTTTTCGATCTATAACATCCTGGCCCGAACTATACACAAAAATAAACAATTTGGCCAAACCCGATGTTTGACCATTAACTTGGACGGTCAAACGCGTTGACTAACAGTCAACGCGCCACGTCACTTCCACGTCATTGCCAAGTTAGAAGATCTGATAAATATTTTTTTTTATTTTTGGTTTAACTAAGGTATTAGATGATTTTTTTTTAATTTATAATAATTTAAAATTAGGGAATGTGTGGAAATTGTGAATTATATTAAATATTTTATGTTTACATGGCAGTGACATGGCGCGTTGACTAACGGTCAACACGTTTGACCGTCCAAGTTAACGGTCAAAAGTCGGAGCTGGCCAAATTGTTTATTTTGGTGTATAGTTCGGGCCAGGATGTTATAGATCGAAAAGATTGACCATGATATTTATTTTGGTCAAAGTTCAGGCCATACGAAAAATATTAACCCAACTTTTTATTCTAATGATCAAAGGTTGGATCGTGGTAAAAAACAATTTTACCTATAAAAGTGAAAATAGCTTTTTGTGTCCTACTTGCTCACCAAGTGATCAACAATTGCACATCGACTCATGCAGGCCCGACCCAGGCCCTGTGCTGGTCAGACCCACAGCATAGGGCCTCAAGTTTTGGGGGCCCATTATCCATAATCCATATGTTTTGGAGGCCTGTTTGGGCTAGAGCGAAGCCCACATAATCCATAAGAGTCTGGAGGCCCCCTTGGGCTGGCAAGGACTAGGGGAATTGAGGCCCACTTGGGCTAGCGAAGTCCATGGAGGCCCCCTTGGGCTGGCAAGGCCTACACAAAAACTCCATGTACAAGGATGCAGGGACGGGAATCGAACCATCGACCTCCTTCTAATTAAAAGGAGATTCAACCACTAAACTACATTGATTTGTTGAATTTTAAATAACAATTAGAGTTTTTAACGCTTCTATTCTTCTCTTTCCCCAAAATTTCTCAACTTCCCAAAATCATCCAAAGCTTATATGAATTGTTCACACCCAATTCTGATTAAGTTCTCATCCTTACTATCCAGACTCTTAATCAACTTGTTTTAAGTTCTAATACTTATCATTTTCTTTTGCAAAGAACTTATATGAAAATTTGGAATCATTAATCTTTGGTTATAAAATCAATCCAAAAATTTGAAAAAGGTAGTTCTAAGTGTAGATAATATTTGATAATATATAATATTATTAATTTGTAATAATTTTTTGAAGATATGTAATTTTTATTATTATCTAATAATTTTTATCTTTAATAAATTTGTGAGAAAAAATTTGGAACCACATTTAAATTTTCGAACAGGACCTCCGAATATAATGGGACGGCCCTGGACTCATGACCGACAATTGTATAGAGAGGATTCATAAACTATTTAAAGGAATTAACATAATCAAAAGTGATTAGAGACAATAATCAAAGCAGCGGAGTAATTAAAGTCCCCGGCTGGGCTGGCCACGGCCGGATAAGGAGGGAGGAAGCTTGGTTCCGCCAGCTGGAGCTGACAAGGCCGTAGCCCCACACCGAAAGGAAAAGAGAGTACAATAAGTAGACCACTCTGCCGGCCGGCCGGGCCCCCCACCCTTCCGTTTCAGGGTGAAAAAAAGCCGAAAGCAACGGCTACTTTTCTCATTCACCGGTGCCGGCGCGGTGGTACTCATGGCGGCGGCGACGATCGACCAAGTGGCAGGCAGACAGAGAAAAAAAATAATAATGAAAAGATCTAATAGCCGTTTGAGAGTGAAAACGACGGGGTGTCTATTTTCTTCCAGCTGCTGCCACACATGCACTCTGCCAAAGACGACGGCATTTGTTGTTACAGGCTGCCTGGCCCAAATTCCTCATCGCCAGCCAACAAAAAACCATCAACTTATCTTTGTACTAGCTGTTTATTAATGAAGAGGTGAGATGACTGATTTGACACTAATTTTGATAACTTTTCTTGATCATGTAGCTTGAATCGAATTATCAGCCGCTACGATGGGAAGTCACGAGGTATGGGTCAATACACGTTTGAGTTGTCAGTTTTGGGTTTGGTCATCTGTAATTGTTTTTTTTATCAGATTGGATTATATTTAGAGTTTAGACCCTCTCCTGCCCGTGGACTAGCTAACACACATTGTGTTAGTGAACCACGTATATCGCGTGTCTATTTTTTATTCTCGCTTTCGTATTCTCGCTTTCTCGATTCCGACGATTTCCTATCCGTAACAGTGCAGTTATAACATCAAGTTAATTAGTGAAAGTTGTGTTTTTTAAGTGAAAGTTACCGTCTTTGCTGTACAAATTACAATACATAGGTGTGAATGAAAAAGGTCACTCGTAGTTATTTTATTTAGAAATACTCGCATTCTTTCTCGTTTATATCTTAATTTTTTCCCCCTCTCTTCTAGACGCGTGTTTCGCCAGGTTCATATGCGAGTTTCTTACCTAAATATTCACAAAGGTGTACAATCTAGTTTCACCATTGCTATATAAAGTAAATGCCATATTTCTAATCTTTACTACATTTTCAATTTGGTTTCAATCCCGTAGTAGTAGAGTCTAAGCTGGTGTCTCTTTAACGCTTCTCTTTTCTTCGCATCAGAGTTATTTCAAAAATTCCCATGATACGGATTAAGGAAAAAGGGGGGAACACACACACTTGGTTGAGTGTAGTACAACGGAGAGTCATATATTGCATTCGTAAAGAACGAATTCCTCTACGAAAGAGAGAAAAAAAAACCTAAATGAATCGAATATCGAACTTGATAAACCCAAATAGATTATACTTTTCGAATCGATCAATCTAATTACAAGAAAGTTCTTTTTTTTTTCCATTCCCTGGTTGTTGCTTTGTTGGCATGGGGGCTCTCTCTATGATGTCCTCTCTCGGCCACCACTCTAGCTACCGTATGTATTTTCAAAGCTTTCCATTAAAGGCAGGACCATATGGCTGGTTTTTCCTACAACTTGGCCAGCTTGCCTCTGCGCCCCCTGAAAAAAAATCATCACCCACACTGGGATAAGTGAAACCACTCACTGACCATCATCACTTTGCAATTTCAATGGCCCCTCAATTTCCCCTCCCCCAAAACCCTAATCACAATTAGCCACAACTAATAACATGATGAAGAGAATCATACGATCTTAACAAACCCACCTCATGGGGTCATTTTCAATGGAAAGACATCAGCAGCAACTTGGTAGCTGTAGCTTAGCTGGTTGATCGTCAGCTTCTTACTGTTTCACATTCTGCCATGAAGCAAACACTTGGGCTGTCCACAGGGACATCCCAACTTAGATGAGTGTATTTGATTGGAAACGTGTCATTTTGGAAGGGAAAATGATGGATTTTAGGTTATCTTAATTGTGTGTGATAGGTGGTGGAGAAACTCACTCAATGACACAAAGGTTCCTTAATATTGCCCCGACACCTCACATGTTACAAAACAACCCCCCACTCTAATTTGGGTGGTTATGGGATTACAACTTACAAATGTGGATTGAGTGTTGCATAATATTAGTGATAAAACTTAAATAAAAAAAGGTGTTCTCTTCTTCTTGATGCTAAGGATCACATACACGTTCATTTACAATGAACACACATAATTGAATAAAATTTGGGCTATTTCAGAAGCGATATCATATTTTATTGGAGTTACATTATTTTGAATTACAAAAAACACAATATTTTTTTTTCTACCTTGATCAATAAGCTAATTTTATTAACGGTCTAGTCATGTGGTTATGATTGATTTGATCTGGAGTCACTATGAAAATGTGTTATTACTACTACTAGTTGTTTGACAACACATTATGTCTGTCATGACGGATCTGCCTGCGTCAAAACTCAAATATATCTTATAAGTTCAAAACGTGGGTAGTAAGGATGACAGCAGTTAAACCCACATTTTAACACAAATACATATGAATATTGACATATCCATCAATTCGGATTAGTAATTTTGAAGTTTGGACTAATCCGGTTTATAAATGGGGTGTGAAAACTCAAAAAACTCCAACAGAAAACGAACAAGAGATTCTTTACTATGGGCCTTTGATAACAAAAATTTGAGGATGGCCTTATGAAATTCTAAAGCCCATTACTCGGTTCAGATGGGCCAATCAGCAATGTTAAAAGTTAGATCAAGGAAGTAACCCGTGAACCGAGATAGTCGGGTCAAGAACCCGACACCGATTCCGGAAGTGATAAAACCCTGCCCTAATCGTCCCTCCAATCGGTTCTCTCCCCTTTCAGCCATAAACCCTAGGAGAGCGGTCTCCTCCATAGGCGGTGCTCCACTACTCGGAAGGAGCAGCCATTGATTCCGTCACTTCTTTCCCCGCCGACCGAATTCTCCGGGTATGATCCAATCTCCCTGCTCAATCTAGTCTCATGTCTGACTATCGCACCGATATTGCTTCTTTCCTTTTCTTCGAATCGTTCTCGTCTGGCTGAGTCTTTTATGTTTCTCGTCGCTTCATCTTAAGCCTAAATCGGGAGCTCTGATTGGAATCTAGGTTTCTTTTTCTCTTCTGATTCATGTAGGATATGAATTCCATTTGATTGGAAGTGTTATGTAATCGCGATTGCTACTGCGTATGTTGAGGTTTTGGGATTAGGGCGCTGATAGCTCGACTGATTCACTGTTTCTATACATTGGATGCCTTTCTGATTACTTGTTTCTTTCTTGTCCAAACAGTTGGCTCGTTAAACAAGAGATACAATGAGGTTGGAGTTCTGCTGGTTTTGCTCTTCGAAAATCTATCCTGGGCATGGTATTCAATTCGTTCGCAATGATGCCAAGGTCAAGTCTTTTCCTTCTTCTGGATTTACAGACAACTTGGTGCAGAGTTTTCTGTTTGTTTCCCTTTCATATCATTGCTTAGATGCCATTACTGTTGGTGAAAGTTTGTCTAAACATTGTATGGGGACTTGGTTAGAGGACAGGAGTAGTCTAATTTTTGCACACTTGCAGCTTAGTTTCTGCTGAATGGATTTGAGGATCAAGAATACACTGCGCTTCTCTGTTCTTGGCAGTTTGAAAACTCTCATTCAACTTGGTATCCTACATAATAGGAATTTGGGACCGAGTTTCTGACTACTCTTTTTTCCCTCTTGCAGATTTTCAGATTCTGTAGGTCTAAATGCCACAAGAACTTTAAGATGAAGAGGAATCCTCGCAAGGTGAAATGGACTAAGGCCTATAGGCGGTTACATGGAAAGGATATGACAAAGGTATAAAAATGTTCCCTTTTTTCCACCCTTCCTTCTCTTTGTAGAATCGGTTGATTTTTATCTGCTTTATGTTCTATTGTTCATGAACTTTGTACATTTTTGTAGGATTCAACCTTTGAGCTGGAGAGAAAGAGGAACAGGCCCGAAAGATACGACAGAAATGTTATGGAGAATACCCTAAAGGCCATCAAGAAGATTGATAAGATCAGACACGATAGGGCGGCTGATCATATTGCACAGAGGTTTGACATCCAGTTTCTTGCTGTCTTAAGCTATCAAAATCCTTAGTCCCCGGTTTGTCTGTTAGGTTCTAATACTCTTAACACTTGTGAATTTTTGTGTGCAGATGGAAGCCAAAGGCTGCAAAGGAGCGCAGAGAAGCAAGGAAAGAGTTGGAACAGAGCATCAGCTTGATCAAAGCTCCTCTTGCCATTCAAGCACAAGAGCCAGCAATCACTGTCCCCAAGATCAAAGTCAAGGTCCCCAAGCAACAAACCCTCGAGCAACCCATGGAAGAGTAACCTTTTATGTGTGGTTTCGTCACTCTTCGCTTCTGTTATTCCGACTTTCCCTTTGAAGAAGGGCTGAGATGTTGCTCTATCCTATGTATTGGGTTTTTTTTTGTTCCAGTGTAGCTGTGTAATTCCACCTAAGTTTTTGTTAGGCTCGTTTAGTTGGAGACGATTGTCATTGGAAAAACCCTGTAGAAAATTTTCAGTGTTACCGATACTACTTTCATGTCGATCTACTAATCCTTTTACGGCAAAAATGTGGCGAGAAAGACGTTTGGGCTTATTCGTGTAAATGGGCTCTTTGTGGGCCATGGCTATCCTGCCAGGTGGCAACAGCCACGGGTTCTGATTTCTGAATCCCCTAGGAACCACGGTAACCACTAAACCCAGCAGTCCGGAAAGTACCGCGAAAGAAACTGAAACCAAATCGCCGGCGAACTGACAGTAGGAGAGGAAGTAAGTGACTCACCGGCGGCTTCCTGATGCTCTCACTCGCGGCAGCTTCCTTCCCAATCCACCACAACCGTCTATTCCTCTACCGCACAACTCCGTCTCCTCCCTTCACCGTCCGATCTTCAGCTTCCGGCGGCGTCCAGGAGATACAGGAATCCTCTACCCCGCCACCGTCGACTCCGCAAGACGGAGAAATAAGCTCGGAGCTCTTCGTCTCCGCGCCGTTTCCGCCGATTAAAGGTGCCAAGCGAGTGGTGCTGGTGCGGCATGGCCAGAGCACTTGGAATGCGGAAGGAAGGATCCAGGGCAGCTCTAATTTCTCGGTGTTAACTAAGAAAGGCGAGTCTCAGGCCGAGACCTCCCGTCAGATGCTTCTCGATGATTCCTTCGACATTTGCTTCAGCAGGTATCAATTCATTCGATCATCCTTCTATTTTCTTACTTTGTTTGGTTCGAGTTGCAATTCAGTGTGACGAGTTCTTTCTGGTTCTCTCAGTCCATTAACTAGGTCGAAACGAACTGCTGAAATCATTTGGGGCGATCGAGAGGAGGAGATTCTCACAGACTCTGATTTGAGAGAAATCGATCTATACTCCTTCCAGGTTCCTTAATTACTTCCACTAACCTTCCATTTCCTCTCCAATTGTTCACTGGCAAAGGATTTTCATTTTTTCATTCTAGTTGTTGGCATAATGTATGTAGGGTCTCCTGAAGCATGAGGGGAAGGAGAAATTCGGCGATTCTTTTCGTCGGTGGCAGTTGGATGCGCCGAATTTCAGCATTGATGGTCACTATCCGGTGAGGGAGTTGTGGGCGCGGGCTAGGAATTGCTGGGATAGAATATTGGAGCATGAGAGTAGGTCGGTTCTTGTGGTAGCTCACAATGCTGTTAATCAGGCGCTCGTTGCTACAGCCATAGGTACTTAAGATCAATCCTTCCTCTGTACTGTGAAAATCGATGTCTGGTGCGCGTACACGAGCAGTGATTTCAATCCTTGTAATGGCAGGATTGGGGACGGAATATTTTAGGATTCTACTGCAGAGCAATTGTGGTGTGAGTGTGCTGGATTTCACACCTCGAGCTGAAGGTGGATCCCCTTACATTTGTCTCAATCGTTTGAATCAGGTACATGACTCGTAAAGTCTTGACCATCGCTGCTTTATCGTTTGCTGAAAATCATATCGTTTTCTTCCCTTTCGTAGTATATGAATGTTGAACTGAAAACTGTGATTCATTGCAGACACCTAGCTCGCCTCTTGCTTCTGGCGGAGGGAGAAAAGCTAGCAAGCGGATAGTACTTGTGTGCCATGGAACAATGCAAGGAAGTGCTGGTGATCAAGGAATGAACATGCTTGGGATTATACAGGTACATTCTTCACTCACACAACGTCTGCGGGTAGTTATTTATGCTGAAAAAGCCAGCTTTCTGAATTCCTTTTCGTATTCTTTGGATATCTACAGTCCCAGAAAATTGCAGAGCTGCTTCTTGATCTGCAAGTAAGCACAATAATCAGCAGCACTGAGGATGTCAGTGTCGACACATCAGTGGCCATCTCTAGAGTGAGAATTTCTATCCTTTTCTCCAGGATAGCATTTCTACTACAGTACTACAACTTAATTATAGCTCAGATGAATTCCGGTCTAGGTCCAAGAAGCAGCAGATTGCCTTGGTGCTGATTGCGTGCCACGATATGTGGAGCTAAAGCGGAGTAAGGACCTTGATGCGTCAGACATCCTCCAGCAGTTAAACGAGGTAAGAAACTATGACGAAGTCGATTATTGCTTTTGGCATAGTCGATCACTTATCAAAACCTACATTCAAACTACCGAATAGAATTCCATTACATTACTTCACATAGAAGTTGTGAACCTAGACCATTCTGCTGTTACATCGTGCAGGAAGGAAGCGAGGGGCAGCTGCTTCGACCCGGTTTCCTGAACAGGTTCGACGATGAATCGCTTTCGGCTTTGTGGGATCAATCAGGCAAAGCATGGGAGACTCTGCTGAATGAAGTAAGCGATGAATCTGACCCAGAAAAGGTAGCAGTGGTGGTGAGCCATCCTGCAGTTCACATTGCACTGATGGGCCACTGCCTGAAATTAACTAAAGAATGGATGGGATCTTTTCATCTGGATGCTGGGAGCATCAGCGTGGTCGACTTCCCAGATGGAGCTGCCGGCATAGGTGTGATCCGTTGCATTAATTACACGGCTCATTTGGGAAGATGGGCCATCCCCATTACTAGACCGACCGCCGACGACGAAGAGTTCTGATTCTGTAACGCCACAGTGTTGTATAAACATAATTTTTTGCCTAGTCACAGAGGCAATTACGAAATGGTTGTAGTGATGCCAATGGTGCGGGGCGGGTACCTCAATTCCCATGCCCTGCCCCACGCTATTATAGGGCGGGGTGGGTAAAATCCGCGCGGGTACGGGGCGGGGCGAGTCGACCCACTCTTACATGTTATTCAAAAAAAATACAAGTAAATTTTACTTTTTACGATAAAACGAAGGGTAAACACTTTAAGAATGAAAAAAAGTGATAACAAAATGGGTAATTGAGTCTAACAAGTTGAAAGAGCGACCCTAACTAGTTGAATAAAAGTCAAAATAGGAGAAATATGTATAGAAATTGTAAGAAATTGAGATAAAATGAGTCTAAAATGGGGCGGGGCAGGACTTGTCAGAAGTAGATACCCATGCCCCGCCCATTGCAGGTCAGGTCGGATAAAATACCCGCGGGCGGGTTGAAATTGCCATCACTAAATAGCTGTGCTCCTGTGGCACCGCACGAAATTTGATGGGCCCAAATGAGACAAATGGGCCGAAGTCTGGCTTCGTGGTAGGCCTAACACGACTCCAGTACCCAGGTAGTGAAAGCCAATCCATATTATGACATGAAAACTTGGGCCGAGCTAGGGTGATACAATTGGGCTGAGAAATCTTGAGGCTCGAAATTCGGGCCCCGTGCATCTTCCCCGGTCATTCCGATTCCGGAGGTCGTAGAGACTGAGAATGTGCTGTACATTACCAGGGGTTTTGCGGAGGTTTTAGGGTTTATTTCTTGACGCTCAGAAGAGGGAAGACAGGGAAACACAGAGCTGTGATGGCTACTTTGGCTGGCAGATCGACATGTGCGCTGATGCGGGCGACGTGTAGTAAAGCAAGAACCTTTTGTCAATCAGGGACAATAAGCAAAAGGATCTCTGTATCAACTCCTTCAATTCTTCCCAATTTGACGCTTCGCGTTTCTCGAACTCCTCTTCCGTCTCCAAGGTTGCTCTCCTTCTTCATTCCACAAGCCTGTTGTTGATTTAAGTCTGTGATTTATTCTATTGTTAGTGATTTTGATGCGTGTGGTGGGTAATTGTGTGCATTGGTTATCATGGGAAGAATGGTGGTGCGACGAGAATTGAGCTCCCTTCTGCCGTTCCACAGCGCCATTGCCTCAGCTTGCCTCGTATCCAAGCTTCCTTCTGAGGCCAGCGCCACCTGTGAAGGTTTTTCTTTTCGCATTCCACCCTCCATGCATTGTCAAATGTAGTGTTTTCTGATCAGGCAATAGGGGATTATTCGAATGCTCATGAATTGGGATTTTGCTTAAAAGTTTTCAGCTTGATTATGGTTTCAGAAGGAAAATGTTAGTGTGAAATGATAGTCGTTAGTGTTCCAATGAAGTTGCATTATGATCTAAAAAGTGATTGATGATATACTGTGACTGTTTTCGTATTGGTTTTGAAGTTCTATACGTAGATGTCGGATCACAGAACGATGACTTGATTACATTGATCTGAACTTTCATATGGTCAAGCTTGGGGTTTTGGTTCATTGAGAATTGTAGGAATTGCTCATGGCTAGCATATAGGTTAAAGGCATTATTTGAAAGGAAGACGATAAAAATTACTGAATATCTTTCCTTTTGCACTGAGATGTATAGGGTGCATGATATACTCATCCAGTGCTCATATAACTTCCTTTCGTTATTGCAGGTAGATTTGCTAACTATGTGAGCCCCATCTAGGTTCAACTCCGGGAACTGGGAAGATTTTTCATTATGATTTACAACAGTAAGCGAAGAATTGAGATGGTAGCAAATTGCTGGTCCATTTTGGCCAAATGGACATTCAGGCTTCTGAGGTTAATTCCTGAACATGTTTTGCTTATATTCCTTGAAGCAACAGCTTGTATTGTGATCTTTCTGATGAATTCTTACCATTTACTTATCTACATCTGGTAATTAGTAAACGAAAAATTACTAGATTATGGTTCTTGTATTCAAATGTACGCATTGACTGACACACTCTAGATGCTCTTCACTACAGAGATTGGAAGTGAATAACTTCTCTGGGCAGTGTTTATTTGGGGTGTTTTATGTTTTCCTTGTTAATTGATATATACAGTTAAAAATAAGTGGAAAGGAGGGTTTTACTCTGCAGTAAATTATGACGCAAACATGTTTAAAGGTTCTTTATGATACCTTATAGTTTGAGAGAATGTCAAGCAGGTTGGCAAGGGTAAATTTTAAGATCTTGCTAGAACTCTTTGAGGATTTGTCACTGAAGGAGCATTTTTCATTGGAATGCATTGGATATCAGAACTTATAGAATAGATAAGTAATGAAAAATGTTTAGCACGATCATAAATTCTAGAGAAGAGAGATGGAAACTTTTACACATTTAGTTTGTTCTGATGAAATAGTTTATGGAACTTTACTAGGTGGAACCATATGCCAGAAGTACTTTATATAGCTTTACCTTTCTTTCTCAGTGGTTTGATATGTCTTCTAGTTAATAGTCCCAACCAATTCCTAAACTTGCAAGCAATCTCATTTGGAACTTTGGAAGTTATTGGTTTGATAATCAAGTTCCTTCCAACTACTGGAAGATGATTAAGAAAGCTTCCTGTGGGTATAACCTGATGAAGGATGATTAATTGTTGGAATACATTATTACTAACTTCAAATCCGACTTTAGATGTGTCTTTGCTAGAGGGATAGTGAAGTCTTCTGTTTTCTCCAGTGGAGAATATTGGTTCTTATAAACCGAATTCTCACTTGAGGAAAGCTAGTAAGTAGTAACTATGCTTTCTTGCAACTCAAAATTTACCTCTTCCACCTCTTTTCCAACTTAACCGAACCACATCATATCACTATTGAAGAATCAGATTGTAGGAAGAGTTCTAACTCCTGACTCAACTTGTTATAAAGGCAGTGGGTTTCCTTGTCAAGCAATATCTCGACGAGAAATAGTTCTCTGATTGTGCTGTCAATGCCATGTGTCGAGCAGGGAGTTTTAACTTGTTGCAGATAAGTGATCCATAGTATACTATTTGTTGATAAAATATGGCATTGGGAGTTGGATAGTTCCTATTATTAGTAGTTCCGTAGTCTAAGCATTGTTGCTGATCCTGCTCTCAGAATTCCTGTCGTGGAAGTTGTTCAACTGCTGTATTGAATATGCTCATCTTGGTAAGCAACAAGTTTTTGTCTTGGAATACTATAGTAGTTTGGTAGATCATTAATTTTCACCTGTCAACTGTCTGATTTGAATGAAAACTTCGCAGGTAAATTATCAAGTGCATGATAGTCTAAAGTACAAATACTGCATAAGGTAACATTAAACTAGATTCAAGGACATTGAGAACAACAAGACAATGGACCCCTTAGTTAATACCACCTCCTGATGATCTGTACTTAGGGTTGGTGAAATCTAACTTATTGAACCAGTTTGGTCACTTTCATGGCTGTGAAAGCCAATTCCTGAGGTTGAAATGTCAGAGAACACTGAAGTGAGTCTTTTGGTCCATAGTTTTTGAAGTATGGCTATCATGTTGAATGGGGTAGCAGCAGTCGTCTGATAGCTTACTGGATTGCTAAGTTAAGGAGGCTTAAACACGTCTAAGCCTACCCCATTCATCGGTCAAGCCAGATCATAGTTTTTCATTACAAATCACAGTTTCTTTCTTATGGGTTTTATACATATAGAGACAGCTGTTACTTTATATATATGATTATATCTTCAGGAAGCGACAGTTGTGATGATGATGATGAAGTATAGGAAGGAAGGTTTTGTAGTGGAATTTAAAGTGTCACTTTCATTTGATTATCATTCCATTAAATTCTGTTTGTCAAACAGTGGAATGAAAGATTAGGACAAGTTCCCAGAAGCTACAAAAACCTGTCAGATAGATTCTTACTTTGCTGTATCTAACTTGGTTAGCCTTATGGTTGACCTAATCTTAGTTTAATGACATCATGACAGGGCTTGCCCCCCTGCTCTGACACTAATTTTATGTTATAGTACTCCATTGGCACATGTAGTTAGCTAGCTAAAATCACATTAAATTGTGCATTAGTCTTACCCTGATTTATTAGACTTCAGTTAGAAAACTCCATTCACACTTTCAAGTGGGTGTTAGTTTAGAAGTGTCACTCCAATAATAGGTACAAGAGTTGTCTCAAAATTTATAATAATTCTATACTGCATATATTTTATTTTTCATGATAAGAATTCAACTATGGGTGGCACACAGAAATCAGAGATACTAACTCAACTTGACAGTACAACTACAAACGTGCTATTTATTAGAAATTTGTACAATAAGCAAAACTGGGTTTTTTTTAATATTATTATTGGGAGCTTCTATTCCTTCTTCAGTTCTTTGTGTTCTTCAAAAATAAGGAAGGAAAAGAAAAAAAACAGTTGGCTAGCTCTGACGGTCTGATCACTGTTCTTCCTTCTAGATTAATATATCCAATTTTTTGCAAGTTGTGGACATGGGAACACCTAACAATACAACTATTGTCCCCCTTCCATAATATGACCTACTGATAAAAGGTGCAAAATGGGTTTTTGAGAAGTTGATGCTGAAGACTGAAGTTGTTCATCAGGGTTGGCTCAACATGTAAAATTCATTCATCTGTATTCTGATGTTAAAATGCAGATGCCAAATGATCTTTCAGTAGGGAATCTGGGAATTTCTTGGTATTGTGTAAAAGCCAAAACAGAAAAAGGGTTCCATCCCTCTTTGAGATTGATTCTCACACTGTTTTGTGACTCTTGTTAATTAGGTCACTATTTTGCAACCTCTTCTAGTTCAAGCAGTACTTTTGACAGCTACCCTTTTGCTTTACCAAAGATTCCCTCCCAAGTCCCACCCATGAACATGAAGTATCGTTTCTAGTAGAGTTTTGGAACCTGCACAGGCAGCTACAGTGAACAATAACTAACAAAGGGATTAGCCTAGTGGATGGGAAAACTCCTTTAAAACTACCCAACAGTTTTTCTGGTTTTAGGAACAGCAAAGTGAGAATCTTTAACAGAGATCAATCCTGGATATGTTTGTGGTGCTGTTGGTGCAGTTTTCTATGGTGTTCAATCTGTTCCAACTTGTTTAGAAAAAGATTGCATCTTTTTGCTTTTTCTTCCTTGTGGGTCATGATTTCCTTTTGTTGGTGTCTACTTGCGATACCAGCTTACATTCTGAGTTCCACTGCAAGTTCACATACTTTTTTTTTTAGTTGTTTATGGCAAAGAGGATGTTGCTGTATTGGCTGTCTGGTTTTGTTTGTGAGCTGTTGAACTCTCTTTCTTCTTGGATGCACCCTCCTTGCTTTCGATGCCGAAGTGTGTGCGCAAAATTGATCATACAAGAGTTAGGAATTCGGAAACATAAATACATAATATAAAAAGAAATATCACCCGAGTAAGAGACTATGATGTTTGTTAACCAATTTGTAGGCGATGATATTAGCCTTTCTATAAACAAGATAAATAAGTACGTTTCATTTTTCTTATCGAGTATGATATATTTTTCAAGTAAGTAATAATCGGTAGGTGATTAAACTACCACAATTCCTCGATAACATATCGAGATAGTGTGCCACTAAAATCCCTATAAGGAAAAATGATCATTGACCCTACCCTGAATTCTTCCCCAACAAGGCTTGATCCAATTGGAATGCATGGGATCATTTACTTTTGTTGAATGCAAGTGATCTTTTATTACTGTTCTCTTGGGCCATTCATGATGATCATGAGAGCAGATTTGCAGGTCATATTATAGCACAATTTACCTGGCCATATGATAGAGAGGGAACATGGCCCTGGAGTGGGTCAATTTCTTGTTTGTTTGGAGGGTCCAGAAAAGAGAAGTAATAACTACACTGATAATAATACCAAACATTAACTGTTCTTCCATGTTTTTTAAGGGGCAGACTACCCCATCCTCAATCCAGCCCTATCCATTCCTTCTCTCTTAACAAAGGCAATCATCCTAAATGATATTGTTTAGCTTGCAAGTTAACTTCTTTTTTTCCGAGTATGAATTCTAGTAATTGAAATATCAGTTCAATCATGCAGTATGATCATTCGTTCATAAACGTAATATTTTCCACAGTGAACAACAATGTGATGAGGATCAGTAATCTCCCAACTCAAAGTCAATATCTTTCTCATCAAGCGAGACCCATGAAGATAAATCACAATTCATCTTCATTTCTTTTGTAGGGGACCTTGGATTGGATCTGGGTTTTTTAATACAAGGTTCCATTGGAAGCACATTTATAAGCCACATTCTTTTCCTGTTTGTGTCATTTTGCCCCCATTTATTATGCAAACCCTTATAAATTAGAGGTCATAAGTCCTAAAAGAGTCCCATGTACCACCATATTCCTCTTCAACTCTCCTATCTCCCCTGCCTGACAGCCTGCCTAACGATCTCACTTTTAATAAATTTGCAGACAAACTAAAAGTCCCAAACAATTAACTAGTTGATTAAGGATTTGATTAATGGTTCCTGTCCTTAATTAAAAGGACATGGAAGGGACTCTTGACCTACAAACAACTCCAGCAGGATTTGATAATTCATGGCCATGGGGGGTTGCATTGAATAATATATATATTTTTTTGGACATGGTCCATTTTACATTTATTTCCAACTGCTGCCACATGATGCTCTTGTGTTAAAGGATGTAACATGTAAACCATCACTTTGCAATTTAATAGTGTGGTTGTTAGTTCTCTCCTTCTCTCTGCTATATTTCGTTATTGTCTACTTCTGCTGCAATTTTTTTTTGTTTGCCAGGATTCCTACATTTTACCATCCTAAGGTTGATGATTCACCAAAACCATCCATTAAGTTCCTTCATGGGACAGATAGTTGGCCTGCCTATTCCATCTGATTAGGAGAATGAGGTTAGTTTATGAATTCGAACAAAGCCTGCTTTGGGATCTGCTTGATTTGGTGGCTTGTTGACTTTAACTCGTGAATTGGTTCATTTTAAACCCATGAACTGGCTTGCTAATGTGACTAGCAAGCCAGTTCGGCCATAAACTTATGTGTGAGTCAATTAATAGCTTATGAGGTGGCTTATTGACGATTCATAAGTTTGTCGGATTGTATATCTCACCGCTTATAATGGCTCAAGACTTTGAGTACGTAAACAAATATGTATATTAGTAATTTAAAGAAAGTTATGTATCCTTGATAATTTAGATACTTATTAATATTAAATAACATGATAGGAAGTAGTTAAAATTTACAACCTAGAGGATATGATACCAACATAGTGAGTTGACTATTAATGAGTCGAGCTCGTGAACCGAATGATGTGAGTAAAGCTTGTGAGCGCATTAATGAGCTCAGTTCGAGTCAAACATGAGCCAATATTTCAATAAACGAACTAACCTCAATCTTAATCAAACTCTATTAAAATTCAGATTGAGTCATTTTCAGATCTACTTATCATAAGTAAAAATTATATCTACTAAAAAAGTGATTCAAAGTTGGCGTTTAAACTTTACATCCAGAAAATCTATGACCAGCCTTCAAGATAAAATCTCAACTTCTTTTGGGCAACTCATATAATTAAACTTTTTGCAAAACAAATACTGATTGATATATATATGGCTTTTGATATGCATGCTTCTAATCATTGGTGTTGTTGTCTGTTTGCACTATAATTAGGAGTAGTTGGTGGGTATCTAACTCTTAGTTTTTTTTTTTTTTTTTAAGTGTGGGGGCTGCTTAACAGTTTTATCTGTCCATAAAGTCATAATCACTTTGTAAATGAGAGTAATAATTATAACTTTCCATTGCCATTTACACAACAGATTGTCTGGCAAAAGCATGCATGCGACTTAGATTAATATTTGTCCAAATCTCTTTTGTTTCCCCCTCTCACTTGAGCATTATCGATTATATTGTCTGCCTCATTATTCAAAATACACAAATATTCATTAGAAATTAGTCTCCAATTGTTCTCTGACAACTTGTCTTCTTAATTATGCTGAATAAGGGGGGAAAGTTATGTTCTTGATTACCACCACTCTCTAACATAAAAGAAGAATCCAATAATACTCGAACCAAGATCTTCATCTACAGTCTAGGGATGGGCTTTGGCTCCCGCAGAGCCCAATTCCATGTGTTAGAATACGGGGTAAAATTCGTTATTGAATCTCTCCAAATAATTCGATTCATTGAGATCAAAGATTTTTACACAGTATTAGAATTATTGTGACAAAAAAAGGTCTTCTTTTGAATTCCGACGATCTCATTTCTGGTGTAAACTTCAAGTCAAATGACTGGCGGCTTGAGTTTGAGGGGGGCGTGTTATTATACAGTATAAGATCCATTACCGAACCTCTTCCAACAACTCGCGATGTGCAAAATTCAAACCCATACAAGCAACAATGTTAATATATGGTATAAGTTTCATTATTAATTCTCTCTCGACAACTCAAAAATCTCATCCAATCACTACTCTAAAGGATGGTATTATATAGTTGTCGAAAACACATTGTTTGTATCTAGATTAAGTACGACACATGGAAGAAAAACCCCAACAAGGGAATCTGGTTGTCGTGCGGTAAATATAGTTGAAAAAAATTTGGGAGCCAATCTCTATGCTCGACTAAACGACATCCCACACCGTTTGATTATGCTATAAGACATATTAGGGTTCTCCGTTTTGTTCGTACTCAACTGGGTTTCTACATGTCTTAGTAACTGTAATAACGGTAAGTTAGTTTTTAGAAGCACGTGTTTGTTTGACATGGGTAAAACCTAGCTAGCCAGCACACGCTTGAAGTTGAAGGTCGGTCCAGGGAGGGACATGCACAAGTAAACGTACATTGTACTGGTAAAGTGTTGATGCTAAATACAATTAAGGACTAAATGGGCAAAAGAAGAATCAATCTCAAACGGCAAAGAAGAATCATTTCCCATAGACCAAAGCCACAAACATGTACGATGTGCAAATAAAAATTTCATTCAAAGTGATGAGCGAGGTAGAGGATACTATACTAGAGCACTACTGCTTGCATATGGACCTCAGACTAACAGGATTCTTTTCACCGAATCACTAAGTGGTTGACAAGACGGTTAATCGAATTGGATAGATCTATAACAGAACTACAAACAAGTTCCTATATCACATGCGAGAGTCAAGGGGCGAGAATCTCGATACAAGAAACAAAAATATGATCGAGAATGGCTGATCTTTGGTTAAGCCAACGTGAGTCGCAACTGATGTTCAAGGTAATTCCTCATTTGAGTAATAGACTAAGTGAAGTAGATGAATACCTGATTGACTCTTAGTTTTTTGACTCGCCAATTGTCAATGATACTGTTTTTTATGATGAGAAGGTCAAGGAAGAAGCTATTGGTAAGGTCGACACAAGTGTGAGTTTAATTGATGAAATGAGGAAGCTGCTAATAAGGTCGATTCTAACAAATGTTTGATTGATGATGAATCTGAAACAGATGGATGGTCTAGTGCAGATGAGTATGATTTAGAAGATGTTGAGATCTCGATCCACCACTTTGACAAGAAATCTAATGAAAACTGATGATGAATGAGAGGGGAGTTGAGATTTTTTGGGTTCATGTAGTCTTTAGTTGGGTTCATCATCCCTGGTAACTTCTCTAGTTTGTGGCCTGGTGCTTTACTGCTTTGGTCTTCCATGCACACAAGTTTGATAGATCGAAGTTCCATAGATGGAAATGATACACACTAGGGGGAGTTCAAATGGTTACCATGATAATTACCAAACCAAATAAACTCAAATTCTATTAACCATGGAATACAATATCATAACCAAACCGTCCAAACTAATACAAAAGCCAAATTAACCAAACTAAAGTTTAATAGGTTTGGTTAATTGGTTAACCAAAATAACCGATATAACATAACATTTTCATTAGGTGAGAAAACTTTCAGTTAATGCATCAATTCACAATCTATATAATGAATAACACATAGTTATAGTTAACACTCAACATAAATACATTTAACTAATAAAACTATCTCAATAGAAGTATTCAACAAACAAAAATATATGTCAATGATATGAGGTTTGTTTAGTTTGTGTGAATTGACTTAGTCTCTTAACAATTATCATAGACTGAAAAAGACCTTCCTTCAAGTTTTCATCCAACATAATGTATGAGTTTGATCTAAATTAGACGTCTATATGTTATGGTCTACACTCTATAAAAACAAATATACAGTATAAAGAGCTTTATTTTTTATGAGCCTAAAAAAAATGAATGTTTGACTTTTGAGTGGTTATGCAAAGTATTAAATATGTGTATATAATATATTATATACATGACTAATTACTTATCTAGTTAATTTGGTTTGATTGGTTAGATGTGTCTGAAATCAATCCAAACAAGCTAAAAATTTAACCAAATCAAACCAGTTATCCAAATTAACCAAACCATATTATCTAACTACTACCAGTTTTAGTTAAAACGATTACCACGACAACCACTCAATTTCAACCCTAATACCCACCATCTAAACCCCCCTTCTCCGCTGTAAAAACTAAAAAGTAAAAAAAAAAAAAAAAAGACATCTACTCTCACAAAGAAAACCAAAAGGAAAAGGAAAAGGAAACACAAAAAGCCAAAAGGGAAGACGGTTATTAGAAAACACAAATTACCTGACTGACTCTCTCTTTCCTCTCCAAACACATTTAATCAAAACCATTTCCCCTTCTTCTTCTCCCCCACGCTCTCACATTTCCTCCTCATCCACCTTCGGTTACTCTGAAACCTCCGCCTCCATTCTCTCTCTCTCTCTCTCTCTCACCAAACCTCTACACCACATTGAAACCAAAAACCCAATCCCACAGTTCAATTCCCCCCCTCTACAACGATGAGAGACTTCGTGTCCTGTTTCAGCGAGAACGCCATTAACGTGGCTACCCAACAACCCCACCATCAGTACTCCTTCTCCTGCTCCTCCTCCGCCGCCGCCGCCGTCGTCTCCTCCCCAGTCACCGCCGCCGCTTCTTCTTCCTCCTCCTCGGCCTCCCCCTCCGCGGCGGCGACTCCTTCCGTACAGAACGCCGTCTCTTCCCTCTACCGAATCAGCCTCTCCTCCCACAAGAAGCCCCTCCTCTTATCCGTCACATGGGCCCGCTTCCAGTCCGCGGCCCAACAGGGGCTCACCATCTCCAACGGCCCGTCCACCTTCAAGCTCAACACCAGCTCCGGCCTCTTCCGCAAGAAGAAGGGCAGCCGCTCGATCGACGCCGGCGGACCCGATTCCAAATTCGACGTCTATTGGGATCTCTCCTCCGCCCGCTACGACTCCGGCCCGGAGCCCCTCGACGGGTTCTACGTCATCGTTTTGATCGATTCCGAAATTGCCCTCGTCCTCGGCGACCTGGCCGACGAATCCGCCGTTCTGTCCAAGAAATTGCTGAGGGCGGCGCCGGCCGCCGCCAAAGTGAGCTTGATTTCGAGGCAAGAGCATTGCTCTGGGAGCACTCTGTACTCCACTAAAGCTCGATTCTCCGAGACCGGCGGCCAGCACGATATCCTGATTAAATGCAGCGGCGGCGGCGGCGCGGGGGAGAAGGAAGGGCTGAAGCAGAGGCACCACCACCCTGTTCTCTCCGTTTGTATCGATAAGAAGGTTGTGATTCGGGTGAAGAGGTTGCAGTGGAATTTCAGAGGGAACCAAACGATTTTCGTTGATGGGTTGCTTGTGGATCTGATGTGGGATGTACATGACTGGTTCTTTCACCCGGCGGCGGCGACGGCGACGGCTGCTGCAGCGGCGGTGTTTATGTTCCGGACGAGGAGTGGGCTGGACAGCAGGCTGTGGCTGGAGGAGAAATTAGCGCAGAAGGAAGAACAGCTTCAGCAGCAGCAACAGCAGAGACTGGAATTCTCATTGCTGATTTACGCCTGTAAGAGCCCTTAATAAGAGCTTGCTTTGCTAGCTTCAGTGGAAGGGGAAAGTTATTTACTTATTGACTGATTTGGTTTCCCTTTCCCTTTTTTGTTTTTGGTTTTGGGTTCTCTTCGATCTTTCTGCTCGAAAGAGAAGGGGCCATAGCTAATCTGATAAAAAAGAAGAATTCTTTTGGTAATAATTTGTAGATTTGTGGGAAGCTTGAGTTATGCAGAAATTATGTGAAGAACCTTTGACAATTTGTTTTTTTGTTTGCCACTCACACACAGCAGAAACAGAATTCCCCTGTTTTTCTTTTTTCCACCAACAGAACTGTTCTGTGACTCTGTTTTTCATCTTTGGCATGTAGCTAAAATGTTTCCTCTGTTTTATGAGAATTTGTCGAAGAGAGTTTAGCAGATTATTTACCACATTTTGCTGCGATAATGTGCATTCAACGATTGTGGATCTTGAAACATTTCCGGGTTTATGTATTATGAATTGATGATCAAGTTGTAGGAAGAAAGAAGAGTATTCCTGAGAGGGAAAGCTTACACAATCTTCTAGAGGGGGGAATATGAATGATTGGTTTGGTTGACACTATATAGGAAAAGAAAAGAGAGATGTTACCCAGTTCAGCTTTCAAGGAAGATATTGATAAAAAGGAAGCAGATATGGATGAAGATTTGAGATTTCCTCCCTTTTGATCTCAACTAGATGAGATTGCTCGGACCAACAATGGCGGGTACAAAGAGATAAGATCCAAACCCTAAAAAGAGAAATGAAACTAGGGAGCCAGCCTGTGAAATAAGCCGTTGACCATTGACAATTAGACTCTACAATTCCATTCCATTCTACAGAGATAAACTTCTGCCCTCCCTGCTTCTTCTGCAGGTATTGGGAAATGCAGGACTTGTTTTAGTAGCCAAATCTTGAATTTTGAATCATTTGCTCCAAAACAAAAACAAAATCCAAGATTGTCAGCTCGCTGCTGTTGGTTCCTGCTTCTTTTTGGGTTCTTATAGATTCTTCTTCTCAACTCGGCTATCGTGCTTACATGGACCAGCCATGCTACTTCTATATCGTTACTTAGGCGGGTTTTCGATATTCCACTCGACTCGTGTATTTTCAATCCTTCGAAAGGTGTCGAATTTCGACGCTATTACATTATTACTACACACATTTCAAGATGAAAGGGTTTTGAAAACTGCTAATCAAATCTTTGTGTAGGGAGGGGTAGAGAAAGAATTGGTTTTTTTTGCCAGAGTCAAACTGGGTGCCAGATTGGTCCAAAAAAGGGCAGAATCAATACTTCCACTAATGAGCAACACTACTACTTGCCTTGCCCTGTACTTGTCTTTCTCATTCAAGTGGTAAGAAAAATTGATGCCCCTGACCTTGTTGTTAAAAGGGGACCATTTCCATTGACAGGTTCCCTCATTTGGCCCACTGTGCCCTAGGGTTTAATTAGGAGCCCTTAAACTAGATATCAGAAGAACAGAGGTAAATAAGGAAACCAGAGTGGCTGCTAGTGCTACAACCCTCTACTACTGAAAGCACCCAAATCATGGAGCGGGAGAACAATCATGCACTACAGAGAGATTTGTATACCGGTTCCAGGAACAATGATCAACAAAACCGAACCAGAGCAGACTCTGTTTTTTGGTTTTGGGTAATCATGGTTCCAAGTATCCAATCTTCCATGTACAGGACACGTATTGTTAACTTTAATTAATGGGTTTGATGAGTAATTTATTGTTTCCTCCATGCTTGTGGTTTTTTGGGTTGAGGGGGAGTGCTCTGTTTTTATTTCTTCTTGATTCCGTGAGCAATGCAATGGGGATTGACCTGACCTTCTTCCTTTTACTGGTGGGGGAGTCACAGTCTTGCTCCTGCCACCTACTTCTTCCTTTCCTTTCTCCATTGGCTGTGTGTTTAAGTGAAATTGATGGTACTAGAAGAAGAAAAAGGAAAGAATTCGCTGGCGAATGAATACTTGATGAAATAAGTAGTTGTTATGGCATTTTACCGGTGCAGAGAGTATCATTATCATGAGCATTATAACAAGGGTGACTCGACTCCCCTGAGTTTTGGGAGACTAGAAAGCTGATACTAGGAAAAGGGTTTAGAATGAGGATTTGGTGAGAATAGAGAGGAGGTTGGAAATAGAATCGAGAGAGAACTAGATTATAAGACGAGAAAGGACTGAGATCGATCGAATTGGGAGAATAGCGAGAAATCGAGATACAAAACAAAGAATATAAGATTGTTATTCTTTGTTTTTCGTTGATCTTAACCGAAAGGCTAACCTACAATATATAGGTTTCAACCTTTCAGCACAAAATTCCGATTAATTAACTTTTCGATCTCACAATGACTCCTATGAAGAACACTAATGTATTGCAAACTGACATTCTTTATTAATGACGGTAAAGAACCTTAAATACTTGGTGTTCGCACACGATCGGCAGCCCTACTAATCAGCTTGCATGATCTAATTGACCCTGAAATCACTCAATAGAACTTAACAACCTACTTGACTCAAATGTACAAACTAGAAACCATGAGGACTAAATGAAGACTTAGCCACAACACGACTTGACTTTATTTTGCAGACTCACAATTAAAATGGTGCCGCTTCAGGCATACAGCAACAACTTTCACACAATCCTAATCCGACTAGGAGAGGGATTCCAGCTTCAGTTCAGAAATTCAACATCCTAATCCTCTTGCCTGTGTCTCCGTAAAGGAACGCCAATGAAGCACCAAGGTAATCCTTATATTGGATTATCGTGTGATATAAAATCATAAAAATAACGTTGTCATGTAGTAGTAACATCAACACGTGTATTTAACGACTAGAATCACAAACAATGGCTCTCTCTCATTTCACTTGTTTTCTTTTGCTAGGACTAGATTCTAGAAGGGTTCTTTGCTTTTGGTTTTTTAACTAACTTCTGGTCTCAACTCTCAAGCAAATTGCAAAATGGGAAGACTGGTATAGCTAGCAGTTTTCTACCTTCAACCCAAACTCCTCTTTTTGAATTTCAAAGTCCATGAATTGAAATCTCAAAGACTTGGGGGTTGCCCATCAAACGATACACATTAACTATTTAACATATCCAAAGTTCCAAACACCTGAAAGTGACATTCACAAACAACTTTAGTTCAATTTCTTTCCTAGTCATGAACCCTAATCAGGATTGATGCTGCTAGGAAATGGTCTTGTTTGAATTTCAAAACCCATGCCGGTCCAAAATCATTCTTTTTTTGCCCCTTAATTTTCCTTGCTTTGTGGTAGTAGGTGAATAGGAACTTGACACCAACCCATCAGTTAACAAAAACTAATGGAAAACTTAAGTCAAACACGGATTAGCCATTGATGATGATGATCATCATCTTCCTCCTTTCCCTTTCATGCTTAGTAATCCTCTGTTCCAAAGCTTGTCATTATCCGATTCTCTCAAAGTCCAAAGCTTTCCATTTCATGAGTGGGAGAGAGCCAAACTTTTGAGTGACTTTGAAGTTCTTATGGGAAGGTAAAAAGAGGAGGGAGGCTAGGGCAATAGGGCATGCTCTCCCTATTTTCATTATTGTGCCATCATGATTGTGAGGAAGAGTGGGTAGAAATTGAAAACGGCAATGAGCATTGCCATGCCGGTCAAACCATGGCAGTGGTTTTATGGGTTTAAAGAGGATGTAGACTTAGGACCCAACCTATTTTTTCCAGGACCAAACCATTGTCTGTCACCGATTCCGAGAAGTGGCTAGTTAAATAAACTGTCCAGAGAATTTTAGAGTCACTGCGAACCCGTTATATGCTATTTCGTTTCTTTTGAACGCTCATTTGTTACAATAACTTAACATAACAGTCACTCCATGCATCTTTGGTCAAGTTTGTTGTCCAACTTGTCACATATTAACGTGCGGAAATCACATAAGTTGATGATGAAATCGTCACATGTAGACTAACGAGCTAACACGAGCAACTCATTATGACACACGCTCGATCCAAACCGAACACGTTGGTCGTTCGTATTAAAGATCTCCATAATATGTAATCATCCCAATCCCTTTTGCTTCATCCTACCCTAATAGCTAATAGGAGAGCCCGTGTACATCTTGATTATTGTGTCTACTGTCTAGTGAATTGATCATATTCTCTGTTACTTATTTCAAATTTCAGTGACTGTTTATGTTAATCGTTAGAGTTTCAGTGACCAACTTGCTATACCACAAATTGGAGTAAGCTGCTGATAGAATTGACCCATCATGGAAAGAGGTGGGGCTGAGTTTCTGGTTTGGTTTTTTTTCGGAAAGGAAAAAGGACCACTTTAATTTCCTCATTACCAATCTCAAAGGGATGCCATGATTGATTCACCAATGCATGCCCAATTGGGCACACTCATTTAGTTGGTCGATTGGCAAGCAAAACTGCAACAAGCTACTACAACCCATGGGGACCAACAATACTATCATTTCCAAAATCATACCATCATATCTCTTAATCGACGGATTACAAAAATTAATGACCTATCTAGACATATCTCGTCTCTTAATCCCGTCTACATAAGATAGCAAAACATTAGATCGAACAATCCTTATTACTCTTCCTCCTCGAAAAATTTCATGTAATTTGAACCCCAGCCTCATTTCAACCACGTCAACTTTAACCTTATCAACTAGCTTCTGAGTGTAATGGCCTGTGGGAAGACTTTGAATTTTACAAATACTTAATGAAACTTTAATTACGGCTCTATACCATTGGAATTTGGAAACACAACATGGGAAGCCGCTCGAGATTTTGCCAAGTGCGTTTGTTGGAATTGTTGCGAATCAGCCAATCAAGGAAGATGGAATCCATAAAAAAAATCTGCATTCGTTCTCTTCTGAGTGTCTCATTTGCATGGCAGTTTTTGATGGAGGTGAATATATATTAGGGTCAGTTCTCGAGAGCTAGCTTAGCCTTTCTGTAGGATAGAGATTCAAAGTCTGAAAGCACCGTTGCTAGCTTTAGGTAGGCGCGCATTCCACCAACATATGCACTTTCGTTCAACCGGGCTATGCTGCTCGCACTTGTGATTAGGGCTGGCTATTTGGTCCCGGACTGTTTGGTTTTACCCGACACCGGATCGTATAACTCGGACCGGAATCGGACTGAGACCGAATAGCAAACAATGCAATCTCATATTCGGGCTTAGATTTTAGGTAAAAAACCGGATAAAGACGGGATAAGAGTCCCCCAACACCTAAAATCAAGATAAAATTGGGACCGGACCGGGTCAAAACCGGACTGTATCCAATCCAATCTTTGGTCCTTATATTCCCGAAAAGATCGGACTGGGACCGGATCCATTTGGTCTAATTTAACCGGACCGGACCGTATAGCCACCCCTATTTGTGAGCACGTTCTCACAGATTGTGTTGTGAATATAATAACAAAATTTTTATAGTAGATGATAGTTGATATTGTTGAATTGTCGACTATATTGTTCAAAAAATTGAATATAACTGATCGAACATGATCAACGTACACGAGACGATTGTTGGGATAACAACCAAACTAATTCTCAATTAGGCCACCAAATCTTTGATTATTCATAGAAACATCAGTTTGCCCACTTTGGGTCGTGTCTCGTGCATCCCATCTCTTTCCCATTACTGGGACAAGAAGTTGACCAACTCTTTGAAATTGTGGTAAAAGGGAGTTGGGAAAAAAAAAGGCGAGGGAAAGAAAAAGTCAAAAAAGCCAAACTCGTGAGGAAAATTGGAGAGCAGAATGGTGGGCCAAAAGGGGGGAAAAAGGAGCTGTTGAGCCTCCGGTGTTGGAAAACTCTATTGGGCTAGGCCTGTTAGCTGTTGTTACGGGCCCAGGTATCATGTCGCTCTTTTAGTTGTGGATTTGCTGATTCCAGCCCACGTCTTTGAGTTTCTCTTTTGGATTGGGTCATGAAACCATTTTGTAGCTTCATCTCTCTTTCTTGTTGCCATCTACCACTAATCTAATCACAATTAAGAAAATGACCCATTTTTCAACTATGATTCCATTTCCAGAACGTAACAGTGTGTTCTACGGCGAAACAGATCCTTGGAAGTTGGATCATCTGCACTCCAGCTCGTTGGATGCACAAGGTAATATTTCAATTTTGTAAATAATAATCGTGATCAGAATGCATGATTCAATGATAACTAGTACATTAGGAATGTAATCTAATTCCTTTGATCCTAGAAACATATCTGATTAACCAGGGGGAAAAAACGGTTCTCAAAATTCATCCAGTTAACCGCACTGAGCGTAATATGATAACATAAAAAAAGACTCATTATCATCAATTACGAGCAAAAGAACCGAAATCTGATCTTAAACTTGAATAGTCGAAAGAGATTTGAAATTCAATTATTTGTAGGGTTAATTGCATGGTTGGTCACTGAAATTACAAAAAACGTTCATGTTTGGTCACTGAAAATATTTAAATCCAATCTTGGTCACTCAAATCAGTTAAATGGTTCAAGTTTGGTCACTCTCCGTCCATTTCCGTTAACTCTAGCTTACGTGGCAGTCAACTTTTATAGTTGACCGTTAAATATGTGTCGTGGCAACTAAACAATTATTAAAAATAAAAATAAAAACTTTTATATATTCCATCTCTTTACTACATTCATTAAAAATAAAAAACCTAATTTCTTTTCTACACACACTCCCATACCCTATCCGACCCAACCTCACCACCACTAGAACACAATCTCATCAGCTTCTCGTTGAAGAATTGCTCCGTCGCCAGCGGCCACGTCACCATCGAAACTCCAGCAACAATCGCTTCCACGACAGAGTTCCAGCCGCAGTGGGTAACGAATTCACCCACCGTCGCGTGCCCTAAAATCAGCAACTGAGGCGCCCACCCTTCAATTACCAATCTTTTCCCTTCGACTCTCTCCTCAATCTCTCTAGCAGATCTTCCCTTCTCTTCACAACCCAAACAAACCCCTGTCCCGAGCCTTCCATCCCCGCCACCAGCTCTGAATTCTGCGCTGTCGTGAACTCTGCATTAGAGCCGAAACATAGGTAAATTGTCGAGTTGGGTTTCTTTGAATCCAACCATTTCAAGCATGCAACAGCTTCCGTCACTGTCACCATCCCTCTGCTCTCTTTCTCCTTCGCGCCGCTGGCTAAAAGAAATTGAAGAGATAGACGGTAGAATTCCAAACAATGAACCACGGAAAAACCACAAATAGACACGTACGCGAACATCCGACAGAAACCCTAGCACTAAACAATTCATCCTGAAATTGCAGTAGGAACTCACCTCTAAATGAGCAACCAACTTAAGAAAGCGAATTGAGTTTTGCTCCATTGTGCGACATTCGTGAGCAAACGGGAAGGAATAGAGAAAGGAGAGAGAATTCAAAAGGATGAGGAGTTGGCAGGTAATGGAGGTAGGAAGGAGAAGATCGGAAAAAAGCAAAAGAAATTTAGATTTTTTTTAATGAATGTAATAATGAGGTGGAATATATAAAGTTTATCTTTTTATTTTTAATAATTGTTTAGTTGCCACGTCACATATTTAACGGTCAACTATAAAAGTTGACTGCCACGTAAGTTAGAGTTAACGGAAATGGATGGAGAGTGACCAAACTTGAATCATTTAACTAATTTGAATAACCAATATTGGATTTAAATATTTCCAGTGACCAAACATGAACATTATTTGTAATCTCAGTCACCAATCATGCAACTAATACGGACAAATCTCATACACGATCGGAGTTCGAGAGTGCCGGCGGACTACTTGAGAGAAAGAACCGGGAAGTTGAGGCCCAGAAAGTCGTCAACGGCGTCAAGGAAAGTGGCGCCGAGCTCAACGTGGGCAGGGTGTGTCATGAAGGCCAAGCAGTCCTCCTGGCTGTCGAATCTCATCACGACGGCGTGGGTGAAGCCCTTTGCCGGGCTAGGGAGCGCCGCAGTTGCAGAGGCGCCGGAGCCCTCAATATCTGCCGCCTCTCCCCTGCAAAATTGACTTCAAAATGAAGCCCGGAAAGAGCTAGCAACAGTAAAAATTGACAAGATCGACTGACCATTCTGCGGACTTGACAAGATCGATCTCAGAGAAAAGCTTCTTCAACCCATTCAGCATCTCCTCCACTGCAACCCCTTCTTTGAACTTGAACAGGACTACCCGCTTGAAACCTCCTCCATCCATGGCTATGGCTGTGATATGGAAGTTTATGGATGGAAAACAACCCGTTCCTCTCCTCTCTTTATTATCCTCTGGCTTTCTTCCTTTCCAATTATCTATCTGCCCATTTGTCTTTTTGCTAGATTTTATTTTTCTATGGGAGTAGTTATTGTTTATGTCATGGATAGAAGATTGGGAAATCGCCAAAAAAAAAAAAAAAAGATTGGGAAATCGACAAAGGTTGAATTTTTTTGCAGTCGACGCCAAATTATTTGTCTTCAAATCATAGCAACATCAAACATCGTTGTGATCCAACCTCTCTCCTTAGATTCATTAAGATCCGACGAGGAAATTACACATTACAACAAAAGAAAACAGAAGAAAGATCACATTTCTATCCGCAGTAGTAGCTATTCCAGCTCCAGCAACAACCTTATCCCCTGTTGCCGGAGAAAAAAAAAAAAAAAAAGAAGAAGCAGAAAAACAGAGCAACCTTCAGGATACTTCAGCAACAAAAACCCGGAGAATGAAACCTCGAAAAGAAGAGAGAAAACTATTGAACTTACTGCAAAGTTGAGGGTGGCACAAGCATTTCAATCCAGCCCCACAGTCTCCCTTCTTCTCGCACTCCTCGCAGGGATTCGGGACATGATCCGGAATGTCGAATGAAACCCTCGTCCCCAATTCAACCTCATGATCGCGCAAAGATCTCCGATGAATGGGTTGATAGTGGGAGCAACTCAGGTTTTCGGGATGAAAGCCCATTTCCTCCACTTTCCCCAAATTGCTTACAATCAAACACGAACGGCCAAACCCTTCATCTCTCTCCGGCGAAAAGCAGGCAGCTTTGGATTTCGATTGGGCGCTGCAGCGCTGGATCAGAGAGCTGTAGTCGCGAGAGGAGGAATTGGAGCAATTGAATAGGAGAATCGAGTTGGGTTGCGGCGGAGCTGGGAAACCGGCGGAGAGAAGGGAAGGAGAGGTGTAGTGTTTGGTAGAAGGGCAAGAAGGAGAAGAAGGGTGTTGAATGGTGAGTGTTTTGGTATGTGAATCGATGGACGAGATTGGGAAGAGGCCCAGAGTTGTTCTGAAGTAGAGCTTCTGAGACTTGCTGCAATGGAGGATTCGAGACAGAGGGAGAGTTGAGTTGGAGTGAACTAATGGAGTCGGGATTTGTGTTTTGCCGCAGAATGTGGAGGTTGATTGAAAAATGAGGGAGAAGAAGCTCAGGGGAACGATGAGATGGAGGAGAAGCTTGTTCATTTGGTGGTTTCTGGAGGAGTGCATTTTTTACTTGATGAAAACAGGGGAAAAACAGGGGAAGGGGGGACTTGAATTAAAAGGAGGTGAAAGAGAGAATCTGCTTTCTTTTTTTCAAGCCTGAAATTGTGCTCAACTTTCCTCTGGGAATCTACTTTACTATCAAGCTACATTCCACTTCCCCCCCACCGTCGAATTTGAATATGCCAACGTATACATTTCTTTTATCTTTTAGCTCGTTTGATTTGTGATCGAATGATTATAGAACATGAAAGATGTGAGTAAAAATTGAAATTTGTTTACTATATCCTATTGAATAGAGTAGGCATAAATATCATTTGTTTGCTTCCTCGGTCGTGCGATTTCGATCAAACAGTTATAGAGCACACAGAGCAAGATGTAAAATGGACGATCGTAATGTATTTGTGTGATTGTGCATGCTTCATTCACAACCGTTTGTTTTTTCGTAAAACGATTGAAGAGATATAAACACGTGCTTACGTCTATCCTATCATTACCAGCAAATCGTTGATATCCTCTATCCTTTAATACAAAATGATTATAATATGGACATTGGGGAATATTTTTATTTGGGAACAGATGTCTTTCTCCATTACAGAAAAAAAGTTTTTACTTTGTTGACAAATCTGTGTTTTCCCCCCAATCTGCAAGAGATTCTGCATGTTCCCTTCTGTCTACCTTTCTGCTTTCTTGCTTCAGTAAATGTTTATAATCTCAGTGATGGGTGATTGGCTGGCATCACATGTTTTTGTCACTCTTAGATTTTTGCTTGGATTTACATGTCCATGAGTTTTCCACATTCTACCAGGACTGAGTATGATTACTGAGAAGCCCTGCATTTTCAGGCATACCAGCTTGGGCTTGGCAAACATGAAAAGCTGAGAGAAAGGAACATGTTAATAATTAGTACCATTAGTGACCGGTTTTGATCTTTAGATTCGACAGTTTGGAATCATAAAGGACAAGACAGCAACTTTTGCTTGCCACAAAACAGGCCCTCCATGTCCATGATTGAGAGGCGCCCAAATACTAATTCCACTTTTGGCCACATTGTTTCTCTCTTTTTGACAAATCAGGACAAGCTCTTCCACATTGTCAAACCCAAACATGACCTAAAGAGTGCTAAAACACTTGACTTCTTCGTCCAAGGAAGACAGAGGCATGCCTGCAAATCAGCAAGAAAACAGAACAACAACCCAATTCTTCTCTGATACAAAACTAAGCTTTTATTAAAGCACTCAGCAACAATAACCCACTTGGAAAATGATGATCATACTCCCCATCACACAAGCTACAATAACCATATATAGCTGTTGTAATCTCATTCCACACTGGAGATGTGATCAGGTTGCTGGTGCTGGCTGCTTGAGAGGGATAGTCTTGGGAAGTTAAGAACAACACATTTCTCAATACTTGCTGAGAAAACAGCAGCATACTCCAGGTGATCAGGGTGGGATTCATAAGCTCCATAATCCTCCTTGCTGTTGAATGTCAATGTGAATGCATGTGTGAATCCTTGTGTCAGCATCTCATGGCCTTCCGAATCGTGCCCCCTGTACCATACCGCGAATCATTTAGCCTCACCGGTTTTTTTTAATCTTCGTTACGATTATCAGAGTCCGCGGTTAGAACTTAGAACTACACATTAATTAATAAACAAAAAGAAGGACTGACCATTCCAGTGACTTGATGAGAGGAATCTGAGAGACGAGCTTCTCCATCCCTTTGATGATATCATCCACCACAACACCTTCTTTGAACTTGATGATGACCAAATGCTTGAACTCTGCAGCAGCCATGGCTTCCTGATCTACTAACTATGCTGCTGCTGCTGCTCTGCCTCCTCCAATGTCCAAAACACTATATATTTATAGGCCCCTCCACTCCACTCCTCCAATTGGCCTCTGTTTGGGGTGTGTGTGATTGTTCATGTGTCAACTTCCACAGTCACATTCATATGTGCAAGATCTGACACTCAGCACGCATTCAGACAGCTGCACAGTTGTACACGCACTCATTTTGATTGACAGGGTTTCTCATTAGTGTCTTAAGAAATTTCAAATTTGTCTAGAAAAATGTCTAATTTCAAAAATCATATGTTAGCAATGTACATGCAATTAATCACGAGACCGACCAAGATCACAAATTTCTCGTTACTGTGGAAATTAATTCTATCTGTTTTGTACTTCCGTCGTGAGACGAATGATTAGCGCCATTTTCACTCTTTCTAGGACAGATCGATCTTGAGATTTCGTCATAGCTCTCATTTGCCTGACAAGTCTGTCATTTTCCTGTGCTGCTTCCTTTGGTGGCCGGACTATGGTTTCAGATTCAGAATTCTTTCCCATGTGAACGTACCAGTAAGTATCATCATTGTTCCGGAGGGGAGGTGAGGTGAGACTTGAGAGAGAGCTCATAATAGTTGAACACATTATATTGTGAAAATCCCATTTTCTGTTTCCTCTTTGACGATAGTCAGGAATTTAGGACAAATAACATGGAACTATGTTGCCCACAAGGTGAATGACTTGCTTCTCCGAAACAGAGGAGTCCTTCACCAAATCATCCCAATGGATATGAGTGTAACAGGAACGATCCACGAGGTTAACATGTGTCGATTTTCTTCGCATCACTATGATTGATAACCATATCAACATAAATAGCATCGTTGGGACGATTTTTTGTATGTATTTATAATCATTTGATTCCACTCCTGTGGTTGGGAATATCACAAGGTTATTAATTACGAAAACAATTTTACAAAGATCTATCCAATATAGGTGGTCTTTTTTTTATTACCCGGAAACCTCAGCTTCACGTGCCACTTTGCGACAACGGGTCTTACTAAATCTGGGGGCCACCTGCAATCAAATTCGACACCAACGGGGTTTCGCTCCCAGCAGCCTTGTACCTCCGGGTAACACCAACGAATCTCGCTTGAATTCGAACCTGAGATATGCAACTTCCAAGCCTTCATTATCGCGGCAGTTTTACCGTTAGACTATCTTACCTTTACTCAATAGGTGTTCTTAGTAATGGGCAAAAATGATAATTGATTTGAAGTTATCATTAAAAAAAAGGAAGAGAATTTGAATTGAAGTAGTGAGTGCCAGACCAAATTACCTTTTGATGGTTATGTCGGCTAGGGATTGTGTGTGTGGAATGGTCGATTTTCCCTAATCCGATAAGAAATGTTGTTTTAACAACAGACATTGAGACAATCAACACCTCAAATCTTCTTTATTCATGATGGAAAAAGCATAAGTTCCTTTTACCTTTATGTCAACTACAAACTAACTCAATTTGACCATCCAACTCAAGCCCTTCATCGTTCATTTTATCCACAAATTGTTACTATTTATTCTCATAATTTGGTTTAGGAACTACATAATCTCCTTAGTTATGTAAAAGGGAAAAAAAGGAGAGTATAAACAATAAGCTGCCAATTCCCATAATCTATGTATCATTTTTAGAAAAACCTTTTGATGGTGCATGATTAAATCGCTTACTATTATATCTTGAGTTTGTCGAATAACGAAACAAATTTTTTGGTTCTTTCATTCTGGATTTGAAGAAGGTGTGTGTATATGCAAACCTTCTCACATCATAATCATCTATACTATTCTCAAATAGCAAAACATATTTTTTTCAGTTCATAAGCTAGGTAACACATTAGTAAAAAACGATGGCATGTTCAGTTACTTTCTTATTTTGTCACTTGCCCACTTCATTCTAACAAGAAAAGAATTTATGTTTGTAAGCTGTAACAATTATACAATACAAGCGGCATAAATGACTTAAGTTTTGATAAATAAAATATATATAAGAAAAAAAAAAAGAGACTTAAGCTGATTCATTTCCATGGGCCAACCAATGAAAAGAAAACGGAGGACGTGCTCGTGCACGGAAGCCCACTTCCTTTTCTCTGTCCGGCCCAGATTCATAGTACTGCACCTGTGCAAACAATTATTCAGAATTTCGTACCCGCTTTTTGTTGTGGCGGGAAAAGTGTATTGTTCTTGCTTGTTGTGAATTTGAGATTGAAGAGAGCAAGGTATTTATGGGTCATAGGTAGGGGGTGGCAGTTCGATTACCGGTTAACCGATCGGTTAAACCGATAACTGATCGGTTATCTATTAACCGGTAACTTAACTAACCCCTAGTCATAGGTACATGAATGAAATTTGTCTGATATACTATTCATTGTCTTTTCTAACATAAGAGACACAAATTCTACATTTTGATCTCACTAGTCTGTAAATCCTACGATATATCCCAATCAACATAGTAATTACATTGATCATCCCACACATTTTTCCAGTGTATTCAAATACATGGTTAATAAATAATCATTGTGTACCGTATACTATATCATAGTTGATAACTCATTATTAACTACCGTACTTAATAAAGTAATGAAACTACGACGACAAAATAATTTTTAGTGTCTAAATTTTAACATTATTACCTTCAACAGATATTTGTAATCGATCTCCAGACCTTCTCAATGGAGACCTCAAAACCCTAGCTAGTCGAAACCGACTTAACTCTGGCCACAAACTCATCAAGACTCCGATTAGAAGACCCACCCTCACTAACCGCCAGAACAGCCAACTCCCTCCACTTCTCCGCACTCCTCTTCATCTCCCTCCCGCTCTCACCTTCCATCACCTCCTTTAAACACCTCTCCAGCTCTGCCCCTCGCACCATCCCATCCTCCTCAACCCTAACCCTAACCCCGACCCTCCACACGTCCTCCACGAGCTTCGCGTTCGGCGGCTGGTCCGTCCACTGCGGAAAAGCCACCATGGGGATCCCCAGGCTCAGCGCCTCGATCGTCGAGTTCCACCCGCAGTGCGTGAAGAAACACCCCACCTTCCCGCTCGCCAGGATCTCCACCTGCAATACAGTCACAATCGTGAAAATAGTAAAAGTTTTAAAACGTACTTTTGACTAGGGCTGGCTATTTGGTCCGAGTTTTTTGGTTTTACCCAAAATCGGACCGTATAACCCGTCCGAGACCGGACCGAGACTGGATAGTAAACAATCCAATCCAATTTTTGGGATTAGATTTGAGGTAAAAAACCGTTCGAGACCGGATCGAAACTGGATAAAGACCGGATAAGAGAGCTCAACACCCAAAAGTTAAGGGTAATTTGCATAAATGGTCACAAACCTTTGCACTTAGTACACAAATTAACCAACTCCTCACCCTTTCAGGCCTTAGGCCACTCAAATCCCCACAAGCTCAATATAAAATCAAGACCGAATTGAGACCGGACCGGGTCAAGACCGGACCGAATCATGACCGGAATGTATCCAATCCAATCTTTGGTCCTTATATTTTCAAAAAACCCAGACCGGACCGAATCAATTTGTGTCAATTTAACCAGACCGGACCGTATAGCCGCCCCTAATTTTGACTACATTGTACCTGTGGGGCCCAGTTGACGACCAGCGCATTGTCGCCCAGGTCGTCGACGAAATTGTGGGGCAGCTTGGCGAGCTCGGTGTCGCGTATCACCCAGATGAAAGGGTGGTTGGTTCGCTTGAGGCCCGAGGCCAGCTCGGTCATTTGGGCGGGCGGGAAGTTGACCATGCTGCCGAATGCCACGTAGATGATTGAGTTCGGCGGCTTGGCGGCGGCCCACGCGGTGGCGGTGGAGCGTTGGAGGGTGAAGAGGTCGACGCCGTATTCGTCGTCGTTGGGGATTCGGTTGTCGAGGTAGATGGACGGGACCGTCGGGCCGATTGCTAGGATCGGGCAAACCTTTGACATTGTGTCCAGTGCCTGCATGCATGTAGTGAATTCAAGGTCTTGTAAATGTGTATCATTTTATTTTGTCCAGAGAGAATGTTTTCCAAGGCCCATGCAAGGAAATAACGAAGCCTAGACTACAATCCTAGACGGGGTGATTGAGGTTCCGTGTGTGTACGATACTTAATCGTTTCTTTAAACATCCTTCAAACGAAAGTCAATATGTTCGTGTATTCCGACGATATCCGTAGCTGGAAACCCCTAACTCATCATGTGATCAACCGAGTTTGCATCTGAATCTGATTACGATTGGCTTCTTTAACACATTCAGTACAAGATCACCATAAATGCAGTATACATCAGACCTACTCCCATCTTGATATCGTACGATCTTATCAATATCACATCACAACTAGCTAAAAGACAAACACTTCTTTAATTATTCTCGTACACGTAGTAGTTGAAAGTTGAAACCCCATAATATATATACGGGTGACCACACCACAGATCGTGTTACCACTCTTTTCCACAATAATTAAGTTATACACCTTCCCACATGGCCCAATCGTACGATAACTAGCTATTTATTTTTTAACAAGTTAATAACGAAACGAAATAAAAATATTGATTTACCTCCTTTTCAAGCTCGTAATACGTGTTAATCAGGACATAATCCGCTTTGTCCGTATTGGAGAACTGGTCGACCACCATCGCGAAGTAAGCCGGGTAGGCCTCGGGAGCATTAACGAAAGAAGGCACGTCCCGGGGCTCCAACTCCACGGCCCACCCAGGAACCCGAACCGGCCACGTTTCCACGGGCAGCTTCAGCAACCCGTGGCGGATGTTGTAGTAGATGAAGTCCACGGCGCACGGCTGCGTGAAAAACGACGCCGCGTACAGCCCGTGGTCTTTGGCCACGTCCAGCGCCCAGGGCAAAAACGGCTCGTAGACCAAGGCCGTGACGGGGTGCGGCGTCGCTTCGTACTTGGTGATGAGGTCGGAGAGGGTGGACGAGCCGGCTTCCTTGAGGCGGTGGAGGTAGTCGTCGATGGAGGCGGCCTGGGAGAAGCCGCCGCCGTCGAAGCCGTCGGAGATGGCGTCGAGGTGGACCCCGCCGACGGGGGAGGCGAGGTTCATGGATTGGGAGATGAAGACGGAGGTGAGGAGGGTGGCGCGGAGGCCGCGGGAGATGAGGCGGCGGCCGAAGTGGATCATGGGGTTGACGTGGCCCTGGCCAGGGTATGGGAGGAGCAGAACGTGGCCGTTTTGGGGGTTCGGCGGCGGCGTTGAGATTTTGCCTCCCATGGCTGACTGAGATACCTAGGGGGTTGACTATAGAGAGAGAGAGAGAGAGAGAGAGAGAGAGAGAGAGAGAGAGAGAGAGAGAGAGAGAGAGCTTAGAAGTTATGGTGGTGGCGGATGTGGGGTGAAACATTATAGTAGTATGCCTGGAGGTTGGAGTGAATGGCAAGTAATTAAGGGCCCTATCGACGTGGAATTATTTGTGTGGCCATTTTTGTGGACTAACATCAACCCTAAGCTTGAAGGTGGAGAAATGCAAAATGTTATCTAGTAACCACTTCTTCTCCACCATCCCCAATTGGAGTACTAGACTTGGAGAAAAGCAAAAAAATGGGGAGGGTATCTAATACCTCCAACCCACCTTCCCCGGCCACTCGGCGGAGAGGAATTTTTGCCGGACGATTGTACTACTAGGAATCGATTAATTCCAATAACCCGAACTGTTGGAATATGTTTATTAATGAATTTTATATAGTTCATTAATTAATGTACTCTCACAAACAAGTCGTCGGTTAATAATATACTCATAAGAGTGGTCACGGTTAGCCGGCCAACCGACATATCGGTTTCGGTTTTAGGCACGGTTAGCCGGCCAACCGGAAAATACCCTTTATAAAAAAAAAATTAAAAGCAACAAAATTCTGAACCACTCACTCCTCACCCTCTCACTTCTCGATTCTTCTTCTTCCTATCCACTTTCACCATCTCGATTCTTCTTCTTCCTTCTCTCCTTCCTCAATGTCAAACCCACAACACCCACCACTCCTTCCTTCTCCCTCCTTCCTTCTTCCATTTCAGATCTGGAAACACAGAGCAGATGCGCGGCGGCGGCGAGTGGAGGCGGAGGTCGAGCTGCTGCTGCCTGCGAGTGGAGGCGGAGGTCGAGCGGAGGGCGAGTGGAGGCAGAGGTCGAGCGGCGAGGGTGGAGGCGGCGCGGCGACGTCGACGATGGTGGAGGCGGCGGTCGTGAGTCGTGAGGGAGAAGGAGGGCGGCGGTGGTCGTGACAGTTCTTCTTTCTTCTTCTTTTGGGTTTTCAAGTTCTTCTGCGTTACCATTTTGATTTTTGAGAGGTGAAAGGGAAGAGAAGAGAGAGAGGATGACGGAAGAGAAGGGTTAGGCTCGGTTAGGGTTTGGGGAGGGACTAGAGAGGGGTCGTTTTGAGGGGGGGGGGGGGGGGGTCGTTTTGAGAAGGGGGCCGGGTCGTTTTGGTTAGGCTCGGTTAGTTGGCTAACCGCTGGTTTTCAACCTCGGTTGGTCGGCTAGCCGAGCCTTCTCCACTCGCTACCGACGACCGACTGACGTCATTGGGATCCGTTTTTTGGCTAGCCGAAAATCGGACGGTTCGGTCGAAACCGTCCGGTTAGCCGCTAACCGGAAAACCGTCCGCCAGCCCTACATGTATACGTGAATACAGTGTGCTTCACAAACAGGGTCACCGATATTCAAACAGAAGACTTTCGATAACGGAAGGATCTGATACCATGTAAAGAATTAATTTATCCTAATATCAGGAGTTGTTGGCAGAGGTTGAATAATGTATTTTATATCACTCACTCGCGTGCCTCTTTCTGCTACTACTTATTTTGTAAATTTGTATGCTTGAATTTTATATTGTTTGTTTGTAAATGTTTATTGTTTATTTAATTGATCAAAACTTATGAGGTCCAACAAATTACATAATATTCTTTTAAATAATCTTTAGCTCACTTTTTTTTTTTGCGTGGAAAAAATGGATGTAAACAAAAATACATCGATACTTTTATTTTTAAAAACAAGGACGAACCATGGAAAGATTAAAGTAGTAAATATAAATTAGCATACATTTAGTTTACTCTCGACATCAAGCGGGTCTCATCATTTACTTAAATTTTATTCCACCTAGTTTCTTTTCTCTACCTTACAAACTTGAGGTGATGGGCATTGTTGCTAAGTTGTCACTCGGAGACGATAATGTCAAGGGAAATCAAATCAATAAGAGATCATTATGATGACAATAGAAAGGAAAAAAAGTTGTCACAAAAGTTTCTTTTATTATCGGAAATAAGAGTATTCGACAGTGCAAGAAAACGAAAGCACAAACACACATACGACATACGATTTACGTGGTTTACTAACACAATATGTGTTAGCTAAGGAGAACCATTTTCACTATGATTCAAGGAGATACAGAATATCGAGAAGCATGAGAATCATTTATAGTACTTCACTAAGGTCTAATCCAGTAACCCTAATCTAATATGGTAAAGGAAAATCAGTTACAGACCAGGCTCATAATACGAATCCAAATAACATTGAGCCCATACATCGTGATTTTCAGTTGTAGCGACTGATAGTCCGATCCAAGTCATATAAACAATTACTGATAGGATGACCTCTAATATGTAAGGACAAAAACAAAGTCAAACTCATGACAAATGGCAATTCCCGGTAAAACGGAGAAGACCAGGATAATGGAGATTGAAAAAAAAAAAAAAAAGATGGAGTCGATGTATTCAATATTGGTGATCTCATGAAGATTTCATCCACATACATAAGATGATAAGAACCGTGACCGATAGAATATTGAGTTTTTCGACTTTGTAAAAGCTACCATAATTAACTACTAAAACTCTTTTACACTCGTTTTTCAATAATAGAACTTGCCGATCGACCACAAAGAGCTCAGCCTGCTCTAGGACGTCAGAGAGTTCAGACTTGTCCATCTTTTTCTGGGTCCTGTCACCGTCGACTGTTTGTGCTTGGCCGGGCATCCATGGCCGGCGAGGGCGATACGACAAATCTCTTTTCCTATCGTCGTACACTTCTTAGCTAACGTTGACAGGGATCGAGTTTAATTTGACCGTAAACCATACGCTTAAACCGGCCAATATATAGCCGTCCGGGCACCGAAACTTTTGGGTCCCATTCCCATATCAAAGTGAATAAACTAAAGATTTACTATACATGACTAAGAATCATACATGATCATAGCCTCTCTTATGTAGAGGTTAAAATAACGACCCCTCAATCAATCCCAATAACCATATAATTAAATCAATGGAATAATGGTTAAAGTTTGCTAATGACATTTCTGAATTGTTACTAATGATTCCCTCTCAACTTTTGCTGATGATGACTACCGAATCATTACTAACTAGCCCTTGAAAAGTCACCGATAATGATCGCTTTAAACTCTATTCAGTACTTACTGATTTCCTCGAAATTCTTCAAATGCTTACTAAAATTATCACGCTTAAGTATAGATGGCAACATTCAAATGCTTATTAATCGATCCAGGAATTATACTAATGATCCCTAACCTTTGTACATATAGTTACTATCTCAATCTTTATTAATTAGGTAGAAATTACTATTGATTAGCAAGCAGCCAAGCACCTTAACTCACAACTATCGACAATAATTATTAACTCTATATATACAGCTACATTCCGATGATGGAAGAGATGCACACAACTCTTTCACTCATATTAATTTCCTCTCATCACTAAGTTTCCACATAACAACGTATAAACTAACTAAGCCTTCTCCCCCTTCATTTCCTCATCCACAAAAACCACCACACATTTTCCGCCCCATGGGTCTGGAAGCCGCCGCCGCCGGCGGCGACGGCGAACAAGAATCCAAAACACCCAACCCCACCGCCGGCGAGAGATCAAGCAGTTCCCTCCTCCCGAGGTACAACTCGCCGCTGGTCCAGGTCATCCTCATCGGCCTCGTCTGCTTCTGCTGCCCGGGCATGTTCAGCGCGCTGTCCGGGATGGGCGGCGGCGGGCAGGTGGACCCCACCGCCGCGAACAACGCCAACACGGCCCTGTACGCGGCCTTCGCCGTGTTCGGCGTCCTCGGGGGCGGGATCTACAACGTGCTGGGCCCGCGCGTGACGCTCCCGCTGGGGTGCGCCACGTACGCGCTCTACGCGGGCTCGTTCCTCTACTACAACCACTACAAGCGCCAGGGGTTCGTGGTCGGGTCGGGCGCGGTTCTCGGGGTCGGGGCGGGCCTGCTGTGGGCCGGGCAGGGTGCGATCATGACCTCCTACCCGCCGCCAAACCGGAAGGGCGGGTATATTTCGCTGTTCTGGAGCGTGTTCAACACCGGCGGGGTCGTCGGCGGGCTGATCCCTTTTGCTCTCAATTTTCACCAGGGAGACGGTGGCGGGTCCGTTACGGATGGGACGTACATTGGGTTCATGTGCTTCATGGTCGCAGGTAAACTTATTCCGTACGATCAAGTTTTATCCATACCCATACGCATCGGCGGATCTAGGGCTGGGCCAATTCGGGCCACGGCCCTGCCCTCCGCCGGATCCAGAGCTAGTATAGAGCTTATAAAATTTTCGATTTAGGTATTCGGCCCAGTATTATTTAATGGTCGGTCGAGTATCATTTGATAATAATTTTGTGTAGTTAGAAAAATGGTAGAGATGAACATATGCAAATCATTACTCTCAATTTAGTTTAGGAATTCTAGCCCGAATGATTTTCATTTGAAAAAAAAACAATAAAACCTAAAAGTCTAAAATGTAAAAGGATGTATAAAGTTTCATTGAAATAAGAAAACCCTCTAAACAAATTGAATTGTGGGTTGATTCGTCTAGTGTTGACCTTGCCCGTTTCAGCGGCTACCATGGAGAGAATATTTTAAGCAATGAAATATGTGAAAACTAATTTTGAGTAAATACAATTTATTAGTTAAACCTTTTAGACTTTTCAAATTGTTAGCCAAACCTTTTGAAATACAAAATATTAGCTAAATATTTTGTAATGCATCAAAATATTAGTCATTTGCCTGTTATCGTTGGTAATCTTGTAACTATTTTTTTTATTTGAAATACTAAAATTTATAAATATTGACTATTTTTGTTTACGGTATATAATATTATATTGAATGTGGCCCAGTGCTCTACTGTGTTCTGAATCCGCCGCTGCCCATACGAGAAACGGATACACACTTTATGTTTCTCGTTATTGCTTGAGTATATCATTTCATTCACTCTCTTGAGATTCGAATTGAAAATGAAGCAAAGTAGATATTTTTATTTTTTCTTATCATTGGTACACAAACTTTAAAAAAGTTGTATCCAACGAATTTTTAAGCCGATTACTTTTGTTGTGGTAGAATATATGTTTATCATCAATTTAATTTGTTAGGTCATTATTAATACCACCCCATGTTGTTTTCATCTTGTCAATATCAAGAAGTTGTTTTCAGGAAAAAAAAAATCGTGCTTCATGATTTGTTCTCTTAACTAGTTGGCTTCCAAAATTTGCCCCTACGTCTACGTACATATCCAAAAGAAAGAAGAAAAAAACGACAAAAGTTTGTCCATACTCCTAATTTGTCACTTTCTTACGGTATAGGTCTCCAACTTTATTTTGGAAAAGCATAACGGAGACGGCACGGAATTTTGTCTCCGGCCGGCCACCAATCATTGAGTTTATTTTTGGAAGCAAATGAAACTCAATTCTTTATAATTTAAATTTATATATATTTGAAATGAAAAAAAAAACGTTTCTATTTCTTAAGTCCCATAGTCAATCGATTATAAATCCGAAAAGAAGATCATCATTTGGGATTTTGGCCCAAAAGCGAGTCCATCTTTGGGCTTTTGGCCCATCCCCATTGCTCTACTGATAAGTGAATATTTTGACATCGGGTTTTCATTCAGGCGCTCTCCTCTCGTTGGCAATCCTCCCGCCGAGCAAAGTGATCCGAGACGACGGCAGCCAATGCACGCAACTCACCTACTCAAAGCCCTCAACCGAAGCCATCGAGATCCTGAAGCTCTTCGGCAACTGGAAGATGCTCCTGATCGCGCCCGCAGCTTGGGCCTCCAACTTCTTCTACACCTACCAGTTCAACAACGTCAACGCGGCCCGTTTCAACGTCCGGACCCGTGGGCTCAACAACGTCTTCTACTGGGGGGCCCAGATGGTGGGCTCGTTCGCCATCGGACACATTTTGGACTTCAGCTTCGAGAGCAGGCGGCGCCGGGGATTCGTCGGGATCGGGATCGTCGCCACCATCGGGACCGCCGTGTGGGCCGGCGGGCTCGCGGACCAGCTGGACTACTCGTACGGCAAATTGCCGCCCAAGTTGGACTTCATGGACTCCGGGCCCAAATTCGCGGGCCCGTTCGTGCTGTACTTTAGTTATGGGCTTCTGGACGCGTTGTTCCAGAGCCTGGTGTACTGGGTCATCGGAGCTCTGGCGGATGAGTCGGAGGTTCTGAGTCGGTACGTTGGGTTCTACAAAGGGGTGCAGAGCGCCGGCGCTGCGGTGGCGTGGCAGCTCGATACGAAGAAGGTTCCGATGCTGACTCAGCTGGTTGTGAATTGGGGGCTTACTACGGTGAGTTACCCTCTGCTCGTCGTTTTGGTGGCGTTGGCTGTTAAGGACGAGGTGAAGGGAGAGCGAGAAGGGAAGTCATCGTCGGAGAACAAGATCGGCTGTGAAGATGATGAGCGTGGCCGGCCAGTTTAGGATATTTCTACGGTTCTTTGATGTGTTTTATATAGGTTGATTTGTGAAACCGTAGCCCATCTGTGGAAATTGTATCAATCGAATTGTGTATGGAAAGTGGAAACCTAACCCGTTTTACTAGGACCAAAATTGGTCAATTAGACTATGGTAAAACTGCAACCGACCACAACTCCGGTCAAAATGATCGTTGCGGCTCTTAGCGGTTTCTCTAGCCGGCCGGGTACCCGCCCGGCGGTCCAATGGGTCGGGTCTTATCGGTTCTGTTGGTAGTGGGTAAGTGAGCCGGGGAAAAAAGGAGCCGACTTTACTCTTCACTTCGGTTCTCTCAACAAACAGGGGAGAGAAACAAAAACTCATTCATTGTCCAACCCTTGACCCTGTGCGCCGCCGTTCTCCCGCGGTCAGCTTGGACGATTTGCAGCTCTCACTCCCGCGCCCACCCACTACTCTCTTTACGGATTCTCTACACTCAGTTTTTCTTCGCCTGAAGTAATTCTGCCATGGCGAACGTCGCCTGATCTCCACAAACAGGTACTAATTTCTGGATTCTTTGATGGGGTTCTTTGATTGCCGGAAAAATTGAGAAGAAACCCCTTGCACTTAAATTTCTGCCAGGTCGTCTTCTTGCTTCATTCATCTTAGGGTTTATTGGGGTTTTATAGATTCTCCTCTTAGGTTTTCCTACTTATATTCAATCTGTTTCAATTTTGTTACATGGGTTTGGTTGATTGGCTTCCTAGAAATCCATGAGTGTGACCCGTAAAAGGGTTTCCGTGGCTGGATTCATTTCATTGCTTCCTCTTGAACTGTATGATCATTATGAACTTGAGTAGGGTCTATGCATTTATAAATTATGCATCTTTTGATTTTCAGCTGTCATTCTCGAGCTTTTGCTGAGTTGAACTCGAGCTGATGTATTCCTTTCCCTAGTCGAGAATGAGTTGATTGTGAACTTAACTTGACTCGGCTCCACCTTAGTAGTTGATGTCTGTTTGTGCTCAAGTGCTTGGTGGATGTACTTGTCGTTTGGGTTTCAAGTGTTTGGGGGATTGTATTTGAGGAATTCCCAGAAACCGGAAGAACATTTCATAATCGAAGATGGTCACTGTAGTACGACTGGTGGTGCAACTGGGTCCACAAACATTGAAATGTGCGATATAATGGGGGTTGTGTTATAAATTAGAAATGTATTTGTTCGCCATGGTATGGTTATTTTTTCATCTGTTCCCAAGTGCTTAATATGCGTCTAGTCTCACTGCTGCTGTCACACATGATCCACCCTCTTCTCTCATTTTAGAGATTCTTGTCATCTGTTCCGTTTGGTGTTGTAGTTTTCCTTTTTGGTCTTTGTTGAATCCCAATGTGTTGTTCTCTGTGGCTGGGAATAGAGGCGGCTGAGTGACCCATCAATAACTTCTTGGACATTCTTTTGTCTCTCCCTTCTCTCTAGGGATTTGCTGATGGTGGACTTGTAGGGTGGATTCCATCCAGACCAATCAACATACTCTTGAATTTTAATCACAGTCAATGTCTGGGATCGTTTTCAGTTCTACCTTCCCTCTACCGCATTCCACTACGACATCAAGGTTTGTGTACATTCTTATTGCAGACGTGTTTATACCTTTACCATTTGCAGACATATGCATCTCTGTACCATTGCAGGCTCATTCTTTTCTTTATAATGACCACCCTTGCAGGCCAATTGTTAAAATGTCTGCAAGTCAAGCAATAAATCCCAGTTCCAGAACACTGTTCAAGTCAATGGTGATAAAGCCTCCTTCACATCCAACCTATGATATGGCAGGCATAATTAAGCTAGCCCTTGCTGAAGATGCTGCGAACATAGGTGATGTGCATCTCTTTTTGTCATCTATCAGCCACAATAAATTAAAAGTAGTAGAGCCCTTGTCTTTATCGCTGCTTTGGACAATTGTGAATCATGTACTTGTATTTTCTGGAAGGAAAGAGGGAGGAATCTGGGGGTGTCTTCATGTTCGTTCAATTTTTCTCCTTATTTTCATTATCAGAATGCCGGTGTTGGTACTCCTAGTGGTTTCTGTGGATTTCTGACAAAATCTTTGGTTCAACTCCAGGAGATGTGACTTGTAAGGCAACCATTCCTGTGGATATGGAAGTGGAAGCTCATTTCTTGGCTAAGGAGGATGGCATTGTTGCTGGAATTGCTCTTGCTGAATTGATATTTGATGAAGTTGACCCCTCTCTAAAGGTAATGCCAAACTTCACCAATTCCATTCACGGGATGTGATTTTATGCCAACTTACGTGCTCCACTGTTTTTTATACATGATATGGTTTAGGTGGAATGGTCTCGAAGTGATGGAGACTGTGTTCATAAAGGACTGCAGTTCGGAAAAGTGTCTGGTAAATTATCCATGCAGAGATGGTGAACAAGCCAGCAATGTTCCTTTGTGATGCTTCTTGATCTTTAACAGTTCTTGCATTGATTGATGCAGGGCGAGCTCACAACATTGTAGTAGCTGAAAGAGTGGTGCTTAACTTTATGCAGCGAATGAGTGGAATAGCTACCCTGACCAAGGTATTTTCTTTTTCTTCGCTGGAATGTTTTAGTGAACAGTTGTTACAATAACCTTCTCAGAAAACGAACGAACTCTCTTACTCCTTGCAGGCAATGGCCGATGCCGCACATCCTGCTACGATTTTGGAGACTCGAAAAACAGCTCCAGGGCTACGTTTGATTGATAAATGGGCGGTAAGTACAAGTTGTTTTGGTTGGTCTTTTTTTTGTATGGCTTGACCAATATGGTTGTGACATCTCAGGTACTAATTGGTGGAGGAAGAAACCACAGGATGGGGCTTTTTGATATGGTGATGATCAAAGATAACCACATATCAATAGCCGGTGGAATCATCAATGCAATTAGATCTGTGGATAGCTACTTGAAGGAAAGCAACCTTCAAATGGAGGTTGAGGTAGTCTTCTTCGATCCTGAAATTTTCTTTTTCAACAATCCTGAACTTATTGAACATAAGTAGACGAGTAAAATACTTCCAAATTGCTACCTGTCGACTGCTGTATCTTGTAAGAAGCAGCATTTTGAGCTGTACCTTCTGGTTGAAGGCTTAAATCTTATTTCTAAACTTGATATTTCGTACTTCATAGGCTCAGATGCTGCTACCTGACTTTTTCTAACTAGGTTGAAACCAGGACACTTGACGAAGTGAAGGAGGTATTGGATTACACATCTCATACGAAGTCCGCCTTGTCTCGGATTATGCTGGATAACATGGTTGTACCGCTGCCAGATGGTGATATTGATGTGTCTATGCTCAAGGATGCTGTACAATTGATCAATGGCAGATTCGACACCGAGGTAAAACAAACTTACAAACAAAAACACTGTCGCCATTTTCTCTTCATCTTCTTCTCTGCTATTTCATCTGTGGGTTTCGGTTAGTTACCGGAAACAAAGTGCGCATTTGTACTGATAAAATCGCTGATTCAGAGCTCGGGTTGGCTGACTAGTTTCTGTTGAATCATGATAACAGGCATCAGGAAATGTTACACTTGAGACGGTGCACAAAATTGGACAGACTGGTGTAACCTTCATTTCCAGGTATAACATTTCATAAAACCATCCCCCCTTTTTTCTCTATCAACAGCACAATTACATGGTTCCAAGAACGTAGTCTGATCATTTGTTCTTTCTGTTTTGAAGTGGCGCGCTGACGCATTCGGTGAGAGCGCTGGACATTTCGTTAAAGATTGACACAGAGTTGGCGCTCAAAGTTGGAAGACGGACGAAAAGGGCTTGATGCTATTAGGGATGACGAATCGATGATTCAGTCTCAGAGTCATTTACATTTCTATATGAGATGGAGGAAGGCCGAAATGGAGAAGCTAAAGGCAAAATCTGATATGCTTGCTTGACTAATAAATATAGTAGTATCCCACTCTTTGGATTACTATTACGAGAGATCGACTTGACGTGACAATTCTAAAGGAATCCTCAATGTTATGGCTTAAGAGGCCAATCAAACTCATTTTGCAAGAGGGATTAATTTTAGTTACTAGCTTATGTCAATAATTAATATTTATCGTGCCCTAATAACCCTTGCAGACTCGCACCCATTTTTAATGAGGGATGCTATAGTCACTATTGAATCCAATGCGAGGTTATGACTATCTTAAATAACACGAAGTGCATTTACTGTGGTAATTGAAAATCGACAAGATAATTGATAACACACTCAACAACTTGGTATTATTAAACATTAACTCGCATAGTTAACAACTAATAATATAAAAGATGAACGAGTTTGTGATCGTGTGATCGTGCCGCTAATATAAGTAAATAACAAGACAAGTAATTTGCGACGAGATGGCCAAAAGTCATCTCACAAATACATGAAAAAGTTTATTGTTTCGGACATTTGGGCTAAATATTCTTCAAGCCCATTTAGCCATGAGCGACATTCCTCCGGCCCCCAACAGAACAGCCGCGAACGACTTCAACTGAAGCCTGATGCTGCTCTGCATCTTTGGGCCCATGAAATCCACAGCCAAAAGATCCACCAAAGCCATGTAGATCAAAAGCCCAGCTGACGACGCGTTCAGCAGGCCCACCGTTATCAAAGCGGTCGGGCTGTTCTCTTTGTAAGTCTTAGACATCCCGATCCCCACCAAGATCCCAAACGGCGTCGTGGTCGAGAAGAAGAACACCATTATCGCCCTTTTAGCTTTGCTGTACTCCGCCTTTACCAAACAAGAAACAACACAAAACAATTATTCGGTCAACTCTCCCTTACTTTCTCGTAATGATGCTCACTATTTTTTTCTTTTCTTTTAGTCAAGAGTCAACACTTCAATTATCCTTTATTTATATATATATATATATATATATATATATATATATATATATATATATATATATATATATATATATATTCCCAATAAATGGGAATTGAGTAATTAATAAATAAAACTAATTTTACCTGGAGAATACAGCCACCGAGCCCCATCCCTTCAAACATTTGGTGGAAACAAAGGGCCGCCACGAGCCCTTTGATTGTGCAAGTGTTGTTGGAGGCTCCCAATGATAATCCTATCACAATCGAGTGAACTACTATTCCCAATTCCAACACCTGCAAACAACAAATTAATCACTTCATTAATGATGATTGATATATCATAGTAGTTTTCATAATTCACAAGATCGGAAAATATAGCAAAAATTATAAACTCTTTGATTCTTTTTTAAACCGTGATTCAGAGTGAAGACTACGTTAACTATATATCAATCATTACTATCAGCTAATCGTGATCCGACAATAGACGATGATGTCTATGATGGTGAAAATAATAATCATCGTCTTAGTAATATCTTAATCTAAGACTAATAGTCTCACCAATAGTTCAAGTTGTTGTGAGTTCATCACAATTATATATCATATACCACTTACTAGCTAACACACTCTTTCAAACGAAAGTCACTATATATGAGCTTCATACAAAGTTTACACATGTCAGAATACCATATACTTAACAAATCGAGTCACTCGAATTCGAACAGAATGCATGCCTCGTCGTCACAAAAAGGTCCGATAACATGTTATAAACCAATAATCTATCCGAATAACTCGAGTTGTTTTGAGACGTTTAATCACGCATCTTATACCACTTGCTAACAACATTATATACGCGTATACTTACCATGGCAATAACTTTGTACCGCATTAGCTGTTTACCACCATCCTCACCCGAAACCTTCACCCCGTGGTGATGCCCGTGGTGATGAACACGTCCGCCGCCGCCGTTATCCTCCTCCGCATCCACCGGAACGACGGCGTTTCCCATCTCCCGATCTCCCTCCACACCATCAGTCGTCGCCGCCGCCGTCTTCAACTTGCCGCTGTAGAAACTCGTGGCGATGGAGTCCACCATGAGCGTGACGAGAGCCGACAGCATGGCGACGAACCCGGTGAAGGGGAACTTGTGCCACGGGTTGTCGGCCAAGCATCCCGACGACAGCATGTCGAAGGAGTCCGGCAGCACGTGCATGAACCCGGTGGCCAGTATGATCCCGGAGGCGAACGCCTTCACGACCACGAACAGGCTCCTCTCCGGGTTCAGCGCCGCCACCGACCGCGTCGTCAGCGGGAGGCACACGCCGATCACGCTGGCCACCAGGATGGAGAACGTGGCGATCAGTTTCAGGGACAGGGCGCCCGACTTGTCGTTGCATGAGCTCGAAGTCTCGGCCCCGCACGCGCCGTCGTCCGCGGCGGAGACGGCGGTGATGAAGAGTGAGAGGAGGAGGAGGAGGAGGGTGGTTGTTGTTGTTGTTGGGTTTGCAGTGGGAGAATTCATTTTTAATTTGGACTGTTTGTTTATGATGATGATGAGGGTTGGTTAGTGAGTACTGAGCAGTACGGAAATATATAGGCGGAGAAAAAACGTCGGGGGAGGAAAGGAATATATAAAAGTCATAATGCTAGCTGTTGTCTCGTTGACTTTTGTTTGGAGGTTGGAAGAAAATGGACGGCGTGGGGGTGACACAAATTTTGCAATGCGGCGTGAATCTTAACTAATGAGGCTTTGAATTTTTGTTCGACAAATTAGAGAGTCATCTTACCCACTAAATGGGCAGCCCTATTGAATCTGTGAATAATAAAGGAACACGCGACAGAGAAAGAAAAAGCAGCTACAGCCAAGCACACTTCTTGCAGCATCGCGCCAACGGTACTACTATGCGCCACATCCCCTTATCGAACACGACGAACCAGTGTTTGACAATCCAAAAAAAAAAAAAATATTCGATTAAGGAAACCATGAGAAACGCACCAATTTATAGCATCTCGTAATGCCAAGAGTTCCATAAGGAAAAGGATCTGTAATAGGTCCAAGATAGGGTGCATAACCCATGGTTATGCACCCGTCAGTAACCCAACAGGAGCCGTCCATCTGGAGCGGGGAGATCTAACGGCTGGGGTCGGAGCGGGGTGGGGCATGGGTATTTTTGTCCATTATTTGAATTTATGTCCTTCCCTCTTTATTCCTTTTTGGTTTATCCTCGGGCGAGCTGGAATTGGATTCATGAGAGAGAATGAGAAATAAACAGAGCAATCGAGAGTTTTTCTCCGAAGGATTACTCGATGGCGAGAAGGTTGGTGGAGGACGCGATTCTTAGCTTAATCGGCGGCGGTTTTGCGAGTTATAGTTGTTAGAAGGTCGGTGGAGGACGCGATCGGCGGCGGTTTTGCGAGTTATAGTTGTTAGAAGGTCGGTGGAGGACGCGATTCTTAGCTTAATCTTCTCTTTTCTTCTTTTTTGCTCGAGGTTTTCGCTCGATTTTGCTTGTGTTGAAGTTTCTGCTGGCTGCTGTTTGGTCTTCATCGAGGTAATTTGTAGTGATAGTAGGATTTTACGTTTTCGCATTGATTCCGTTCTGTAATTTGTTTTTGATTTTGTGTATATATGATTTATCTGCGTTTTCTCTTTTTGTGCTCTCTGTTTTTCTGTTCTTTGTGATTTGTTTGTATAAGTTTGTTCAGTTGATTGATCCGTAGTTGAATTTATGTTTTGTGCAGGAATTTTTTGAATCTTCTCTGTTGACTGAGCTTTTTTAGTGCAATGAGTGATCTCAATCAAGGCGTCATTGTTTCTTTGAATGAATCTAATACTCGATCTAGTTCTTCTAATAGTGTTGTTGAATCGGAAGGTAAGAATTTTAAATGTGTTTGGTAAGTTGAAGTTTGTATGTATGTTATACCATATAGTACCATGTTATACCATACAATACCATACTGGTATTTTATAGTATTTTTTGCATATTAGTTTTGTGTTTTATTTGTTGTGATTTTATGTTTCTGTATATATGTTATACCATAAAATACTATGTTATACCATGTTATACCATATAGTACCATACTGGTATTTTATGGTATTTTTGCATATTAGTGTTGTGTTTTATTTGTTGTAGATTGTTTTTATAGTTGTTGTGATTTTATGTTTCTGTATATATGTTATACTATACAATACCATGTTATACCATAAGAAACTATACTGGTATTTGTAGAGTTTTTGAATGTAATAAACTTTACCATATTATACTATGGTGGTATTATATTTTGTACATAATTAATGTTTCATTCTTTTTATGTTTTAGGTTTTGATGCTATTGATCCTAATGTTCGAAGTTCCTGGAACAATCTTGAGTTCGCTACAACTGATGATGCATATAGATTTTATGTGGATTATGGGAACTATAAAGGTTTTTGTGTGAGGATTTACCATCAGTCGGCATGTCCGAAGCTTAATAATGGTTCAAAGGCGGTTTATTATATCAAGTATTGTTGCAATAAGGAAGGATGGAGGATTGGTAGTGAGAATAATCCTGCTAATCATGGTTCTATTGATGTGAAGGCTCGTGTTCGTCATGTTCCAGAAATCAGGGGTGGGTGTGATGGTGCCTATATTCGAATTAGGTGGTTTAAGCAGTTCAAGTGTTACAAGATTTATAAGTGGTATGATGTGCATAACCATGACATGATTCCTGAGGATATGCGTCACTACATGAGATCGAATAGAAAAATGGCTCCTGTGTATAAAATGTTGGCAGATGTGAATGATGCTGCTGGTATAGGTGCGACTGCTTCGTATAATGCAATTAGTAGAGCTGGTGGTGGTCGGAAGTGTATTGGTTTCACAAGAAATGATTTGAAGAATCACCTGCGGACAGTGAGGACGTCATCAATGGAGCATGGTGATGCAACTGCATTGCTAAAATACTTTAGATGGCAAGCTAAGCTGGATCCTGGTTTTTTTCATGAGGTAGAGGTTGATGTGGACGAGAATATTGCTAGTATTTTTTGGGCAGATGGGAAGATGCGGATGGATTATCATTTTTTCGGGGATTCAGTTAGTTTTGATACTACATACAGAACGAATAAAGAGTATCGACCACTAGGTATGTGTTGTTATTTTTGTGATTATTCTGTATTATAGTTATTTTGATTTGGTATTATGTTGTTATCTGTTAATACTATGGTGGTATTTTGTGGTATTCATTATGTTGTTATCTGTTAATACTATGGTGGTATTTTGTGGTATTCATTATGTTGTTATCTGTTAATACTATGGTGGTATTTTGTGGTATTCATTTTCTTAACACTGTGTACCACATGGTATGTGCAGCTGTGTTTGTTGGTTTCAACAACCATCATCAACTCACTGTGTTTGGAGCTGCCCTTCTATATGATGAAACAACGGCAACGTTTGAGTGGTTGTTTAATCAGTTTTTGGAATGCATGGGAGGTGTGAGCCCGTCGTCTATTTTTACTGATCAGGCTGCTGCGATTGCTGCTGGAATAAGGTCTGTTTTCCCAAGTTCTTTCCATGGATTGTGTTCATGGCATATCTCACAGAATGCAGTTGTTAATCTGGGATCTTTGTGTGATTCGGCTTTCCTTTGTGAGCTTAGCTATTTGATGTACAATGTTGATGATGAGGATGATTTTGAGTATAATTGGAAAAGAATGATAGATAAGTGTTTCCCTGGGAAAGGACCTCTTGGACACAGTTGGTTACAAGGTATTTACAAGGTGAGGGAGAAGTGGTCATCAGCTTGGGTGAATTCTCATTTTGGTGCTGGTATGAAGAGCACTCAGTTAAGCGAGTGTTGCAACAGTAATCTTCGTCATTACTTGCAGTCAGAATTTAATATTCCTAGGTTCTTTGTACATTTTGATAGGATGCTTGATAATAAGAGAGATGCTGAAGAAGAAGAGGAGTACAGAGCACTTTCTACGTTTGCTGATTGTCGCTTTTCATGCAGTGCTATTGTCAAGCAAGTTGTTGATCTATATACCCCAAAAATATTCCAGCTTTTTCTTGGGCAGTACAAAGAATCTCTTTCATACAATGTTTTCCCTAATACAGAGTTAGCTCAAGAAGGGAATGTAAAGATCTTTGATGTCTTTACATTGTTAGCAGACTTTTCAAGGTTTGGCAGCAGACTGCTCATAGTTGATTTTGATAATGGTGAAATTAAGTGTACTTGTCGCAAGTGGGAGTCAAGTGGTTTGTTGTGTAAGCATCAATTGAGGGGATATGATTTGTTGTGGTCTACAACTTGCAATGTGAAGTTCCATCATATCCCTTCTAGTTTGATTTTGAAGCGATGGACAAGGACAACAAAAACTGGTGGGAATTTTGGATTTGCAGTTTCGTCTATTGAGGCTCCGTCAAAGTATCGGTCTCGTCTGTTCAATATTTCAGCTGTTTCTGCTTCGCTTATCAGTAGGGTTTGTTTGAATGATCATTTGTATAAAACAACCATGGATTTCATGAGTGATTTGATCAAGAAGTGTGAAGCTTTACCAACTGTCGAAACAGCTGGTACGGGTGGATCGACCAACTGTGAGAGTAAGTTCCCTGTCCCCCTTTTGTTTGTGTATATGATTTTGTTATTATTTTTTTTTGTCTGCCAAGTGTTTTTACCATGGTGTATTGGGTGGTTTTTTGATTGTTACTTGTGATGTTTTGTAATACTATATGGTATAATGTGGTATATGTTTCATTTGTGATAAGTTTATTGTTCCTTTTGTTTGCGAAGTTGTTTTATGATGTTGTACAATGTGGTATAGTGTCGGTTTCTTTATTGGTTCTGGTAATGTGTTGGAATACCATATGGTATTATGTGGTATTGATTGTAGTATGTATTTCTTATTTGTAGGTGATGTTCCAGTTCGAAATGTGAATGGGTTTAAGCCTAAGAAGGATTCATTTAAGCCTTCGAAACGACCTATTTCAGAAGCTGAGATTGGAAGGGCGGCTAGTAGGAAGAAGAAAAAGACTAGCAGATTGGAAGAGGAGAATTTGAAGGCTGTGGAAGAAAGTTTGAAGTTGAAGTTGTGATTGTTGTTTGAAGGCTGTTGAGTTTTATAAGCTGTTTTGATGTTGAATTTTACGTGTTTCTTGCATTTTTGTTTTTTGCTTTTGTTTGAAATAGTATTGATCTGCACATGAGAAGGATTTAATGTTTCGTATATGAATTTAACCTTTAATATAATGTTTTAGTATGGTTTTGTCATGATGGTGTTTTTATTTTTATTTTTACTTTTACCATATTAGTGTAGTGGTGTTTTTAAAATTGTTTATACCATGGTATACCATATGGTATACCATGGTATAAACATGTTATACCATATGGTATACTATGGTAAAAACATTCTTTATTGTGTTCAGTTATCATAAAATACCATTTGGTGTGTTCTGGTGTTTTTAAAAATCTTTATACCATGTTATACCATATGGTATACTATGGTAAAAATGTTTATACTATAGTATACCATATGGTATATTATGGTATAAACATTCTGATGACTAATGTTAGATCTACGAAATTAATAAAGGGTAAAGTACTAGGCTGTTACATAACCATAATAAGTACTGTTTCAAATGTAAGTTAACACACCCATAAGAAAAATATTGTCTCAACAGCACACAGACATAAGAAAAATATTGTCTCAAAAGCGCACACACACAAGAAAAATATTGTCTCAAAAGCATTGTTTCAGAAGCAGATGTCTGTAGTAGACATTAGATCCATACTGATGTTGTCTCCTTCCCTTACTTGCCTTGATTCTTCATAGCGCAGTACTTTGTGGCAGCTTTCATAATTCGATCACGCTCAAGGTTTTCTTTGTCGAGGATGATATCCAGCATTATACACTCCCTGTCTTCATTGATCAGATCCACTCTCTTCCAGTCTGATTGCATAAATGTCTTGTACTTTCCTTCCCAATGGCGCATCCATCTGATTATGTACAATCCACATGAGAGTTTATCTGGTTGTGTAATCTTCCCCAGATTGAACCAGTCAAACTTCTCCCAGGGGATTTGTCTGTTCCCACAGTAGACACTCATGTAGTTGATTGCATAGTTGAAAACTCTTTCTGCCATTGGTTTGTAAGTCTTCTCAAAGTCTTTGTAGCGGAGACTGTCAAGCACATCAAATCTTGTGTTCTTGATGTTGACACAGATCATGATGTAGTGTTCACCATCACAGTAAGGGAAGAACCACTGCATATGAATGAAGTGAGAATGTTAATGGATAATTATAAATATGTTTTGAGGAATAGTTTTTTGATGTCATACCATATGGTATTTTATGGTTTTTGATGTGTTACTTACAAGGTCACAGTTCTGGAAGCTGAGGTCTTTTGCCCATTCTTTGTCAGAAATATATTCGTCCACTTTGTCGAAGTATTGGTCTGCACTTAGTGGAGGTTTTTTGTTTTCTATGTCCAGCTTGCAGTCAGACTGTAAATTTGAAATTATGTTAAAGCAATCATATATTCTGGTATGGTAAGTATAATACATTAAAATATGGACAAACTTACTGCCAAATGACTAGATAAGAACCACTTGGAGATTTTTCCTGATTTTGCTTGATCTCTGTTCATCGGTCCTCATACCAGTCCACGATATCATTTGTTATCAGTTGATCTATGTCAACAGATTGCAATGATGACCTTTTCAGTAAGCCTGTGCCATCCTTTCTGCTGAACATTACCTCGTCCCTGTTCAGAACAGTATACCATATTATACCATGTGGTATTATTCAACATTATACCATATTATACCATATGGTATTATTCAACATTATACCATATTATACCATGTGGTATTATTCAACATTATACCATACTATACCATATCATACCATATCATACCATACCATACCATACTATCATATCATCATATACCATACCATACCATACCATACCATACCATACCATACCATATGTCATTAAGAAATTAATTGCTATTAAGAAGTTTACTTACTCGTCGACAATTTTGTTATCTCTGCACCTTATGTACTCAAGGATGTCATTGAAAACTTCATCAGGAGTTGTTTGAGGTGGTGTAACCATCATTGCAATTGGGATTGCATCTAGGGCACCATGCACCATCTTTTGCTTGAACTGGTTCATTTGCTGCTGATGAGCTCACTCCTGGCATTGGTTGTGAAACTGGAGTATTGATGTCATCAATGTAAGCAGCCAAACATGCATTTATCTCCAGTAGTCTCTCCTGGCTGTTCGATTACAAGTTTGACCATTCAATGAATGGTTTATTCAGCAACTGTTGGCTTGTTTTTTCTTGTGGAGGGGTTGATGTTTTTGCTTTCTTCTCTGGTCCATGCAGATTCTTGATCACTATCCTTCTTTTGCGCGGTTGTTCTTGTTGTTGTGATGTTGTTGCTGTGGTGATGGTGATATTTGCTGTTGCGGATGGGGGATTGAATGGGCTGATGTCAAAAGATGGTATGTCATTGTCTTTTGCATCTTTGGGGTTTCCTGCAGTCTTTTGTGGTGGTGGTTGGATTGCTTCTTCATCATTGTTCTTTCCATTTCCTCCCTCCTTTGAAACAAGCACATCTGACTGTGTGTTCTCACTGTCATCTCCTTCCTGATCTCGATCCATTTCATTCCCCTTTCCTTCATCCCTTTTTGTGTTGGCCTCCTAGTTTACATTCTCTGGAACTGAACTTCCTTGGTTCTTCTCAGCAGTTTCAGCAGGATTCTCTGTTGTTGGTATTTCTGTTTGATGTTGAGCTTCTGGTTTTGTTGGAGAACCTTCTTGAGTCTTCTTTTTCGTCCATTGTGTTGGTCCAGCTAGATCCACTGTTGTCGGTTGAGAATCATCATTTTCTTCAGACTCATTGACTGTGGTTGCTTTCATTTTCTCTGATTGTACCTTGTTAAAAAAATTCTTCAGAGTTTGTTCCAGGTTTGCATCTTCTTCTTCATCTTTATCATCAGACTCACTTCCTTCCTTTTCTTCGACAATCATGTCATCAGATCTTTCTCCTTCGACAGCATGAAAGTTGTCGTCAGATTTCAGCTCCAACATTTCCTTGTGTTTGACAAGCTCATCAATTTGAGCTTTGTATTGCATCTTGATTGATTGCAACATAGCTTTCATTGATGTTTTCACCAGCTTCAGTGCTCTCTCAGCCTGCATTATTGATTTTTTGGTCTGTAAGTTAATATTTACAGTAGAATACCACATATTACCATGGTGGTAATGGATGGTATGTGCATTATACAGTACAATACCATATATTACCACCATGGTTCATGTGTGGTATTAGTTATATGAAGTGCACATTTAGTAACAAATGGTAATTTATACTTACTTGGGGGATAGTCTTGATCATCTTCAAGTCAAATATGAGTGTTGTTGATGGTTGTTGGTCTGTGTTGTTGTCATCATCATCACTACTGTTGTCATCGATCTTCTCTTCTTTATCCTGTATCTTCATGAGCTGATGAAGTTCTTCTCCACCGTAGTAGCTTTGGATGTTTTCATAGTTTCTTTGCACATCAATGTCATCATAGTAGTTTGTTGTTGGGATTTGAAACTGTGTGGAGAAGGCCATTTCATCCAACTTGTACATGAAGCATACCTTTTATTTGTTTGTGGGAAGGAGAAACAGTTGTATTAGTATTGATGTACTAGGATTTGTTATGCTTTAGGGTATAGTAATTGAAATGAAATTATTGAGGGTATAGATACTTACTGTTAAGAAATGAAGATCTGCATTGACGTACAGGTTTTTTACTTTCAACCCCTCATTCATATAGTCGAAGAAGAACTTGCACCAATTGTATTCTTTGAAATGCTTGATTTTGTCTGGCTGTAAGTACTCCATCACATTCAACTCAGCAGTTGGGTTTGAAAATGGGCACAGTAGAGCTCCCGTAACCAGAATCCAGAACAGTTTGATCCATATTTCAATGGTATGAGCATTAGAAACGTCATGCTCTACGTTAGCTAATTTCACCCTTCCATTGGTAGCTGGAGCTTCTAGTTCTAGTAGGACTTGACATGCATAGTCTGGTGCTTCTTCCAGTGATAATTTCTTGAGCGTCACTTCCTTTTTACCCATTGGTAGACCATAAACTCTATGGAAGTCAATTGGCGATATCTTCATGTAGTTTCCATCAGGCAGCTTGAATGATTGCTTTGTTGGATTGTACTTGTTCATTGTGAATAGAGCAAAGTTCTTGTTTATCTTTGTTTGCTGGATGCATGTTAAGCCATCAAGGCCTAATTCCTGCAATTTTTCTCTCTGTTCAGGTGTTAATGTTCTTGAAAGTGTGTTGATTCTTGTTGGGCTGCACCTTGTGCGAAAATTGTCCCTATGTCTCGACATGATGTACCTGCATCCAGGATAGAAGAATTGCTATAACATACCATACCATACTATACCATACCATACCATACCATACCATACCATACCATACCACACCACACCATACCATACCATACCATACCATACCATACCATACCATACCAGTAAGCAAAAACACCAACTACCATACCATACCATACCATACCATTGCATACCATACTATACCAGTAAGCAAAAACACCAACTACCATACCATACCATATTATACCAGTAAGCAAAAACACCAACTACCATACCATACCATACCATACCATCTTCTACCATACAATACCACTGTAAGTACTTTGACCAATATGTAGGTGGTTTCTCCTTAGAATACCATATGGTATCAGTGTGGTATTGTAAGAAAATCAGAGCATAGAATAGGTTTTTATACTTTTCCTATAAAATATTTTTCATTCTTACTTTGACTACTACTGGAACGGTTTCTACTTAGAATACCATATGGTACCAGTGTGGTATTGTAAAAAAAATCAGAGTATGGAATAGGTTTTGTATTTCACTGTAAGTACTTTGACCACTGCTATAACTTTTTCCCTTTCGAATACCACATGGTACCAGTGTGGTATTGTGAAAACATTAAGCGTAGTAGAGTTTTTCGTTTGGTATTTAGACATGCAGAATCATGAATCTAGTTTTTGAAGAAAGAAGTGATGATTTACCTTGATCGTTGAAGACGTTGAAGTTGGAAACCCTAACTTTGTCGCTGAAGACGTCGAAGTGGAAACCCTCACTTGATCGCTGAAGAACTGAGATCAGTATCCTTTGTTAAGCGAAATGAAAATTCGAGATTCGACTTCGACTTCAACGGTGCAGTTTGCGAAGATGAAATGCGAGAGAGAGAGAGAGAGAGAGAGAGAGAGAGAGAGAGAGAGAGAGAGAGAGAGAGAGAATGGAATGCGTAAATGCAGAGCGAAAAGCAGGGATGGAACTCGAACCGCCTGTGATTTTTCTGTTTTGTACAGAGTTGGTGATAATGATGGCGGGGAAGGTCAGTTACCTTTTTCAAATTGTCAGAAGGTCAGTTACTATTATACCCCTACGTGTATTTGCTATTCTACATCCGACGGTTAATAATGGAGTGCAATGGACGGCCGATCCGGTGGTTACTGATAGTTACTCACCGGTAGGTTACTTACAGGAACTGCTCCCTCTGTAATACCTGCATAGTATTTACCAAAGGCAAATAGAAGTTTTACAGTAAGATTCAATGCCGGTAAGAGGCTATTTTTCACACAATTACATCAACCTCATCTACTAATCAATTGATTGTTCACTCAATTATAATAATTCAATTAACTAACCTCATAATGTATAACTACTTAATACTTAACGATTCATGATTGCTTAAATAAAATAAAATATGAATTCCCAATATATGAACGAAAATAAGATGGGATGGGAAAACTTGCATCATTACGAGACAAAAGAATTTTTCTTGAATAATTATCTATTGAAATCCAAATAGGTTTTGAGTTTGATAGATATGATAGTTGAGTTTAAACAATTTTTTCTAACTCTTACTTTCAATTTTTTTTAATATTTCATACATTTTAATTCAAATTCTAGAAAATGCGCAACTAAACAAATGATTCACTCACTAATTCACTATGATATATTTCTATACAACCGTTATATATAATACTGTCTGTACCGCCGTAATGTACAGTGGTAAGAGATAATGTACATCCATTTAAAATTAATGGGTTAAGTAATGTATGTCTTAATGGTTTTGACTTATGAACCAGTTACATTCGCATACAGGCATTGAGCAGCCTAATTAAATTCGAACTTAACATGGTGATAAGCTTTGGTTTCATTGACTTTTGAGTTTAAAAAATTGACAGCTTGGGCGAATAATCAGTTGGTACTTCTGACAGTACAACCTATGCTAATTTCCCTACTTGTACGGATGTGCTAACAAACACATTAAAATTAACAATTGATTCGAAATTTTTAGTTATGATATTAATTACAAAAAGTTGACCGAATTTAATTAGGCATTAAAAAATCTAGGGGTGTAATTTTTGTTCCCTTTTGCGAGTTGCTTGGGAGTGAGATAATGTGATGATGCTTAGGAATTCGTTGGTTTACAATGTGAAGATCATATATTCGAATCTTAAAGTAAATTTTCTATAAAAGAAAAAAAAAATCTTAAAGTAAACCTTCCTTCCTATAAATCATCTTTTTCGTTTTTCTCCATCATATAAAATTTTCCATTCATATTGAGAGAAAGGCAAGAAGGTCAATTTGACCCTCGAAATTTTATATTTTAGTAGTTTCGATACATGAATGTTATTTATGATCATGCTGGTACACGAACTCTTATGTTTAGTCAATTCGATACATGAACTTCTAATTTATGAGTAAGTGTAACTAGAATTGATGACAATATCTGCAGCAAAGCAATGACTGAATAATGAAGATACCAAAGAATAGAAAACACAAGTTGCAGCATCTTTGCACCCGCTAAACTGTGCCACCGTTTCAACTGAAATCTAACAGAAAATGAAAATGCGCAACTCAACAAATCTCTCTAGCCTAGAAGCCACCATTTCAATTTTGACACCAACAATACTACTCTACTAGCCGATTTGACTTCCTTGTGTTGGTAAATTGTTTTTTTTTTTTATGAACCAGCAGATTGTTGGGTATTTCCTTTGCAAACTTTGCTATCAAGGAGAGAATAAAAATCCAAAAAATAATTGTATTGCAATTCTTACATAAATTATTAATGTCATTTCATCAACTTTAATTAGAATTATTCGTAAGTTAGAACTTTATGTGATTGATTAAAAATAAGAGTTCATCATGTACCGATATTAACTATAGATAACATTCATATATCGAGATGACCGAAATACAACAGAGTGTAGACATGCATCCTAGCTAATTTAGTTAGTTTCTTTGCTAACATCATCGTCATCTCCAAAGCCTGTATCACTGAGATGTGAACCTTTGTTCGTCTTCAGTTCGCCCTCGATCGGCTCATCTTTAACCGCCAACGCCACCAATATCGTGAGCAGCGGATAGCTCACCGTCGTCAGAGCCCAGTTCACAATCAGCTGAGTCAGCATCGGAACTTTCCTCGTATCAAGCTGCCAAGCCACCGCCGCGCCGGCGCTCTGCACGCCTTTGTAGAACCCAACGTACCGACTCAAAGTCTCCGAGTCATCGGCCAAGGCCCCGATCACCCAGTAGATCATACTCTGGAAAACGGCGTCGAATAGCCCATAACTGAAGAACAACACGTACGGCCCGGCAAACTTAAACCTGGACCCCACGAAGTCCAGCCTCGGATCGGGCATGTCCTGGAAGTAGAGGTGCCAAATGGATTGTATTCATTAATTGGTGGATCAAAATAATTAAATGAATTGATGGTTTGATCCATGAATTCAAATAATGTAAAGGTCAAAAAGTTAAAGTGCTAAAATGTCATATTAAAAAAATTTAGCTACAAAATATAATTTTTCGTCAAAAAATTAATTTTTTCGGTGCCAAAATATAAAATATAGAAAGTATAAATACTAAACTGTAATTCGTAATTCACCAATCCCATCGGATTTATGAATAAAGAAGATTGGATTAATTGCGCATTTTAGTAGATTGATTGGAGTACTCTACCTGAAAGGAGTAGTCGAGCTGGTTCACGAGCCCGGCGGACCATATCGCCGTCCCGATCAAGGAAACGGTGCCGATTCCGAGAAAGCCACGTCGTTTTCTGGTGAGGGAGCGGAGATCGAACACGTAGCCAATGGCGATGGAGCCCAGCATCTGCGCGGCCCAGTAGGAGACGTTGTTGAGGCCGCGCGTCCGGAGGTTGAACTGGGCGGCGTTGACGTTGTTGAACTCGTAGGCGTAGAAGAAGTTGGAGGCCCATGCGGCCGGCGCCAGCAGAAGCATCTTCCAGTTCTTGAAGAGCTTCAGGATCTCGATGGCCTCCGTCGAAGGTTTCGAGTGGTTGGTGAGCGTGCATTGGCTGCCGTCGTCGCGTATCACTTTACTCGGCGGGAGGATGGCAAAAGAAAGAAGAGTGCCTGGACAAAAACAGAACATTTAGTACAACTTTATTTTGTTGTTGCAGATGGTGTCCGGAATTGTGCCAATCAAAATTCCAAACCTATCAGAATGGGTTGAGTTTGAAGGGGGTGTATATGATCCACGATTTAACCTCTCCTAACAACTCGAGTTATTGGGATCAACTGGTTCTTGACATGTTATCAGAGCCTTCTGTGATCGTGAGGTCTTCTGTTTGATTTCCGGTGATCCCCATCTATTTCTGTTAAACACACGGTGTCCGAACCTATGCATGTCCGAAATCTAAGCATATCTCAATGGCTTGAGTATGAAGGGGGTGTTAGCATACGGTATATGATTCACGATTGAACCTCTCCCAACAGCTCGAGTTATTGGGATCAACTAGTTCTTGACAATTCTAAGAATTTATCATGAAAGTTGATAATTTTTGTGTTTAGTTTTTCCATTAGGCTATGTTTAGTATCAATGTTGATGTCAATAACCAGTTGGTTTCAATAACTAGAGTTGTTGGGAGAGACTCATGTATGGTACTTAACTACTTGCTTACACGCTCCCTCAAACGAAAGCCGGCTCATGTGCTTGAAGTTTTGCACAGGCCCGTCATACCATGTGCTTGAAGACAACGATTAATATTAGGGGTCGTGAGGACATAAACACGTGACCTCAAGCACAAACCAGCTATGATACAATGTCGAGAACCAGTTAATTTCAATAACTCGAGTTGTTGAGAGAGGCTCATGTATGGTACTTAATTAATCACTTGCTTATAATTGACACTAAAACAAAAAGTAGAAAAAAATAGGAGAAATAGCTTGCGAAAACAACAAAGGAAGCTATTAAAATTGTTTCATTGTTTTCAACTAATTTAGGTTGTGTGGTCAAACTCTTATTACCACAACAACATAAATAAAAGCAAGTTTAAAGTTGTTTTTAGTCTCTATTTCACATATAAAAACAAAAACAAAATATAGTTTTTGAACATATGTTGCCAAAATTCTAGGCCTAGAATGCGACATAATCAAATACCTGCCGCCATGAAGCACATGAAACCAATGTACGTCGCATCGTTGACGGAGTCCACCTGGCGGTGAAAATTGAGAAAAAAAGGAATCATCCCACCCACCACCCCGCCGGAGCTAAAAATAACCCAGAACAGCGAAATGTACATCCCTTTCCGGTGCGGCGGCGGGTAAGAAGTCATGACCGCTCCCTGCACCGCCCACAACATCCCCGCCCCGACACCTCCGACCACCCCGGCAACAACCAAGAAAACCTGACTCTGAAAGTGATTATAGTAAAGAAACGATCCCGTGAACAGCAAGCAACTGGAGCACGCCAACGGAAGCATGACGCGCGGGCCCAGCACGTTGTACAGCCCGCCGCTGAGCACCCCGGCGACGGAGAACGTGGCGTAGAGCGCCGTGTTGGCGTTGTTGGCCGCGGTGGGGTCCACCTGCCCTCCTCCGCCCATCCCGGAGATCGCCCTGATCATGCCGATGGTGCAGAAGCACACCATCCCCATGAGAATCACCTGAACCAAGGACGAGTTGTACCTCCACGTAGATAACCAGCCGCCGCGGATTATCCCCGACTCCTGATCACCCTCGAGACCCATATCTCAGAAGATAGGAAATTTGTCTTTTCAGTGTTATCGTCCCAATAATGAACACTTCTTTGCTCTGCTGTTCGATGTGCTTTCCTTCAACCGGTGAACATATATATATACACATATATGGTAAATGATAGAATACGACTTGTGTTTACATTTGGTTTTTGCACTTTAATATATTTCGCTGAATCATAACCGTTTATTATTTTTTCAGATTAAGTGAATCTTGTATCTTGTATCAGAGAATTAGGGACTGAAATTCACCCATTCGAGATTAGGGTATAGTATCATGCCTCAAACTCCGGTAGTCCAATTTAAATCGTACGCCTGTCGAGTTTTACAATTTAAAGCACGAATTAACCGGAGTTTGGGACATGATACTATACCATAATCTCTAACAGGTGAATTTCAGTTCTTAATTCTCTAACTCTATCCAAAAGATTCATTTAATCTGAAAAAATGATAACCAACGGTTATGATTTAGCTAAATATATGAAATGAAAAAAATCATGTGTGAACACAAATGTACCGCGGATACGCTAGGTGTACGCTAGCCCTTTGCCTATACACACTGGCCGACCAGAGCCGTTAAATGACATTGAAAGATGCGGTAAGGTTCGTAAACGCTAAAGAAACTGTGGACCGTCCTTTCTATGCTAGCTGTGAGGATTTTATTATATGGAGCTGCAGGCCGCATTTGGATGAAGAATCGTTGTGTAAGCTATTGTACGTACGGTCAGCGGACAGCGATTGGAAGAAGCTTTCTTAGCTTGGTCGTTCGGTCTTTCGGTTTCCTCGTTTCATCATGACCGAGACGGGGGGCGTTGAATACAGTTGCCGACCCGCCGCCTGGGGACGATTCCCCTCGGAGGGCGAGAAATGCAATGGAGAAATGCCATTTGAGCGGCAATGGCGGATCCAGGGGTGGACACCCGGCCCTTGCCCAGCCCTTCTCTGGATCCATAGTTAGTATAAGCCTTATAAATTTTTCGATTTTAAATATTTGGGCCGTTGTTATTTTAAAACAAGATTGGTTATAATTAGAAAAATAATTCAGATGAACATATTCAAAATCACTACTCTAAATTTAGCTTATAAATTCTAACCCCAAAGGTTATTCGTCTAAAAAACAATGAAACCTAAAATTTCAAAAAGTTTAAAACGTTAAAGAATAAAACATATGAAAATTTACTAGAGCAGCAGGTGGATATAGGGATGGAAACACAATGCAAATTGATTAGTAGATTGATTTGTCTAGTGTTGATGCTGCTCGTTTCAACAGCTAATACGAAGAGAACCTTTTCAAACAATGAAACATGTCAGAGTTGATTTGCGCAACAAAATGAGCGATGAATTTCTAGTCGATTGCTCAAGTATTTTATTTGAAACAGTGTATACTATTGGTATGGATGTGGACTCCATTATTAATGCATTCGCTAAATTAAAATACCGTCGTGTACAATTTACATTGTAAATAAATTATAATCATGATATTTTTTTTTACTATTCTAATTTTCTAATAAAATGCGGCCCAGTGCACTTCTGTGTTCTGGATCCGCCACTAAAGTACAAAAGGAAGCCAGACATATGTGTTTGAATCTCGATTACCCCTATTTTTTGGGCACATGTTAATAAATCATAAATTTGGTTGAATACTGTCTCTTGTTACTGAAATCACAAAGGTAGTGGTGAAACTATGTGTAGTTCAGGAGGATAAGAAGGGGCTATACTCTCCTCTCGATCTTCAATTTAAGATGATATATGTATATTTTCATATGTTGAGAAAAGCATTAGAAAGAGATATCTTCAATTTAAGATGATACATGTATATTTTCATATGTTGAGAAAAGCATTAGAAAGAGATATGACGGTGCTATTAGCCCACTCTTCCAAATTTTGGGTTCAATATCGTGAAGCTATTGCAACTTGTTACTTGCAACCCAACTCATCCTAAATTTTGACTTCCCCAGTGCACAAAAGGATTATATATATGAATACTAGATCACCAAAACGCTTCTACGTAAAACGCAGGTTTTTTATTACATTGGCTGCAAAATTATGGCCAAAGGCGATGATTTGTGTTCAAGTTAGGATACTCATGTGTTTGTGTTCAATTTTGATCATTCTCATGAAAAATGAAAAAGAGAAGGAAAAACACTAAAGAGGATGAAACTCGGTCCCAATACAAAACTCGTGGTAGCGGCCTTGGGAAACGGTTTTTGGGGAACAACTTAGGATTCCACTGACAGCATTTCGAGATGGGCTGCAAAATGGTGGGCAAAGACGATGATTTATGCAAAAATCCATAGACGAAAACCTAACGAACAATACTACAAATTTGGTAAGTTTAGGAGACGAAAAAATGTCGTCTCCAAAACATGGATTTTTCGTCTCCAAATCTTTTGGAGACGAAAAATGTCGTCCCCATGGGTGGTGCTTATAGGTTCCGTCCTCTATTCTTTTGGGAACAAAAAATGAAAGTCGTCTCCAATATCAGGGACACATAGTCGTCCCCAAAGATTCAAAAACCCGAATCAATTTATCGTCATATTTGTATCAATTTTAGTCAACACGTAGTCCCCTATGCAGTGTTTTTGGAGACGACAAGTCGTCTCATATGAATTATTTTTGAGATATTAAGCATTGCTAAGAACTATATTTAAAGACAATTAGTCATCCTTAATGCAATGTTTTTGAGACCACAAGTTGTAGCCGAAGAACTATCTTTTGAATAACAGAAAACCTATATCCTATAAATGTAAAAATAATTAACTCCATAAGAAATGCAAATTATATATGATTTACACAATTCACAGCACAACATTGAAAATCCATTCGCTTATAAATTTTAGTAATACAAAAGTGTATACAACATAAGATAGGGTGCGCCTATGAGGACATCCATGTCACGGTGACTTGCACTTTCGGTCGACCACAGTTAGGATTAGGTCGAGCTCATTGAGGATTAGGTCGACCTCATTTAGGATTAGGTCGACCTAATCTGTTGTTTCAGTGTAAAAACAGTTTCATGGTGCCTACTTTGGAGATTCATATCATACGATTGGCTAGATGGAAATTGAAGATTAAAGGCTTTTTTTGAAGCTGGAGTGTCCCTCTACATATTGAAGTGATTAAGAGCTCGATAGGAAGTCCAAAAGACCATTTTTGAACCTGATCAAAAGGTTATGCCAAAACTGGGAAACTGTCTGAAAATGGCCAAGTCTGGAAACGTGTTTGTGTAGCCTACTTTGGAGCTCAATTCGAGAAGCATGAATGCGATTCGAGTCTAGGGGCCTCTACCAAGTTAAATTAGGTATGTTTGTATACAAATTCAAGACATTGGATGAAAGATTGGATATCTGTAAGGCTTCAAACAAAAGGGTCGAAGTTGCTACAAAGGCTGTTTTCTGGCAGACTTCGAGCACAAGCAAGCTGCCAGTGAAACAACCTTCGTAGCAACTTCGACCCTTTTGTTTGAAGTCTTAAAAATATCCAATCTTTCATCCAACGCCTTGAATTTGTAGACAAACATACCTAATTTAACGTGGTAGAGGCCCCTGGACTCGAATAGCATCCATGCCTCTCAAATTGAGCTCCAAAGTAGGCTTAACAAACACTTTCCCAGACTTGGCAATTTTCAGATAGTTTTCCAGTTTTGGCATAGCCTTTTGATCAGGTTCAAAAATAGTCTTCTAAACTTCCTATCAAGCCCCCAAGTACTTTAATGTGTAGAGGGACACTTCAGCTTCAAAACAAGCCATTAATCTCCAATTTTCATCTAGCCAATTGTAAGATATGAATCTCCAAAGTCGGCATCATGAAACTGTTTTTACACTGAAACAACAGATTAGGTCGACCTAATCCTATATGAGGTCGACCGAAAAGTGCATGTCACTGTGACATGCATGTCATCGTAGCAAAGTCCCATAAAATAATATGGAATATTACAATCAGGCTACACTATAAATATACATAATCATATAAGTTTTTTTTTTTTTTTTTTGTCTTCGTACACTAGAAATGTACCCTTGAGGTTTGAAAATGATTCCTCCAAAATTCTTCTAGGCAGTGAACACTCAATGGCCTGACACAATGAAACTATTAGAGTATATGTAGTACGAGTAGTATTATGTTATACTACGAGTACTGTTATGTAATTGGGTAGAGTTATATTCCTTAATAGAGTCGTATTAGTGTTAGGGTTATTATAAAAGTCAGTCTCTGTGCTCTATATAAACTCTATGTGATTTCAGTAATAAGATACAACAGTTTCCACCGTATTCTGATTTCCCAACATGGTATCAGAGTCTGGTTCAAAAACCTATTAGAAAAAAAACCCTAAACTTCTTTTCTTCCTCCGCCGCCCATCATGAGTGCACAATCGCCTGGAAACTGATCATTGTTCCTGTTGTTGATCCAATATCTTTCCCTTGTTATTGTTCCTCCCTTCCGTAAGTTCCGTGGTTATTTGTCCAAGTTTGTCCATGCTAATCAGCTCTGTTGGTTGGAAAGAATAACAGCTCCCAGTGGTCAACAAATTTTGGTCGTCGTCATGCCTTCGTCCGTATCCATCTCACAAGTGCTCGGTTCGTATCTGCTATGGTTCCCATCTTTGCTTTCGTGGCTTGCGCTTGCGCATAGCCTATATATTCTTGGATACGTGAAACTCTGTTACGGCTCTGCGTGCGCTATATTATTGGATTCGTGTGGTTTTATTTCTAAGATGAAGTTAAGGAATCAATTATTGGTTACGTTGGTTGCTTTGCTTGATTAGTTGAAGTGGAGAATGAAGGACTTTAACTAGCGCAAACTGGGTATATAAGCTTCTTTGTCACGTGAATTTGGGATTCCAGTTTAGATTGGATTGTTGGTGGATTTGATATTGGTATGGGTTACTGGATTATGATTTTATTGGTTGGTTATGATGGAGAATGCAAAGGATTTCAAATGAAGTCGTCCAAGCCCGTCTCGGTTTGGTATAACCATAGGTTTCGTCCCTTTGGTTTCGGTTTGGAGGTGTTGTTCGGAACACCTTAGTTGAGATATTGTCCGGAATATCTCAACTTGATAAATGCTATTCGGAGCATTTTTGGTTTCGTTTATGTTTCGATGATGCTATTCGGAGCATCCTGATCACCATGTTGCTGTTCGAAGCACGTGGTTTTGTTTCTGTTTGGACGATGCTGTTCGGAGCATCCTGATAACCATGATGCTATTCGTAGCACGTGGTTCTGTTAGTTCGACGGAGACGATTTTGGCAAGACCTTTTGTTATCTCCAGCTTATCACCATCGACGTTTCACGAGCATTGGACATAGTCTTCATCGACATCGGCATATTTGGCGAAGCAGTTATGTTTTCATTTGTTAGGTCACATTGTTCGTAGTAATTTGTGTCGGTTTTCAAATTGTTGGTAAGTAATTACCATCAATTTGGGGGAGGGTATTAGAGTATATGTAGTACGAGTAGTATTATGTTATACTACGAGTACTGTTATGTAATTGGGTAGAGTTATATTCCTTAATAGAGTCGTATTAGTGTTAGGGTTATTATAGAAGTCAGTCTCTGTGCTCTATATAAACTCTATGTGATTTCAGTAATAAGATACAACAGTTTCCACCGTATTCTGATTTCCCAACACAAGACAATATTTCATAAACATAGTAATTGAAGTCGAGAATTAGATCTACTCATTATGCAACACAGGTAGTCCATTCCACAACCGTCACAATTCGTAACACCACTTCTTAAGACTACCTAGAGCTTAAGGAATAGTTACGTACCTAGACCTTATCAAATATTGAACAAGCAGCAAAATGTAATTGACAAGAACTGACATTAAAAGGAGTACAAGTTTTTTTTTTTTTTTTCATCAAAAGGAGTACAAGTTATTGAAGAATGGTTTACATGCTAACGATCTAGAGATGGCTAAGTTACCTTAAAATTATAGGGCATGATTTAACAAATTGGTCTCTGCGGTAAATCTATCTCATCCTGAAAGGATGCGCATATGGTGACAAGTTACTATTCTTGTTTCGAATGTCGAGCTATGCTTCAACACAAAAACGAATTAAGCGCTAAACACGAATTTTATATATCACCTTTTTACGTCTAACGCTTTCTTAAATCTTCAACACAGATGCCTTCCTTCCAATTTTCTTCACACAATTTGTTCATCCATATTCAACTGGGAAAAAATTGTTCATCCAGAATATAAAATAAGTGAATAATATGCAAGTACAAATATACGAAATACTTCATTATTTTAGACAATCATTAGTACCCTAAGACAAACCAACTTAGTTAGTTTCCTTGATAACATCATCATCGGCAAAGCCTGTGTCGCCGTTACTGATCAGATTCGAACCTTTGTAAGTTTCCAGCTCTTCACCCTCAACTGACTCATCTCTAACCGCCAACGCCACCAGTATCGTAAGCAGAGGATAGCTCACCGTCGTGAGAGCCCAGTTTACAATCAGTTGAGTCAGCATCGGAACCTTCCTCGTATCAAGCTGCCATGCCACCGCCGCTCCAGCGCTCTGCAACCCTTTGTAGAACCCAACGTACCTGCTCAAAGTCTCCGAGTCATCGGCCAGAGCCCCGATCACCCAGTAGATCATGCTCTGGAAAACGGCGTCGAATAGCCCGTAGCTGAAGAACAACACGTACGGCCCGGCAAACCTAAACCCGGACTCCGCGAAGTCCAGCCTCGGATCGGGCATGTCCTGGAAGTAGAGGTGGCAAATGGATTGGATTTATTAATTGGTGGATTGATTCATGTATTCAAATGACATTTAAATTTGGGGTCATTATATAAATTTCAAAAAAAAAATTTACTAAAAGGTCGTAATGAAAATTTTAGGTACAAAATTGTAACTTTTTATTGATATTTTTCCATCAAAACCAAATTTTAGCTACCAAAATATAAAAAGCATACGTACTAAACTGTAATTTATGCTGAATTCAATGATGAATTCACCAATCTAAATGAATTTGGACTAACGCTCGTAGTCTGGTTGCATACGGACTAACGCTCAGAGTTTGAGTCAATTTTGTAATTGTGTCGAGTCTTTGTCCTATTCCCTTTGGGCTTGTTTGGGGGTGGGGGGAATGAATTTGGATTAAATGTATTGGATTAGTTTGATATTTTACTGGATTGATTGAATTGGATTCGTGAATTTGGATACTAATTAATTGGTGCCACCTCTACCTCAAAGGAGTAATCGAGCTGGTTCACTAGCCCAGCAGACCATATCGTCGTCCCGATCAAGGAAACGGTGCCGATTCCGAGAAACCCACGTCGTTTTCTGGTCAAGAAGCCCAAGTCGAAGACGTAGCCGATGGCGATGGAGCCCAGCATCTGTGCAGCCCAGTAGGAGACGTTGTTGAGGCCGCGCGTCCGGAGGTTGAACTGGGCGGCGTTGACGTTGTTGAACTCGTAGGCGTAGAAGAAGTTGGAGGCCCATGCGGCCGGCGCCAGCAGAAGCATCCTCCAGTTCTTGAAGAGCTTCAGGATCTCGATGGCCTCCGTCGAAGGTTTCGAGTGGTTGGTGAGCGTGCATATGCTGCCGTCGTCGCGGATCACTTTACCCGGCGGGAGAATGGCAAAAGAAAGAAGAGTGCCTGAACAAAAACAAAACCTTTTATTAGGATCCGTTTAGTATATACTTCCGTTGTTGTGGTTGCTGTTATGACAACAGAGATATGATCCCACAGTCTTGTAAGAATGAAAAATGGAAGCACGTTTATTTGGTAATTCTGTAAAATTATGGAAGTAGACAACTTTCTGTGTTTAATTTTGTCATTAGGCTTTTAGAATCAATGTTGTGGTATATGATCCACGATTGAACCTCTCCCAATAATTCGAGTTATTGGGATCAATTGGTTCTTGACATGGTATCAGAGCCTGGTTTGTTCTTGAGGTCACGTGTTCAAGTCTTCACGACCCCCCAATATTAACCGTTGTCTTCAAGCACATGGTATCAGAGCCTTCTGTGACCAAAATGCCTTGTGTTCGATTCCCGGTGACCCCCATTTGTTAAGCACATGGCATTCTTGTCTTCAGGACCTGTGCAAACTTCAAGCCCTTGTGAGTGGCTTTCGTTTGAGGGGAGCGTGTTAGTGTTGTGGTATATGATCCACGATTGAATCTCTTCCAACAACTCGAGTTATTGGGATCAATTGGTATTGATACTAGGCTAAAATTAGAAAATAATGGGAAGAATACTATGATACAATGAGTTATGAGGAAAAAAATAAAAATAATATTAATAATAAGATTTTTAGAGATGAGTTATGAAAAATCTAGAAGAAAATACGTAAAAATTAGTCTGATGAGATTCGATCATAGACTACTTTGAATTAAATTATTATAACAAGTATTAACAACCGAAAAAGCAGACTAAACTTGTTTTCATGCAAAAACAGGAAATAGAAAGAAAGGAAAAGTGATTAGTTTTTGAACACATGTTGCCAAAATTCTAGGCCTAGAACGCGACATAATCAAATACCTGCCGCCATGAAGCCCATGAAACCAATGTAAGTCGCATCGTTGACGGAATCCACCCGGCGGTGAAAATTGAGGAAGAAAGGAATGAGCCCACCGACCACCCCGCCGGAGCTAAAAATCACCCAGAACAGCGAAATGTACATCCCTTTCCGGTGCGGCGGCGGGTAAGAAGTCATGACCGCTCCCTGCACCGCCCACAACATCCCGGCACCGACACCTCCGACCACTCCCGCCACCACCAAGAAAACCTGACTCTGAAAGTGATTATAGTAAAGAAACGATCCCGTGAACAGCAAGCAACTGGAGCACGCCAACGGAAGCATGACGCGCGGGCCCAGCACGTTGTACAGCCCGCCGCTGAGCACCCCGGCGACGGAGAACGTGGCGTAGAGTGCCGTGTTGGCGTTGTTGGCCGCGGTGGGGTCCACCTGCCCTCCCCCGCCCATCCCGGAGATCGCCCTGATCATGCCGATGGTGCAGAAGCACACCATCCCCATGAGAATCACCTGAACCAAGGACGAGTTGTACCTCCACGAGGATAATCCGCCGCCGCGGCGGGTTATCCCCGACTCCTGATCTCCCTCGAGACCCATATCTTATCTTATCTTATGTATGGTACTTAATCAATTACTTACGCGATAGTTACATATATATACTGCCCGACCATAGCCGTAAATGGCGGTGAAAGATGCGGTATGCTCGTAAAAGCCAAAAAAGCCCATAGGCCCATCGGGGCATCTATGTAAGTGTAACATAGACCATTCCGAAACAAGGCAGAACAGAAATTGTGGACGGTCCTCTATATGCTGTGGTGATTGTATTATATAGAGCAGGCCGCATTCGGATCAAGAATCGTTGTGTGCTGCCGCAGATAGACCGTCCAATAGGCAGCTGTGGGACGATTCCCCTGGAGCGAGAAATGCAATGGATATGCCATTCAAAAAAAGAATAATTGATCATTTTGGTCACGTTTTAGCTAAATCATTTAGTCATTAATTAAAGATCACTTTTTCTTTGCAACATCGACCAACAATCTATGGAATCGCATGATCAAAACTAAACATCACTTCGACACCTATTATTGGAATAGTAGCACATCACCTTGGCTACAAACTCATCAATATTCCTAAACGAAGAACCGCCTCCCCCCAACAGCTTTTAACAGCAAGATCCCTCCATTTCCTAGCATTCTTCTTCATCTCCTCCCCACTTTCTCCTTCCATTACTTCCCCTTACGCAACGCTCAACCTCATCCCTACCCACAATCCCCTCATTCCCTTCTCCTTCTTCATCAGCTTTCACCCTCTTCCCAACCTTCCAAACATTCTCCACCAAAAACGCATTCATCGGCTGGTCACTCCATATCGGCATCGCAACCATGGGCACTCCCAAGCTCAAGGCCTCGACGGTCGAGTTCCATCCCGAATGCGTTACAAAGCAACCCACCACTTCACTTGCTAGTACCTGTTAAGCATACGTGTTAGATGTTCGCGACTACAATGAAAAGTCTGTCTCTTAGAATACGATTCCGTTGTTCATGAACTGGGCCTAGCTACCAGTTGACGGCCCACTAAGAAGAAATAAATAAAAGGCTACTAAACACTTAGTCCCCAGACTCGTTAAGCCCACCCACTGATTTCTGAAAGAAGTCTTCTTCCTTGAGAAGAAGATTCTCAGATGCAGGGGAACTAACCAGAACAGGGGAAGAACGAGATAAACGAAGAAAGAGGAATGCAGCAAGGAACTAAAAGGGACACATGCAATTTTAACGAGGTTCCCAATCTACTGGTCACTCCTCGTTCTAGACTCAGTACTTCACTGATGTCTAGGAGACTTTTTATTTTTCCTATCAAGCAACTGTCACCAATCGTGACTCAAGACAACACAAAGAAACAAAGAGAGAGTATTCAACCCGGATCCCAATTCCAGACCCGTTACACCGTTAATCAAACAGAACCTCTTCCTCTATTCTGATTAACCCAGATTGTAAGCAGCCCTGTTCCACCCTTACAAAAAGTACTTAGCTAGTCGTAGAGCTTCGGTATATATAGCCTTCAAAAAATTCCCGACCGTTGCTTTTGAAAGCAGAGGAAGGATTCATAAGAAAACTATGTGCTGTCTCTGATTGTCTTCCTTCCTTCTTTAGAGCAACTCTGATTTGGTAATTTCGGTCAACAAAGTCATTAATCTTTGTGCAAGAGTACATCTAGTTAATAGTGCGCGCTACATTAGCATAACTATAGTTGTAACCAAACTTATCGATATCACATATACGAATTTTTCCCAAGTTCACAATTCATCATCAAAGCCTATTAGTACCTTCACTTGGGGGCTCCAACTCACCACTAGTGCCTTGTCTCCCAAGTTTTCGAGGAACGTTTGTGGAAGCTTGGCTTGCTCGGCGTCTCTAATGACCCATAGGAAGTAGTAGTTCGTTTGTTTGAGACCCAAGGCAAGCTCTTCCATTTGGGCGTGGGTGAATTTGGCCATGCTGCCGAATGCCACGTAAACGACCGAGCTTGGAGGTTTGGTTGCGACCCAATCGGTGGAAATTGATGCGTCGTGACGGAAGAGGTCCAGCCCATATTCCTCATCATCGTCGTTGGAAGGAACGGTTGGCCCAATGGTGAGAATTGGATAAACCTTTGACAAAATGTCCACTACCTACGTCATGGTAAAGGAAACCATACCGGACGTCATATCGGACCCGTCCGTGCAGTGGCGGATATATGGGCCTCTAGAGGTGTCCCGGGACACCCTAAAATTTAGGAAAACGATTATCCATCCCCCGGTAGTAGTTTCGTATGGATAAAAAAAATTATAATTGATAATCCAGGACACTCTTAAATTTAAAAAAAAACAATTATCCTGTTCTCGGTAGTAGTTTGCGTATGATTAAAAATATATAAGTAGTAATCTCTGTGTTATTCAAATCTGGGACACTACTATTATTAAACATATTCTCTAGGTTGCAACTCATTTGTTGTTCTTCTTTAAACACTATGTAATAGTAAAAAAACTATTCTTTATTCCCAATTGTTTTCAAAACCTAACAATTAAATTCATTCGAGCTATCCTTAATTTGAATTGATTTTATAGGTATATTGCAAGAGTTGAAAGAGTCTTTCGAGTTTGAGTTACATCAGGAACAATGTTAAAAATTGAATATGCGACCAGTTCGTGAATTATTGTCTAATATGGTATATTTGCACTAGTCGAATATTTTTTATTTATGAATTATTTAATTTATACTTACTTGGGGGATAGTCTTGATCATCTTCAAGTCAAATATGAGTGTTGTTGATGGTTGTTGGTCTGTGTTGTTGTCATCATCATCACTACTGTTGTCATCGATCTTCTCTTCTTTATCCTGTATCTTCATGAGCTGATGAAGTTCTTCTCCACCGTAGTAGCTTTGGATGTTTTCATAGTTTCTTTGCACATCAATGTCATCATAGTAGTTTGTTGTTGGGATTTGAAACTGTGTGGAGAAGGCCATTTCATCCAACTTGTCCCAGTATTAGAAAACTGATTCACCAGCATTCCCAGCAAATCCAGGTACGTCGACGTCGGATCATCAGCAAACGACGGCACATCTCGTGCGTGAAGCAACGGCAGCCCCGGGACGGAAACCGGCCACGAATTCACCGGCAGCTTCAACAACCCCTGGCGGATATTATAATAGACGTAATCCACCGCGCACGGCTGAGTGAAAAACGGCGCCGCACAGAGGCCGTGCTCTTTGGCCACGTCGAGGGGCCAGGGAAGAAACGGCTCGTACACGACGCAGTCCACGGGTACGTCGTCGTTTTGTACTTGTCTATCAGCGCCGACAGCGTTTTGGACCCTACTTCTTGCATCCGTTCAAGGTAATCGTTCAGCGGGCGGCCGCCGTCGGCGTTGCGGCCGGTGTCGTCGAACCCGTCGGAGATGACGTCGTGGTGGACGGAGCGGCCGATGGTGTGGCCGAGGTTGGCGGCGTTGGAGAGGTAGACGGTGGTGAAGTGGATCATCGGGTTGACGTGGCCTTGGCCCGGGTACGGCAGCAGGATGACGTGGCCGCCGCTGCCGCCGGTGTTCGAGGTTCTGCCCATTATTTCTGCCTTTTTTTTGTGTGTGTTTGTTAAGCGCGGAGTTTAATGTGGTAGGGATTGTTTTCGGATAAGATAGCCGACAATATTCAATAGTTTGGGAACATAAGCCTTGTCATTCAATCTCTCTGCTGAATTACACCCACATCTAACAAATTTTTGTAATTAGGGGTAAATCGGTTTGACAATTTTGATTGCAAGTTATACCAACAAAAAAATAATTGGGTGTGCCTATGGTGACATGCATGTTATGGTGACTTGCACTTTCCGGTCGACCTCAGTTAGGATTAGGTCGACCTCATTTAGAATTCGGTCGATCTCATATAGGATCTGGTCGACCTCATTTAGAATTCGGTCGACCTCATTTAGAATTCGGTCGATCTCATATAGGATCTGGTCGACCTCATTTAGAATTAGGTCGACCTCATATAGGATCAGGTCGACCTAATTCGTTGTTTCAGTGTAAAAACAGTTCATGGTGTCTACTTTGGATATTCATATCATACAATTGGCTAGATGGAAATTGAAGACTAATGACTTGTTTTGAAGCTGGAGTGTCCCACTACATATTGAAGTGGAAGAGAGCTCGATAGAAAGTCCAGAAGACCATTTTTGAACCTCATCAAAAGGCTATGCCAAAATTGGGAAACTGCCTGGAAATGGCTAAGTCTGGAAACGTGTTTGTGAAGCCTATTTTGGAGCTCAATTCGAGAAGCATGAATGCAAGTCGAGTCCAGGAGTCTCTACCACGTCAAATTAAGTATGTTTTTATACAAATTCAAGGCATTGGATGAAAGATTGGATATCTGTAAGGCTTCAAACAAAATGGTCGAAGTTGCTACGAATGCTGTTTTTCTGGCAGACTTCGAGCACAAGCAAGCTGCCAGAAAAACAGCATTCGTAGCAACTTCGAGCCTTTTGTTTGAAGCCTTAAAAAATTCAATCTTTTATCCAATGTCTTGCCTTTGTATAATAATATATGTAATTTAACGTGGTAGAGGCCCCTAGACTTGACTCGCATACATGCTTCTCAAATTGAGCTCCAAATTAGGCTTGACAAACACGATGCCAGATTAGCCATTTTCAGGCAGTTTCCCAGCTTTGGCATAGCCTTTTGGTCATGTTCAAAAATGGTCTTCTAGACTTTCTATTGAGCTCCCAAGTACTTTAATGTGTATGTTATCAATATATATTAATAGAATAATAATTAGTAGTGTTAGGATTAGTAGAGTTAGGCGCCTAGGTATAGCCGAATGGGTTAGGGTTAATTGTTAGGGTTTTGGGTTTATTTCCTATATATATGTGCTTTGGGCTTACGTCATAATCAATCAATAATAGTATTAAGCAAAGTATCCATCTAAACCTAATCTCTCTCAAATCGGCTGATTCCCAATTCTGTTCTTTCTCATCTAAATCTCTAGTTCTTTCTCTCAACCCTTAGATCCCTAATTGTTACGATAATTACGGGTGCCGAAGATCAGTCTCTAGAATCCCTAGAAGCGGGATTCTTTCAGTGTAGAGGGACACTTCAGCTTCAAAACAAGCCTTTAATCTCCAATTTCCATCTAGCCAATTGTAAGATATGAATCTCCAAAGTAGGCACCATGAAACTGTTTTTACACTGAAATAACATATTAGGTCGAACTAATCCTATATGAGGTCGACCTAAAAGTGCATGTCACCGTGACATGCATGTCACCGTGACATGCATGTCACCGTAGCAAAATCCAAAATAATTTGTTTGTGTTTTACATATAAAGTTAATTTTTTTCAGGAAACCTTGTAAATCAATCAATCAATTCAATTGTGCAATTTCTTTCTCGCCATATACCAGCATATGTATTATCCAACCTGATCCGCGCTTAGTGCATGATGAATGTGGATACTAAAGTGCGTGTCCCGGGCCCATTGAGGTGACTCCATACATGAGCCTAGCTAGCTTATTCCTCTTCAAAAGTTAAGCGAAACCCTTGTGTAAAAAGCTGAGATGCATGTTGAAATTTATCGTACGGTATTTCAACGATGATCTTTGAGACTAGTCCTTCTATCGAATTCGGTAATCTCAGCATATATACATTCGGCTGATAGAAACCCTAATCCATATGGGTCGAACTTAGAAATGGAGATCGGGTGGGCCTCCGTTTGTTGGTACGGGTTGGAGAAGCCCGTCACCTTGTCGCTGAACCAGACTTAATAAGAATATTATATGATGTTGGGCTTTTGGCGAGCCCAAGCGAACTGGTCTCATGGCCGATTTGGTCATAGGGATGGAGTCAAGTAGGCGTGGCCCTCTGAATCCCATCCCAAATCCCAATCCCATAGATTCGATTTCCTCGGAAAATTAAAAAATATCCACATCACAGGAAAAGGAAGGTATCAAAAATCATGGCCCACCTAACCTTCGTCAACGCACAATTTCCAATTCCATCCCCTATTTTTTTTTTCCTACAAGAAAAACTAAAACAGAGGAATCTAATTCAATTCATTTCAATTCCAATCAGCTCTTTAGTTTGAGCATCAATTCATTTCTTATCGGCCCGAATCTCATCTACCCAACTTTCACCACACGTCCATCCTGAACTGAAAATTTATTCTTCACTCGATAGTAACTAACATAGTTTTCATTCACCTAACAAAAATGGCTTACAAATAATCCTTTACGCCTTTTTTATTTTACAAAAGATAATCATATATTGATTCAAGATAGACACAGTTACACCCTGGAAAACAGTCAGGCCTGAAAATTAAAAGAGCGACACATAGACGGGTACAAAGAAAGGGCGTTTCTAGCCACCGCATGGGCTACCCTATTGTTCCTCCGTCCTACAAATCGCAAACTAAACCCAGAATGATTCTCCATACATTGCCGGATTCCCTCTAAGACCATCTCAATCCTACTATCTCTAGTCTCAGCTTGATTGATTTTATCGATGATGACCTTGACATCGCCTTCAAATCTCACATCCTGGAATCCATTAGCCACACACCACGAGATAGCTTCCCGGAGGACGAGTGGTTCCACCACTAAAGAATCATCAATAGACCGAAACTGGACCCCTTGAGCTCAGAGGACCTTCCTATGAGGGTCAAGAAGCACCATTCCGCTAGCAGAGTGGGACCCAGCTCTCGTACCCCCATCCCACATACACACCAGCGAGGATTCCCGCCATCCCAGGAGGATGGAGAATAGGGTGCAGACCCAAGAGTAATTTTCCTACAATTAAATCGGCAGAACAACCCGATTCACCAACTGAAACACACATCGAGTAAAGATCGACACAACTCTTATGTTGCCTACACACACAAATTCTTAACTTAACACACTTTTACGCAGCTCACTAAACCACTCGTATATCAATCGACACACCAAGAATTACAATTGAAAAGATATCACAATTCACAAACAACACCGATCTTAAATTGGCTTGTTGTTGTCACTCTCATCAGCGTAACTCTTCCGATCCAAAGCTTCCCCATTTTTGTCTTCCTCAGGCTTCACCTCATCGGTAACGGCCAACGCCACAAGAACAATCAGCAACGGGTAACTTATCGTAGTAAGAACCCAGCTCACAATCAACTGGGTCAGCATCGGAACCTTCTTCGTATCAAGCTGCCACGCAACCGCAGCTCCGGCGCTCTGTATCCCTTTGTAGAACCCAACGTACCGGCTCAGAACCTCCGAATCGTCGGCCAGAGCTCCGATCACCCAATACACCAGGCTCTGGAAAACCGCGTCCAGAAGCCCATACCCAAAGTACAAAACGAACGGCCCCGCGAATTTCCCCCCGGACTCCTTGAAATCGAGCTTCGCCGGCATTTTATCGAACGAGTAACCCAATTGATCGGCCAATCCGCCGCCCCAGATCGCGGTCCCCATTACCCCTACAATCGCAATCCCTAGAAATCCCCTGTTTCTCCTGCTCTTGCAGCTGAAGTCCAGCACCTGCCCGATTGCAAACGCGCCCACCATCTGCGCTCCCCAGTAGAACACATTGTTCAATCCGCGGGTCCTGACGTTGAATTTCGCCGCGTTGACGTTGTTGAACTGGTAGGTGTAGAAGAAATTGGACGCCCAGGCCGCCGGCGCGATTAAAAGCATTTTCCAGTTCCCGAAGAGTTTGAGAATCTCGATTGCTTCCGTTGAGGGTTTGGAGTATTTGATTTTGGTACACTGGCTGCCGTCCTCGCGGATTACTCTGCTCGGCGGGAGGATGGCTAGGGAGAGGATTGTTCCGGCGGACATGAAAATCATGAATCCGATGTAGGTGGCGTCGTTGACGGAAGGGGCTTCACGGTGGTAATTGAGGGCGAAAGGGATTAACCCGCCGATGACTCCGCCGGTGTTGAAGATGCTCCAGAACAGAGCGATGTAGGTCCCTTTCCGATTCGGCGGTGGGTATGACGTCATGATTGCCCCCTGCCCGGCCCAGAGGAATCCGGCGCCGATCCCGAGGATGGCGCCGGCGACGATGGCGAAGGCCTGGTGCTGGTGGTGGTTGTAGTAGAGGAAAGATCCGGCGTAGAGGACGTAGGTGCTGCAGCCGGCGGCGAGGGTGAGGCGCGGGCCGAGGATGTTGTAGAATCCGCCGCCGAGGACGCCGAAGACGGCGAAGGTGGTGTAGAGCGCGGTGTTGGCGTTGTTGGCGGCGGTGGGGTCGACCTGGCCGCCGGCGCCCATGCCGGAGAGGGCGTTGAACATCCCCGGGCAGCAGAAGCAGACCAGTCCGATGAGGACCACTTGGACCAGAGGCGAATTGTAGCGTAGCTTGGATTTTGTCGTCGTCGTCGTCGCGACTCCGCCGGATTCTTGGTCGCCGCCGGATCCCATCGGTGGCAGTTTTTGCGGATCTGGGTAGAAGACAGATAGTGATAGGGATTAGATTGGGAAGGGAATCAGGGGAAAACAGAGGGCTTCTTGGTAAATTGAGAAAATGGGGGAAAGGGATAATCTACGAATTGAATTCGATGGGGGAGAAATGGTGGTTGGGGAGATTCCAGTTATATAGAGAGAGGGGTTCCATGGCGGCAGAGAAGAGTGAAGCAGAGGATTCCATCGACGTTATTTCCAATCCAGGGAAGAAGATGCAGTTTGATAATGAATCCGATTATCAATGGCGGAATCCGACAAATTGGAGAGGCCACATTTTGGTTTCTGCTGCTGTTGCCGGCTGGAAAATGTATTTATTAACCTCATCGCATTATTCAAAAAAACCTCATCGCATATCATTTTCAATTTGCCTATATTTTCTCCTTGTTTGTCATTTTTCCATTTTGTAGTGTTACGGGTTAATTACATAAACCATCACTTAAATTTGGAATGCTAACGAAATATGCATTTCTTGGTTTTTGCCGAAAAGGGACGACAGCGGACTCGACGCTTTAGCTGGGTCAATTTTGTTTATATATCATTGATCCGCGATTTTAAAATCATAATTCCTATGTTATTTGGAGAAAACTCATTCTCATTATCTCCTAGAGAATTATATATAAAAGAATTATATATAAAAGACGATATTAATTGAATTTTCTTTTAGATATTGTTTGTAAATGTGAGAATGAATAAAAAAATTAGAATCTAATAGATAATTATAATATTTGAAAGATATAGATGATCGAAGTGGTGAAATACGAGAGTTCATAACATAGTTGTAGCACATATATAGTGGATTGAGTTTGGTATGAATACTTAAAATATTAAAACTATACCAAACTCATTATCCTCTTTGTTTGGTACAATAAAATGCGGCCAAAAGTAATGTCGGTTCAATTTGCCCTACAGATGAGCAAAACAATGATGCCCAAATTGTAATTAAAATCACAACTGGAATCCCTAAGGATACCTATAGCGATGTAAAAAGGGTATCTACATCGGCATGTACATGGCCGCCTACTAAAGTATCCAGAATAAGCATAATACATAGATAACTCTTCGCCAATAAACATAAACATACTTGTCGAATTAATTAACCCAGCAAATCATAGTAACCTAAGGATGCATAACCCTTCTACTATAGTTTAAAAAACTGGTGTTTTTAGATACAAATTCAACTTGAAGTATCCATATGACTATGGAAAAAAAAAATACATATTAGAGTTTAGTAAAATATGAGCATTATCACGTACAAAGAGACTTGTTGGGCATTTCGTACGTATTCCTCCAAAAACTCGAACCAGCTTGAAGTAGTGATGCTTCTTGGCCGATCGAACAAGAAAGAAGTTTGTAATTTTTGTTCAATGGATGCTGAACTTCACAGTCCGTCCAAACGCTAGGCTTCCAGTGGCATTGGAGATTCCTAACCTGATTGAACAAGAAATAGTGTTGTTGTTGCTGTTCTAATTATCCGATTCTTAGTCGCAATAATTATAAAAACTCCAATTATAGAATTCCATCGCTCTTAGTAAAACGAACAATAAATCCTGGTAAGAAACAGAGGAACTCCAATTATAGAATTTCATCATCATTACGTAAGAGACGAGCCGGCCAGAGTAATTAAGATAATATGTTGACCCCTAATTAGTAATTAGTTGACATCTACCGGACAGCCACAAATGGCAGCTCCTAAGCAGATTCAGCAGCAACCATGAGTTTTGACCAAGAGAGACGACCTTCTATTGTTCAATATATCAAACACTAAAAGCAGCAGGCTATCTGGATACTATAAAACAGAAGAATCTCTACTTGCCACGAGTGTCAGCACGATTGACCAACTGAAAAAGGCACTTCAATCAGCAGCAGGATTTTGCTTCTGGTTTGACTGGTTCCATAGAGGGAAGGCCACCTTCTTGCAGTTGTAGCGACTTCTTCCGAAGCTTATATATCCGTTTTCGATGCCCACGACCCTGCTTGTGCTGCTCCCATTCATGGCCTCCTCTGAGTACCTTGTCTCCGCATGCCTGTCGATTCACAAACCACATGAATGGAATAGGCCACCACAGTAGACATGGCAGCAAAGTTTTGACAATGGAATGAAAGTTGTGATATAAAACGCAGAGATGACTCGACAGTGTGACCGACCTTGCATGTGTATTGAGTCCACAGGTCTCTTTCAATTGATCCAGATGTATCGTTTGTCGAGAGGTTCCCTTCATCCCCCTGGAGAAAAGATCTGACAATTCTTACAGCTGGTTCAACTACTTGCGTCGCCCATGACTCCTCCAATCTACCTACAATTCCCTACAATTTGATGAGTTTCTCAAAAGAAGACCTTATATCAACATCGAGTTCTTACTGTGTTGAAAGGACGTACTTGATATGGCCTCTGTGGCATCGACGTAGTTTATATTCCAGCTGAACAATCTCTGGAGCCGTGTATGCATCCTCTTCTGCAGATACATCGATGAATTGTCAAGGACATCATATAGAAAAATAAGCTTGAACTAGGCAAGCATGAAAGAACCTGGAAGTCAGGAAATCGAAACTTACTTGACGACGCACAAGTCTTCTGGTGTTCAATTTCACTTTGTCGATTGCTTCTGTTAACAGGATTTTGAGAGGATTATCATCATCAGGGGAATTGAGGATTTCCCTTATATTATCTTTCCCAATGTTGTTCGTAGATGGAGATTGGTTGAGACTATTGAAATCTTTAGTGTTCAATATTTCCAAGTGGTAAACTCTCAGAAACTCCACAAACTCCCTAACACCAATGGCTTGCCGCAAACCTCGAGTATAGTCTGCTTCTGTCTTGTAAATTTCAGAGACTTCTTTGAGCAACCCAGCATCAATCATGCAATCAACTCTTTGTTCCACGTAGTGGTCCAGTACAGGCACAGAGGCATCAACGCATATGAAGCAGCAATCGAACTTACAATTATCAGCACGGCCCCAGTTCTGTCCTGGCACATCAAATATGTTAAAAGAAAAGATTATGTGCATGCAATCTCGTGAAGGTTTCCCTCCTTTTTTCCAAAATGTAAAAAGCGTATTCTCAATATATCATAGAAACATTGCTGGAGGAGTAGTAACAGACCTCGGCAGCTTTTCCTTGATAAACTCTGCTAGGAAGAATACCAGATTGGGCGTACAAATTAAGATACTGATTTATCTGCAAGAAGAACGAATCTGAGTGACACCTTATTAACTGAAAACATCAGCCACAAGGCACACTTTAACTACAAGTAAGAAGAAGGCTTTCCTACTTTTCTGTAGTTGTTTGGGTGAATTCTGTCAGCTGCAACAGGATCAACGGCTCTAAGATAATCATAGTCACAGCTGAAACTTTCTCCATCCGATTCAGAAATTAGATCAATATGCTCATCTCCTGTGAGAATAAAGTAACACATGTTAAATGACACTTCAATAAGGAGGAGCAGAGTTTTGATCCCGCGACACAAGTGCGTACCAGGAATATCATCTTCTGTTGTATCATCCAGAAGGAATGGACTTACAAGAGCCTGAGCAAAGCAACAAAACAACACAAAGCAAAGACAAAGACACAATTAAACTTAAGAGCCATGCAAAGATCAGCAAATGACTACCTGAATCAAGTTAGAATCAATAACATAATTACAGCCGAGAAAGCTCCAAAATGGACCTGAAGTTTACATACCTGAATGTAGTAATTTGTTCCACCAACAACAACCGGTAGGCAGTTGCGACGCTTGATGTCATTGATGATCTGAAAAATATAGATGAGCCAGGTAAGAAAATATCGGGAACGGCTACGGTGCTAATTGTACAATAGTTAGCACCGTCCTAACCAAGGAAAAAACTACTACTAGTTTGAATTAGTAGTGATTTAGCTTAGATGTTGTATTGATTTTATAATAATCCGTAGTGATTTCGTTATTTTTAGTAGCGTTTTTGCTAGTTATCACGGTGCTAACCCCTATAAGGGTTAGCACCTAATCCCATCCCGAAAATATCACACTTTTCCAATTTCTAAACATACAAAGTCGCTAGTTACTTTTTCACACAGACCATCATGAACAAAGTAAATGAGAGTTATCCAGGATGATCCAAGAGAAGAAGGAGCAACAAGCGGCAGAAAAGGGAAATGATGAATTGGGTCTCAGGCAGAAGATCAGCAAGCCAACCTAGCTGAATATGCAAGCTAAAGAGATGATAACCAGCCCCAACAAATCAAGCAACTCAACCTTGCAACAGATAAGAGCAATCCGAGAGTAAACCGTGGAATCAACTAGCTTCAACAGCTAAGAAAACATATCAGAACAAGCATTTCGAGAATACTCACAGGATGAGCAGAATCTCTGAACTCCTTAGCCGTGAATTCAACATTTGGATTTACAGTCCCCAAAAGATGATGCGGCACACCTGCAACAACCCCCATACCAATAGTCAACCAAATGAACATTTCAATGAACCATCCAAGTTCCAACGACAGTGAAGTAGGCTTAGTATCAAAGGAGTAGTTAAAACTTCAACCCACAAAGTTTGGAAAGTCGACAATATGGAAGTATCCGAGTTCATGAACTAAATTCCTAAAGTTCACAGTAACTCGTGTTAAAGCAAATCAAAGCATGGTTAGAACCTTTCTGCTCATCAACGGTAACTTTGTTGGTGATAACATCGAGGCCACGGTAGAGTTGCATAGAATCGGCGTTGATGATTTCAATCGGAAAGTGGGCTGCCAAATCAATGGCCAGTTTGGATTTCCCCGCACCAGTGGCACCCATAATCACCACCACTTTCGGTTTCCCCTCTTGCCCAGTCTCCGTTCCCCTATCCGTCTTCGTCGCCGTCACTTCAGTTCCATGGTGGTTAGGGCTTCGCAGGGCTGCCGCCGGCGGCGGCGCATCTTCTCCGCTACCGTCCATCAACCTTGCCCGTGTTTTCAGACCTTTGCGTTCTGCCTCTCCCCTCTGATTTTGGATGCTTCCTTTCTGGGCTGGGTTTGAAATCCGAGTTATGAACTTCGGCCCATTGATATGACAAGCAAAGAAAAGCTAGAACTGAACTCGTAGTCCTTTCTTAATGGGCCTTGTAACTGTAGCAGACCATCGTTACCGGAGAGGCTAGCCTGTACATGGGCGTTGGGCTGTGCTTGGGCCAGCACGGCGCGGGCACGCTTCGGGCCCATTTATTTCGTGTCGTGCTTGGCATGGCACGTCAGTTTTCGTGTCGTGCCATGCAAGCCCATTTGTTAATTATTCTAGGCACGGTTCGAATCGTGTCGTGTCTATTTGTGCTCGTGCCATGCTCATATTTGTGCTTAATGAAAAGGACGAAAACAAAAGAGAGAATGAAAAAGAAGGTGAAAATTGGACGGAGGAATATAGTATTAACCGATAATGTTTGAGAAAAGTAACAAATAAGGGGGGAAAGAAAATTGGAAATATAGCGAGTGTGATTTGACTTTGTTTAATTCTATGCCCATTTTTACTTATGTTAGTAATTACGTATATATCTTTATGACACTTCTAACAACAACAAATAATTATTTTTCTACTTGTGTTTTGTAATATTTGAACCTATAATTATTTTTATATTTATTTTCTATCAAATAAATATTATTTCTTTACCATGTCCGTTCTTACACTCAATAAAATCTTGAAAATATTAGGCCCGACACGGCCAACTTATATACCGTGTCGTGCCCGTGCCCATGAAGTTTAGGCCCGACACGGCCCATAAATTATTCGTGCTCGTACCTGACTGACCCATTTGTTTCGTGCCCGTGCTCGTGCCGTGAAGTGCTAACCCGTGTGCGGCACGGCCTGGTGCCTACGTACAGGCTAGCCGCCATTCATCTTCCTTTCGGAAGGGTTTAGAAAACGTACTATGATCCATTCATCGACTAACAAGTGTTCAAACTCGACTCTTCTTCCATTTAACAATAAACCAACAATAGCAACAAAAGTCGATTCTGAACTCTCCTCGCCTCTCTGGTTCTCTGAATCCTTCTTCTCGCTACACAATAAGTAATGTTACAACCAATGAATCCCAAACCAATATTCCACAAACAAATCAAAAGACAGTACCAAAAAGAAAGAAATGGGAGCTGACAGAGGAAGCACTAAAAGAAGAAGCATCCTGATGCTGCCATGGCTAGCACACGGCCACATTTCTCCATTCTTCGAGCTAGCTAAGCGGTTAACTGATCACTACAGCTTCCACATCTACTTGTGTTCAACTCCAGTCAATCTCGACCACCTCAGGAACACCCTGCCTCCATTCATCCAATTGGTCGACCTCCACCTCCCATCTTCCTTCGACAAAACCCTACCTCCCAATTCCCACACCACCAAAAACCTCCCTCCCCATCTAATGCCGACACTCAAATCCGCTTTCGACCAGTCCGAACCGGCCTTCTCCCAAATCCTCAACTCTCTTCGACCAGACCTCCTCATCTACGACTTCCTCATGCCATGGGCCCCTCGAGCCGCCGCGAGAGAGCTCGGAATCAAGTCCGTGGTGTTTATCACCGGAGGCGCAGCCTGTCACTCGTTCGTTACTCATTACATCGCTCACCCGCCGGAAACCCAGTTCCCCTTCCCAAATTTAGACATCGTTTCTTCAGGGGAAGGGCAAAAAACGGTTGAATTCCTGGAGAGTGGTGATGATCAGGGTAGGTTGAGCAATAAAGATCGTTACTTTCAGTGCTTGAAGAGCTCCTCTGAGATTGTTCTGATCAAGACGTTCAGGGAGATTGAAGGGAAGTACGCGGATTACTTCTCTAAACTGTTGGGGAAAGAGGTGGTCACCGTTGGCGGGCTTGTAAGAGAACCAGAAGCGAAAACAGGGGACTCTGACATCATCAACTGGCTGGACCAGAGAGATCATTCTTCTCCTCCAGTTGTATTTGTGTCGTTTGGGAGCGAGTATTTCCTTTCCATGGAAGAGATGGTGGAGGTAGCAAAAGGGCTGGAGAGGAACAAAGATTTGAACTTTATTTGGGTTGTGAGGTTTCCTGAAGGGGCAGAGCAAGAGAAAAACTTGTTGTTACCAGAAGGGTTTATGGAGAGAGTTGAAGGGAGGGGATTGGTGGTGGAAGGATGGGCGCCACAGGCGAAGATTCTACAACATGAGAGGGTTGCAGGGTTTGTGAGCCATTGTGGGTGGAGTTCTGTGTTGGAAGGTATTGTCTATGGCGTGCCAATTGTGGCCATGCCGATGCAGCTTGACCAGCCGTGGGATGCTAAGTTGGTGGAGGAGATTGGGGTGGGGAAGGAGGTGAGGAGAAGGAAGAGTGACGGGGGGATTGATGGAGAGGAGATGGGGAAGGTGATTGATGAAGTGCTGAGGAATGAGGAAATGAAAGGAAGGGTGAGAGAGTTGAGTGAGAAGTTGCAGGGGAAAGGAGATGCTGAGCTTGTTGCAGCTGCAGATAGGTTATGGAGTCTCATTGAAGGTGTGTAGGAGACTGGGGGGGGGGGGGGGGGGGGGGGCGTTTAAACTACATCACTTAAAATCCTGGTACAACATTGTCATTATTCAGAGGTTAAATCCTGGTACAACTACATCACTTAAAATTTAGGAGAAACAACATTGTCATTATTCAGCTATTAAACTAGCAAGATTTATTAGATGATCGACTTAATTGTTAGTCATGAAAATATCAAGTAATGATATGTAAGATAAATCGTGGGATACATTGAGATAAACGCTTTGATATTCCAAAGACATAACATCTTATTTCGAAACGAGTTCTTCAAAAACGTACAACAATATTACCATCAACTGTCAACTCTCAAAGTGGGTTCCCCTCTGGTTTTTTCATTCCAATGTCCACATCAACTCTTTCTTTACCCTTGTGCATTTTTCATAACTTGGATCAGGTGATAAACCATTCTCGGTAAGATAATTACCTTTACCCTTTGAGTTACTTTTCCTGAAAATATGAATTGTATAGTTAGGAGAGCGCCAACGCCAACATGCATAAGTTACCGGTGTTTGATAAATTTGGACATAACTGTTGTCGGTTGACTTATAATGAGACTGATTGAAGCCTTCAAAGGTTATAAAGAATACGTAATTACAGCAAGACCGCTGGATATTTACGTTCTTAACTCCGAGTAAAATGAAGTTCTGACCCTGAAACATTATTGAAGATAATTTAAACACATGTGGAGACTGGAGAGTGTTCTATGCCACTCAAGGTAAAATTTGAGGGTATCACTTCACACCCTTGGTTAGAAAATTACCAAATAGAAAACACTTTACATACCTTTTGTTGATTATATGTGTCGATCACAAATTTAACCGCCCTTTCTCTGAACTTTCTTGTCTAAATCCCCCTCACTCAAATAATAGTGTTCTCGATTGTAGATGTAAGCATACTCTGGTGATGGAGGACAATCAACATTGAAATTCTGTGTTTATTTAAACAAGAGGATTAGAAGAAGAAAGTGTAGAATACAAAATGTTGGGCGCAGCGGGTGAGAATAGCGGGTAAATATATTGCACTAAGAAATCACACGCTTGTAAAAAGTTCACAAATAAGTTGGACCTGGTGGCAGAGCCTCCAGAATTACGGTAACCAACTTACTTAGATCAATTTACTTCGGTAATTTAATAATGCAATATACTACGACTATTCTCAAAATAACAACAAGCATAGATAATAATAAATGACACCGAGGATTTACGTGGTATACCCTGATTTTGGGCCAGTCCACGGGAACAACAGCTCCGGAGTATTTCTTTACTATAACAATGGTAGGTTACAGAGATTTTCTCGATACAAGAAATAGAACACACGGTGTTTCCCAAACAACCTCACTATTTCACTCACAAGGAAATCTCCTATCTACCCGTGGTAGTGAAAATGTTTCACTACCAAAAAACCCACAAAAGAAATACGAACAGAAGCAGAGCAAAGGAAATGGAGAATAATGGAATGGTGAGGGATCGTATTTTGAGGCTACTGCCTCTGCCTTTTATAGGCTAGCAAGGAAGAGGGGATTAATTCTAGTGGTTGGATTGCCAACCGTCATCTCCTCCCCCAATTTAAGTTTTGTTTTGTTTTTTTTAATCTATTTCCACCACCAACCTTGTTGGCCTCTTCTCTACCACATGAGGAGGGCACAACAAATCTCCCCCACCCGACTACATGGGCAAATTCATCATCCCTGCAGCTGATCGACAGAACTCAAACTTTTCTCTTGGAAGAGTCTTGGTACACATGTCAGATCCATTTTCGTCGGTATGGATCTTTTCCAGTTGTAGCTGTTTCATTTCAAGCACATCTCGGATCCAGTGATATCGGACATCAATATGTTTTGATCGAGCATGAAATGAAGCATTCTTCGCAAGATGAATAGCACTTTGACTGTCACAGAACAACTGCGGTCGTTCCTGTAGGAACCCAAGTTCATTTAGGAACTTCTTCATCCATATCATCTCCTTGCATGCTTCCGTTACTGCTATATACTCAGCTTCTGTTGTGGAAAGAGCTACACACTTTTGTAGCCTTGACTGCCACGATATTGCTCCCCCTGATAAGGTAATCAGGTACCCAGAAGTGGACCTCCTCGAATCAACATCACCTGCCATGTCAGCATCTGTATAGCCAACAAGGACAGGTTCACCATCTCCAAAACATAGACTCATTTTGGAGCTACCTCGAAGGTATCTGAGGATCCACTTCAAAGCTTCCCAATGTTCCTTTCCTGGTTTGGAAAGAAACCGACTGACAACTCCAACCGCATGAGCAATATCTGGCCTTGTACATACCATGGCGTACATCAAACTTCCCACTGCTGAAGCATATGGAATGTTATCCATCTCCGCCTTTTCCTTCTCAGTAGACGGGCTCTGTTTGGATGTCAATGTAAAGTGGTTAGCAAGAGGACAGCTAACCGCCTTAGCATTATCCATGTTGAAACATTGAAGTACTTTCTCAATGTACTTCTCTTGTGACAACCATATTTTCTTAGCACCTCGATCCCGAACGATCCTCACGCCAAGAATTTGCTTTGTTGGTCCCAAGTCTTTCATGGCAAAAGACTTGCTCAACTCCTTCTTCAAATCATTGATCTTTGAGACGTTTTGCCCAGCAATTAGCATATCATCCACATAGAGCAAAAGTATGATGAAATCTCCATCAGGAAATTTCTTCACGAACACGCAGTGGTCTGAAGTAGTCTTCATGTAGCCTTGCTCCCCCATAACAGACTCAAACTTCTTATACCACTGTCTTGGTGCCTGCTTCAAGCCATACAAGCTCTTACGGAGCCTGCACACATAGTCCTCCTTTTTCTCCTTCTTGAAGCCTTCTGGTTGCTCCATGTAAATCTCTTCCTCCAAATCACCATGAAGGAAAGCAGTTTTCACATCCATTTGTTCAACCTCCAGGTTAAGACTTGCTGCTAGTCCCAACACAGTACGAATGGATGTCATCTTCACCACAGGTGAAAATATCTCGTCAAAGTCAATGCCTTTCCTTTGACTGAAGCCTTTCACGACTAGTCTGGCTTTGAAGCGTGGCTGACGGTTGTGTTCATCATGTTTGATCTTGAACACCCACTTGTTCTTCAAAGCTCTCTTGCCTTTTGGCAACTTCACCAGCTCAAATGTGTTGTTCTCATACAAGGAATCCATCTCGTCTTGCATGGCTTCTATCCACCTTTGCTTGTGTTCATCATTCATAGCTTCTATGAAGCTTTCTGGTTCTCCGCCGTCAGTAAGTGAGACGTATTCCGTCTCGGGATATCTCGTAGACGGTCGTGAAATTCTACCAGATCTTGTTGTTCGAACAGGAGAACCTTCTATGGCTGGTGGTTGACCATCGTCATCAGCATCTTCTGGTTGAACCTCCACATGGGCATCTAGTTCAACTATCTCAGGCTGATCATGTTGTGCTTCCTCTCCAACTTCTGTAGGCGCTGGTGTTGGAGGCACTAGCTCAAGGTTTGGCTGACTAGCATCAGTACTAGGAACTTCTTTCCTAGCAACAACATCTTCGATGGTCTCATTTTCGATGAACACAGCATCACGACTTCTGATAAGCTTCTTTTGGATTGGATCAAAGAATCTATAGCCAAACTCATCTTGACCATAGCCAATGAATACGCACGGTCGCGTCTTTGAATCCAACTTTGACCTTTCATCCTTTGGAATATGGACAAAGGACTTGCAACCAAACACCCACAAATGTTTGTAGGAAACTTCTTTTCCTGTCCACACCTTCTCTGGGGCATCATACTTCAGTGGCACACTGGGTGACCTGTTCCACACATAAACTGCTGCAAGCAGTGCCTCCCCCCAGAAAGATTGTGGTAGCTTCGAGTGTGATAACAAGCACCTGACTCTCTCTAGCAGGGTCCTGTTCATCCTCTCAGCTAGCCCATTCAATTGCGGCGTCTTTGGTGGTGTGAATTGTTGTCGAATTCCATGTTCTTTGCAGAAGGTAGCAAACGGACCTCTGTACTCTCCACCATTGTCAGTCCGGATGCACTTCGGCTTCTTGCCAGTCTCCCTCTCCACCAGGGCCAGGAATTGCTTGAAAACGTCTAGGGCCTGATCCTTAGTCTTCAAGGTATACACCCAAGTCTTCCGTGAATGGTCATCAATGAATGTCACGAAATATCTGGCACCTCCAAGTGATTTGACGTTGACATCGGGTTCACAGAGATCTGAGTGAACTAGATCCAACACATTCTTCGCTCTTGAAGGGATGGAACTTTTGAAAGCAACTCGGTTTTGCTTTCCCGCAAGGCCATCGACACACTTCTTTAGATGAACATGATCCAACCCAACTATGACTTTCTTCTGGGCCAACTTCGCCATGGACTTCTCACTCATGTGACCGAGCCGTTTGTGCCACAATTCAATTGTGTCACCATTCTCCGCTGAGTTGACAATCTCTGGGGAGATCTTGGCTTCCGTCACATACAACTTTGACAGCTTCTTGCCCTTGGCCAACACCAAGGAGCCTCTGGTGAGTTTCCACTGGCCATTGTGGAAGGTGTTGCAGTAACCTTCCTCATCCAACTTGTCTACAGAGATGAGATTCAGGCGCATTTTTGGAACATGCCTGACATCCTTCAGCAGTAGCTTCGTACCATTCATCGTCTCCAAGCAGACTTCTCCTTTTCCGATAACTTTGGAAAGATTACCATTTCCCATTCTTTTTTTTTATAATGGTGAAAATATATTGAAAGGAAAAAGGAAACTGAAACATAAGAGGTCCTGGTTCACAAGCGCTGAACCCAATGCCCAAACAACAAAAGGAGAAAACAACAGGGGAAACGAGAACAAATCCCCCGAAAGCAAGAAAAAGAAGAAAAAAACCAACTCAGTGGACCCGACCACTGCTGTTGGACCGAAATACCAAAGCTAACCAGAATAAAAAAGTACCCCAACCGAGGCCAAACATACAAATAAACACTGAACTCAACTAAATCACCAGCCCAGAACTGAGATAAAAAACTAACAGCACACACCCGAACCACCCGACTGATCACCCCCAAGCAACCTGCCACCAAACAGAGAAAGATGGACCAGAACAAAATCAAATCCTCGGCAATTAAATGGCAAGCAGAGCAACTTTCAACCAGCTCTCTCCCTGCGATTTCTCCACTTTTCCGTGCGCCACCAGCCATTCCATAGAATGCCTTGCTGCTTTCTAAGCCACCACAGAAGCATATGACGCCTTCTCTTCAAATATCCGTTGGTTCCTCTCAATCCAAACACCCCACCATACAGCGTGTAGGATGCAGCTCGCAAACCATCCATCGACGTTCACAGGCTCGGACAATGTAACACTTTTGATCACCGAGCTTAAATCGCTCCCTCTGAATCCCAGCTCCGCTCTATTCCTGTTGAGGAAACTCCAAACATCTTTAGTGAAGTCACACTCCATCAAAACGTGCATCGCCGATTCATTCTCTCGACAGCAGAGGATACATCTACTCGCCAACGACCACCCCCGCTTCATTAAGTTGTCCATAGTTAGGATCCTGTTGTGACAAGCCAGCCACATAAAGAAACACACTTTCAAGGGAATCACAGGCCTCCAAATCTGCTTGGCGGGGAAGTCTTGGACGCCGACCAAAAAGTCTTTAGACACCTGCTTGTAACAAGATCTCACAGAAAACTTGCAATTGTAATCAGGGTTCCAAATAATCCTACACGGACTATAATTAAGCTTAAAACCCTCACAATTTTGCAGAAAATTTAACAATTGAACTCTCTCCCTCTCAGCCCCCCCTCTCAACAAATATTTAAGGGTAATAGACCATCTCACCGTCCCATCATCGAACGAGGCCACGTCGGAGAGGCTAGCATTGGGGTCAATAGCAGCAGCGGCGACACGAGGAAAGGCTGAAGCCAACACCATCCCTGGAACCCATACATCGTACCAGAAGGAGATAGAGGTGCTGATTCCCGGATCCATGGATGCAAACTTCCAGAAAAAGTCATAGGCCTTCGATATATTTGCCCACACAGAATGGGAGAAACCCATACGAGCCCGATCAGTCTGCCAAATCGAACGGGGGTTTGGGTATTTAATCTCGATCAAAATCCTCCACCAGCTACTTCTTTCAACCGCGAATCTCCACAACCATTTGACAAGCATAGCCTCATTGAAGCTCCTGAGATCGTGAAACCCCAACCCACCTGCATTAATCTCGGCTTTACACGTTTTCCAATCCACAAGAGCCATCCTTTTAGAATTTCCAGCCCCATTCCACAGAAATCGCTTCTGAATTTTTTCCAGATCGTTAATAACTGAAGCCGGTGCTTTGAACAGCGAAAATAGATAAGTAGGCATACTCCCCAATACCACACCAAAGTCACCTGGTGTGTAAGATGAGAAAAATTCTCTCTTGGACGTCACGTGGATGGTAGCACCACTATCAACCACCCAGCTTGTCTCCTGGGTTGTCAGGTTGACAACATCTTCCTCGTAGACAATATTGAACTCATCAACAGAGTTTGCACCATCATCATCACTGTTCTAATCTCGTTTGCCCTTCTTTCTCTCATTTCTGAACTTTGGGCAAAATCTTCTGATGTGGCCCTTTTCCTTGCAGTGATGACAATGGATGTTGGCAAACTTGTTGGACTTCCCTCGACTCTTGCCTCTTTGCTTTGAGCCTCTCGCTTCAATTCTTCCTCTGCTTCTGGAATCCACTGTCAGAAGGTCTGACTGGGAAGATGATGAGGATGCACCTTGTGATCTTTTTCGCATCTCTTCGTTCAGGACTCCGCTTTTGACAATCTCCATGTTTATAACTCCATCTTTCACAGAGTTGGTAAGTGAAATTTTTAGCGTCTCCCAAGATTCTGGAAGGGAAGCCAGAACGAGGAGAGCGACCACCTCATCTTCCATCTTTATGCCCATACCGGACAACTGATCCACGATCCCTTGAATTTCGTTCAAGTGATCCGCCAAGGATTTGCCTTCCTTGTATTTCATCTGGACCAACTTGGTTAGATAAAATAATTTGTTGTTGCCGGTCTTTGATGCATAAAGTGCCTCCAGCTTGTTCCACAGAGTTCTGGCATGAGTTTCTCCGCTAATGTGGTTGTATACATTATCGTCGACAAACTGTCGAATGTAGCCACATACTTGCTCATGCTTGAACTCCCATTCCTCTTCAGTTTTGCCATCAGGTTTAGTTGGGCTAAACACCGGCAAATGCAACTCCGTCACGAGTAGGAGATCCTTCATCTTGTTTCTCCATATGTGATAGTTGCAGCCATTCAGACTTATCATCTTGCTTGTTTTTGCCTCCATTGGACGTGGCTCTGATACCACTTGTTGGGCGCAGCTGGTGAGAATAGCGGGTAAATATATTGCACTAAGAAATCACACGCTTGTAAAAAGTTCACAAATAAGTTGGACCTGGTGGCAGAGCCTCCAGAATTACGGTAACCAACTTACTTAGATCAATTTACTTCGGTAATTTAATAATACAATATACTACGACTATTCTCAAAATAACAACAAGCATAGATAATAATAAATGACACCGAGGATTTACGTGGTATACCCTGATTTTGGGCCAGTCCACGGGAACAGCAGCTCCAGAGTATTTCTTTACTATAACAATGGTAGGTTACATAGATTTTCTCGATACAAGAAATAGAACACATGGTGTTTCCCAAACAACCTCACTATTTCACTCACAAGGAAATCTCCTATCTACCCGTGGTAGTGAAAACGTTTCACTACCAAAAAACCCACAATAGAAATACGAATAGAAGCAGAGCAAAGGAAATGGAGAATAATGGAATGGTGAGGGATCATGTTTTGAGGCTACTGCCTCTGCCTTTTATAGGCTAGCAAGGAAGAGGGGATTAATTCTAGTGGTTGGATTGCCAACCGTCATCTCCTCCCCCAATTTAAGTTTTGTTTTTTTTTAATCTATTTCCACAGCCAACCTTGTTGGCCTCTTCTCTACCACATGAGGAGGGCACAACACAAAAAGCCCTAATTGGTGGAGAAGATCGGAAGTTAATTAATGATCAGTTTTGGGTAAACTTACACCGGTGACCTCGCATGTCCTCCGGTAATGGATGACCCTTAGCATTAGTTCATTAGTTCTTCGTCGCCCTGAAAATCGTCGCTCTCATATATGTAATCGTGATCGTCGGGCTTGGGTTTCAGCTTCAGCTTGTCCAGTTCCCGGCAGCGCTTGCAGTCGCCTTTCCCGTACTTGAGCTCTGGCCATTTAGGTTCCTTCTGATCATCCGTAGCATTAGCGGCGGTGGAAGCCATTACGAGGATCGATCGATGACCGGCGGCGGCAGATGAAAGAAAGGAACTATTGCGGGAAAAAGAAAGGCAATTGTTTCCCTATGAGAAACTTGCGTTGAAAATAAATTGATTGCACCTTTGACTTCTTTGGACAACGATCACTAAACACGGTTCACACCTCTTCAAACACAGTTCGAACGAGGGTGTTCGATGTTTACACGACTCTCGAGACAGATCTACATTAAATTACTCCTACTCCTATGGAGGTTCTGAGAGAGCTCCAGATCTACGACTATTGATAAAAATTTGCAGAGGAAAGAATAAGATTGATAAAACTTGACAAGTGGTGTCGAGTGGTAATTTTTGCGGGCCTTCCTCTGTCGACTCCTGCTCCTATTTATAGGCCTTGAGATGATAACCGCCATAGAAACTGTCATAGAATAACTTCCAAAAAGAACTGCTCCCTGCTTCCTCGGAACGTGGCTGACGTGTCCTTTGAACGTGGGATGAGTAGCCGTTACTTCTCAACTGCCCAGGTACCTCTCTTGAAACCGTCGTAGGATCTTGTAGCTTGCCTCATATATCACGGTCATGGACTTCTTTACTCATGTCCATGGCCCTCTTGGGACTTAGTCTCTGGTGATAATATTTCATCCCCATGTCATTCTCCTTCGTGTCCATGGCTCCTCTCGTGAGGCGGCATGGCCCCTCAGAATTTTCATATGGCATGGCCTCTTGTTTGCACCTATGGACCTCTCAATCATGAACATGGCCTCCCTCATGAAGCAGCAAGTCCTTCCCTATACTTAGAATATTTTCGGTTATTTGATTTAGATCATGAGGCGGCATTGCCTCTTTATTCGCGACCATGGACTTCTTATTCATGTCTGTGGCCCCTTCCGTTGGACGGCATTGGCCTCCTCATACTTAGTATTTTTCACGCGCCCAGGTCCTCTTGTCTCGTGTTCATGACCGTCACATATGACACGGCCATGGACCTCTTAATCATCCACATGGCCCTATATTCTCATACTTAGAATATTTTTTGTCATACCGGGCCTTCCTTGAGATAGCATGTGCTTCTTTATTCTAGATGGACGTGTTCTTCTTTGATGAGGCGGCATGGCCTCTTCGTTGAGGCGGCATGGCCTCTTCCGGACTTAGTTAAATTTTCACTCCTTCGGTCTTATTGGTGAGGCGGCATGTCCCTCTTTAGACTTAGTGGCTTGGTCTTAAAATCAATATCCATAAGGCCCAACTAAAACAACATCAATTGTTATAATGGGGGTGGCCTTATAAACTCATTAATTATTTTGTAACTCACCAATGTGGTACAAGACAACTTTTATGGTGTAAACAGCAATAATGCTTCTCAAACCAATCTAATTTTTTTATTAAGTATAGATATGTTATTTATGTCTTTTGTTTGAGCTCAGAGAATTGATTATGGATCGTGGTTGAGGGTGACATGACAGCTTTTACCTATCCGACATATTTTTGTTAGAGGCGAAGAGCGTAGCTGTAAAGAGTGATTCTATTTAGGACCTAGGTTGTGCGATGGAGCGGTTCGAATCAGACCAAATTCATGAGAATCATGATTTAATAATGAAAGACATTTTAGAATAGGGTGAGTAACAACTGCTATTTGATATTCACGATAGGGTACGGTTTCAAAAATATTGGTTGTAAGTGAGTTTTCTTCATAAGGAGTTTGACTATTATGTGACAACCCTATAATCATATTGTGATACCGACTATTTATTACTTGTTTGTTGTTACTACGTGATCTAAAACATTTGATTACATGCAGGCGATCAAATAGTATTAATCAATGCTTATAGTCAATGACTCAATAAACCTAAAAAATGCCAGCCAAAACCTGGTTGGTTCATGAGTATGATTCTGTATCAACAACATGTTCATGAAAAATTGGAAACCAAAAACCAGAAGGTGTCAATTGATGAAGATAACAAACCACGATGTCATTGCTCAGCTTATTGAACTAGTAAGATTCATTATCTAACTAGCTTAATTATTAATGATGAAACCATCAACTCATCAATGTGTAAGGGAATCGTTGGATGCATCGAATTAAGCGTTTTGATATTCTAAAGACATAAACATCTCATTTCGAAATGTGTTCTTCAAAAACTTCAAAACAAGATTACAATCAACTGCTAGCTCACGAAGCGGGTTCACCTCTGGTTTTTCAATCCAACGTCCACATCAACTCTTTCTTTACCCTTGTGCGTTCTTCATACCTGGAATCGGGTGGTAACAAATCCTCGTCTGTATGCAAAGAGAAATGCATTTTGTTAGCAAATAACTCAATTAATGAATCGAACAACGATCGACGTGCACAGATAAGTCATTCTCGGTAAGATAATTTACCTTTACCCTTTGAGTTACTCTTCCTCAAAATATGAATTGTATAGTTAGGAGAGCGCCAACGCCAACATGCATAAGATATAACTGTTTGGTAAATTTGGACAAAACTGTTGTCGGTTGACTTATAATGAGACTGATTGAAGCTTTCAAAAGTTACGAAGAATACGTAATAACAGCCGGGTTGCTGGATATTTACGTTCTTAATGCCGAGCAAAATCAAGTTCTGACCCTGAAACATTATTGAAGATAATATAAACACACAAATAGAAAGAATACCATTTGAGTATATCACTCATTAAACCCGACAAAAAATATATAATTCCCAAAATCTAGTCGATTCACAAGTATAAATAGAAAACACTTACATACCTTCTGTTGATTATATGCGTCGATCACAAATTTAACCGCCCTCTTAACTTTCTTGTCTAAATCCCCCTCACTCAAATAATAGTGTTCTCGATTGTAGATGTAAGCATACTCTGGTGATGGAGGGCAATCAACATTAAAATTCTGTGTTTATTTAAACAAGAGGATTAATTAGAAGAAAGTGTGGAATACAAAAGCCCTAATTGGGAAAGAAAATCGGAGTTTAATTCTAATCAGTTTTGGGTAAACTTACACCGGTGAGCTCGCAAGTTCTCCGGTAATGGATGACCCTTAGCATTAGTTCTTCGTCGCCCTCAAAATCGTCGCTCTGGTATATGTAATCGTGGTCGTCGGGCTTGGGTTTCAGCTTCAGCTTATCCAGTTCCCGGCAGCGCTTGCAGTCGCCGTTCCCGTACTTGAGCTCCGGCCAGTTCGGTTGATTCTGATCCTCCGTAGCATTTGCGGCGGTGGATGCCATTACGGGGATCGATCGATGACCGGCGGTGGCAGATGAAAGAAAGAAAGAAGCTATTGCGGGAAAAAGAAAGGCAATACTGCGAGTGTTATTATTGAACGCTCGATTGTCGTAGGAGGGGAGGAATATGATTGGGCTTTGGTTTCCCGCGGCCCATTTATTGGAAGCTGAACCTGGATCGATCCAATCCAAGCCACGTTCATTTAAATAAAAAAGAAAGCAAAAACTAAGTCATTAAAAACAAATAAAAAAAATCATAAAAGAAAACTCTTGCTAGCTTCCAAAGAGTTACATTTAACGGCGGTTTAATATCGTACTGGCAGTTCGATCAGGAAAATCTCCTATTAGAGACTAAACCAATAGGCGGTACTTAACTGTATGAAACAATTGAACAACGGCTTCATAAAATACTCTATCGTTGACTTTTCTGATACAACCTCACGTACAACATTTCAATCATTGATTTATAGTTTAGGAATGTAGGAATAAGACGTCGGAAACAATAGAGAACTACGGTGGGATGGGATTGCTGAACAAATTGGCTGGGCAGGAGGTTTCACATAGCAGGTTATACAAAACAAAATCGCGGTGTTAGCATATGGTATAAGATTTATCATTGAAATTCGAGTTATTGACGTCAACGAGTTCTTAACATGGTATCAAAAAAATTATGTGGTCGAGAGGTCTTCTGTTCTTAACATGTTCTTGAGATCATCAACCATATTTCCTCTTAACTTTCTTGTCTAAATGAAATATGGTTGATGATCTCAAAATGTTGCTATGTATAGGTGGTTGGATGAACAAAGCATGGGTATCTTACATTTGAATACAAGAACAGATAACAAAAAGGACTTCCAAACCAAATACATATATGACCTAATTAGTCATTTGGTACCAAAACCTGGATGGTTCATGAGTATGCTTCTGTGTCAACAACATGCTCATCATGAAAAATTGGAACCAAAAAAAACCCAGAAGGAGGTGATTGATGCAGATGACAGAAACCACAAATGTTAATCCAAAACAAAGAACACTTGACATAAAGAGGGAAATTGTTATATAGTGGTCAGCAATGTTGTCATTCAGCGGAGAGTGTCGATGTGTTTGCTCAGCTCTTCCAGCTTCTTCATCCTCATCCTCTCACTTTCACCCACCATCTGCAGTAAAACAAAATTTCACTCACCAGTTAAATCAACTTCAGTGAAGAAATCTTGATCAACAAGTCATGAAAAGATACTAAAAGGAGCTTACCTCCATCAGCTTGGAGAGTAGCTGTGTCTTCTCCTTGTTCTTCTCATTGAATGCTTCTAGTACTTCTCTGTATTCCCTTTCCTGGCAATGTCATTTCAACCATTTGGAATAAAGCTAAAGACGTTGCTTGTAGATGAATCAAGAGTGAGCTTAAACAAAAAGGGTAAATTGATTACATATATCATCACTTGACTTTGACAGCACTAACCAGTCAACTACTAAACTTCGATCTCTCCACAAATGTGTCATTCAAGTTTGGAATAATTGTCACAACAATCACTTCGCCTATCTTCTTTATAATCTCCGTTCAAACTAATTCAGATCAACGTATCTAACTCCACAGTTTTAAGTCTAAAACGGCTACATCATACCATATATAATATAAAGTTAACATCAAACTCTGGTTTTATCACATGCATTATCCAAACCGAATTGATTATTCGTCCTAGTTCCAATTTATATCACCTGAAACCACCCTAATCTGAATCTCTATGAATTTTTTTTTTATCTCAAATGAAATGTTGACGATCTCAAACTAAATCGTTGTTTTTCCAGGTTATCCCGAACTTTGATAACAAAGTTTGTGGTAAATCAAAAGCTTTGCTAATGAAGTCAAAGTTTAGTGACCATTTATGCAAAAAATGAAGGGGGAGAAAAAGGAAGAGGCAGGATCGGTTCACCTTCTTCTGACAACTAACGCCTAATGGCTTCAGCTCCCGGTTGACAACATCAATCCTCTTCCGCACCATCGACACTTCCTTCCTCAACGGATCCGTCAAAGCTTCAAGCTCCTAATGAAATTGTGTTTTTTTTTTTTTTTCCCAAAGCAGAGCATCAAACAAATATGATCCATCCCAAACCATGCCATAACAAGTTAACTGTCACTTACTTCTCGAATCTCAGCCAAGCGCTTGGTAGCCACTTCAGCACGGCCCAGCTGAGCCTGAACTCTGCCTCGAACCTCCATCTTCTTCCTCTCGATCTCCTCCTCTTTGGCGCGAAACATCGCCAATGCAGACCTCGACATCTCGTCCTCCTTGTCATCCAGCAGCAATGGGCTCTCGTTGTAGGCAACCAGCTGCTGCCCTGGGTTCTTCACCACCACCATCTGTTTCTGAGTTGTCATGATTTCCTGAATAACCCTACAATGGGTTTTTTTTCTTCCCCTCTTGGCTGCTGGCCTTTCTCTTATGCTGGCCTTTCTTCTCCCCACCCACCTTCTCTTGGCTATGATGATCCTCTTTATCCTGTTGTAGTTGGTTGGCTGTTTAATAAAGGTGGTGTAGAAGAAGAACAACCTTCACTCTTACTTTACAGCCCAACAGAACAAATGCTAATTAATTAGTAACCCTCTAATCATGGAGATTAAACAGAGGAGGGACACACACAAAAGACCCTTTTGCATGGTAATTGTCACATAAGGGAAACTTTGGTGAAGGATGGTTGCAGAATGGGGCTCTTTGTGGTTAGATGGGATATGTTGTCATGGTGAAAAGATCCAGCTAACAACTGCAGCATCATGTCACATGGCTATACAAAGTTACAAACCACCACTTATGGGAAAGAAAGAAAAAAAAAAAAAGCAAATTCCCTTACCATCTCTTAAAGGGTACTGTAAGCCTGATAATAATAGAACAAAGGGAAGGGTATTTTTCTACAGGGGAATTTGGTGTGGGTTTGAAGAAAATGATGAATTGTTTTGGGGGAGTGAAATTGATTACATATACACAATGAATACCAATGATACATGTAGGTGTTATTATTGTGAAGATTGGTGGTAACTGGTTGTAAAAGATTTTTAAAATGAAAATAAAAGTGAAGATATTGGTTATGAATTGGGAGATCTCATGGTCGTGTTGTAAGGAATACTGATATGATTATAAAAAGTGTTGATCATATTGTATATTTTTGAATCATCTATTCTTATCGTTAAGCCAATAATTATGATGATGGAGATTTATCTCCGTTCTGATAAAGATCCAACATCGTATAGGAAAACTGGGAAGGGAATTGTTTGCCAAAAATATTCCATGAAGAAGGGTGCTTGCCTTGGATTGGAAGTTTTCTGTGTGGCTCTTTGGAATGGAATCTGACAGCAAGGGCTCAACTACAAAGTAAGAATGTGGGTTTTGGCTTCTTTTTTGGAAATAAATAACCTTTTGCTTTTATTGGAGAGCCTTAGAGAGCAAGGCAGAGTAGGAGAGATGTTGGCACTTGGCAGTGAGGTTTTCCCCCCTTCTTCTTGCTATCTCAAGTATTTGAGTACATATAATATATTTGTCTAATACTTGTCTTTGATAATTTGAATACACTCTTCCCTTGATTTTAACTAGAGTAGGAACATTCACTTTAAAATTTAAATCTTATGAGTTTCTTCAAAAGTTAATCGATTACGAGTTTTACTCATAATAATGCTTAAATTTATCTAATTGTATACGAACTTTACTATACCGTAGATTTATTTTTTGCATAACATCGAAACTTAAAGCAAGACACTTCACTTGTTTCAGAGAGAGTCATACTTTTAATGTCCTGTCATAAATAGTTCGAATTTTTTTTTTTTTTACAACTTATAGGAGAATTATAACGCTAGAATCCTAAAAAAATAAGATAATATGAACATCACCGTAAATATATGAACATCTTATCATTAAGCTACTATGGTATCGACATGCCTGCGTCTACAAGTCCATTTATCTGGGACTAACCTTTGGATATTAGTGTCATGATGGAAGCCAATAAGCCAGCCATTTCACCGGGACAAAGGTTGTTCTTTTCGAAATATTGATTGTTACTATTTTGCCTTTATGTGTTGGACTGTTGGTTGTTGGAGCAGCAATAGTAACGTTTACCAATGACAATCCAGTAAGGGGTCGTTTGGAAGTTGTCATTGTTAAATAGATGTATTGTTGAGAATGCATGTATAATATTATACATGTATTGTCGAATTTGATGCATTGTAGAATACAACGTTTGGTATGTGGGATTGTGTATGTCGCATCAGCTAAAAGCTGAGACAAAACAATCTCAACTCAACTATCTCAACAATCACAACTAAAAGTTGAGATATAACAATCACTCAAAATGAGTGATAGTTTCTGTCACATCATAGAAACAATCCATGTATTGTTTCTGACAAAAAAACAATGCATTGTAAACAATACATGCATAATGACAATCTCAACAAAACAATCGCAACTTCCAAACGAACCCTAACTTGCAAGTTGTAGGGTAAGCTTACCCACCTTAGGAAAGCCAAAACCATTTGCACTCTTCATCATGAACTTGGCTCGAGGGACCATATGTCCCTAACTTTGTCTCTCCCGTGTGATCTTTTTGTAGACCATCTTGAAAACCTAGAGAAGGGCCGTGTTGAAATGTTTCTGTGTGAAACTCTGGTTCAACAATCAACATTAAACACAGAGTCGAGGTAATATCCTCATCCGTGCACGCGATAGGCTGATTCATTCTAATATGTTATTTGAAGAAAAGTAATATTATAATCCCTTTTTAACTATCATTTTTTACTCTTGGGCCCAAGTGCCCAACACTAGTACAATCGATCCAACCATGATAGTAGGAAAAAAAAAAAACTTCAGAGCTTTTGGGCTCATACATGATACATCGAACTACCCCAAGATTCAAGTCAAACGGATCCTACTATCACGCTCTCATCATTAGCTACCGCGGTGTGATAGTAAAATAGAATCTTCAAGTCTTCAACAATATTTGCATTTTCCTCTCCTCCTGTACCTAGGAATTGATTTAATGAGCGAAGGTCTTTATTCCAAGTAGGATCAAGATTTGAATTATAAAATGCGATTCATACAGTAAACATATATTGAAAAGTGATATAATGTAGTTTAGTAGCTTCCATTATCCAAGATCCGAGTTCAATTCCTCTCTCGTCTCCTTTGTCTCCTTCTCTTTAATTGGATTTCGATATAAATATCAGAGATCTTCATTGCAAGTGGGATCAATATCTGGATTATAAAACGTGGATACAATATAGTAAACGCCTAAACAAATATTGAAAAGTGATGTAATGCATTTTAGTAGCTTCTCTTCTTCAAGTCTGCACCATCTCATTTTCGTTACATTACAAAGTACATCCAAACCCTAATTCATCCCATTCCCATACATTGCTTGAGGATAACTTAGACATCCCAATTCACAAATCACAAGTGTGAATCATTGATAAAATTTGAGAGCTGGTATGGAGGCTTGAAAGTTGTTGGGCCCAGACATCGACCGGCACTAAATTTTAAGCCCAATGGTGAATGGAGTACCGGCGTGATTTGGAAAAGGTAAAAATATTCAACAGTATTTGCATTTTCCTGGCCTTTTCTCAACGTCAACGACTCGAAGTCGAAGTCTCGAACTGGAATCTGGATGCACCGTGAAGGAAGGTGAAGGCTAATGGCCGTTCAATTTCCCGATCAGTTTCCTCCTCCTCCAACCCCAATCCCTTTGCTTCAATTCCGCCGCCATTTCCCCTCTCCCACTAATCATCACGCACCGACTCCTTCGTCGAGAAACAAAACCCTTCTGCAAAAATAACTTTGAGGATTCATTCCAATGTCAGGAGTACTCCCGGTGGACTGCTTCGCCCAGAAGCTGGATTCCCTGCTCCAAAACGAAGCTACCCTCTTTCAAGGAGCTCGCGACCAGGTCGAAGAGATCAAACGCGAACTAGCCGCCATGAGGTCGTTTCTCGAGGATTCCGACGCCGCTTTCGACAAAACCCACTCCAAATCCAAGCAAACCCAAGTCGCCCACGTCAGGGATCTGGTCTACGACGTCGAAGACATCATCGACGAGTTCATCTACCACCGCCGGAGGTACGCCGGGTATCTCCGTACAGCTCTGTGTTTCCCTCTCTTATTCTGGGAACGGCGTCGGATTGCCACCAAGCTTCGCGAGATCAACTCCTTGATCAGGGCCGTACCGGAGAGGAATCAGTGGTATCATCAAGTAATACCACTGGAGGAAGATCATCATCATCAGAAAGAGAACGCGGCCGTGGTCAATGCAGAGTCGGCTCTGTTTCTGAGAGAGGAAGACCTTGTTGGGATTGAACCATCTCGGAAACTAATGGTCGAATGGCTCATTGGCGATGACGGTAGGCCCTCGCGGAGGAAGACTATCTCGGTGGTCGGGATGGGCGGCTCCGGTAAGACCACTCTTGTTGCAAATGTTTTCAAATCCCCAGCTGTGAAACGCTGCTTTGATTGTGTCGCTTGGGTAACCGTCTCCCAGTCCTTTGTCATTGAGGATTTGTTAAGAAGCTTGATTAGGGAATTAGGGATTCAAACCTTGGGGGATCAATTTAGCCATATTGGGTATCGGGAGCTTGTGGGGAAGCTTGTGGGTCATTTGGAACAGAATAGTTATTTACTTGTTCTGGATGATGTTTGGGATGTTAATGTATGGAGTCAGATCAAACTCTGGCTTCCAGAGACGAAGAACAGCAGAAGCAGAATCATTGTCACAACCCGGATTCAAGACATTGCAATGTACTGTTCTTCCGAAGATGGAAGTCATGTTTACAATATAAAGCTGCTGGACAAGAACAAAGCAATGGAGCTGTTTTGCAGCAGAGCGTTCTCCTCCAAGAAGAACTGCCCACCTCAGCTTCAGAATCTCGCTGTTGACATTGTGGATAAATGTCAAGGCTTGCCCCTTGCAATTGTGTCGCTGGGCGGCTTATTGTCAACCAAACAATGTTCTATAGCTGACTGGACGATGGTCTACAACAACTTGCAGTGGGAGTTGAGCAACAACCAGATGCTTCAGCCTATCAAGAACATTCTTCTGTTGAGCTACTACGATCTGCCTTACCGGTTGAGGTGCTGCTTTCTCTACTGTTGTTTGTTTCCAGAGGATTATAAGATATGGTGCGGCAGGCTTACCAGGTTATGGATGGCTGAGGGGTTCGTGGAAGCGGCTGATCATGATGGATCAATTACCCCCGAGGAGATTTCTACGGGATACCTTATGGAATTGATTCGTCGAAACATGCTCCAAGGTATTGATTCAGAACTCTGGGTGAACGACAGTTTATGCAAGATGCACGATATGTACCGTGAGGTAGGCCTTACAATAGCGAAACAGGAGAATTTCTTTCATCGTCGTCTGTCTGTTCACCAAGCAAGTAAGGTGAAATTGAGAGAAATGATCGAATCCATGGAGGACAGGTCGGGGATTCGGTCTTTATTCTTGTTTCATAACGATGGATGCAGTAGTACTGATCCTTTCTCCTTGAGAGGATTGAACTGCAGCCATTTCAGAGTCCTGAAGGTGCTGGATTTGGAAGATGTTCCAATCGAAGAGCTACCTCGCCACATGGATAGCATGTTCAACTTGAGGTTCTTGAATTTGTTTGGCACTCCACTGAAGATACTGCCCAACTCAATAGGGAAGTTGCAGAACCTGCTGACTCTAGACATCATGCACACAAAAATCGAGACTCTTCCTAAGGGAATCATGGAGTTGCAGAAACTACGTCACCTGGCTCTAGGCGGAGTCCGACGCCCCATCTCAAAGGAGTACAACGTCATTGATGGTGTAAAGCTTACTCCAGGATCAAACATTGGCAATCTGACTAACTTACAGTCATTACGGTTGGTGAAATCGAGTGGGGATTTGATAAAGCAACTGGGTTCAATGAGACAGCTAGTGGTTCTCGGAATCATAAACGTTACAGGCAGGGCTCAAATGGATGACCTGTGCAGGTCGCTCAAGAACATGCCTTTACTGCAGAAGTTGAGCATAGCAGCCAACGACGAGGACGAGATCCTTCGATTGGATGCACTTGGTGGCGACCAATCACAATATCCTCCACTAAGGAAACTTCAGTACCTCAGCTTGTACGGGAAGTTAGAGAAGTTCCCAAGTTGGGTCTCTTCCCTGCCATGCCTTGTCGATATGCAGATGCACTGGAGCAGGCTGCCTGTGGAAGAGGACCCGTTGCAGCATTTGCAGCGACTACCGAGCTTGAGCAATGTTGTTCTTAGCAACGCGTACCAAGGGAGTGAGCTGAGGTTTCCTAGAGGGTTTGACAATCTGAGGACGATGGCTTTGAGGAATTTCGAAAGCGCAGAAGGTATGGTAATAGAGGAAGGAGCCATGCCGATTATCGAGATGTTGCAGATTGCTGATTGCTTGAACCTGAAGACTGCACCAGAAGGGATACAACGTTTGAGTGTGCTTGAAGAGTTGAGACTTGAAAATGTTGCAGCTGATCTTGTCAAGCGCATTCGTGGACCAGATCGTTGCTACGTTCAGCACATCCCTCTTGTTCGTTGCCACTACTACGCCGCAGATGGCGACTACATTCGTGAAAACTTGTTCTAACTGTTTACTGTCTGCTGTAGAGATTAGAGAGTCAAAGGTTTTGAAGAGCTGACCTTTTTTCTTCGGCCCAAACATCATATCCATTTGATCCAATCCTCGTGGTAGCAAAGCCCAAACTCGATCAGAAACGGCCATGCTCCGATTGGGCCCAAATATGGAGCCCGTCTCCAAGATCCTCAGCATTACATACCACCGAGATAATAAGTATATGGATGTATTTTAAAAAATGATAAGTGTATGGAACTTTCTGTTAAAACTATATAGTATGGTGACTGAAAGATGACATTATCAATAAAATATAAATATCGGGGCAGAAAGTACCAAAGCCAAAGAGAAACCATGATCGAGAATTAGAAATCGGAGGGTTACTGGCTTACTGCTAATTTGCCCCGTTGCCCGAACTCGGAATCAGAGCTAAAGGAGGGGAAAGAGGAGGGCGGCAGCAAGAAGTTCCACCGGCGTCTCCACCGGTGCTTTCCATTTCTCTTTTCAGTGCCTTGACAGAAATCACTTCTAGGGTTTAGGGTTCCATTTGACTTTAGGTTCGACATTCCCCCATTAAGAAGAAAGAAAAGATCTCGACCTTGTTTGGTTATATGAGGGACCGGCGGTACGAATATTCGAGGACACGGTCACGCTCACCGCCTTCATCACCTCCTCCGTCGAGTCGGGGAAGAGACCGCGATTTTGGAGAGAACTGGCGTTTTCCGACTACCTCCTACCAGGCTCCACCTGGTCCGCCGTGGCCCGAGCGGGACCCACCGCCCAGACCGCATCCTGGGTTCGTTCCCCGGCGAGGGATCGATTACGATAGCCTTAGGACTAGGACTAGGACTAGGACTAGGAACAGGTCTAGGTCGAGGAATAGGTCTAGGTCTAGGTCCAGGTCTCCGAATCGATGTGCGGCGAGTCGGGAGCCGCAAAGAATCGACGGCAACTACAGGCGTTTCTCCGGTTGGAACCCCACGTCAACAGATTTGGGTATTGGGTCAAGCAGGCGGCGGGAATACGATAGATTGTATCCTGAGGACAGGTATGGTCGTGAGGAAAAGCTGTCTGTGCCGTTCAGCGAGACGATTCCAAGGAGGGAACCTGCTTTCTCGAATTTTCAACGCGACAACCTATTGGACGATGACAATGGTAACCCTAGCAGACCCATCATTACAAGTCCAGGTACGGCGGTGTATAGAGAGGTTCCTGCGAATCACTTCAGCAGGCTCTCTGCTTCTGTCGGCGTGGCTCGAATTCCTGTCGAGACATATAGAAGAGATAGGCCAAGAACTCATTATAATTACATTGGCTTGCCACCCACCAGCAACGTGAAGAACTATGACCAGCTCAGGGATGGTGGTGGCTATGGATCTCCTTTGGGGGGAAGAGGAAGCTATGCAGATTCAATTTTGAATAAGAGTCAAGGAAATGGGAGGGAGGCTTTAAGCAATCCAGCTTATTTTCGGCAAAGGCGCATCGTTGGAGCAGACGATGATGTCGAAGATGATTTGGATTACAGGAGCACTCATTTTAACTATGGGAGAGAAGGGCACACCAATGACAGAGATTTCGAGTCTGACCAGGGAATTGGAAATCATGGTTTAGAACGAAATGTCGGGTCCATTCCTTCAGGAGGCGATTTACAGAGAGTAAGATCACCTTGTGAAGGTGTATATAGGAGCAGAGGTGTTCACCAACCTGTCTATCCGCAGGAGGAGGTGGGTGTTCATGGTCCGCCGGAATCTTTTCATGGGAGGAGTAGTGTGGAGTTAGAAGGTACTCAAGAGCATCCGGGAAGTTTGTTTTTCAATGATGAGAATCTATTGAATGAGGATGATGACCTGAGCATCGGAGATCAAGATTGGAACTACAACGACATTGATGATTCCTTACTCTTGGAGGATTTAGACTTAAGGCATACAGGACAGATTTATGGTAACAACGGCCTTCAAGAATCATTGCTGTCAAAGAGGCATGGTGGGAGAGGGAGTTATGGCAACAACAGTCGTCAAGATCTATTAGCATCTCATCATTTCCAGCCATCAGGACAATGGCATTCAGGGAAGCGTGTCAAAGCTTCTAAAGCAAACTTAGAGAAGCGCCTGGGCCCTGTTCAAAGTGTGATGCAGCGATTAGGACCAAGGTTGAGGCATCCTGCTAAGCAACATGCATCTTTCCGTGCTGTAAACGTTAAGGAGCGTTTGGGGCCTGCCATAAAACCGGTGAAGAAATCTGGAGAGGATCGAAATGCGGTTAAGCAGCTTCCCTGGATGAAGATTCGTGAAAAGGGACGTCAGGGGTCTTCTGAAGTAACCATGAGCAATCAATCATTAGAAATGAAAGAGAAGGACATGAAGTCTGAACCCCAGGAGAACTCTGAGGAGTTCATCCAGCTGGTAAATACTGCTTTCTTGAAGTTCTCAAAATCTTTGAATGAAAGTTCTGCCAAAAGGAGAAAGTACACAGAGCATCACGGAGATGGTATGTTGAGATGCAGTGTATGTGGCAGGTATCAGATCAAGACTCTCTCTCTCTCTCTCTCTCTCTCTCTCTCTCTCTCTCTCTCTCTCTCTTTTCCCTCATTTTGTCACAAAATTGAGAAAGTGGATGAACTGCCTATGTGTATGTTTTCTCTACTCGACTAATTAGTCAGTGTGATACTGTCACATACGAATTCGTTGAACTGCAAGCATGAAATATGCTACTTCACGATGATTTGAATTTTCTCTATATAATAATTGTATTGGTGAATGACTTGGACTGTCAGCTGACTATGACTTAGAATATTAGTTTGAGCTCCAGCCAGTTATGTCACGATCCATCAAGGCATAGGAAAACCTGAGAACACTACTAGAGGAAAATGGGATAAATGATATAATATTCAGCATGATTTGGAAACGGTCTAGCTAAAGAAGAATTCAGCCTTTGTCCACGCTGGTAGGAAAGTGGAGTCTCACTAAGATGCCCTTTCTGTGTTTAAACAAAGCTATAGAACAGTGAACTGGTTTATGTTGACTGAACTTGAGCCATTACTGCTTGTTATGGTGATTAGGGAAGTAGAAAGTGTATGAGTTTGAGCATGATTGGAATATAAACATATTTGGTCTTTGCTTGTCTTGCTCATGGTATGATGTTGTTCTCTAGTCACCTTGGTCGTGGACACTTCTCACAGAGATTCCTTCACCCATTTTCTGTGATATTCCTGGTATGGTGCTATGTTGAGTAGACTCTGGTTTATATCCGTTGCTGGTATTAAGTTCTTGTACCTTCCCCTCCCTAGCAAGCTTTAGCTTTACTAGGCATAGCTAGGAGTTCGGAATTAGTCACAAGGAAGGATACATATTCTGTAAGTCTCAAAAACCCACGCAAGACTTGTATATATACGAGCTGATATGCATTTGCCTGTCTGTATCCTAATTGTGTCATTATTGTTCTAATTTCATTTCACCTGGTCATTCTACGTGCTTATTTTTGTAATTTGATTTCAGTTGTGAAATGACTTTGATTGAGTGATTGGCCAACTGAATGTTATATTTCAGTGACTCCAAAGATTTCGTGGACACATTAAGCTTGGCACAACATGCGTTTACATCATCTAAAGTAGGTTCCAGATCGGAGCATTTAGGTTTCCACAAAGCCCTTTGCTTGCTGATGGGTTGGAAGTGGAACATTGATGAAGTCCTAAAAAATGGTCCTTGGGTAAGGCAGAAATTGCCCAATGCAGAAGCTTCATTACTCAAGGAGGACCTAATCCTCTGGCCTCCTATTGTCATCATTCATAATGTTTCCATATCAAATGAAATTTCCAACAAGCGTATCGTTGTAAGTATTGAAGAGCTCCGATCTGTTCTCAGAGGTAAGTGAGCTCCTACCTGTACTGATAATGTTGACTCAGTTCAGCCGATTGGTCTTCCTATTTGTTTTCTAGTTGGATACTCATTTTGTTTGGTCTGGTTGGATGCCATTTCAAGCATATCCATTCAACTTCTGATTCTCTGTAAATGTGCAGTGCCTCTACGCCTGCACTCTAGAATCATTAGTACTTTTTTGAAGACCCTAACTCTTCTACAAAATAACTCAAATCACCTGGAGCCATCTCATGCCATAGGCCATAGCTATGATGGCATCCGAATCCTTGCTTCCAAAATCAAATCTCTCTCAAGTACTTTTTCTTATGAATTTGTCTCTAGTTGTGTGAGTGATCAATGGGTCATTTGGGAGAGGGAATTGAAAAATGTAGGATTTGGGTTCAAATTCCTAGAGAGATGGGATTTGGACTCAAAACATGGGAATTGAAAAAGACAGGGCCGGTATGTGTTTTCCAATTCCCACAAAATTTGGGAATTTGAAACCATATCTCCATTCCCAGGCAAGCCAGAAATGAGTTTTTGTGTCTTTAGTTGTTGTTTGGGTAGCTGAATGTGGCCATAGGAAGTAACCTCATTTCCTTAGAATGATGAATTATCGCACATTCCATTGTTTGGATGTCCATTTCAAGTCAATCGTTAAATTAGAAACAAGGGGAATTGTGTTTGTGCATTTTAAGTGAAATTCATCAGCTACATTCCGCGCATCTCATTTTCCGTGGTACGTTGACATTTTGAAATTCGACAATGTGCCACCGAAACAACACTCCGGAGATCTTGGTTCCAAACAACTAGATGCTCATCTGAAGTTCAACATGCTTATTTATTCTAGTCGTTATTTGATATGCTTATTTATTGTGTTGGTGGATCTTGTTCTGCTCTTTTTACTTTCCTGCTTTTGTGAACCTCTAAACGCAGGCAAGGGATTCAGTCACTCGGTTATCAACATCTGTAGGGGGAAAGCAGCAAACCACAGTATTATGGTGGTAAGTTTTGCCGGCACATTTTCTGGGTTGCAAGAAGCTGAGAAGCTTCACAGACTCTACGCTGAGAATGGACACGGGAGATCCGGGTTACAAGGAGTCAGCAGGGATAGCGGCAGCAGGGAAGGCGACAGCAGGGATGGCGGCATCAGGGAAGGCGACAGCAGGGAAGGCAACAGCACGGATGGCGACATCAGGGAAGGCGAGGACGCTGTATTAGGCACTCTAGCGGACGCGGTGGAAGCAGTTCTATATGGGTATTTGGGGATAGCATGCGACTTGGATAAGCTAGACTTTGATATGAAGAAGAGATGTGTGGTGAAGAGCAAAAAGGAGATCGACGCAATTGCAGATGCCCCCGTCGGGGGTTAAGCAAAGGTTAAACTAGACTTCTCTTATCATTTTGGTCTGTGCAATGCCCCTCGTATGGTAACTCGGTAAGTACGCAGGATACGCATCTGACAGTCAGTCAAGTCGATAACTTTGGTTTGACTGGCAAAGTAGAATGGGTGGAAGAGTTTATATGATTGTCTCTGCCACCACCTATGCATTTTGGCATTTACCGGAGAGATAGAGGAGAAATAGATTTGAAGAACACTGATGTTACTCGCGATCTTTGCTTGTTAGGTGTTTGTTTAGTTTTAGAAGGCGGTATCGAGAACTTTTGGGGAGAATCGAAAAGGGATCAATCAATGTGCTTTCTTGGATGGGTTACCTCAGACTTGTGACGGGTGATGGGAGATTGGGAAGAAGGGTGTGGCGCCGGCTTTCTCAATGTTCAGTTTGCTTGATTGAAGTCTCTAACAGAATGGAGCTCTGCAGAAAGTCTGCATTTTGTGTATGGGGAATGAGAAGACCACAATTTTGTTGTAGTACCCAGAACTTGTGAGGGAATCTTTACGGACCTCATTTTGTAGATACCTTTTGCCCTTTTCTTTTGCTCTTCTTCAGCCCTACGACATCGGGAATCACCCCTTTGCTCTTGTTAATACTTAATACGTCCGTCAATATTAGGTTGAAAGAATTAGAGCTGGAAACTAATCCTACTTTTCATTCTGTGCAATTTCATACGTAGTATATTCTTGTAAGTATCCGAGACTCTCATTGCGAACGAAATTGAGTTCGCATGCCGTCGATCAGAAACTATAATCGTATGGCGAATCTCCCTCTTTCCGAATCCACCAAAACCAGACCAGCTCTGTGTTTAAGTATATGGAGTCTAACTGAAGCAACAGCTCAAGGAAAGTTGCAGGAGGCAACAGGCTCCTGACAGTTCAACACCTATCTTAAGAACTAATAAATTAAGCATTTTTCTATTTGAACAAGACGCAGTTTTTCCGCCCAAATCGACCATTGCTAGACTTCATCGTTGGTGAAGAGTACCCTAATGCTAAATCTGTGATTCAATGCCTTCAAAATTAAAAGAAAATGATATTTCCAAAAAATCGCCCGAAATCGGTGATGGTACCCCTTTGGAATTTGGCAAAAATTGCCCGGGAAATTTTCTGCCCGAATCGGTGTTTAATAGACTTATTCATCCCTAAAGAATAGCCTCAACCTGAATCCGTGATCTGCACCCTTCAAAATCGAAGGAGAATGGCCTTTCGAATAAAAATTACGAAAATGCCCTTAAAAAAAATCGACCAAATTTCCGTCCAAATCGGTCATTACTAGACTTCATCGTAGGTGAAGAGTACCCTAAGGCCGAATCTGTGATCTATAGCTTTCAAAATCCAAGGAAAATGGCATGTCCAAAAAATCGCACGAAATCGATGATGGTACCCTTTGGAATCTGGCAAAAATTGCTCCGAAACTTTTCTCCCAGATTCGGTATTTAATAGACTTGTTCATCCCTAAAAAATAGACTCAGGCTGAATCCGTGATCTGCACCCTTCAAAATCGAAGGAAAATAGTCTTTCGAAAAAATCGACTAAAAATTACGAAAATGCTCTCCGGAAAAATTTGACCGAATTTCTGCCCAAACCGGGCATTGCTAGACTTTATTGTTGGTGGAGAGTACCCTAAGGCCGAATCTGTGATCCATCGCCTTCAAAATCCAAGAAAAATGGCATGTCAAAAAAATCGTTCAAAATCGGTGGTGGTACACATTTGGAATATTTCAAAAACTGCCCCGGAAATTTTCTGATCGAATCAGTGTATAATCGACTTTGTGATCTATAAACATCATAATTGAAGGAAAATGGCATTTTGAAAAAATCGCCGAAAAATTATGAAAATGCCCTCCGGAAAAATTCGACCAAATTTTCGCCCAAATCGGTCATTGCTCGACTTCATCGTTGGTGGAGAGTACCATAAGGCCGAATCTGTGATCCATCGCCTTCAAAATCCAAGAAAAATTACATTTCCAAAAAAATAGCCTAAAATCAGTGGTGGTACCCCGTTGGAATTTGGCAAAAATTGCCCAGGAAATTTTGTGCCCGAATCGGTGTTTAATCAACTTATTCATCACTAAAGAATAGCCTCAGGCTGAATCCGTGATCTGCCCTGTTCAAAATCGAATGAAAATGTCTTTCGAAAAATCGCCTAAAATTTACAAAAATGCCCTCCGGAAAAATTCAACCAAATTTCCACCCAAATCGGCTATTGCTATACTTCATCGTTGTTGGAGAGTACCCTAAGGACGAATCTATGATCGATCGCCTTCAAAATCCAAGGAAAATAACATTTCCAAAATATCGCCCGAAATCGGAGATGATACCCCTTTGGAACCTAGCAAAAATTGCACAGTAAATTTTCCGCCCAAATCGGTGTTTAATAGACTCATTCATCCCTAATGAATAGCCTCAGGCTGAATTCGTGATTCGCACCCTTCAAAAGCGAAGGAAAATGGTCTGTCGAAAATATTGACAAAAAATTACGAAAATGCCCTCCGGAAAAATTCGACCAAATTTCCGCCCAAATTGGCCATTACTAGACTTCATCGTTGGTGGAGAGTACCCTAAGGCCGAATCTGTGATCCATCGCCTTCAAAATCCAAGGAAAATTATCTTTTCATAAAATCGCACGAAATCGATGATGGTACCCCCCCTTTCGAATCTGCCAATAATTGCCCCGGAAATTTTCCGCCCGAATCCGTGTTTCATAAACTTATTCATCCCTAAGGAATGGTCTCAGGCTGAATCCGTGATCAGCACCCTCCAATATCTAAGGAAAATGGCCTTTCGAAAAAATCTCCGAAAATTTACCAAAATGGCCTCCTGAAATATTCGACCGAATTTCCGCCCAAATCGGCCAATAGTGGACTTCATCGTATGTAGAGAGTACCCTAAGGCCGAATATGTGATCCATTGCCTTCAAAATCCAAGGAAAATGGCCTTTCCATAAAATCGCCTGAAATCGGTGTTTAATAGACTTATTCATCCCTAAGAAATGGCCTCAGACTGAATCCGTGATCTGCACCCTCCAATATTTAAAGAAAATGGTCTTCCGAAAAAATCGCCGAGAAATTTCAAAAATGCCCACCGGAAAAATTCAACCTAATTTCCTCCCAAATCGGCCATTACTGATCGTCATCGTTGGTGAGGAGTACCCTAAGGCCGAATCTGTGATCCATTGCCTTCAAAATCCAAGGAAAATGGCCTTTCCATAAAATCGCACGAAATCGGTGATGGTACCCCTTTGGAATCTGGCAAAAATTGCCTACGAAAATTTCCTCCCGAATCGGTGTTTAATAGACTTATTCATCCATAAGGAATGGCCTCAGGCTGAATCCGTGATATGCACCTTCCAATATCTAAGGAAAAATGGCCTTCTGAAAAAATCGCCGAAAAATTACCAAATCGGCCATAACTGGACTTCTTCGTTGGTGAAGAGTACCCTAAGGCCGAATCAGTGGTCCTTCGCCTTCAAAATCGAAGTAAAAGGTTATTTCCATAAAATAGCCCGAAATCCATGATGGTACCCCTATGGAATCTGCCAATCAGCAAAAATTGCCCCAGAAATTTTCCTCCCGAATCGGTGTTTAATAGACATATTCATCCCTAAGGAATGGCCTCAGGCTGAATCCGTGATATGCACCTTCCAATATCTAAGGAAAATGGCATTATGAAAAAATTGCCGAAAAATTACCAAAATGCCCTACGGAAAAATTCGACCGAATTTCCACCCAAATCGGCCATAACGGGACTTCATCGTTGGTGGAGAGTACCCTAAGGCCGAATCAGTGATCCTTCGCCTTCAAAATCCAAGTAAAAAGGGCTTTCCATAAAATAGCCCGAAATCCGTGATGGTACCCCTATGGAATCTTGCAAAAATTGCCCCTGAAATTTTCCGACCGAATCGGTGTTTAATAGACTTATTCATCCCTAAGGAATGGTCTTAGCGTGAACCGTGATCTGCATCCTCCAGTATCTAAGAAAAAACGTCCTTCTGAAAAAATTGCCAAAAAATTACCAAAATGACCTCATGAAAAATTCGACCGAATTTCCGTCCAAATCGGCCATTAGTGGACTTCATCGTTGGTGGAGAGTACGCTAAGACCGAATATGTGATCCATCGCCTTCAAAATCCAAGGAAAATGGCATTTCCATAAAATCGCCCGAAATCGGTGATAGTACACCGTTGGCATATGGACAAAATTGCCCCGGAAATTTTTCGCTTGAATCGGTGTTTAATAGACTTATTCATCCCTAACGAATAGCCTCAGGCTGAATTCGTGATCCGTATCATTCAAAATCCAAGCAAAACGGCCTTTCGAAAAAATCGCCGAAAAATTACGAAAATGCCCCCCAAAAAAGTTCGACCAAATTTCTGCCTAAGTCGGCGATTAGTAGACTTCATCATCGGTAGAGAGTACCCTAAGGACGAATCTGTGATCCGTCGCCTTCAAAATCCAAGGAAAACGGCATTTCCATAAAATCGCCCGAAATCGGTGATGGTACCCCTTTGGAAACTGCCAAAAATGGCCCCGGAAATATTCCGCCCGAATCGGTGTTTAATAGACTTATTCATCCCTGAAGAATAGCCTCAGGCTGAATTCGTGATCCATAGCCTTCAAAATCCAAGCAAAACGGCCTTTCGAAAATATCGCCGAAAAATTACGAAAATGCCCCCCGAAAGAGTTCGACCAAATTTCTACCCAAGTCGGCGATTAGTAGACTTCATCATTGGTAGAGAGTACCCTAAGGACGAATCTGTGATCCGTCGCCTTCAAAATCAAAGGAAAACGGCATTTCCATAAAATCGCCCGAAATCGGTGATGGTACCCCTTTGGAAACTGCCAAAAATGGCCCCGGAAATATTCCGCCCGAATCGGTGTTTAATAGACTTATTCATCCCTGAAGAATAGCCTCAGGCTGAATTCGTGATCCGTAGCCTTCAAAATCCAAGCAAAACGGCCTTTCGAAAATATAGCCGAAAAATTACGAAAATGCCCCCCGAAAGAGTTCGACCAAATTTCTACGCAAGTCGGCGATTAGTAGACTTCATCATTGGTAGAGAGTACCCTAAGGACGAATCTGTGATCCGTCGCCTTCAAAATCCAAGGAAAACGGCATTTCCATAAAATCGCCCGAAATCGGTGATGGTACCCCTTTGGAAACTGCCAAAAATGGCCCCGGAAATATTCCGCCCGAATCGGTGTTTAATAGACTTATTCATCCCTGAAGAATAGCCTCAGGCTGAATTCGTGATCCGTAGCCTTCAAAATCCAAGCAAAACGGCCTTTCGAAAATATAGCCAAAAAATTACGAAAATGCCCCCCGAAAGAGTTCGACCAAATTTCTGCCCAAATCGGCGATTAGTAGACTTCATCATTGGTAGAGAGTACCCTAAGGACGAATCTGTGATCCGTCGCCTTCAAAATCCAAGGAAAACGCCATTTCCATAAAATCTCCCGAAATCGGTGATGGTACCCCTTTGGAAACTGCCAAAAATGGCCCCGGAAATATTCCGCCCGAATCGGTGTTTAATAGACTTATTCATCCCTGAAGAATAGCCTCAGGCTGAATTCGTGATCCGTAGCCTTCAAAATCCAAGCAAAACGGCCTTTCGAAAATATAGCCGAAAAATTATGAAAATGCCCCCCGAAAGAGTTCGACCAAATTTCTGCCCAAATCAGCGATTAGTAGACTTCATCATTGGTAGAGAGTACCCTAAGGACGAATCTGTGATCCGTCGCCTTCAAAATCCAAGGAAAACGGCATTTCCATAAAATCGCCCGAAATCGGTGATGGTACCCCCTTTGGAAACTGCCAAAAATGGCCCCGGAAATATTCCGCCCGAATCGGTGTTTAATAGACTTATTCATCCCTGAAGAATAGCCTCAGGCTGAATTCGTGATCCGTAGCCTTCAAAATCCAAGCAAAACGGCCTTTCGAAAATATCGCCGAAAAATTACGAAAATGCCCCCCGAAAGAGTTCGACCAAATTTCTGCCCAAATCGGCGATTAGTAGACTTCATCATTGGTAGAGAGTACCCTAAGGACGAATCTGTGATCCGTCGCCTTCAAAATCTAAGGAAAACGGCATTTCCATAAAATCGCCCGAAATCGGTGATGGTACCCCTTTGGAAACTGCCAAAAATGGCCCCGGAAATATTCCGCTCGAATCGGTGTTTAATAGACTTATTCATCCCTGAAGAATAGCCTCAGGCTGAATTCGTGATCCGTAGCCTTCAAAATCCAAGCAAAACGGCCTTTCGAAAATATCGCCGAAAAATTACGAAAATGCCCCCCGAAAGAGTTCGACCAAATTTCTGCCCAAATCGGCGATTAGTAGACTTCATCATTGGTAGAGAGTACCCTAAGGACGAATCTGTGATCCGTCGCCTTCAAAATCCAAGGAAAACGGCATTTCCATAAAATCGCCCGAAATCGGTGATGGTACCCCTTTGGAAACTGCCAAAAATGGCCCCGGAAATATTCCGCCCGAATCGGTGTTTAATAGACTTATTCATCCCTGAAGAATAGCCTCAGGCTGAATTCGTGATCCGTAGCCTTCAAAATCCAAGCAAAACGGCCTTTCGAAAATATCGCCGAAAAATTACGAAAATGCCCCCCGAAAGAGTTCGACCAAATTTCTGCCCAAATCGGCGATTAGTAGAATTCATCATTGGTAGAGAGTACCCTAAGGACGAATCTGTGATCCGTCGCCTTCAAAATCTAAGGAAAACGGCATTTCCATAAAATCGCCCGAAATCGGTGATGGTACCCCTTTGGAAACTGCCAAAAATGGCCCCGGAAATATTCCGCTCGAATCGGTGTTTAATAGACTTATTCATCCCTGAAGAATAGCCTCAGGCTGAATTCGTGATCCGTAGCCTTCAAAATCCAAGCAAAACGGCCTTTCGAAAATATCGCCGAAAAATTACGAAAATGCCCCCCGAAAGAGTTCGACCAAATTTCTGCCC